TAGACAAAAATTATAAATTATGATTATAAGATCTAACACACCTTTAATATGATCTACGTTATCGATGATTTTAATTTAAAGAACTACAATCAGTCTATGTTGCAGAAGAGTATTTTTACGAAAAAATATGACTAGTACAACGGTAGCATACCTAATAGATTAATTACCTACATTTAGTTTGTTTTAATTGTAAGCTCATTTTCCAAATGTAAATATTTCTACCGGTGCTTTTTGCAGCTAGATCCTTTTTACCTACGATGGATGATCCTACTCACTATCGAATGCCAATAACTTCAGTCTACTAAAAAAATCGGTATAGCAGTTATAAATAAACAAATATTTCCAACACTCATACCAATTAGCCTAGCCCCAAAGTAAGCACTATAAGGCTTGTGTTATGGGATACTAGGGTAACGGATAAAATACATATACTATACTTATATAAGTATATTTTTATAGAAATACATATTAAGCATCCATGACTGGAGCACAAATGCTCGTATTCATCACACAAACATCTGCCCCCACCGGGATTTGAACCCGGGATCTCTCGAGTCGGTGACACCATAAAAGATCGTCAAAAGTTAGTATATTTCGTGACATATTTTCAGAAAGAGGAGGAAGCAGGTGAGGTGCCCCCTATCGACGTGCTATGGATCAAAGGGTCCGAAGGCGGCGACTATTACTACAGCTTCGGCGGCTGCCACCGGTATGCCGCGTACAAGCGCCTCAACCGACCCACCATCCCCGCCAAGCTGATCCGATCCACCCTCACGGACCTTAGAACATACCTGGGCAGCAGCACACCCGACTTGAAATAACATTTTTGCAGGCCGGCAAGGTGAGGATGGTTGGTGTGGCAGTTTATAACTGCTGTACCAGCTATCTTCGCGTTTGGAATTTATCACCACTTGACATCAGGTGGGGTAGTTATTTGCCTACCTGGCTATGAAAAAAAAACTGTTTTACTGCAGTTACGATGAGTTCATAACGACAATAAAGTTAAGTATTTAAGATTCAAATTGTTTATGTGTTTTTGCAAGTGAACGTTTATATATGTACAAGTACTTCCAGTATATTTAAATAATAGTAATAGGTTAAGTTATTCAAAGTGTAATATTTTTTTCGATTATCTTTAAGTTTTTCGTCTTAAATATGAGATTTCAAAATAGATTTAAAGCATTTGTGGCTTGCAACTTATTATATTTTTATTCTTAATTAGCATTTAACTGCTAGATGTTTAAATCTAACCTTCCGCACTGATCTTCTTTCTATCGCGCTGCCTTTCAGCCTAAGCAATACTAGAGAAGATTCGACATGGCCATCAGAGCCGCGGTAGCATAATGGTTAGACGAGCCCGGAAAGAGGAGGGTGCGAGGTCGAGTCCCGTCTGCTGCCTGGTCCGCTTGGATTTTTTTCTAGTAAAAATTTCTTTAGATTTAAGCAACTTATTAATCTGTACCAATACCTATGTTTAATATTTGTTCGAGTTGTCGAGTCGAATTTACAGTTAAATTGTGGGCACTTAGATTGTATGAAACAAGTATGATTTGTATATTTTTAATCAACTACTATTACAAAAAGTGGACAAAATTTAGGTCTATGCATGGGTAAAGTGCATCCTATGGTAGATTGGTTGAAGGTGGGGGGTATGAAAGAAAATTTTATGATATCAGGAGTCGCGTAGGTATAAAAAGCAGATCACTTTTGTTTCAAGTGATATCTGGTCATAATGTAAATTACCTTATATTTAATACTATCGAGAATTACATATATACAAGTGCAATATAGGTCACTTTTATCAATTTAAGAAAAGCCTTCACAATTAATTTTATATCCGAAAAAACCGACATTATATTTATTTATAAAAGACTGAAGTGGAATGAGTTTTAAGCATGTATATATAATTCTTAACCGTTTACTCAATACGTTGCTTATAATATAACTATATTATAGTTACTGGTGTCGATTATGGCAGGGTTCTCTAAACTTAAAACTAAATTTAACATCAGCCTCTCCTTTTCATTATGTATAGAGAATGACAAGGATACATTGTTGTCAAATTTAGGTTTAGGTTTAGAGAATCATACCAGAATCGACACTACTGTTATGAATTAAGCTATGATAAATAAAACTATCATGATCCTCCGAAAGTGTATTTATTCTGGAGTGGCCTTACCTAACTACAGAACAATGAGATATGCCATTTCTGTATAATATATTTACAAACATGAACATAAATAATATCAAAATACATTTACACTAGATTCGTGGTGGGCGCGGCGTGAACAGACGCTCGTCTCCAGTAAAAACACATGAAATAAATGAACACAAAATAATTCGTTAGCACCAACAATTATTATAAGCATGCTAACAACACAATAAATTACTGATTCTGCACGAGACATCCAATTTGGACAAAATAATATCTTGTCTACTTTCAAACATACCATTCATCATACATCTTATAAAATTGTATATTGAAATTAAACTTATTATGCAGGTACGAAGACAAATTAATTTTTAATTAAAATGTAATGTTTCATGTCATTGATAGATAAAAATATAGTCCAGACGACACAATCGAATAAGTTGCTGGTCTACAGTTCCAGGCGATAATTACATCAAAATACATTAATTTATTTTAAAATTCGTTCGCCTATGGTTAGTTAGCAATAAATAATGCAGACTTTCCTAATCAATCGAGATATCACAAATCTGTAAAATATATTTAATTGAAGTCTGCTAAAATAATATTTGTCTCTTTCATAAAATCCATACTGAACAAGACGGGAAATAATTAAATAATGTCTCTATTATACTTTACTTGTGCGTGTAAATAAATGCAATTGCAAGCCCACCATGTTATCCTACTACAAACGAAAGTGAATAAATAGCTTTTGATTCGCATCTGTAAATTGAGAATTCACTGTTTTACAATGAGAATATGTCAGCATGATATCTTTGTCCTTCATTTTCTCACGAAACCTTTCGAAACACCAATTATACCTTACAGTATAGAACCATTGCTGAATAATTTAAACGCCAATCTAATGAAAGCGCAACATAACATTTTAATAGAAGAAATGAAATAACTCTTTAATAGGTTTTCAAGTACGATTTGGTCAGTATGTTTTTATTAAAACCAGAAATGTTGCGAATCCAGGACGGCATGTTGCGGGGGGAATTAATTTTAATTTCTGCTACTTCAACATCTCTAATTTAATTCAGACGAAATATTAGGTATATAATAATTATATTATGATCGCAGAAGTTGAAGTGATGATAGAGGATTTAAATTTCGATAAACGAGTAAAACCTGTTTACGAGTTATGTCATTCAAGAGCACGGAATATTAAGAGAGAATTTTAAAATATAATAAAATACTAAATTTACTTGTATTTAGAATGTAAATATTTGGATTTAGTTAATTTACTTGTTCACCACTACGGTGGAAATGAATTCAATAATTGCACAGATCTTAGTGACCGTCAATATTGGACGACTGCTCGAGATCATCTATAGTACTTCTTCATTTACGGATGTAATATTTTTGGCACCAATCAACTAAATATCATAATAACTCCACTACGTTCCGAAAGTGTGCGTCACTATAATTGTCATAACGCGGCCCTCATCTGTCCAACTAAATAGAAAAAATATATATCTATTATGTTACAACAACCATTATCGTTTTCTCTTCTATATAGTATGTTTACATAATAACCATAATATATTTTTTGATATTTTTTTTACAATAACAACTCCCGAGACCCTGTCACCATGGACAAGATAAAATATTTTATATTAACTTTTTAATATTCCACAACTATTTAGAAACATGAATTTATACTTTACAGATATTTTTTTATATTCAGAGCTTTAATACAAAGCTATGGTTTGTTTAATAAGCATTTTCTAAGTTGACTACATTAAGCATTTAAAGTGGCACTATTATATTTTTATATTTATTAAAATTATATATTTATATTTAACATAATACAATATTAATTTATATTGGAAGTGGCGAGGTAGGAATGAAAAAAATACAATTTTTTATAGTGATCCAACATTATTTTTACAGACCTCTAGTATATTAAAATACGATGTATTTTTTATTACTGCAGTGTTTAGTGGTACAGTTTCATACAAAAGAGACCCGGCATTTTAGGCTTAAGTTGTATAACTTTTTATTTTATTATCTGTAATTCATAATCTGGCGATGGTATCGATTCTGGCATGATTCTCTAAACTTAAAACTAAAGTTAAGATCAGTCTCCCTTTCATTCTGTATAGTGAATGACAAGGATATGCAGTTGTCATATTTAATTTAAGGTTTAGACAATCACTGGCATGATTGTGACAAAACATGTTTTATACAGCAAACACTCTTTATTTTGAAACTAAATTGTATACAAGTTAAGCATTTTTTAATGAAAAGTGCCGGTTCTCCTTTGTTAAACAAAAAATATGAATATATGTATTTCTAAAAATAAAATACTGATCATTTTTAAAGAACTGCGGAGATAAAAACCGTAAACCAGAATAATTGTCTGTACGATACAGTATATAATAATAAACAAAATATAATTATAAAGTTCAAGATCTCTTAGTAAGACTTATATGCATGGTTTGTTACAGCCACTTCCAATTTATATATATATATATATTTACTATACATTTTTTTACATTGGATGCCTTCAAATCTTTTCATTAAATACATATATTTTTTTATAAATAATGTTTACACTTAATCTACACAACATGGAAGGATGACATTCATTGTGCTTGTAACTTACATACTAATTTATTGAAACATCCCTTTACGACACTAGGTGGAAATAAATTAAACGTATTTACAGTGCACTAGAAGATCCTTCATTAGGATAGTGACGTGGCCAGTGCATAAACACCAGCTGACTAACTGTGAACTAGTTACATATCTTCAATTGCGTCTACGCTAAATAAAGTTGAAAATTTTCGTGTAGTCCAAAATATATTGACTATGGCGGTCAGTCAAAATCTTTGCAACTTACAGGACGCGACAATGTGCGACTTTAGTGAGATTCCGAAATTCAATAATTTATTATAACTGGTAATTTGTCCTAGTTCGGAAGTAGTAATTCCATTTTCGCGTTTTTGAGACAACGCAACACCAACATAATACATAAACACAAGTGACTCACCTCTCGTCTATATCAGGAGCAAATAACACGAAACATATCAACTTTATTCGGCGCACACGCACTTTATATAAGCGCCAACACTATTGTATGCATTAGGCAGTACCGCTTCAAGAATGGTCTCCAATATGGTTCACATTCCAAATTATTTTTCAATTTAGTTTTATTATTTTAGCTTTTTGTATTTCCTCAACAGGAAATTTGAGTTATTATTTATAATTTATAAATATTGAAGTGATAATAAAAACATAGCGATGTAATGTGTATGTGATTGAAAATGATGCGACAGTGGTAGCCTATGTAGAAGCGGGTTGGCTCAATGGAATGTACTGATTGACATTGGACTTGAGGTATAAGCGTTTAACGCAACTATCCCGTTTGGCGGTTTGGAATCACCAAATAAAATCAGATAAACGGTTACTATCCGTTCATTACACAACACGATTTTTGCATAAATACAAAGATGCAGAAAGCGTTTCGTGAAGTCGACTATTATGCTATGGCATGTATAAGTTTTGCTGCTAAAATTATCAGATATATTATTGATTCGTATACAACAGCACATTTTCTTTTTTAATAATAAATTGCAGATTTTGTACAAGGGAATAACAGAGGAATTTTTAAATAAAGTGTTCTATAGAAACTGCGGACGCCTTGAACATTTTATATAATATAAAAAAGCCTACATTCGGCGCATCTACTATTAAATGCTATCCTCTAAGCAACATATTTCACAATTAAATTGCATTTCTATACTTTGTCATTTGTACTGTGCTGTAGATACTATTTAACCGCAGAGTAATAACATAATTATAATTTTTATAGACGCCACAACAGTTTGATTTGGTCATATTAATATTAAACACATTGTAAAGTAGTGTACATTTATATTAAATAATTGAATTTATAAACATATTTTCAGTACAGACAATAAAAACTCTTTCAATAAAATAGGTCACAAGACAAAGAACAAAAAATATTTTGGCACTTCATCTCACTATTGTTATTTTTAATTTATGCAAACACGCATTGCAAAATCACTAAAGACTAAAAACACACACTGAAAAAATCTAAAGTTGAGGTATTCGAGACCGAAATGTAACGTGAGTTTAAAACTACGAATTAAAAACGTGTAACGATCAATGTAAAATTGCCATAATAAACTTGTGACACTGCTTGTGCAGAATTGATTTGAATTTGAGCATAAAGTTTTGTCATGGTGAGTAGTTTCACAAACAATGATTCCTATCAGTTCAAGCAGGGTAGATACATCACCAGAATTCCTCTAACGCGCCCGCTCAGCGAGCCAAGGTCGCAGTTTACACGCCCTCGCCGTAACGAGGGCCCCACGCACTTCTCACTTATAATAATATTAAAGCATTTTACGCACCATCAAAAATCCTAAAGTGCCGACATTGATTTCTCAGAGAAGAAGAGAGCGTTGGACAAATAAAAACGCCCAAAAACAACGCGAAGACTAAGTCGATCAATCGGAGACGGACACTCCTCACTCTCGTTCGTATAAAACTACGTAAATACACACACCTTCACACGTCTCACTGCCTCGTTCGATATACACATCGAGTTCGATCATAATTCCAATATAGGTCTACCTAATATTATATATATTACGCTAATTGCTGAGACTCGGCAACGGAGTATCGTCCTGTTTTGATCCGCATTCGACACGACGCGGCTTCCAAACAGTCACTTTGTCGCACTCCTACAGGAGATATTTTTACGAATATTTTTGAGACATAGTGTTTACTCACTGCTAGAATCAATATTTTAAAGTTTTCCTAGTGAAAGTGTCCTACTTTCATAATTGAATTTAGTCACTGCATCGGTTGGCAATTCAAATGTCGATTTAGCGCAGGGACTGTGTGACGTCATCTCCACAATAATTTTCACTCGCTCGTTCTATCAGAATTCAAATTTCGAAACTAACGTTTATCGTCACTGCTTTGACCGGAACTTCCAATTTCGAATGAGCGAGGCGACGCGCGGGCGTCGAGGTTGCGTGCGCCTCTCTACGGTCGCGGCCCTCTGGAGGGTGGGAGGCGGCGTTAGCCTGGAGCGGGGCACTCACACGAGGTCGGGGTCCGGGTCCGGGTCGGGGTCCGGGTCGCGCGTCAGGGCGGGCGTGAAGTGCAGCTCGCGCTCGGCGAGGCACAGCTGGCATCAGTCCAGCGCGCCGATACACTCGGGCTCCTCTCGCACGCACTCCTTGGGGAAGTAGCCGGACCTGTTGTCGCCCTGCCAAACGATATTAAACATTTAGGTAAATTAAAAAACAATCTGAAAAGCCAAAAAAAAACAAAAAGCAAAAACCTTCGTTGTATCATGCCACCGGTCGGTGCAACAGCATTGGTAACGCTCCTTCTTTCTCCAATAAGCTATATAGGAAATTACATAATTCTTGTGAGTTGGGCCGACAGTACCTTGTCTATGGTGCGTCCCTTCCACCACCCGCGGCTGTCGCCCTCCTTGCTGAGCACGAGCACCTTGGCGCCGGGCCGCAGCGCCAGCTGGGACGCGTCGAGGGGCCGGAAGTCGTGTACTACGGTCGCCACTACACGCCGGAACGGCCACCGCAGGTTGGAGTTCAGGCTGCGACACAATCAACCACACAATCGCTCTATAATTATATAACTAGCACCAGTAAAGAAACAAAGCTATATCGCTATTTTAGGAGTTTTTAGCAGCCAATTGCGCTGGCACCAGCCCTACAGACAAGCCAGCACTGGCTTGCCTAAGGTTAAAAAATAATGAAATCGGGAGTTTGTTAAAAAATAAATGTTTGAAGAAAATATCTACGCAACGCTTTCTTGGGGTTTAAGGGGTATGCGGGCGAAGGTTACTGGCTTGAAAAATAGATAGGCGCTCTATTCTCGCCAGCGCTGGATTAGTTTAAAATACAGTTTATACAAGGCCTATACCTAGCCAACTAACACTGGCGACCAGCGTTGGCAAAGTCAACGCTTTAGATGCGAGAATGCGTCAACATTATACACAACCTTAAACCTAAATAAAAAACACTAAACAACAACCCAATGAAATAGGGTCCCGTTATTACACTTTTGGTAAGGAACCTTAAAAAAGACATTATACTGTCGTGGACTTTTTTAAATTTATGAAGAGAAACATTCCGTCATACATGTTTTTTGCGTAACTATAACTTTTTACGCAGCGCACTGAATGGAAGTGCACAAAAGGGATATTTTATCCCGTTTTGGCGACAATTTTCATTGATGCTCCGCTCCTATTGGCAGTAGCCTTAAATTAAATTTTTCTTGATAAATGGACAAATCAACATAAAAATAATTTTGCAAATCGGACCAGTACTTTCTGAGATAAGCGCGTTCAACCAAAATAACACACAAAACCTTGCGCGAGCCGAGCGCTAAGGCTCTGTGACGTCACAGCTACCACGCGGCCAGCCGAATATTCTTTTAGTAATTTGTTCATAACTTCGTCAATATTTATCGAAGAACAAAAATTTTAACTACTGTATTTTGTGAAATCCTTAGCTCTAAAAATCTGCATTCTCAACTAAAATGGTCATGGATCCTCATTTCTACTAAACTATCAACTTACGAACTACGTACGACCTATGATCTGTTGCCAAAGCAACCGTCTATGCTAGTTTCTAACATTAAAACCTATAGAATATCAAAATTACGAACTATCTTATGAAACTAATGCGTGAATTTGCTATATAAAACTAATATCTAACCTAATAACACAAAAAAATCACTTATAGATTCACATTTCACTATCGATTATAAACGAATTGTTTATGACGTCTCACTGCACTTATGAAGTTTCGTCCTTGTTATTTCGATCGTCTCGTACATTAATAATAATTAGCAAAAATACGACATGTTAAGCATCTATCTATACTAATATTATAAATAAGAAGAGTTTGTTTGTTTGATTGAACGCGGTTCTCTCCAATCTTGTGTTCCAAGTGTTTTTGATACACATAATCTAATATATAAAATTCTCGTGTCACGGTGTGCGTAATTGAACTACTCCGAAACGGCGCAACCGATTTTCGTGAAATTTTATATGCATATTCAGTAGGTCTGAAATTCGGAAAACATCCGTTTTTCATCCCCCTAAATGTCAAGGGTGGTCCACCCTTAATTTTTTTTTTGATTTCATTTTTTTATGATACATCATACAAAAATACATACAACCCTAAATTTTCACCCTTCTACCACCAACCTCTATTTTTTTATGGCGGTACGAAGTTTGCTGGATCAGCTAGTAATTATATATTTTTCTCTTAACGCAATCAAATGAAGTTGGCTACATACCCAACAAAGTTTTCTGATAAACTGGTCTTCTCGTAGTAGGAGACGAGCTCGACTATGCTGCGGAAGAAGCGCGACTCGGAGAGGAAGTAGTGCGGCACCTGGTCTATGGGCTTCCGGCACACGCGCATGTGTTTCACCGTGTTGTCCGTCCTGCGATAATAGTTATCGTATTGGTGAAGGTCATGTAAAAAATAAGGTAGGTTAAGAGAGGCTGGATGTAGCAGATTTTCCTCTCGAATTGGAGCGCCCGTCTGGCAAAGTAACTTACACTTTAAATAAATAAATAAATATTTCCAACACTCACACCAATTAGCCTAGCCCCAAAGTAAGCACTATAAGGCTTGTGTTCCGGGATGCTAGGGTAACGGATAGAATACATATACTGTACATATATAAGTATATGTATATAAATAGATATTAAACATCTATGACTGGAGTACAAATGCTCGTATTCATTACATAAACATCTGCCCCCACCGGGATTCGAACCCGGGACCTCTCGAGTAGGCGACACCATGGGTGTATTCCGAAATATACATCAGTATACTGGCCAGTGGTAATGACGACCACGTCCGCATTATAGCGCGTAGTGCGTGTCGGTGTGGTGCGTGGGATGCGGCCACGTGCCGTCCACGCCCGCATTACATGTGTACTGTGTGTGTCGAACTGACTTGAGCGACAGCGCGTAGTGCGTGTCGGTGTGGTGCGTGGGATGCGGCCACGTGCCGTCCACGCCCGCATTACATGTGTACTGTGTGTGTCGAACTGACTTGAGCGACAGCGCGTAGTGCGTGTCGGTGTGGTGCGTGGGATGCGGCCACGTGCCGTCCACGCCCGCATTACATGTGTACTGTGTGTGTCGAACTGACTTGAGCGACAGCGCGTAGTGCGTGTCGGTGTGGTGCGTGGGATGCGGCCACGTGCCGTCCACGCCCGCATTACATGTGTACTGTGTGTGTCGAACTGACTTGAGCGACAGCGCGTAGTGCGTGTCGGTGTGGTGCGTGGGATGCGGCCACGTGCCGTCCACGCCCGCATTACATGTGTACTGTGTGTGTCGAACTGACTTGAGCGACAGCGCGTAGTGCGTGTCGGTGTGGTGCGTGGGATGCGGCCACGTGCCGTCCACGCCCGCATTACATGTGTACTGTGTGTGTCGAACTGACTTGAGCGACAGCGCGTAGTGCGTGTCGGTGTGGTGCGTGGGATGCGGCCACGTGCCGTCCACGCCCGCATTACATGTGTACTGTGTGTGTCGAACTGACTTGAGCGACAGCGCGTAGTGCGTATCGGTGTGGTGCGTGGGATGCGGCCACGTGCCGTCCACGCCCGCATTACATGTGTACTGTGTGTGTCGAACTGACTTGAGCGACAGCGCGTAGTGCGTGTCGGTGTGGTGCGTGGGATGCGGCCACGTGCCGTCCACGCCCGCATTACATGTGTACTGTGTGTGTCGAACTGACTTGAGCGACAGCGCGTAGTGCGTGTCGGTGTGGTGCGTGGGATGCGGCCACGTGCCGTCCACGCCCGCATTACATGTGTACTGTGTGTGTCGAACTGACTTGAGCGACAGCGCGTAGTGCGTATCGGTGTGGTGCGTGGGATGCGGCCACGTGCCGTCCACGCCCGCATTACATGTGTACTGTGTGTGTCGAACTGACTTGAGCGACAGCGCGTAGTGCGTATCGGTGTGGTGCGTGGGATGCGGCCACGTGCCGTCCACGCCCGCATTACATGTGTACTGTGTGTGTCGAACTGACTTGAGCGACAGCGCGTAGTGCGTGTCGGTGTCGGCGTGGTGCGTGGGATGCGGCCGCACACGCAGCAGGAACGTGCCGTCTACGCGCCGCTCTAAACGCGCCGTTGCCATATCTCGCCCCATCTCGCCCACGTACCTGAATAACGTATAACATACATAATGTTATTATATTGTTATCATCAGATCTGCTTCTGGCATCATTATTAATCTTAATTATCAAGTTATCAATTTTAGTTAAGTTTACAGAATCGTGCCATACATCAGTCTATTAATGTAACCGCTGTTAAACACAGGCCTTCTCCAGCGCCCCGATAGCGCGATGCACTCCTTGTGCGCGCGTGCGTATACTGTACGTACTGACCACATGTAGTAGTGCAGCGCGTGGTCGGGCGCGTGCTGGTGCGGCGGCAGCGGCGGCGCGGGCGCGGCACCGCCCCCGCAGCGCCCCGATAGCGCGATGCACTCCTTGTGCGCGCGTGCGTATACTGTACGTACTGACCACATGTAGTAGTGCAGCGCGTGGTCGGGCGCGTGCTGGTGCGGCGGCAGCGGCGGCGCGGGCGCGGCACCGCCCCCGCAGCGCCCCGATAGCGCGATGCACTCCTTGTGCGCGCGTGCGTATACTGTACGTACTGACCACATGTAGTAGTGCAGCGCGTGGTCGGGCGCGTGCTGGTGCGGCGGCAGCGGCGGCGCGGGCGCGGCACCGCCCCCGCAGCGCCCCGATAGCGCGATGCACTCCTTGTGCGCGCGTGCGTATACTGTACGTACTGACCACATGTAGTAGTGCAGCGCGTGGTCGGGCGCGTGCTGGTGCGGCGGCAGCGGCGGCGCGGGCGCGGCACCGCCCCCGCAGCGCCCCGATAGCGCGATGCACTCCTTGTGCGCGCGTGCGTATACTGTACGTACTGACCACATGTAGTAGTGCAGCGCGTGGTCGGGCGCGTGCTGGTGCGGCGGCAGCGGCGGCGCGGGCGCGGCACCGCCCCCGCAGCGCCCCGATAGCGCGATGCACTCCTTGTGCGCGCGTGCGTATACTGTACGTACTGACCACATGTAGTAGTGCAGCGCGTGGTCGGGCGCGTGCTGGTGCGGCGGCAGCGGCGGCGCGGGCGCGGCACCGCCCCCGCAGCGCCCCGATAGCGCGATGCACTCCTTGTGCGCGCGTGCGTATACTGTACGTACTGACCACATGTAGTAGTGCAGCGCGTGGTCGGGCGCGTGCTGGTGCGGCGGCAGCGGCGGCGCGGGCGCGGCACCGCCCCCGCAGCGCCCCGATAGCGCGATGCACTCCTTGTGCGCGCATGCGTTGCACACCGTGCACAAGTAGCCCTGCCCGCAAAATAGGTACGATTAATAACTTCTATGATAATTTTTCTTAGGTGCATACAGCAATTTCTATACATTTATTGGCACAATAGTAGTCTCTTAAGTTATTTTTCAAATGTCTATATGAGGTAAGGTAATTCAGTGTTTTATATACAATGAATTTCTTAATATAATTATAAACCTTCCATGAAAATTGATTTAACTGATAGTGAAGAATTTGTGCATACTCTTAGGACCCGTTTAGTTGTACCGAATGCACCATTTTTTTGGTTGAGCTCCCAAATCTCAGGAACTAATAGAGCGATTTGAAAACATTTTTCGTGTTAGATAGTGCTTTTATTGAGGAAGCCTTTAAGGCTATATAATATTACTCTGTGACTAATAGGAGCGGAGTATCGATGTAAAATGTTGCAAAAACGAGTAAAAATATTCCATTTGTGAGGTTCCGTTGCGAGCACTGTGTAAATGATTAAAGTTACACAAAAATTACGTATGGCGGAATTACTCCCCTTTAAACGTCCTATAAAAAATGTCCACAACATCTTTTAAGTTTGGCTCACTATAACCTTTTTCCTCAAATTAACCACAGGGGACCTTTAGTTAGGACGTAACTGTAATAGTTAGACATATGGTATCCTGGACTTTTTTGTAGATATTAATGTTCTCGATAAAACTTTGCGCTACTGTGTTACGTTATCGAAGTTTTCGTACGGAACCTTAACTTTTTTGACTACTGGGTTACGTTATCGAAGTTTTCGTACGGAACCCTAACTTTTTTGACTACTGGGTTACGTTATCGAAGTTTTCGTACGGAACCCTAACTTTTTTGACTACTGGGTTACGTTATCGAAGTTTTCGTACGGAACCCTAACTTTTTTGACTACTGGGTTACGTTATCGAAGTTTTCGTACGGAACCCTAACTTTTTTGACTACTGGGTTACGTTATCGAAGTTTTCGTACGGAACCCTAACTTTTTTGAAAATACTTTTTAGCCTATGTTTATCAGGGATAATGATAATTTTTCAAATCGGTCCAGCTGTTTCGGAGGCTATTCAACACAAACAAACAATCAAATCGTTCCTCTTTATAATTAATTTATTTATTTATTTATAACAACTACAACAAATGCTAACTAATTCTTCGCGAACTCTACATTTCCTGATAATACAATAATTTACAAAAATTTGTAAAACGGCTGCCACATGAAATGAGCAAAAATTTTGTTTTTTTTTTTGTTGCAGAAGAGTATTTTAGTATAAAAAAAAATTTACGCTAATATGTGCAATAAGTTGAAATAAGTTTAAAAACTGTACCTGAAATATCCTTCCTTTGAGAAATTTTGAGCAGTGGTGACACGTCGCCGGCTTCTCGAACGTGTGCAACACGAATTTGTGATTTGTACTTCGACATCCGGCAGGTTCTAAATTATCTCTGAAAACGGAGTCCTATGTTAGATTACATTTTTCAAAAAATAGACCTAATGAAATATTAATTATTAATTAGATCTTTTCACTGAAATACATTGAATTAAATATTTTGCGTTTTAGCCAGCGTTGCCCGACGACGTTGACGTCCCGATTTTTAAATCAAAATTAAATGTCCCGCTCGGTAGAGGCTCAATCCCGCTTTTCGGGAATAACTCGACCGTGCGTGCAGCGTACTGAGAAAGCGCGGGCGGGTGGCACAGATAAGTGTAGACTGGCCGCCTGCCCAGCGCGTAATGATGAACTCTCAAACAAAGACAACTGTTTATACTAGAGTAAATCTGATTTAAAATATCATATTTTTATTAAAATACTTTTTCTATGGATATTTATACTAGGTACCTATCTATTTATATATATAAAACTCAAAGGTGTCTGACTGACATAGTGATCTATCAACGCACAGCCCAAACCACTGGACGGATCGGGCTGAAATTTGGCATGCAGGTAGATGTTATGACGTAGGCAACCGCTAAAAAAGGATTTTGATCAATTCTAACGCCAAGGGGATAAAGTAGGGAATTAAAGTTTGTATAAAACTTTGTCAATTTTAAACCGATCGGGCTGAGACTTTGCATGCAGGTATAAGAAGAATCGTTGTGTATAATACGAGCCTGAGAACAAAAACTGTAGCCTACATTTCAGCTCTACACCGAAGCGAAGCGAGGGCGGGCCGCTAGTTATAACATAAACGTAATTTGTCACAGATTTTTTTAAAATGGCCTTCTACAACTCTGAATGCAGTTCTACTTATTATTAAAAATAAAATGATGTCTTCTTTATAGAATATCCTATTTTCAATATTTAATATTCTTTCCCTCCGTGTGACAAACCCGTTGCACATCCGGTATAAGCTTTAGGCCGCCACTAGGTTAACCCCGGCAAACCAATGACGGGCGATACTCACATGGCGTCGCGGATGGCCTTCACCCACTTGCGCTTGCAGTCGTCGGTGCGCGCGTACAGCGTATAGGTCGCGTCCTTGGTACGCCGCACGAGGTAGAAGTGGGCCGCCCAGCGGGCGTCAGGCCGCAATGTACGGCGGCCGCAGCCCTCCTCAACGCGGTACTCGGCCAGGCGGACGCCCACGCGGTACGAGTACTGGTTGTCCTGAACGACCAAGCGTAATGATTATTATCTACATTCATCATCAGCCTATTATTGTTCCCCCCCTGCTGGGGCACAGGCTTTCCTATGGATGGAATAGGGAGATCGGTCCATGACCCACCACGCGGGCTCTAATGCAGATGCAGCCGGGACCAACAGTTTAACGTGCCTTCTGACGCACGGAGGGTCTCGAGCTAGAAGATTTTTGGTCACCCATCCAATGATCGACCACTGCGAAAGTTGCTTAACAATCGCAGCCGAATGCGCTAACCAGCCGCGCCATCGAGCTCCTCGTTATCTACATTATTAAACTTAATCAGGTTTATTTTCGTAGGATACGGATGAAAAATTACAGCCATATTGTTGTTGATTGTTTGACACCCTTTTAACATGAAGAAACGCTTGGAAACTAAATTGGTAATATTAAAAAGGAGTCGTCTCATCAAAGGCATAGACATAGAAACATCAAAAGTCAAATAAAATATAGCTATATGCATAAGTTGAATGAACAGAATGGTAGTCCTGTGGTTATTCCTCAACTTCACGGTAGCATAAAAAAACTTAAATGAAAATCACATTTCTAAAACAAAGGATTTTAAATTTATACAACAAGTTTGCCGCTACCAATACCTATACAGCACAACCTCACGAACCTTGACCGGCTTGCACAGCAGCATCAGCTTGTCGAACACGAACACGTAGCGAGTGCGCAGCTTCTGGTCCTCGTGCGCCTTCACCCTGACCTCCCCGTTTAGCAGAAGCGGCCGTACGGGGCCAGCAATCCTCCACGCATTCATACAGCATAAGACAAACGAACCTTGACCGGCTTGCACAGCAGCATCAGCTTGTCGAACACGAACACGTAGCGGGTGCGCAGCTTCTGATCCTCGTGCGCCTTCACCTTGACCTCTCCGTCCATCAGAAGCGACCGTATGGGGCCAGCAATTCTCCACGCATTCATAAAGCATAAGATACACGAACCTTGACCGGCTTGCATAGCAGCATCAGCTTGTCAAAGACGAACACGTAGCGGGTGCGCAGCTTCTGGTCCTCGTGCGCTTTCACCTTGACCTCTCCGTCCATCAGAAGCGACCGTATGGGGCCAGCAATTCTCCACGCATTCATAAAGCATAAGATACACGAACCTTGACCGGCTTGCATAGCAGCATCAGCTTGTCGAACACGAACACGTAGCGGGTGCGCAGCTTCTGATCCTCGTGTGCCTTCACTTTGACCTCCCCGTTCATCAGAAGCGGCCGTACGGGGCCAGCAATCCTCCACGCATTCATACAGCATAAGACACGAATACGAACCTTGACCGGCTTGCATAGCAGCATCAGCTTGTCGAACACGAACACGTAGCGAGTGCGCAGCTTCTGGTCCTCGTGCGCCTTCACCTTGAGCTCCCCGTCCAGCAGCAGGCGGCCGTACGCGGCCAGTCCTGCGCCGCCCGCGCCTTGAGCGCCGCCCTCCCAGTCTATTATGCTCTCCTGGTACAATAGCAATTCAACAACAATTTAGATTAAGAGACTACTAGACGCAGCCACCAATCGAATCTAGAAGAAATACAGTAACACCCACTAAGCCACTTATGGCTGCGATTAGTAGCGCAATGTGCGCTTACCTGACCTTTGTAATTATTAGCCTATTAATGCTCCAACTGCTGGGGCAAAGGCCTTCCCTATTGATGGAACAGAGAGATTGGGCCATGGCCCACTACGCGGGCACAGTGCGAATGGGTGTGTGCTAACGAATGTAGATGCTGCCGGGACCAACGGCTTAACGCGCTTTCCGAAGCACATAGCTCGAGAAAGTAAACTTTTGGTCAACCATCCAATGAGCGACCACTGCGAAAATTGGTTAACTTCAACGACCGCAGCCGAACGTGCTAACCACTTGCGCCATCGAGCTTCTCAGATAAAGATCCAAAGATCCACTTACAGCAATATTGATAACTCTCTTGAGCCTATACAATTATGTCAAATTGACAACGTTTTAACATTTTTCTATGGGTTAAATTAATTTTTAGTTGAATCGATAATTTTGGAAAGATTTATCATCAGATTTCAATAACGTTACATCTCCGATCTAACCTTCCTGACCCCTTGTTATTTTCCAACTTCTTGGAGATAAACTTCAACTTAATCGTACGTGAAGTTTATGTCCAAGGAGTACGAAACGGTAATTAAATCGAAGCCCGAGGAGATAGGTGGCGCAAGTGGTTAGAGCGTTCAGTCTACGAACGTAGGAAATGAAGCAACGTTCGCAATGGCCGGTCATCGGATAAATGACCAAAAATGTATAATCTCGAGCTCCTCTATTTCTCATCATAAGTACTGAGCCCGCGCAGTGGGTCATGGCCCAAATAAGAAAGAAGGCCTACGCCCCATCAGTGAGGACATTAAAAGGTTGATGATTATGATGAAAAGCAAATCATTTAATAAATTCATGGCTCTTGTAAGGAGTAATGTCATGACCCCCCCTGGGCTGGGTACAGATGGACCAAACCCAGGGAAATTTTATATCAAGTACTTTCAATATTTAATATACCACGACTATAAGACCCCCACCCTGGCGCCAAAGGGCGGATCCCTTGATTGGTGGTGTTTCAGTGGCATTACTTTTTAACAGCAATCATCATATAAAGTGACCTTGACGACCTCCGTGGTCGAGTGGTTTGTACGCCGGGTTTCATGATGTCGCCGACTCGAGAGGTCCCGGGTTCGAATCCCGGTGGGAGCAGATGTTTGTGTGGTGAATACGAGCATTTGTACTCCAGTCATGGATGTTTAATATGTTTTTCTATATAAATATACTTATATATGTACTGTATATGTATTCTACCCGTTACCCTAGCATCCCATAACACAAGCCTTACAGTGCTTACTTTGGGGCTAGGCTAATTGGTGTGTCAAAAAAAAAAAAAACTTTTGCGAGAACGTTAGTATGAAATGAAACAAAATGAAATATTTATTCAAACTATAACAAAGACACAATGATAATAGTGATCGTTAATAACTGCATTAGTTATAAAACTGTGTCGCAGCTTTTAACGCCCACCTCCAGAAATCAATTTTTGCTACAGTAATTTTAATCATAATCCTAATTTAACATTTAAATATAAATTAAATACGTGTTTGTGTCTTATTTGTGTGTATATGTGTGGATGTGTGTGTGTATGTATTTGTGTGTATGTGTGTGTGTGCGTGTATGTGTGTGTGAGTATGTATTGCCCAAATTTACACTACAGGATCAGGTATTAGGAAGGACCCACCTGTACTTTTGAAAGTAACGTCAGCACTTCGCTGTCCCTTTTGACCTCATTGATGTATTGTGCTACGTCGACCATGGCCTCTTTCGCGCGCTCTAACCCTCGGAATTCTTCGTGGTTCTACAAAGCGAGGAACAATCATGCAGTAATTAATAAAAGGGTATTTGACAATTAAAAAAATAAAGTACCAATTGTTGCCATCTGCATTTAATATGAAAATTAGCAGAGATTTCACTATGTTTAGAGAACAAATAATTAATATTATAACTATTAACGGGATTGTTACCATGTACCTTGCCATACCTTTTTTATGAGTCTCCGATATTTCGGCACTGTTGCAAGCGCGATCACGGAGTAACTGATCACTGTTACTGATCAAGACTCATAAAAAACAAGGTACATGGTAACAAACCCGGTAATAGTTATAATGTTAGTGACCATGAAAGCTTAAAACAATAAATAATTAATAACTTTTCTAAAAGATCATTAAATAAAAATGTTATTTTTTGTTCTATTATTAACATGTGACCAAAAACGCCTGGGATTGGCGAAGACTCAACTCACGTCACACGCTAGTAAAGTTCCGGTCAAATTGACATCACATTGTATCGTTTGACGCTTTAATGACAGTCGTGTGACACGTTTTCGCGGCAACTTTTAAAATTGGATTTTTTGACTTAGTTTTATTACTGAAATACACAATACAATGATGAATATATTTTTATGGACTCCATAAAAATTAGTAAATACCTGGACTTAGTTTTCTAAAACTTATCAAGTGCCCTATTAACTAAGGGTTTTACTCAAAAAATGTGATGTACCCAATATTCGAGGAGCTCGATGGCGCAAGTGGTAAGCGCGTTTGGCTGCGATCGATGAACTTGAGCAAATTTCGCAGTGGTCGGTAATTGGATGGGTGACCAAAAATTACTATCTCGAGCTCCTCCGTGCTTCGGAAGGCACGTTAAGCCGTTGGTCCCGGCTGCATCTGCAGTCGTTAGCACCCACCAATCCGCACTGGGCCCGCGTGGTGGGTCATGGCCCAACCTCCCTATTCCATCCATAGGGAAGGCCTGTGCCCCAGCAGTGGGGACATTAATAGGCTGATGATGACCCAATATTCATCTCAAATACTCACAGGTTGTGTTTCGTGGACGAGTTTGTCTAACAATAGATGGTATTTCAGCACCCGTTGCATAGGCACGGACAGAATATCCCGCAACTGTATCCGCCCGTCGCTATGTTCTTTTTGACATTTCTGGAAATCACACAAATATTATAAAGGTGAAAGTTTGTGAGTGTGTATGTTTCTTACCTTTTTACGTCTAAACGGCTGGAGCGATTTGAATAAAATTTGGTATGGAGTTAGCTGACACCCTGGATTAACGCATAGGCTACGTTTTACTGCGGGAAAATATCCCTAATAAACCGCGGGTAATAAATACCGCGGGGCACAGCTAGTATAAAATAAGACGAATTGCAGTCTGAATCAAACATATTGCATTTCATTGGTAACTAAAGATAATTTGATATTTATTTGGAAAAAACAGTGGAAAAAATGAGGAGCTCGGTGACGCAGGTAATTAGCGCGTTCGGCCTACGATCGTGGAAGTTAAGCAACTTTTCCAACAGTCGGTCATTGGATGGGTGACCAAAATCTTATTATCTCGAGCTCCTCCGTGCTTCGGAAGGCACGTTAAGCCGTTGGTCCCGGCTGCATCTGCAGTCGTTAGTATCCACCAATCCACACTGGGAAGCGCGTGGTTCCCTATTCCAACCATAGGGAAGGCCTGTGCTCCAGCAGTGGGCACATTAATGGGTTGTGATGGTGATGGATTCCAAAAAATCAATTGACTCCCTCGAACCTGTGACTTGCTCGATAATTGTTTCCAGCAACTAAACCTCGTTGAGTAGACTCCCAAATGAAACACTTTATTTCTAGTATTTTTAAAAGAAGACTGTGCTAGCTGAATTTAGGTCACAGCTCGTTAGAACCACTCGACTCGTATGTATTTCTATGGGTATGCGCTCACTATATCAACCACGTACCGTCACCATACACGACAACGGCTAACTAGAGCCGAGGCCCGAGTCTCAGAGACGCCCTCTAGTTGATCCGACCCCCTCAGGTTCGAGTGGTCTAGAGGCTCCAGACAGAGAGGAGACTCCCTCCGTGGGGAGATGCCATCCGCCTGGAATACCTCTAGAGGCACTCGGAAATTCTCGGCTTGAGGTCCACTTAGGATCTCGCCGTCCCCAACCCGGTGACGCAGTAAAGGTCATCAGCGAACAACAGCATACACACTCAAAAATAAATGACACCACAACAAAATTGCGATAACACACTTGTGACTATTTCTAAAACTACTTAATTTTCATTTACTAGGCGGAGTCAACTACGCGGTGGTGCAGTGTTCACCCGTCGACCACCCGACGTTCATTGGTTTACAACTCGGCGTCGACCAGAGTTTGCTCTTCAAGTACGAATGGACGTCGCGCGCTCTAATGAGCTGTCACCTTAAGTATTATGCGTGATGAGAGAATGGACTGAGCGTTTCATAATTATCCAATAGTAAAGTAAAACTGAGCAGATAAGTTTGAAAGAGATAAGGTTGCTGCAGTAGTCTCCGTACAATAGGAGCCGCTCGCGCCACGCCAGGAACCCGTCCGCCAGCCACTATACTGACCGCCAGATGTTTGCTGAAGGTGTTGTCCCTGGCGTCGAGTGTCTTAAGAGTGTCCAGAGCGTGCGTGAGGTTGCTGCAGTAGTTTCCGTACAACAGGAGCCGCTTACGCCAGGAACCCATCCGCCAGCCACTATACTGACCGCCAGATGTTTGCTGAATTTATTGTCCCTGGCGTCGAGCATCTTAAGAGTGTCTTGCGCGTGCGTGAGGTTGCTGCAGTAGTCTCCGTACAATAGGAGCCGCTTACGCCAGGAACCCGTCCGCCAGCCAATATACTGACCGCCTGATGTTTGCTGAAGGTGTTGTCCCTGGCGTCGAGCGTCTTGAGCGTGTCCTGCGCATGCGTGAGGTTGCTGCAGTAGTCTCCGTACAATAGGAGCCGCTTACGCCAAGAATCCGTCCGCCAGCCACTATACTGACCGCCAGATGTTTGCTGAAGGTGTTGTCCCTGGCGTCGAGTGTCTTAAGAGTGTCCTGCGCGTGCGTGAGGTTGCTGCAGTAGTCTCCGTACAATAGAAGCCGCTCGCGCCACGCCAGGAAAACGTCGGCCAGTCGCGGGGCGCCGCTGCCCGGCACGCAAGCCTCCGTCGCTAGCTTCAATTGACGCAGCAGACCCGAGTGGATGTCGTGCAACTCCTTTAAAAACACCCCAATATACATGAGAAACTCGATGGCGCTGTGCTTTTAGCGTATTCAGACAACGATCGTAGCAATTTTACTCCGGCACTTAAAATGGCTATTCGTAATTGTAAGTGTTAATTTAAAAGTAGTATATTATCATGCTCTATTGGAAATGAAAATGAGGCCGCTGTCCAAATTACGAATTTCGCATTTGCCGGTCATAAATTGTGTGACCAAAAATTTACAATGCCGAGCTCAAATGTGTTATGGAAGGCACGTTAAGCCGTTGGTCCCGGCTGCATCTGCAGTCGTTAGAACCCATGAGATAGGCCTGTTCCTTCCAGCAGTAGGAAGATAAACTGGCTGAGATGACGACTAATTAAGATTCGAAGCCATTAGAACCCATAAGGAACGCCTGTTCCTTCCAGCAGTAGGAAGACAAACAGGCGTGGATGACGACATATAAGCCATTCAACTATTCGATGAAACTGTTATTGCTATTGCAATGACTAAGCGAGTTTACGAAAATGAATTTAGGAATTAGAAATCGTCTCACCTTTATACCGAAAAATATAACTTGCAAATCTTGTGGTTTCAAATACGGCGTCAGCGGTCTAAGAAAGTATTTGATTATTTTGCTCAGTACATCCACGTAATTGCATTCCGTGTCAACTAATTCTCTTATAACGTAATCTCTCTTCTCTAGGCTGTGCGACGACGTCGCTAGCTGTAAAATTAATAAGATTTATTTTACAACAGTCATAAAATAATAGTTCAACTAACGCGTATAATTATAAGCAATTATATAAAAAAAAAACCAAAATAAAAACACGTAAGACATTCTAAGACAAAACTCTTACTAAAAACATGTGTATCGCTAAAAGACTCCCAATTAACTAACTACAAATGAACAGTTTTATTTTTGTTGGCTACGAGAAATAACGCGTGTATGTATAATATATGAATAATTCAGAAAGTGCGCGGAAAACTTGGGGGACTTTTACTTGTTTCCTCGAGACGGAATTTCATGGCTGACGAGCTAACGGCGGCGAGACGACGCGATTAGTCCGCCCCCCCATCCATGAAGCCTTTTTTTTAGCGATTATAAAATACTAGCACTTTAATTTGTTTGAAATCTTTAGTAACGGAGAAGGTAATGACTCGATGCAAATTCAACCTGCTGCGACACGGTCGTCGGACAGCCACGTTTTGTCATTGTTAAACATTTTTAATACTATTTTAGAAATAAAATGTGCAATCTCGATTAATCAAAATCGAAACTGTGCATAATTGATCAGATTCGCCGCTATGCGGTTTATGAAAAGATGCATACTCATTAATTTACTGTTAATATAAATTAAATTAAAGGAAGGTGCTAATTTCTTTAACAAATTATTTTTCGCGTGGGTACAGTTGAAGTCGCAACGTTTGGTTACACTTTATAAAGAATGCTTTTATTATTTAGAAATAATAGCGTTTATTTGTAGTGAAAATATCTCCCCTATGTGTCGACTGTACAGATAGTCACAGCTCAAGTTACCACCGAAACTGTCAAATTTCAGTAATCGACGTTGAGCTTTACGTTGCTTGTTATAAGATTCACAATTCGAGAAAATTTTACAGTCTGTGATAACTTCATGCGTGGCCGTCTGTACCTAGGTTTTTGCACAAATGCAGTTAACAAAGTAACCCCCCGCTCAACCAAATATGACGAAATTACGTGATGATGTAGGCTGTTTTATTTTACATACTACATATGTAGTTTTGTCTAATATTTACAGGTAGCTTAGCTTATTGACCTCGAGGAGAGATATCTGGGAAAATCAACCTTATTTGAAAGAAATTACGAAAACTCAAATTCAAAAATAAAGCAGTTAGCAAACCGGTTATTTCTCATACCACACCAGAGTCTACGGCAAAGTAATGGAAAAATAAAAGTAAAAAAATCAAAGGTGCAGCGTACTGTATTGAAAGCGGGCGGGTGTGGGGCGGCGGGCGGCTGCAGCCGGGGGGCCGCCTTGACCGCGCACAGGTCGTGGTAGATCTCCTCGTCGTGGATGCGCGCGCAGTCGCTCGCGTACTCACCCACCTCGCCGGCGCCGCCGCCGCTGCGCAACCGCCGCCGTTAGACACCCGACTGACGTGCAGCCAGCGCTCTACTACGTACTAAGTGCTCGCGCGCGCAACGATCGTCTTTTGTTTACCATTTCTTTTTCTCTTCCAACAAGCCTACGTCCTCCTTCATTCCGGTCCTAACTAACCAACCTCTTTGGAATTCTGTTCAAACTATTTATGCGGTTTCTTTTATTGTTTCAACGCGCCTTAGTATTCATTCATAAACATTCGTCCATGACAGCGACCGAGCTGACTCTGTTAAAATTGAATGATTCCGACTCGTCAAGGTTATCATATCACCAAAATTCCCGCCCTAGCTAACAAAAGATCTCATCGATGCGCATGTGACCACTACACCACATAGTTCCCCGCTCAACCAACTATGACGAAATTACGTGATGATGTAGGCTGTTCTATTTTACATACTACATAAATGTAGTTTTGTCTAATATTTATAGGTAGCTTATTGACCTCGCGGAAAGATATCTGGGAATATCAACCTTATTTAAAAAAAAAATACGAAAACTCAAGTTCAAAAATAAATTTTCGTTACAGCCGGCGGATGCCGCTGTGAAGTTGTTTATAACATTAGCCATGCGTATGACCTTGTTCAAAATAAGTGGATACGGTTTACATAGAAGCAGTATTTAAATTTAGCAAACAATACACAAATCCGTTCAGCTGAGGCGTGGAAACGAATCGAAAGGATTTCAGCAACTGTTCTCTTTATTGTTTCGATTATGGTTTGTTGAGCGAGGATCGAGGTTGACTGGCGTCGGTTTTGTTGCGCACACGCATGCAGCGTACGCTTTCCAGCTACTTTAAACGCATATCAAACCTCATTGATAAATTAGAAAATATTAAATTGTAGTTTATCATTGAGGTTAAACGTAGTTTTGGTAATAAAACCTTATTTGAGCGTTGCTAACCAGAAAGCGACCAACGGGCACTCTTGAAGAAAGCGAAAATTTTCTCTATGAACTAATGTTAAAGCTTTTTTTTATAGCCATGTAGGCAAATGACTCTACCCCACCTGATGTTAAGTGGTGATAGAGTGCAAACGCGAAAATAGCTTGCACAGCAGTTATAAACTGCCACACCTTCACGCTTCTCTTAAAGGACCCCAGATTGTAGGAAAGAGGGAACACGTGCGCGGGCAAAGAATTCCACATGCGAATAGTACGAAAAAGAAGTTAGAATCTGAGTGTTTTCTCAAAAATGACCAATTGTTGCTTTCTGCTTTCACAATCATACTTTAACATTGGTCCACAGAGCTCATGCTAGCTTAAAAACGCCCGCTGGTCGCCTTTTGCTTAACACAGCTTATTTAGGTGTTTATTCTTTACATAACCCCTCGTCTATGTAAGTGGATGATTTCTGCCACGACTTGAGAAAAATATTTTTATATTTTGCATTTTAAAGGAAAAATGAAGCCTGGATATACAGTAGAACTCAAATAAAAAGAGGACAATCGGCCGGATTACACAGACCAGGGTTTAAATATTATTTTAACTTTTTGCACAAAACTAGTTTCAAAACTATAATAATAAAATGTACAACAGCAAATAACTTGAAATAAAGAGATCTACAAAGCGTGTTTTATAATAAGTATTTAAAACTATCATGCCCACTATACTCCAAGAAAAAAGCTAACTAAAGTTAATCTAGTCGCCAAATCCAAACAACGGCGCGGTTCACTGTGGTATAAAGGGTTGCCAACTCTTAAACATAACTCCATGTTTCAGAATATGACTATTTAATATAGTATATTGTATATTGAATGAAAAAGAAAAAAACAATTATAGATAAGTTTATGCAAATGAACTTAAAACCAACACGAAAATAAATATATTTAAAAGAACAAAACACAATGAAGGTTTCGACATTGCTGAGTTGCCAACCCTAGACACAATCAACCGCCAGGACACTCCAAAGTAAATGCTGTTCTTTACTCGTTTACTGATAAAGTAAAATTATGCGTAATCTTCTGAGAACTTTTCATTTAATCAGTTATATCAGCTCTTTCAATAGATTACGTAAAACAAATAACATCTTTAAATTCTTTGACAATAGCTGTTATTGTTATCTATTAGCAGTCTCCAAGACAATATAATTTATGCTTTGTTGTAAATTATATTTTGTTCTTGGCATATAAGACATCTTTATTGGCTATTCACGTTATCTACATTTGCACATATATTTTTCTGTACTCGATTATGCAAAGGACAGCATCATCATCAGATAATATTTGTTTCCAATAAAACTGAATGAATAAAATAGAATATTCATCTGGTGCCGACAGCAGTAAATAGATTGCGCGTTAACTCGTTACATAACTAATAAAAGATTTGTTTATCTTACATTCCTACTTTTTATTCCGTCTTGCATATCGACAACTCGAGGTCGAAATCAAGAATACATTATAACGTTATTTTCGCAGCAAATGTAAATCATACTTTCCATTAGAAATCTAAACGTCTCAAAGGTTTCGAACCGTTTATCGGAAACAAATAAGGTACATGTTGGTATTAGTTGAGGAAACGCCACCTCTGGCATTGCTGAAGTGAACTTGACATAGCAGAGGTCCTCGTAAATCTCCTCGACGCGGTCTTCGCAAGTGGCATTGGGAATGGTAAACTGGATCCAAGGCACCTCGGCCGGCGCCGGGTGCTCCGGGCTCTCCTGCATGCTGAACGTCGGCGCCTCGAGCGACACGCTCGCACTACCAGTTACCGGTCGCACATTATACTCATTAATATCTCTAAATAACGCCTAATGAATTTGCTTACAACAAAATAATCATTATAACAAAAAAATGCTACAATACTTACACAGATTGCAAGTCTTTGTAAATATCTTCTTCTGACTGGGTCCTGTGAGCTGAAAATGGCCTGAAAAGAGCATGCATGATCAAATGTAATGTTTTCATTGTTACATTATCTGAAAATTTTATAACTTTATGCAAAATAAATAAAACAAAAACTGTATTAAAATGAATTAAATATGAGCATAAAAGTTTCTTACTTAATATTTTTAACCAGCGCTTTAGGACACTGACTCAGTTTGGCCAGTGTGCATAGTACACGGTGGAAGTTAGACAGGTCAAATAGCATCGAAGGATCAAATAGATCTGTCTCTCGGAGTTCAAAAACTTCATGGCACGTCCTCAGGAAAACTTTTATGTTCCTCATACATAGAAACTGGGGACAAAAAAAGCTATTTAATATATTATTGAAAAGATAATTATTTTATCTTTCCTGCGGTCAGCCTAATATTAACAGGTTACTCTTCTCGCACAAACTCTCTTTGTGTGTTGAAATTTTTCTCATTGTAGCAAAATTCAAAAAATGTGTATTATTTAGTGCCCTATTTCGATTTTACTACCTTCAATAAAAACAAAAAATCTATGAAGTGTAAAAATCAATTAAAGGAGATTTTCCAGTTTTAGGTCAGAGCTAATTATCAGATAAATTAATTATCTATTAGGATCTTAAGAAATTTCATTTGCAATAAATAAATTATTCATTTCATAAATTGTTCTATTGACATAACCCTGAGAATTAATTTAATTAATTGCTATTAAACAATATCCGATATTTAAGTTACATCATCAAATGAAAATAGATATATTGGCTGTTGTACTTTTAAAGACTAAGTTTCATGATCTAACTAAGTACAAATACATCTATTTTTGGGGTTACTATAATGGGAGAAATATTTACACAATTTTAAGATAATATTAAAGTTTATCAGAAATATTGTACATATTACAAATGAGTCCTTCCTTCCTGTTAATGATAATACAATTTATTGTTAGTACAAAGCAGGAATGGGCAAAATACGACCTGCAGGCTATTCCTGGCTCTTGAATGTTGAAATCTGGCCTAAGATCATCAAACATAAAGGAATGGTTCTCACTAAACAGTATTATTTTTTCACATAATTTGTCAACAACCACCTATTTACTTTGCAGCAAACTCAGGCTTTTATTTACCCTGCTGTTGAACTGTAGGCTGCATGGGGGAATTCATAACTGTGCTATATTTTGACTTAATTTATAAATTCTATGGGGGGAGGGGTTGCAATCATAATTGGCCTGTCATAGTCGCGTCAATAAAGCTTTTTCGTCGAAACAGCTCCGATTTGGATTTTTTTTTAAGTTTTTGTTTTTTCATATCATTTAAAATCAGAAATATTTCAAAAGGGGGGGAAATAATGATTTGCATTGTTTAAACAATATGTAAATAATTTATATAAGAAAACAAGTATTTTAGGATGGTTTTCATTGAAAAAAAAATAATCGTGTATTAACTTTGGTTTTAGGAATAGTTGTTAAAAGTAGATTTGTGAGTAATCATCCTATCCTAAAAATTTATTGTGGGTGAAAAAATATATTATTATATGCGTTACGTGTATACTTTATAACGATTTTGCTCCATTTCACAAAATTTATTTTTTCTTGTTCATTATCAAATTACAATATAGAATGGGGTGTTAAAGAAAATAGGATTGCAGTGATCGCCTTGCACAAAGTGGGTATGGAGCCAACAGTTATATTCCAAACACTTCAAAAGCTTGGTATCAGCCATATGTTCGAATATCGTACTAGCAACGGATACAACAACACTTCGTCTGTCGAAGACCAGAAAAGATCTGGGCGGCTTCGTGCTGTTAGAACTACAAAGGCTGCTAAAGCCAGAACTCATCGGAACTCCATTATGAAGCAAAAAATCTTATCGCGAGAAATGAAGATTCGCGCTAGGACTCTGTCGTGCATTAGAAAGCAATACCTACAGCTCGGTGCTTATCGCCGATATACAGAACATGCCCTAAATCAATTTTTACAAATAAAGAGAGTGGATCGATCAAAACGCATTCTGTCGCGATACGCAGGTATAAGGCACAGAAATATCCTCTATACCATTGAAAAAAAAAATCCACAATTGAAGAACACTGCAATAAAAACAATGATAAGTGTACGCTTCCAGTTCTAAAGAAGCTGCTCAAGTGGCCAGCACAAAGTGGTCATCATCCTGCGTCACTGATGGTTTGGTGGGGCGTGTTTTATCAAGGAGTCACAAAACTACATTTTTGTGAAAAAGAAGTGAAAATTTCAGCCAAAGTGTATCAAGATACAGTGTTGGATCATGTTGTGAAACCTCTCATCAATACACTTTTTAAAAATATGTCGTCGACTTTCCAGCAGGATTCTGCACCTGGCTACAAGGCACGAACTACCCAAACCCTGGCTTGAAACCGACTCTATAAGAGCTGAAGACTGGCCCTCTTCTAGCCCAGATCTCAACACTTTAGACTTCAAATTATGGTCACTTTTAGAGGACATGGCCTGCTCTAAAAGACACGGCGACATTGAGTCTCTTAAAAAATGTATGGAGCAAGCAGTGGCGAAATTTCCCTTGGAAACAGTGCGTAAATCTGTAGTTTCCTGGCCAAACAGATTAGAGGCCTCTATCAAAGTTTTGAACAGTTTGCATTTATTTATTTATTAAAAGTGTATTTATTATTTGTAAAAACATCAATTTGTAATCGAAGGAAATAGTGCACAATAATATCATGGAGAAGGTATATATCATTAATTACTAAAGAATTTTAATAATACTTAAACATTGCAAGGTTTAAGGTCATATCAGATACAGGATTATTTTCTCTAATCATTACTTCAATTAATAATTGCTTCAATCGTTGTATGTTATAGAACCACGAAAAAAGTGACATAAATTCTACACAGAATATATGTTGCATTTGCCATGAAAGTGAAAATATTAATGCCACAAGTACCTACCACTTGAAGAAGATGATGGTTTTAATACACAAATGAATGATAAAAATTCATGTTCTTTTTGAAAATAATAAAATGTTATTAATTCGAGTTGATAAAACATTAGAAAGCTTAAAACCTGTTTCCTTATATAAATAATTTACATATTGTTTAGACAATACAAATAATTAAATTAAATAAAATAAAAAAATTATGATTTTAAATAATAGAAATAAAATAAAAATTAAAAAAAAAACAAATTGAAGCTGCTTCTGAGGACTTTCAAAGATTGCCTGTTTTACTGCCTCATTGATGCGACTAATAGTAAATATTGGTATAATCAGGAAAAAGTGTGCCCCTGGTATAAAATATTATTATTAGCATGTTATATACAGTGAGATCATTCTCCTCACTGAATGATATAAGATAAAAATTAACATTAAATATTTAGAAAATATGATAATTGGCAATGTTATTTGTAAGGAATGACACTATAAAATAAATATACATGTATTTACATCAAAATATAAAAGATTTACCACGCAGGTATTTTGAGAATCTTGAGAGCATAAATTAATTGAACTTTAATCAAATGTTATGGTTGATAAAGATAAAGAAAAATTTACATTTTTAAAAAAGAATAGGTAATAATTTTGATAATCATTTTTTATTAAAATAATATATCAAAGTGTAAAGTAATAAAAGAAATCAATTTATACCTAGGTGCTATTAGATTTTTCTTATGTACTATCTTAGGTGATATTAAAATGAAAGTACAGCTTATACAAGTGGTTAAAATGCTTAAGTTTTTAAATTATTTATATAATCCTTTAATAACCAATAAGTTAATATATAAAATGTTAAATTTGAGATCTTCATTCACTGTAGTTTAAATGAGTGCCTAAAAAATATCATCATGTACGTATCAGTATTCATTGACTTTAACATATGATATGAATGCCAGAACACAAACTAAGATGCTCTTAAATATCAATAGTATAGAATCACATCAAAACATTTATAATGGCATTCAGAACATGCATGCATAATTAAGTGTAGAGGGGTAACATTGAAACATTCAAATAACAGGACAACTTCTTGTGAACTTTACTGACAATATGTTATGATAGTAGGTATATTTAACAGGTAACTCAATATATTTCATGTAAAAGGAAGTCAAACAAGGCTAAGGTAAGTACCAAAATTAAATCTTTCGTAATAATTAGAATGAAGGTTGCGTTGTACACCACTTTACCTGCGCCATCTGAGGCCGCTGGTTGACGTCCTTCATATCTATGCAGCCAGGGTGTAGGGCGTTAAGTAGATTGCACAACAACACTCCATCACGCAGAGTATAAGCAAGATCATGAATAGTACTCGTTTCCCAATTCGCCTTATGGTCCGGACGCAGCAAGCCACATCTCGTAAGCCAGGACGCGCACTCGCGCCACAGTTCTTCACCTCCAGTCGCCATGTTTTACGCTCACCCCACAAAGCACATCGATAGTATTAGTTCCGAACACAGCTTTTTAATAATCAACTGGCCATTAATAAACAGGGGTTAATTGATAATTGACATACAAATTGATACAACAAACAGAGTCCAGCCAGAACAATATTTTCTTGACAACTGAATAGCTGGGTTGCCAAGATACAAGTCGATGTTTGATTAAAGGGAAAGTATTATTTTGGGTAACATGAGAAAATTACAAATAAAGTAATCGAGTATGTCTAGTAATATTAATAATACAAACACTACCAAAATAGTTTTTTTGATGTGCAACATCTCTCCTCTCGCTTTCCTGCAATTTGTGGGAGTGATTGTGAAATGGAACGGAAGTGTGTAACAGGAAGTTGCGACAGCGCGCGCTATTTGATTTGATTTGATTTTAGAATATAATGTTCAAATGGCTTATTCCTTTCGTAGTAGGTTTTTTTTTACTAATATAAAATGAGCTTTTAAATGTTACACATCATACGTGACCACTGTAAGGCTCGCTCTTTTTTTTTCTAAAAGTATTCATTTTCAGATTTTCTTGGAGGTTTTTGAGTAAGTTTCACAGTGACACTTTGCAGGGGACAGAGACAGAGCTATTTGGTAACATTGTGCCCAACTGTCATTATATTCATGATGGCAATATTTTCAGTACGGTTGTTAGGTGTATGGAAAAAACCGATTAATAGATAAAAATAAAATCAATTTTAAATGCACAAACATATCCATTGACGTACATAAAATTAAAATCGTTTATTCAGCGCAGTACACGGATAAAGAAAAATGTTTAAATTTTAATTTAAAAAATTATAATAAAGGGACATACAGAAATGAATACAACTTCACATGTTAGGTACCGATTCCAGCTCGACTCACCAAACCCTAACTTAAACCTGACAAAAGTGTATTCCTGTTTAAATTATGTATCCGAATATAAATAAAATAATAATTGTCGAATTATCGAGGACTCATAAAACACAATTTACATACATTGTAGCAATCCCGTTAATAATATAAATCACTATACCAGTGGCGTAGCATGGGGGGGGCGGAGGGTGCGGTCCGCACCGGGCGGCACTTTGCCGGGGGCGGCGCTGCGGAGGGGGCAGATAGAGAAAAAAAATTAAAATATAAAAAAAAGTTAATTTCTTTCAGTTTTTTTTTCGTCATATTTTTTTGTTGTTGTTACCAAATACCCAGATACCTATGCAGGTTCTATGCATGCGTGATGCAAGCGCAAGGTTTCTCAATAACTATTATTTAGGAATTATTGTATTACGTTTTCTCTGTAATTTTTCTAGGTGATATTGTGATAGTCTACCTTCTACTCTATGTCAAAAAATGTTAATTTCACTCTTAGGTTAGTGTTATTCAATAAAAGTACTCTTTTTACCATGCCTCAATTTTTTTATAATGGATTGCAAAAATAAGAGGGCGGCAAATTTGGAATCCGCACCGGGTGCTAGTGACCTATGCTACGCCACTGCACTATACTTATTTATCTTTGTCTTATTTTATATATTTCTGCCCTAGTATGCCAAAACACAAGCCAATGCAATGCTTACTTTGGGTTTAACTCGAGACTAATTGATGTGAGTGTGGCGGCGGTGGGTGACATTAACTCAATGTTTTAAAATTTAAGTATTAATAAGTAATTCAATAAAATACATTTAAACCAAGACTTTTCTTATGTTATTTATTGTATATGATATATTGACATAATATTTTTCATCGTTTTATTTAAGACTAGCGGCTACCCATGACTTTCTCCGCGTTAAACTTAATGCGCCATTTGAAAATCCCTCAGGAACCTGACATTTTTCCGGCATAAAAAGTATCCTATATCCAGGTCCAGTCCAGGTCATAAACTTTATGAACACTAACTTTCATCAAAATTCGTTCAGTAGTTTTTGCGTCATCGATATACAAGATTTCACATTCATAATATTAGCCACGCGGCATGTTATTATCTCGCACAGCTACTGACGCGGCCAACTAGTGCCCTCCCCCTCACTTTTGCGCACGACAGTCCTTGGACAGCATAAAAGCGTGGGTGGTACTTGATAGATCGACATAATATAATCAAAGATCTTTGGATATAGTTTAATAAAAGGCAAACATAGGAAAATTACAAGACGGAAAACAAACGCTTGACAGAACACAATATTTAAGATAAAGACTATACACCACCAACCAATCAAACACTCTTCAGCTTTATAATAAAAGTAAGTTACGTAATATAAGTGATCAGTATATAGTATGAAAAAATATTTATAATTAAAATATTTTCACCAAAATTTATTTATGAATCTTGTGTGTATTCATTTTGTAAAATTCCAAAATCGGTTTATTTTTGGTTTTATTGTCTATTTCGTTGTAGCCATGCTCTTCATAAGTTTAATTCAAATATTTTAAACAAAAAATTCGACTATTTTTCAATATCATTTGATTGTATCTTTGATATCGATCTGTATATGAGCTTTATAGCGATATTTATCGGTTACTCGATTTATATATCTTACATCCCTAGCTGTCGGAGTGACGCGTTTGAGTATGGTATAGGTATCGAACGAACGATTTTTATAAATCTAATAAAAGTAATAAGAAAGTGTAATTCTTATTGTGTTGTGAATAAACGACAGGTAAATCTAAAGTTCTTTATTTCAGTAAAACACAGAAAATATCCATCATGTTGTCTCGTAAAAATCATAAACGTTAGACACACCCATATCTGCAATTTTTACCTATTTCTTTTGCATTTGTAACTTATTTCAGTAATATTTAGGGATGTTCTTTCTGTGACTTATTCCTCTAATTAGTCAATGCTAGAGCCGTAGTTTTGGTTTTCCTGCGGAAGTCTATATTTGTCCCGTACCGTTATCCTTATTTAGATTTATTTTGGACCATTACGTCATACGTATGAGGGGGAGTCGGTACGAGTGAAACATCGGGCGGTAATAGGTATGCCGGCAACGGTTCTAACTATGTATATTATTATGTTGGTGCCGGAGTCGGCGGAGCGTGCCCGTACTTGGAATCTGGAGCACTGCTGCAGTCTTGCTTTGACGTTGTCGTATTCGACAACTTTCTATCTATTGATAAAATCCTTGATACCTAGATAGTGCTTGTTGAATACTGATTATAGTCCAGTGCAGTTTTATCGATTATTCATTAGAAGATAGTAAAAGGTCTGTTTAAAGTCTACATTAATTTTAAAGTGCATACTAATCTTGTTAGAAACCTTTCATCAGCTGATTGTCAATTTTTGTGTTTGTGGCATAAATTAGTCTACTAATGGAGGCATTTATGATAAAAGCATAATTAACAAATTATCATTTAATATTGTTTTTGGCTCTTGTTACCTAGAATAAGATTACAAAGTATCTAACCACACCCATGCTTGTAGGTATATCTATAATGAAGTCCTTTATATGTTTGTTCTAGATCAGATTACTTTAGCTATCCATTGCTTTACACAAAAGGTGAAATCATCAACCATGATAAAGATATAATGTAACATATAATTAATATAGTATTACATTTTCTATTGATTTGTTATTTTAACTACTCTGATTTTAAAAATATTGTTAGTCACAATTAACAACATGATGATGATAGTAACAATTGACACTTAATTATTTTGATATGAGTAATCAATATAAAATACATACATATATATATATATTTTAATTAACAATAATTTAGTTTTAACTTACAATGTCACTCTGAATTAACTAAGACATCTTGTGTTTCACACAAAATTGGTTTAATTATTCAACGTTAAATAATCACTTCTTCGTTTATATTATTTAAGTGATCATCAATTAAAACATATTCATTATAAATTATAATGGAGAGTTTTGGTTGAATGTTTGAGTAATTGTGGGATTGGTATTTTTTCTTCAAGCATGATGGGCACACTTTTTATGGGTCATGCCATCAGGGGGTTTCTAATACCATTAATTAAGGTTTCTCGTTAAACTATCTGTCAGTAACATATGAGTATATGTAAATGAACCTTACTTTATTGTTGTTTGAAAATTCCTATTAGATGAACAGGCTCTAATAACTTTGGGATGAGTCACAAGGTCAGGTGATGTCAGCTTCACCGTTTTGTCAAATGACCTTATGATTGTGAACAGAGTAGCTAAATATTGATTAGATAAAGAAACCTATTTTTAAATGCAGTCTTCCAACCACTTCAAACATTGAACAATTTTATAATGTTTTTAAGTTAATCATAAATTTAAAAAAAAAATATTTTCTAGGTGTTATAAAATTAAATAATCACTCAGTGATAATATGACTGACTTTATTCAATGCTTGAATAAACCATGATTATATATGCTTAATTAGCCAGTGCAGACGAGGGACTTTGAAAGCACAGGACTTTTGTTTGCTGTAGTAGATTGCTTTCAACTGCACTGGGTATGGTACATGGCAGATTAAAAATACCGCAGACAAACAGTCCCCTGAACTACCAGTGTGGATGGACCCAATATAGAATGGGCCCAGTATGTATGGACTCAGTGTGGAATGGGCCCGTTCCATCGCACAACAAACTAAAATTTTAAACCAAGTCCACTACTTCGCTGTCACCAGACACAACAAGCTGGACTTGAGAAGTCTTTGGTTGACATTTTGTCAAGATTGACGAACTTTTGTCCTTTGCGGCAAAAGTTCATTGTCTCCACAGGCCATTATATGTCTGTGAAGTTAGCCCCCCACTTTTTGAATTTTATTATTATCCAGGTTGTTCTGGGTTGTTCTATGTATTATTTGAAAAAACTAAAATTTGAAGCTGCCAGACAAAAATAACTGGTTTTCTATGGTAGCCCCCCATGTTTGGAAATTCATTATTTTTTTAGTTGTTCCAAGTTGTTCTAGTTGTTCCTAACATTGTTCCAAAGTATTGTTTGAAAAACCGCAAATTTGAAGCTGTCAGGCAAGAAAAACCGTTTTTGAGATAGCCCACCATGTTTGGAAATTCAATATTTTTTTAGTTGTTCCAAGTTGTTCTAGTTGTTCCTAACATTGTTCCAAAGTATTTTAAAAAAAAATTCTCAAATTTGAAGCTGTCAGACAAAAAAACTATGTTTTCAGATAGCCCCCCATTATTGGATATTCATTATTTTTTTAGTTGTTCCAAGTTGTTCTAGTTGTTCCTAACATTGTTCCAAAGTATTATTTGAAAAAAACTAAATTTTGAAGCTGTCAGGCAAAAAAACCTGTTATTTATAAAATAAAATGGTACTAGAGGCAATAAATAAATCAACAATAATTTTAAACAATGACGATTGTATCAGTACAACCGTGGGCTATATTGTTCCAATTTCATTTAATCATTTTGAATAAAATTAATAGTTATAAGACAAGAAAACATTACAATATAGGTTAAACTCCCTAATTGTTGGCACTTTAAGAGTAGGTTCCATGTCAGTTGGACATTAAATTACCATAAAATCACATCTAATTTTTTTTAAATTTTTAAGGTCATCACTTATGCTAAATAAATGAATGTCCTTTAGGGATAACCATAAATTAGAATTTTTGTGGAAATGATGAAGGCTTTATATTTCGTTTTTTCTAAAAAAATTGAGTGTTATCTTATTTTTATCATAACTTTTTCAATTTTGAAGCTGACATTGAAGACTGATTTTGAAGGGACCAATAATTAATTTACCATAGTTACTTCAAAATTAAAAAAGAAACATTTCTAACCGTCATTTGTCGGATAATATTTGTAGTTGATTGTAGTAAACTTTTTTCGTCTGTAGTTGCTTCAAAATTAAAAAAAAGAATCATTTTTCTCAGCCTCATATAAGGAGTTGTTTGTAGTTGATTGTAGTGAAAATTTATTAGATTGTTGTTGCTTCAAAATTGAAAAAGAAACATTTCTTGTAGCAATGTATCCATAATCGTTTGTTGATTACTAATTGATTGTAATGAACATTTTTTCCAAAGTCCAGTGCTGGGTTCACACAGCTAATGACTTCACCTCATCTAACATTAAGTAGTAGAAGTCCTGACGTGAATATTGCAATTTAGGTGTGAAAGTGTTTGTGTTGTTCTGTGTTAGATATTTGAATTGTAATTGAATTTATTTTAACAAAATAAAATTTAACTATCTTAACAGATTATTATAAGACGCATCCAGTATGGAGCAGATTCCACCCCCCAAGGAGGTGAAAATCCTCGAAACAGCAGAGGATATTCAAGAGCGTCGTGAGCAGGTATTTAAATCAGATATCCCCATATTCTAACCAAATTTTGTATCTAAATCTTATTCAAATGTTATTTATTATACATACACCAAACTATCATAAACATTCATTATCTTACATGAAATATGCAAGCCCACAACAATGATATAGGTCAATTTAATTTAATAAATTGAATTATAGGTCATTTTGAAGCACCTACACAGTTAATGTATCACTGTTCTATTTAAGGCAAAACAGCTGTATATGACTTTGTGTTACTTATTTAGTTCTTGTAAAGAAAACAAGTTATACTATAATACAGAACACATAAAGGGTAGTTATTATGAATGTACTAATTTAATTTCTCAATCAAGTAATAAAAAGTACTCTTTTAAATGTTGGTGATTTTAAGCTGTATCTGTGTAGAAATTATGTGCTGCTTTTTTTTTATAGTGATTTTAAGTTTCTTGTATTGTATTGGATATAATATTTAAGATTTATTCATATTCAGATTTATTCAGTTTTTGTAATTTAGTTAGTTACTTCAATCAAGAAAAGATCATTGGGATATATAGCTAGTTATTTCCTCATATAAACAAGATACTAAAGATATTAATTTTATTTTGGTTTGTTCAAATATAGGTCCTTAACCGCTATGAAGACTTTAAGCAAGAAGCCCGTGCAAAACGTGAGAAGCTGGAAGATTCTAGGCGCTTCCAGTACTTTAAACGTGATGCTGATGAGCTCGAATCATGGATTCAAGAGAAGCTCCAAGCTGCTAGTGATGAAAGCTACAAAGATCCTACCAACCTACAGGTAACAGTTATATGTTACAATTTATAAATGTACAAAGGTGTTCTAAAAGATTAACAAATCACAAGGGACTATTAAGCAAAGTAATTAAGAGAGGAAAGACCTCTTTAATTAATGACGATATATCAATTTGTAGTAAAATTAAATAGATACTTAATTCAATATTTAATTCATTTATCATCAAAGTTTTTCATAATAACAATGAAGTTTAATTAGTTTGTGATATACCTTAAATATGTTTCATTACTTAGGGGTTTTCTATTAAAATTAATTGAAATTCCTCTCAGGAATATTTGTAATATTTCCAGAAATATCTATACTTCTTTTTAACATCAATGATTTTTATTTTAAAAACACATTCTGAATGGGTTGTATAAAAGGCGATTTATTGAATTTTACATTATTCTTAGTGATTTTAAGTCTTTACCACAAGGATTTTTATTATATTAAAAATAAATTGTTTTTTAATAGGCCAAAATCCAAAAGCACCAGGCGTTCGAAGCGGAAGTCGCTGCTCACTCAAACGCTATCGTAGTACTGGACAATACTGGCAGCGAGATGATCTCCTCCGGGCACTTCGCGTCGGAGACCATCCGTCGGCGACTGGACGAGTTACATCGCCTCTGGGAGTTGCTGCTGTCGCGTCTAGCCGAGAAGGGAATGAAACTGCAGCAAGCTCTGGTTCTAGTGCAGTTCTTGCGCCACTGCGACGAAGTCATGTTCTGGATCCACGATAAGGTATCAGTAGCAGCAAAGAAAAAGCAGTTTGGTATAGTTTCATAAAGAAATGTGAGCAAAGGAGAGCTCTCTACTTTAGATCTTCCAACTCTAACCAACCAAAGTTTTGATATGAAAAGAACTTTTTTTTTTGCCACAGTTTAGTGATATTCTCTTAAAAAATTTGTAAGTTTCTGTATTACAATTGTTAGTTTCACATTTTGTTTATCTGATTATCTGATTCATCCAACCAAGACTATGTATGTATGCGGTCATGGTACAATAAATATACACTCTGCAATAGTGCAGAACTTAAATCATTAAATATACAAATACATTTTATGTTCCACTAACCTGTTTACAGGAAACTTTCGTATGCGCCGAAGAGTTCGGCTCCGACCTGGAGCATGTGGAGGTCCTGCAGCGCAAATTCGACGAGTTCCAGAAGGACATGGCGGCGCAGGAGTACCGCGTCACCGAGGTCAACCAGCTGGCCGAGCGGCTCGTGCTCGAGGGCCACCCCGAGCGGGAGACCATCGTCAAGAGGAAGGATGTACGTATGCCGACACATGATATAGATCCAGCAGGTCATGGCGGCGCAGGAGTACCGCGTCACCGAGGTCAACCAGCTGGCCGAGCGGCTCGTGCTCGAGGGCCATCCCGAGCGGGAGACCATCGTCAAGAGGAAGGATGTACGTATGCCGACACATGATATAGATCCAGCAGGTCATGGCGGCGCAGGAGTACCGCGTCACCGAGGTCAACCAGCTGGCCGAGCGGCTCGTGCTCGAGGGCCATCCCGAGCGGGAGACCATCGTCAAGAGGAAGGATGTACGTATGCCGACACATGATATAGATCCAGCAGGTCATGGCGGCGCAGGAGTACCGCGTCACCGAGGTCAACCAGCTGGCCGAGCGGCTCGTGCTCGAGGGCCATCCCGAGCGGGAGACCATCGTCAAGAGGAAGGATGTACGTATGCCGACACATGGTATAGTTCCAGCAGGTCATGGCGGCGCAGGAGTACCGCGTCACCGAGGTCAACCAGCTGGCCGAGCGGCTCGTGCTCGAGGGCCATCCCGAGCGGGAGACCATCGTCAAGAGGAAGGATGTACGTATGCAATAACGTTATATCAACGAGGAACTCCAGGCTTGACTGTTCTGCCAAATTAGTAATCAAATTATATATGTATTAAGTATCCTATCACATTTCCATTCACATTCTTTGCAATAATTCATACTTGTGGTAGAAAGTACTCTTTAAAACCTTTATTTACACAACACTGTTTTCAGCATGTGATATGGAATCTGATTAGATGCTAAGTTATTTTATATTACATCGAGTTTGAGTATGGCATGTATTATATGTAAAATATATACTGCCTACACATTTTAATAGAAACTTTCTGAAAGACACATTTAACACCTTTTTCCTGCTTCTATCGACAGGAGCTGAACGACGCGTGGCACCGCTTGCGCCAGATGGCACTGATGCGGCAAGAGCGTTTGTTCGGCGCTCACGAGATCCAGCGGTTCAACCGCGACGCCAACGAGACCATGGCCTGGATCTCTGAGAAGGACGTTGTCCTAGGGACAGATGACTACGGGCGAGACCTGGCCACCGTGCAGGCGCTACAGGTTGGTATATTGATAAACCATCAGACATTGTTAGATGGCGCTGATGCGGCAGGAGCGTTTGTTCGGCGCCCATGAGATCCAGCGGTTCAACTGCGACGCCAACGAGACCATGGCCTGGATCTCTGAGAAGGACGTTGTCCTAGGGACAGATGACTACGGGCGAGACCTGGCCACCGTGCAGGCGCTACAGGTCGGTATATTGATAAACCATCAGACATTGTTAGATGGCGCTGATGCGGCAGGAGCGTTTGTTCGGCGCCCACGAGATCCAGCGGTTCATCCGCGACGCCAACGAGACCATGGCCTGGATCTCTGAGAAGGACGTCGTCCTAAGAACTGATGACTACGGGCGAGACCTGGCCACCGTGCAGGCGCTACAGGTCGGTATATTGATGAACCATCAGACATTGTTAGTTGGCGCTGATGCGGCAGGAGCGTTCTATGTTGATTTAGACAAGGGAAAATAAGAGAGATTGGAGAATACGAATTAATCTCGCCTGGTGTAACAAAAATTAACTAAACTTTATGTAAAACTTTATTACCATATTTTGGTATTGACAGTAGAAATTAGTTTTCTGTTACTGCAGCTTAAACATAACTGATTGTGAGCACAGTTACGATAGCCGAAAGGTTGATATTATAGTTTATACCAAGTTTTATGTATTTAATTAGGGATGTAACGATACATAATTTTGCCGATACGATACCGATACCGATTTTTGTAGCAAATAATCGGCGATACCGATATTGATAGATAATAATTTTTCCAAAATGTGTTCTAAAGTAGCTTGTTCCTAAGATGACGCACCACTGTCGGTTTTTGAGGTAGATGGGGTGTCGTATTCCAACTCCTTTTCATGATAGCGCTTCACTTGTGACCATGTTACTTGCCGTGCAACCCTTCTGTCCGTCCCACAGTCCTCACTTCTCTGTGTGAATAACTAACTAAACAGAAGCACAAATTACTAAAGTAAAACAGGCGCGAAATATTACATTTCCCAACCAAAGCTAAGCGAACACTCGGTCGACCAGCGTGGAGGTACCCCCGCTCGCTATGTCAACGTGGCAATCTTTGGCGCGTCTTTCGTTTCGCGCGCTTTTAGAACTGTTTAATTTCGGTGGTATTATTATCGGCGATGCCGAATATCGAATCGGTATCGTTACATCCCTATATTTAAATTTTATATAATGTCTTCATTTTTTGTTTACAAAATGTGCATCAAACTTCTTAGATAAACAAAATAGGCGAAGTAAATACTGATTAATAATTGTAAAGATACAAGTTGTCTATGTAGTGTTAACAAAAAAAAATGTATTAAACAGTCGCCAGTGAAGTATTCTACTAGTTTTGTGTAACACTAGTATATGACTTGTCTCTTGGTGCAAACAAAGGGATTACATGACCGACTTTTATCAGTCTTAACTGCTCTACTTTCTTTTAACAATAAACCTATGTACAACTCGCGTTCTCATTGCAGCGCAAGCACGAAGGCATTGAACGCGATCTCGCCGCCTTAGAAGACAAAGTGTCCACTATAGACGGCGAGGCGGCGCGCCTGGCTGCCATACATGCGGACCATGCACCCGCCATACACGCCAAACGGGACGAGATCTCGGCCGCCTGGCAGAATCTGGTGCAGAAGGCCAAGGTGAGTAGATATGAAGGCGATCTAGCCGTCTTACAAGACAATGGTAGTTTTCCAATCACAGAGCATAATACGACTCAGTGGCGCACAATGCCGAATTATGCTGATGCTTAATTGGAACGTGAATTACACACATCAAAAGTGTCTAGGGATCAAGCATTTTTATGCGGATTTCTTGAGATTGAGATGTGGCTTTGTAATAAATTTATGATTTTATAAATTTATATGGATCCTTTTTGGTGCATTTCATAATTTGAATCAGGAACTGTGAATCAAATTCGAGTAAAAGATGAAAATCAGCTGTCAATATTTTCCCTATAAAAACATACAACGCATTGAAGACATTATTAGTGCTACTGTTTCCCTACTACTGATTAAAACCAACGTTATTATGGAGCGGCGACGTCATTTAAGCAGGGAAGAAATGCTCAGAGCCGTGGGAATGATAGAAGCTGGTTCCCGGCAACGTACTGTGGCTTTAGCTCTGAATACAAGTCAGAGTGTTATCAGTCGACTTTGGACACGATACCGAAGCACTGGTACCGTGGCTGAGCGCCATGGAGGACGGTATCGCTGCACCACACGGAGACAAGACCGATACATTCAAATCTTAACTCGAAGAGCTCCAACAATAACCGCCATGATGTTAGCCGTGAGGCTTCATCACTCTTCAGGGAACTTAATTAGCGACCAAACAGTCAGAAACCGCTTGCATGAAGTGAACCTTCATTCCCGAAGACCGCTACGGGTACCACCTATAGCAATGCACAATCGTAGGATTCGATATCAATGGGCTCTTGAACACAGAAATTGGGCAGAAGAACAATGGCGTTTCGTGTGCTTTTCTGATGAGTCTCGTTTTGGTATGAGACCGGATACAAGACGTATACGACACTGGAGAACCCCTGGACGCCAACAGCGATTAAAATCCTGCCAGGAAGTCCATCCTTATAGTGGTGGAACCATCATGGTATGAGATATATGATAGATATATGATGATAGAACTGAGTTGATTTGGATCAGAGGCAACCTCAACGCTCAAATTTATGCTGAGACGATTGTATCAGACGTCATCGTTCCTCTACAAGTGCAAATCGGTCCCTTATTTCAGTTAATGCATGATAATGCACGACCGCACACCGCAAGAGTTGTAAGACAGACTCTCGCCGCAGCTAACATCAATGTCCTGCCCTGGCCTGCTCAGTCGCCAGACTTGAACCCGATTGAGCATGCATGGGATATGCTACAGAGAAGAGCTCTGCCGAATATGGAGGGTATCCAGTAGCAAGAAGACCTTTTTTTGTTGTTGCAACGAACATGGGCGGCCATTCCACAGCGTGATTTAGATGAACTCATTTTGAGTATGCCAAACCGATGTTCTTGTGTTGTTAGTGTTCGCGGTAGAAATACGGATTATTAATTGTTTAAGTTACCCAATAAAATTTTAGAGAAAACTGTTATTTCAGTCTTTTTTTCGAACTTTTGTGTTAGTGGTTCAAATGTCAAAAATCCCTTTATTAGGAAAATGGCAAATTTCTTTATTAATGCAAAGGTGACTTGGTTTATCGTTACTGTGACAAACGAAAACACTTTATTTGATGAATCCTTAAAGAAAATTTTAATTAATATCAATCAGGAGAAAAGTTATTGCAAAAATATATGTTGATCCCTAGACACTTTTGATGTGTGTAGTTTTCAAATGCACCAGCAGAGTGCGCTAAATTCAGTGTTGAATAAAAAGTCAATGTTTCTACCGTCATTCATACTTATATTTATTTTTAAACACAGTCTGAATTAACTTTGATTATTTAAAAAAAAACTACAATGAAACGAAAGCTTTATTGGTATGACACACTGTATGACTAAGGAGGAGCTCGATGGCGCCAGTGATTTTGGTTGTGTGGCCAAAAATATACTTACTCGAATTCCTGCGTGCTTCAAAAGGCACAAAAGGTTAAGCCGTTGGTTTCAGCTGCATCTGCACTCGTTAGCATCCACCCATCCGCACTCACACAGTACGGGGTGTTGAGTCATGGCCTAATTTCCCTATTCCATCTGTAGGGAAGGCCTGTACCCAAACAGTGGGTACATTAATAGGCTGATGGTGACAATATAAATGTTAAATAGATTTGAAACTTACATTTTATGTTTATGGTGATGTGGTATTGACAGTATATCTTGAATACAGGAACGTCGTTCGGAACTGGAATCTTCGTACGCGCTACATCGGTTCTTGGCCGACTACCGCGACCTGGCGTCGTGGATGAGCGACATCCGCGCGCTCATCGCAGCCGACGACCTCGCCAAGGATGTGCCCGGCGCTGAAGCCTTGTTGGAGAGACATCAGGAGCATAAGGTATTGTGATTTTTATGATGTCAGTAAATATTTTGTTTTAGAGAAAATGGGAGGTTTTGACTGTCGATATTTGACAACGGGTTCTGTAGGATGCAATGCAAATTATTAACCAATTTTATTATTAATAAGCTTTCCAATATTCAAATAAATATACGTAACTTTTATTAATACAAAATAACGTATATTTATATAAAAAAAAAAAACACTTTGTGTATTGCTATTTTGACAAACCGGCATGGTAGGCTATTGGCTCAATTACACTTGGTCGTTTGTCTGTATTCGGGTACACGAAAGACATTATTCGAATTCGGGCACCCGAAACAATTTTTTTTCAAAACTACCCGAATAGGGGCGTACTCAATTCTCTTCATTTACACACTTGTTTACCCGAATTGCATTGTCAATCGTATTCGGGCTAACGACCAATCACGGAAAGTGGGACTGGAACTCTTGTAGAATAAGTAGATAATTCAAATTAGAAAAGTTTCCCGACGGGATTCATGCCCACTGTATGCGCGGTTATTAGCGGGCTCCATCTACTCCCACTGTGATTGTTTGGAGCACGCAAAGAACGCAACTATTGCGGGTGCGCTTGGAAATCGCCCCACGAGTTCTTAGGTTCAGCCTCAGAAATCAGTTCGCTTCAGGCGAATTTTTAGAACTTGTCGTGCTGAATTTAAAAAAAAAGCTAAAAAGTGGCTCCACGCAAAGTGCGGCTGGGCGAAATAAATGTGTTCAACACGACCATCCTGGGATTGGTTAGGATTTCCGTTTTACATTGTCTGACCCAATGAATGGATAGCCGAATTCATTTGCTGATATTTGATTTGTTACTATCGAAGTTAAGCTGTATGCGTTTGGAGCCATGTTTTAGCGGTCTTTGTTAGGCCCGTATTAATAGATCCATTCTCAACTTGAGAGGGATCTTGAGATGCTGTTTTGTATGGAAACAGAATCTCAAGACTCTCATAGTTGAGAGCGATCTATTAATACGGGTCTAAGGCCCGTATTATAGAAAAAATCTCAGTGATTGATCTAGTCTTGAGAATAGTTAGAAAGGGATGTCGCTATATATAGCACATAGCGACATCCCTTTCTAACTGTACTCAAGTAAAGATCAACACTTAATTGTCATTCTGTAATACGGGCCTTAGAGAGTAATGCTTCCATATCATTTCTATTTTGTTGCTTCACTTATCGATTGGATGTGTGTGGATGTATGTGTGTGTGTGTAAACAGGGCGAGATGGACGCGCGTTCTGACGTGACACGCGCATGCGTCGCGGCCGGCCGCGAGCTGGTGGAGGGGGGACACCGCGGGGCCGGCGAGGTGGAGGCTGCGCTTACAGCGCTGCAGCGGGACTCGCACGCGCTGCACGCGCTGTGGGAGCAGCGCCGCGTGCTGTACCTGCAGTGCCTCGACCTGCAGCTGTTCTACCGCGACACCGAGCAGGCCGACGCCTGGATGCACAAGCAGGAGGTGAGTGTCTGTGGGACTCGCACGCGCTGCACGCGCTGTGGGAGCAGCGCCGCGTGCTGTACCTGCAGTGCCTCGACCTGCAGCTGTTCTACCGCGACACCGAGCAGGCCGACGCCTGGATGCACAAGCAGGAGGTGAGTGTCTGTGGGACTCGCACGCGCTGCACGCGCTGTGGGAGCAGCGCCGCGTGCTGTACCTGCAGTGCCTCGACCTGCAGCTGTTCTACCGCGACACCGAGCAGGCCGACGCCTGGATGCACAAGCAGGAGGTGAGTGTCTGTGGGACTCGCACGCGCTGCACGCGCTGTGGGAGCAGCGCCGCGTGCTGTACCTGCAGTGCCTCGACCTGCAGCTGTTCTACCGCGACACCGAGCAGGCCGACGCCTGGATACACAAGCAGGAGGTGAGTGTCTGTGGGACTCGCACGCGCTGCACGCGCTGAGGGAGCAGCGCCGCGTGCTGTACCTGCAGTGCCTCGACCTGCAGCTGTTTTACCGCGACACCGAGCAGGCCGACGCCTGGATGCACAAGCAGGAGGTGAGTGTCTGTGGGCGTGTGCCGAGTTTTGTATGGATATTCGAACAGCACCACAACTAACGAGAACTAAAAATCCCATACAAAATTTCTTGACATTTGATTTCGTGCTAAGGGTATTGATCTACTCTTTAAGTTGCAGGATCACGTCGACTCTGCATAAAAAAATATATTATCTGTACTAATACTATAACAAATACTAATTTCTGCTGCTTATTAGTAAACGAAAAATAAACTAGTTACGCGACATTTTTTTTCACATCACTGAAATAGTATTTGTGATTCGATGAAAATAAACAATAAATTACGCAACTAGTCTAAACTGAATTATTCGTTTAATAATAAGTAAACAAAACCTTGAAGAAATAATTTGTAACAACAATGTATGCGTCTTAAGTCACATGAAGTAAGTGTAAATAACACTGTCAACTGTTTTCTGTTCAGGCTTTCCTAGCTAATGAGGACGTAGGTGACTCACTGGACTCAGTGGAGGCTCTCCTGAAGAAACACGAAGACTTCGAGAAGTCTCTAGCGGCGCAGGAGGAAAAGATCAAGGCACTGGATGAAGTAGCTTCCAACCTCATCGAAGGACAGCACTACGCCGCCGATGACGTCGCCCAGAGGAGAGAAATGGTCAGTTCTAAAATATTAATTTTCTTCTTTTTGCAAAATGAAGGTCGCTTCTGTGGACTCCGCCAGACTCGAGTGATTTGAATTGGTTGTAACAGTATAAATGTCCAACTCTAATGCCATTAAAATAGAAATGACGATATAATTTATCATGCCTTATGTCATTGCATTAAAAGATTTTTGAGTGGTTTCTGAGTGGATAGTGGCAATAGGATATTTGACAGTATTCAAAATAAAGTGATAATTGTTAGCATCTGTACTTATACACTTATACACACACTAGTAAACTTCCGGTCAAAGTGACATTACATTGTATCGTTCGACGTTTTAATGACAGTCGTGTGACGTCACACACCAGTGAGACGCCATATTGCCCAGAGAAACGTTTTCGCGGCAACTTGAAAATTGAGTTTTTCATTTAGTTATTTTTACTGAAATACACAAGACAATGATGAATATCTACTTTTAATGGACTCCATAAACATTAGTAAGTAACTTGAGGTCCTTTTCCAAAACTTGTCAAATACCCTATTTGGAGTTGGACAACGGAATGCCAGAGGACAGATGTTGGTAGATGCATTATTATAATTTTTTTTATAATTTTTAACCATTAATAATAAATGTGTATTATGTTTTATTGTATAGCTTCTGGAACGCCGCGCTGCATTGTTGGAAAAATCAAATCAGCGACGTGCGCTGCTCGAAGATGCGTACAAGTATCAACAGTTCGAGCGTGACTGCGACGAAACAAAAGGTATTTTTTTTTTATTGATTTTCACTTATTCGTGTAATTTAAAGGAAAAATACCATAATATTTCAATTTGAGACACTTCTATTGAATAGCTTTTGTTTACGCGTGATCAAAGCGTTATCAATTCTATTCTCTATTTGTATTTATACTGTGTGACACAGCAATCAAAATGACAAAACAGGGAGAGAAAAAGCAGCCCTTGCTGAGTTTCTTGCCGGTTCTTCTCAGTACAAGGTCTCCCGCCGTCGATTTACGTACCGATGGCGTAGCTTCTAGACATTCATATGTGCTTGTAACAACCTAAACTCAATAAATGATTTTGATTATGATTATGATTGATTATACATTCTCTATATATCGTTGGCAAGATTTTCTACATCATTAACGTAATCTTATTACGAGTTACTAAACATAAATCAAATCCAAAACATACATTAACTACTAAATGTTCCGTTGTGTAATTCAGGTTGGATAAACGAGAAGCTTAAGTTTGCCACCGACGACTCGTACCTTGACCCCACGAACCTGAATGGCAAGGTTCAGAAGCATCAGAACTTCGAGCAGGAGCTGCAGGCCAACAAGCCACGCGTCGATGATATCACTGCGTCCGGAGAGAAGCTGCTGGAGCAAGAACACTTCGCCAAACGTAATAATAATAATAATTTATTGATAGATCGACATGAACGCCATGCAGTAGTTGTTGATGTCGCTGTCCCCCATGACGACAACCTTGTAAAAGCTGAAAAAGACAAAGAAAACAAATATCTTGATTTAGCTCGCGAGATTGTTGACATGTGGGACATCGATTCAGCAATTGTTGTACCGATAATCATATCTGCCCATGGTTCGATAGCCAAGAGTCTCGATAAACACCTTAAGAGGCTCGCGTTAGGTGGTTGGGTCAAGAGTCAGATGCAGAAGGCAGTACTTCTGGACACGGCCCGTATTGTGAGGAGGTTCCTGTCTCTGGATCCTTAACCACCGGTAGCAGGGACCCTAATCTTGCTGCCGATGGGGAACTACATTTTTGTATTTTTAAATGTTATACACTGTAAAAAACTAATATTTAGAAATATAATTTTGTATGTATATTTAATAAAATAAAGGAAATAATAATAATTTATTCATAAAAGATTTGATTTACAATAGTTAGTGGCAGGAGTCCCCTTTTAAGCAAATCAATGCTTGTGCCAGGCGACTCCGCTCCTCCATTACACATCCATTTTTATGTAAATTTCACAATATTAAACAATATTTTTTTTATTCTATTTAGAACTTAGATATAAGTTTACGTAACTATTACATCAATGAAATGTTACAACTGTTTATATAAATGAATATTTCTAACGCTCACACCAATTAGCCTGTAGCCAAGCCAATTAGCCTAGCCCCAAAGTAAGCACTGTAGGCTTGTGTTATGGGATGCTAAGGTAACGGATAGAATACATATCATCAGTCTATTAATGTCCCCACTGCTGGGGCACAGGTCTACCCTATGGATGGAATAGGGAGATTTGGCCATGACCCACCACGTGGATCCATTACGGATTGGCGGGTGCTAACGACTGCAGATGCAGCCGGGACCAACGGCTTAACGTGCCTTCTGAAGCACGGACGAACACGTGGTAGAAGTTTTTTTTTGGTCACCCATCCAATGGCCGACCACTGCGAAAGTTGCTTAACTTCAACGATAGCAGCCGAACGTGCTAACTAACTGCACCATTGAGCTCCTCGGATCATATATTGATTATTACATATATAAGTATATTTATAGATATAGAAAATACATCTTAAACATCCATGGCTGAGTACAAATGCTCGTATTCATCACACAAACATCTATCCCCACCGGGATTCGAACCTCTCGGGATTTCTCGAGTTGGTGACACCATGATACCCGGCGTACATACCACTCGGCCATGGATGTCGTCAAACTGTGTAGACAAAATAACCGAACTTATCAATAAGCGACATCCATATTTTTTAGCTATACTGTAACAGCACTAGCTGTCAAAAATAAATTAACAGATGTGAAAAGCGATTCCCCGTTTAGTGGACTGTAAAGTTGTTATGTGGTTGTTCCTGCTTAATAAATTTATTTTTTAAAGTAAATAGTGTAAACGAGTTTTATCTATCATAACTAACTTCGAGCAGTATTTGCAGGCCAAGTTTGAACTGTAAAATAAAATCAGATTGGTCAATTAATATGTTTTGGTATATGAAGTGTACAATAGAATAATATTATGTTTTCCTCCAATACACAGCTCAAATTGAGTCCCGCACAAACGAGCTAGGCGGCCTGTGGGAGAAGCTTTCAGCAGCTTCGGAGCTGAAAGGCAGCAAGCTGCAGGAAGCGTCACAGCAGCAGCAGTACAATCGTGCTGTGGAAGATATCGAACTGTGGCTGTCCGAGGTGGAGGGGCAACTGCTCAGCGAGGACTACGGCAAGGTGACCACACTGGTTGAAATATTACACACTTGGCTATTCGTATTTGCTATTTGTTAACTTGACATCAGCCTGTCCTTTTCATCTATACATATAATAAAATGGTAGGAAAGTCTAAACTGTACATTAAATATTTTTTTTAAAGAATACTTTAATATAGTTTTTAGAATTTTTGTCTGTTTGTCTGTATGTATGTCTGGGATAAACTCAAAAAGTACTGCATGGATTTACTTAAAATTTGGCATGAATATTATTGCGAAGTCGGGTCAACAAATAGGCTACATATTATCACGCTATCACCTACGGGGAACGAGCAGTGAACTTTTAATTCTAACTAACTCCACGCGTACGAAGTCGCGGGCGGCCGCTAGTTCCTTATAAAACATGACTAGGACAGACCGTTGCCAAGTTAACATATAACTAATACGAATAACTAAGTGAAGTGCTTGCATAAAAAAAGCTGCCAATAAAGAATATGACGTAAGAAAATCGAAGTTATATTCTATTATAGCAATTATGTTAAAATAACGTTGCACATACATACAAAATCAGCTAATACAATTTATCTCATAGAACAGCCTCGTATGGTTCTATGTAACTTGATATAAACGAAATCGTACATTCAAAATTAAAGTATTTCGTCTCTCTCGTCTTGTCGTCTCACATAATTACATTTTCAAGAATAATAAGGTATTGTTTTATACTAGCGTTCCATCACTGAGGCGGGTATTGAGCAGTGCATTTTTCGACGAATAGGCAATTGTACAATGCTTATTTTTTTGTTATTATTATGTTAAAAGAGTGCTTAATTATGTTTTAGTGTGTTTTTATTGGTGAAGACCTGTAATTGGCTTTCTGTTGTTATTTAAGTTTTTATTATTTTTATTAATAGCTGTTGGTCTTCCAAAAAATAAATAAATAACTAACATGGTTTTCCCAGGACCTGACGAGCGTACAGAACTTACAGAAGAAGCACGCGTTGTTGGAAGCGGACGTGAGTTCGCACGCAGAACGCATCGAGGCGATCCGCTCGCAAGCTGAGCAGTTCATTGACCGCGGACACTTCGACGCTGACAATATCCGCGCTAAGAGGGTGAGATACTTATGCTTCATTACTATAAACAATATAGAAATATACTGATTAGATTATCAAAAAATATAGGACATGTATTTTTCCTTTTTTTACATATTTAAAACATTACAGAGATATTTTGATTTAAAATGTTGCACCACGCCTCGTCTTGGTGCAATTTTTACTTAGAAGTGCCCCCACTCCATCATTTTTTGATAATCTAACTGACGGACTAAATAGAATGAACTTTACTTTATCCCGTCATTATCCCTACTAGAAGAAAACAGGCAGACTAGGTACAGGCACTTTTTTGAAACATTTTTATTATCACTTTCTCACATCATAATACACATGCATGAATATTTTGGAGCATGCTACATCGTATCGTGCGAGTTAAGGGGCATACTTGCGCATGATCAAATTCCACTATATTGTGTCAAATGGGTGTAGGTGTTATTTACACGCCATCATGAATTTAACTTATTAAATACAGGCTCGCTTGGTATGATACAATAATCAGATATAAAAGTACCTCATGCAAATATATATTGTACATAATTTATGCGCTGTACACAGTTTTTAACAATAACATATTTGCGTGACCAGGATGCCCTAGTGGGACGGTATTCTGCTCTGGACAAACCCATGGCAATCCGCAAGCGGCGCCTGCTGGACTCTCTGCAGGCTCAACAGCTGTTCCGTGATCTGGACGATGAAGCAGCTTGGATCCGGGAGAAGGAACCTATCATCGCCTCTACCAACAGAGGTAGCTAATCTATTGGTTTTCTAGTTTTAAATTTGGACACTTTACTGCTTTCTATTTCAAGCAATAACAATAAATCGGATGAGTTTCAGTTTCTATATATGAATGATTATATACAGATAACAAAAAATAAAGGTATTTATCATAATAATTAAAGATTAGTTGTAAAGTATTGTTTGTTTTGGACGGCGCGACGTCTTTCAAGACGCCATGACAATCTTGAGCGTTTTACAGGGAAAAAAGAAGTTTTTTAAAATACAAAATACATATTGTTAATGTACTTTTTTATCTCAAATAAAATTATATATTTATTTTTTTGAGTAATATAAACTTCAAGGTATATTATTATTAAATCACTTTTTAAAATATAGGCAATTAGCCTATTTCGAAATATATTTGTTTCTCATGCTTTGGAACGTGAAATGGCATTTATTATTTACGAGTACTTTATGTTAATGTCTCAACAAAGAAAATAAATGAGTCGTAATTCCCCAAATAAGTAAAATTTTAACATTTTCGTATTGAAGCTATTGTACTTAGTATTTGGTCACGCATCCTGAGGACCAAGTACGAATTTTGACAGCTCCGTAATCTTATCGCGTCGTCTTAAGTTTCTATGAAAACTAAGCAGAGCCCCTACCGGATGGAAGAACAAAGCAGCTCCTTCCATACAAAATTCAGCGATCACGATACGATCTTCAAAAATGATACAATGGTACTCTTATCCACCAGGTCGCGATCTTATTGGCGTACAAAACCTGATGAAGAAGCACCAAGCCGTAATGGGGGAGATGGCACAGCACGAGGCCCGAGTGGAAGCCGTCCGAGCTGCCGGCGCAGCCCTACGCGACGCCGGACACTTCGCCGCCGACGACATCGGTGCGCGCCTGCAGCAGCTGCACCAGCAGTGGACGCAGCTGCAGGAGAAAGCGCTGCAGGTATACTCCCGTTTTTAGTGGCCCGGTTCAGGGTGTAAGTAGAGCCCTGTTCACATCAGCGAGCTCCAGGGCTGGCTGAAGAGGACAGGGAGGAGTCCCACATACCTTCTTTTTCGCTCCCCAGAGGTTGAAGGATAAGTAAGGCATTTTCCAGACACAAAAAAAAGGTATACTCCCCCTCTGAGCCCCCGCGTGGTGCTGCGGGTCGCCGTTTACTTCGCCGCAGCCGATATCGGTGCGCGCCTGCAGTAGACGCAGCTGCAGGAGAAGGCGCTGCAGGTATTCTCCTCGTCCGACTCCCGGCGTGATGCTGCGGGTCACCGGACACTTCGCCGCCGACGACATCGGTGCGCGCCTGCAGCAGCTGCACCAGCAGTGGACGCAGCTACAGGAGAAGGCGCTGCAGGTATACTCCCCGTTTGAGCCACGGCGCGACTTCAAGTTAATTTGTCTGTTGGTTTGCACAATAAGTATGCCTCTACCTAAACACACATAGCAGCTTCACCAGCACAGAACTCCAGCCAACACAAAGCCACACTTCAAAGATTCAATAGGCGATAAACCATGCACTAGTATTATTCTTGTTTCAACCTAAAATTTATATCCTCCAATTAAACTAAGGTTTCATATAAACAAGTCTGCTACGAGCCGCTTGTATATAAGAACCCTTACCCTTATGACTGTTTACAAAATAATCTCATTAAAAACTGAAATAACCGAGTTTCAGAACGTACAACTACAAAGTAATTTTTATGACACTTAATTTTTTTTGTAACCAGCGCAAACAAGACCTGGAAGACTCCTTGCAAGCGCAGCAATACTTCGCGGACGCCAACGAGGCGGAGTCGTGGATGCGAGAGAAGGAACCGATGGCAAACACCCAAGACTACGGCAAAGACGAAGACTCTTCTGAGGCACTGCTGAAGAAACACGAGGCGCTGCTGTCTGATCTCGAGGCCTTCGGGAACACCATTAAGTCTCTGCGGGAACAGGCCGACTCTTGCCGGGTGAGTAGTACTGGTGGTTTAAGACGCCATTAAAAAGGATCCGATGGCCAAAACCCAAGACCACGGCAAAGACGAGGACTCTTCCGAGGCACTGCTGTCTGATCTCGAAGCTTTCGGGAACACCATTAAGTCTCTGCGGGAACAGGCCGACTCTTGCCGGGTGAGTATCACTGGTGGTTTAAGACGCCATCAAATAGGAGTCGGCGGCCAACACCCTAGACTACGGCAATGACGAGGACACTTCCGAGGCACTGCTGAAGAAACACGAGGCGCTGCTGTCTGACCTCGAGGCCTTCGGGAACACCATTAAGTCTTTGCGTGAACAGACCGACTCTTGCCGGGTGAGTATTACTGGTGGTTTTAAACGCCATAAAATAGGAGCCGTTGGCCAACACCCAAGACTACGGCAAAGACGAGGACTCTTCCGAGGCGCTGCTGAAGAAACACGAGGCGCTGCTGTCTGACCTCGAGGCCTTCGGAAACACCATTAAGTTTGCGAGAGCAGGCCAACTTGTCGGGTGAGTATACTGGTTTAAAACGCCATCAAATGGGAGCCGATGGCCAACACCCAAGACTACGGCAAAGACGAGGACTCTTCCGAGGCAGTGCTGAAGAAACACGAGGCGCTGCTGTGTGATCTCGAGACCGTCGGAAACACCCTCAAGTCTGCGGGAGCAACTCTTGCCGGGTAAGTGTAACTGGTGGTTTTAGACTCCATTAAAAAGGAGCCGACATCACCTAAGACTACGTCAAAGATCAAGACTTCCGAGGCGCTGCTGTCTGATCTCGAAGCGTTCGGATACATCATCAAGTCTCTGAGGGAACATTTTGTTTGGTACCAAAGCTTCGTCGCGCAGCTGTGGGAGAAACAAGAGGTGTTGCCATTGGGCTGAGATTTATGCCAAAAATATTAGTTTATTTACCTTTATTTTGATAGCTAGTTAACACTTTTTTTATTACGCTGGCAAAACCCCTATTTACACTCCAACAAACGGACCTCACACCTAACCTCTCGCAAGTCTCAAGGGTGCGAAACGGAAAAGCCGTTGAGCAGTCCGCGCGGCTTACGAGCGCTTACGGCATAGTAATCGCTAAAACACCCTGCGAATACCCTCTACGCTGTTAAGTGCGGAACTAGCTAGTTAACCCTAAAAAGGAAATATGTAGAACACTCAAATAAAATTCTGTTACGGAACGTTGAAGAAATACCTGATAAAGTCGTGCTCAAATAAAATTACAAACAGAGCAGGCATATAATAATAATAAATATTTCCAACATTCACACCAATTAGCCTAGCCCCAAAGTAAGCACTGCAGGCTTATGTTATGGGATGCTTAGGTAACGGGTAGAATACATATCATCAGTCTATTAATGTCCCCACTGCTGACGGATTGCGGGTGCTAACGACTGCAGATGCAGCCGGGGCCAACGGCTTAACGTGCCTTCTGAAGCACGGATGAACTCGTGGTAGAAGTTTTTTTTGGTCACCCATCCAATGGCCGACCACTGCGAAAGTTGCTTAACTTCAACGATTGCAGCCGAACGTGCTAACTACCTGCACCATCGAGCTCCTCGGATCATATATTGATTGTTACATATATAAGTGTATTTATAGATAAAGAAAATACATATTAAACATCCATGACTGAAGTACAAATGCTCGTATTCATCACACAAACATCTGCCCTCCCCCGGGATTCGAACCGGGACTTCTCGAGTCGGCGATACTATGAAACCCGGCGTACAAACCACTCGGCCACGGAGGTCGTCAAGTGACAACAAATGACTGACATCCATGTGTTATTCCCGATACAGCAACAGGAATCTCCCGTGGTGGACGTATCGGGCAAGGAGTGCGTGATGGCATTGTACGACTACGCGGAGAAGTCACCGCGCGAGGTTTCCATGAAGCGTGGCGACGTGCTCACGCTGCTCAACTCCAATAACAAGGTGGGTGATTAGTGCAATATGTTTTCACAAGCTTCTATTATAGAAGGTATCGCAAACTTCTTCTTAATAATAATAATAATCTTTATTTGCAGAATATGGTTACAAATGGTGTTACAGAGATAAAGAGCATCCTATATTCTTACCCAATGGGGTGTGCAAATTAATTGACATGTCGAGAAAAAAAACTTATTACAATTATTCCATTCATTGAGCATCTTCTTCTTCCTATTTATTCAGTCTAGCACTTATATTAGGCAAAAGTATTCGGCTGGATTTTAGCGCCAAAATCTTGTACAGACGTGATTGTTTCGCGCTCCTTTGTTTTGTTCTAATCTGCCGTCCTCAAGCTAAAATGTGGCTAAATGTAGATATTCGGTATTCGGCCGAATATAATAAAAGCAGCCGAATAGGCCGAATACCGAATATCGACCGAATATTCGTTGCAAGTCTACTAATAATATAAAACGAAAGATGAACAGAATCATTATCCCTGCTTTAGTTACCTATTGAATAGAATACATTTGATGCTTTGGCAACAAATAGATAAATAAACTTGTCATTTGCCAATAAATAATTACATTTTTTATATTATAATAATTATTCTAGTTTTTCCGCCAAACGATTTACAATTAAGTGCCTTACTTGTCACAAAACATTGGAGTCTGCCGAAGACTGAGTTTTGAACCATACCATCTCCTTTGCCGATGGCGGTACTTTACGGAGCTGTCAAAAGTTCGTGCTTGGGCTTCTGTTTCCACTAAAATTACTTGCATCTACTTAGTGACGATTGATTATCATCACTCTAGCCCCTCCCAATCCTATCTTTCTTCCGTGTGTAGATATGTACGGGGACCTTTCTTATTATAGGAATGCAATAAAGAGGACATTTGACATATCATGTACTTCAAACTGAGAAAGCAATTAGGAGACTTCTTAAAGCAGTCGGTCGTAAAATCACAATTGTAAATACTTTGGTTACTAGAAATAATACAAGAATGCGAAATTTACTCTGTCTATAACACTTTCACACCTAAGCCGCACCAATTACGATGAATTTTGGAATCGGGATAAAACTTGGAAGTGAGTAAAATAATGTAATGGAAAATCACATACAAAGTCGCGGGCGTACACTAGTATTATATTTTTTTTATAATTAGTTTGCAAGATAAAACTAGTTTGTGAAGGTGACTCTGGTAATACCTGCGTCCTCTCAAGATAAATAAAAATATATTAATGAAACTGTTTGGAGTTACTTGTGATAAAAATAAATGTATGTTGGGGACATACATTTATTTTTATCACAAGTACATCTCATCAGTCATGCATCTCTATACCGAAAATTCATCAAAATCGTTTTAGCCATATAGGCGTGGAAGTGTAAAAGACTGAGAGTTATTTTTGCATTTATATTTTTTTTCTTCTCTAATATAGATGCCTCCCACAATCTATGAATATGGACCTAGTAAATTGGCACAGACTCTTTGTACTAAACATGTTCAGCAGATTATTTTAGTCTCCTACTCGGAATAAGTTAATGAATAATGACAACTTGTGACTCATGATGTGCTGAACCTCTAAATAGTTTTCGCGCCATAAAAGTTAAACTAAATCGCTTGAAGTACAATCGAGTCCAAGATAAATCCGTCTAAAACTAGACAGTGTTTTAATTAATATTATTCACGGCACATCTCTACTAATATGATAAAAGACATGTTTATCAATTTTTATCGCAACAAGTAACGAGCAGTCAGTACAGTAGTTATCTACTTCGCGTAACCGCGAACCTACGGCTGAAACAAAAATATAACTTTAATTTAAATAACTTTGATGCCAAGCTCCGTTATTTTAACATTGCTTTGAAAAATTTAGTGATACGTAGTGCGTTATGAGAATGGAAATATTTTTCTAAACACAGTTAATGTTTTTTTGCATTTGAATCTTTTCAACAAGGTCGTAAATATGTTTTCTATGTACGAAGGTTAAGAAAGATATACAGTGCAGACTCATCGTCAGTTATCGGCTTCAGCTATTCATTTGGACGTTAGAAAGCAAAACAATCAATGTGGAAATTAGATGAACGACGTCATTCAATGCTTATTGTGTCCGCTTCAAACCGAATATGTTTATGTAATGGTAGAAGGTAGTGATACATAGCGAGATGTTCGAGGGGAGTAGACGATTGCAGTAACATGTAGTTCGAAATTATAATGCATTGCGAATCAAAGTGTCTGTGATAATATTATTTAAGTGAAATGATAGTTGTAAGTTGGCTGTTTGTGATACTGTTTGGAAATTTGTTCAATAATAAAAGGAAAAGATGCTCTCACGTATGTATTGTACTACAAAGGTTTTGTTATTATTTTTCTTGTATTGTCTCGCAAATGTTTGAATGTCATCGTTGAAGTATTTTAAATAAAATTTGCAAATTATTTCACATCAGTTAGGCATGTTAAAAATTAGACTGTATTTAGATTCTATTTTAATTTACAATGAAACAGTTTTATTTAAGCATTTAACTGCTAGATGTCTTGTTATATAATCTTTCAAAGTTTAATACTTGTAAACGTATTCACTATACATTGTGGTTAACTTACAAAATATACATACCTTTTGCTAAGATTAAACAAGAGATACGAAAAAAATATTACATTGTAAATCTAAAGTTTTTTTTTTTGAAAAATCGACATGGACAATTAGGGCCGCGATGGTCAGTGCACCCGCATGGATAGCGGAGGGTGCGGGTTCGAGACCCGTCTACTGCCTGGTACGCGTCGAAATTTTTCTAGTAAAAAAAAACATTAGATTTACAATAGCAGCATTTTACCTGAAATAAAATGCATATTAAAATACTTACCTCACTGAAAGCTTTATATTGAGATAGCACTTCCGTTTCCCGTCGAATTACCATCAGTTTCCGTACTTTTAATCACCTTATATCCGGTCCAGTGGCGACACCTGGCAGAAGCGCGGCCATTTTTGTTTTCCTAAGTTTTGACAGCGCCATATTAACTCATTGGCTCAATTATTTCACCAGGCAGAATTTAAAGTGAAAGCTTTCAGTGAGGTAAGTATTTTAATATGCATTTTATTTCAGGTAAAATGCTGCTATTAAACTACTTGACCGTCACTGAAAGCTTTATATTGAGACCTGTTTGTTATCGCCTGGTGATCGCCACGTACATAGATATATACGCCAATGTGACAATTTATGATAAATTTAAATATTAACATTTATCAGATTATATGAAACTGTTTATAGAAACGAAAAAGCTTAAAAATGGATCAAATAACATTATTTGAATCCCGCCTTTATTTTCTTCACGCTTACGAAGCTGCTTTAACATATGTATTAGCTGATTGCTATATTTCTTTACTTAAACTTGCTTACTTAATTATATATATATTTGCTTTCTTAATGACCGGACGCTTCCTTGTGTAGCATTTATTTGTATCTTTGTTTATCACAAAAAGGCGTAGGAATGCGAGAAAAAGAAGTAAAGTTGTTCGATACTGAGCCTTACATTTTACAAGACTGCACTTTTTTCTTAAGTACCAAAATTCAGGGTCCCATTTACGATTACCAGTATTCGGTACATGTCACCAATCGGATTGTCTCTAACTACTTTCACCTGTTTTGAACCAAAACAAGGCTAAAACTAATCTTCGTCGGTACCAATACAATGATTCGGGTTAATTTGAACGAGGAACAAGTCATGTGTACCACATGCTGAACCAAATAATACGCAGCATAATTACTGTATGATGTTCAGAACAACAATTAGTATGACGAGGTATTTGAAACAGATCATTATGATTTAACGAGTACATTATTGAAGAAAAGGAAATAAGTTAACTTATAGATTCTCCAGAATAGTGGGTTACGGACAGATTCTTTAAAAACAATCGACTTTAATATATGTGTTTGCCAAGACAGGTAAGCTTAGGTAATTAGACTTATCATCCATTGGTATATCATGTAAAAACTACCGACTTATTTAAAATAATAGTACTTATTTTGAGATAAGTCACGTGTTAAAAATAAGTCTCAAAAATCGTGTCAGCTCAGATCCAAGTCCACAACCTGCGGGATTATTCCGATAAACATTCTTGTTCCTAGACCAATGCAACCACGCAAGCCAGCGTTTTCGAGCCATCTGATACAGACAGACAGAGCTGTCGCTCTTTGTAGAATATGATGAAAAGCGTAGTGCTAGCATATCTATATGATTGGAGTGGAGATTGAAGTGAAGTGGTAGAGCCGTGTTCTTCAATTATACTTCCCAAGCTTTCATATTAGATTAGATTGGCGGGAAGTGATTGCAAGGTCGATTGCAGTGAATACATAATTATTGTTAGAAGTAGGGAGTGGTTGATACAACCCCACTCAATGACAAAAATGTTGAAACCGATCAACTTCTGAAGTTTACTCTTTTACAACGAAATTCTCAGGTATAGTTTTTATATTGTTGCAGGGTTGCCGTGATAAATTATGCTATTACGAAGTTTAGACCAGATTTTATGAAATTCATTTGCCATCCTGGAATCTATAATTGATTATAATTTTTCCTTTTGTTTTTTCATTTCTTATATCAAGGTCATTTATATGTATTAGTTAATACTGAATAAAGATTAAGTTATCTATAAGATTTACACAGCTTACTTGAGGTGTGCATGTAGTATGCGTAGGGTTTAAAGTATATTTATTCCAGACAATCGTGGCAAGGTGAGAAAGCGTAAGTTTAATATTAAGAACAGTTTTCAGTATTTTTTACTAAAAATAACATAAAGTGGATAATTGCATACAATGATCTTCAAAACCTTTCAAGAATTTGGTAGATCGTGCAATCTTTCTTCAGTACATAGCACCACTTATATATCAAAATGATCATGTTGACCATCTCAGACACCTCATACACGACATTTCCAATATTGCATGTTTGCTTTTGCATTTGGTTTGCTTTTGTTATTTTCAAGGGAAAATATGTTATCATCTATCTATCTGGCAGATAGTCCTTAAATTGCAGAAAAGTTAGAATTCTTTACATTTTTATAGTGCACTGCTGCACTTGAGATTGGAGTTTGATATATATTGAATTTAGATAAACAAGCTTTTGAATGGCATGCTATACCACCAAATTTATTTAAGAATTATTTGTGGTGCTCCCAATTTACCAATTCTCCTGCACTATATTTCAAACATTAATTGTTTCGACATTCCTTTTCCTTTTGAAATTATTACAGCACGTCCTTGATAACTATATTACGGTAGAACAACCGTAGTGATCGAGTCTACACTTCACACCAATTAGCCTAGCCTCTTAATAGGCATTGAAAGGCTTGTGTTATGGGCTAACGCATAGAAATGCATAATGATGATGCATAGATTAGTATGATTTTGAATAAATATGTGTTAACAACCAAGACTTAGGCACCGATGCTCGTTTTTATCATACAATGATTTGCCCCACCGGACCTCTGAGTATGCGACACCTTAAAAACCAGTGTACATTGCACTTCACAACGGGGTACATCAACATTCGATCTTCGATCTTTCTAGTCTATTAAGAGGGTAGTTTATAACCGATACTTATGTGTGTACGCAAGCCATGAGCGGCTATGTTGCGTTGCGTTGATGTATAGATTTCCACACGATGGAAGTAATGAATTATGTCAAGCGATATTTATTATATTTTCAAATTACTTATTTTTAATGTTTCGAATCGTTTGCACTTTTACAGACCCCATGGTCATAAAAATAAATTATGAATAACGAATAGACAATATGTTAAATTATGCATAATTTGCTCCACTCGAGTGTCGTATGTTACCGGTGCTTACATAATAGTACGAACTCCATAAGCGAACATGTCCTAAGGAGAATATATATCGAGCTTCACGTAATGGAAATAATATATTATGTGTGATATGACCCCACAAGGGCGATTATAAGATTGATGAGGATATTCTTCCATCAACGATTTGTTACCGATACTTGTATGTGTAGGCCAGCCATGGAAAACATGTCCTTATTCATAAAGAGTTCCATGCGGTGGAAGCAAATTATACATAATATACCCCCGCGAGGGGCGGTCATTAGAGTTTTGGTAATATGTACCCCGGGAGGGTGGTTTGCTACCGGTACTCGTATATGTAGGAAAGGCATTAGAGGCATTTCATAAGATTTCACGTAGTGGAAACAAATTATATATAATATGCACCCCGCGAGGGTGATTTGCCACCGGTACGTGTGTAGGTACGCCATGGGAGGGCATGTCCTGACACGACTTGGGCTTCATGAGATGAAGCTTATTATGAGCTAAGCTATCACTTGCTTCTGCGTGAGTTGCTCATTAGGTTGATGAAATGTCAATCACTTAAATCCATGACAAAATATAATTATAAGTATAACTTTATATGAGAAAAACAACCTCAAAAGCTCTGAATCATTATGTGGTGATTGGATGGTGGTGCTTCATCACAGAGATCACTAACTTCTTAAGCAGTGCTTTAATTTTTTCTTTTTAGCTTTGTGCCCTCAGTAGCTGTAAAATACCTCAGAAACGATTCTGTTATCTTATCACTTTCGTTAATAAAATTAACTGAGCAGGTGCCTTCCCGCAATGATTAATTTTTATTTTAAAATATGCGTTTGCTGAAAGAAAATTATTGTCAGGAACGTGATATATCATAAATTATCATCATACTTCTTTACCTCATTGTTTGTTTCCAGGTTGATAAAGCCTGGACTATGATTATAATTTTCAATTTACATCAGCATATCATTTAAAATAAACGTTGAATGTCTTTCGAACAGAGCCTTCCTTTATCCTAGTTTAGTCACACGACTCACATGAGTATATTTATAACGTGTATTGGTCAGTAAAATGTTAGAACTTTTTATTCATAAGCCTTTTGATATTGATAGCTGGCCATGTTCAGAAAACGGCACATCGACATTACAAATACCTTATTAAGATTGTACATAGTTCACTTACCCCTCGAACAATCTTTTAATAAAAGGGCTACTTTTCTTAAGGCAGCGATGCCGCTTTCGTTATACCAGAAGACGACAAATTCAAACAATTATTACTGCAGCTGCTCGAAGAACAATTATGACTAGATCCACACATATTGCTGCTTTTGCCATTAATGCTAGTCAGTCGGCGGCTGAAATGTCAATATCGACCGATGTCCTTCACTCTAAACTGTAAAATAATTTAATTAAGTATTTTGTAAAACATTTACCAATTTACTTTTACACTTACTTATACGGAAACATTAATTGAGTACCAAGAGAAAACACTCTTAAAATAGTTTTAATTACAAACGACCAAGACGGTCGTAAAGTATTGCAAAATTTACTTTAATGTAGGTACTTTAATTTTTTAAACAAAACCGCACCTTGAAACACCGTCCAGTTTTACTCACGGCTTATTATTATTTTTAAAAACAAAGGTGTTGCACAATTTAACATATTTGTTTGAAATATCCCTTATCACAAGGGCTGCAAAAACTATCAAAAAGGATAATAATTTTACTTACGGTTCCTTCACTTTTAATACGTAAAGTACCTATTTGGAATAACACGAACGGCAAAAACCGTTAAATAAAATAGTTTTACTTACAGTTTTATCACTTAATAATAATAAAACCTTAAAAATCTCACAACGATCGCTCAGATTGAGCGCGTGTTGCTTCGACGGGAGTCAGAACGCCAATGAGTTAATATGGCGCTGTCAAAACTTAGGAAAACAAAAATGGCCGCGCTTCTGCCAGGTGTCGCCACTGGACCGGATATAAGGTGATTAAAAGTACGGAAACTGATGGTAATTCGACGGGAAACGGAAGTGCTATCTCAATATAAAGCTTTCAGTGACGGTCAAGTAGTTTAATGAAAATTTTTTTTCGTATCTCTTGTTTCGTCTTAGCAAAAAGAAAATCGTTTATTATTAATAATCTTGATCAAACAATGCGGCTCAAATAGTTGAACAATTAGAGAGAGAGACAGAGAGCGAGAAATATTTTATTGAACACACATTACAAAACAACATACAAAAAAAATTTATAGACAATTAGTGCAACTTATGCTGATTTTCACAACTTTTCTATCTCGGTTAATATCGAGATTTTGAAACTTATCTTTGTTTAAGAGTTAAACTTTCTTTCTTGGACAAACAATAAGTATGGACGCGGGATTTCCATGCATAGGACATAACGCTTATGCTATGATTAGTGTTAGTTTTCTACTAACATGGTGGTGTTCACGCAGGATTGGTGGAAAGTGGAAGTGAACGACCGACAAGGGTTCGTGCCGGCCGCGTACGTGAAGAAGATCGACGCAGGACTGTCCTCCTCGCAGCAGAACCTCGTCGACTCCAGCTCAATCGCTGCCCGACAAAACCAGGTGATTCACTTCGTTATAATCAGCTGAATTTTCCAATCACTCTAATTCTTTTATTATTATTACTCCTTTGAAGTGTAAAACTTCACTTCTTGAGGAATAATAGCCTATGTGTATAATATAAACTTATTCTATTCCTATTTCCTACGAAAGGCCGCGTTTTTTAGGTTTGGAAAAGGCATTACGCCTCGTGCCAACCGGGTGTAGCCAAATGAGGGTATCTGAAGACTGCTCCCCCCTCCCCCTCCCCTAATATAAGGCCACCTAGATCTCAATACCAAATTTCATCAAAAAGGGTTGCACATAATTTAACATAGAGTGACATTATATTTTATTATATCAGTTTCCCCTTATTTAATTACTACGACTGGTGCAAGATTTAGATTAGAAATGTGTGTTTTATATATTATTTAATTGTTAATTAAATTGATTATTAATTAAACTACCACGGGTTGCTATCACAAGAAAGGTTAACCAAAGCTATACACAATCAAGATAATGTGAATATAAAGTTTAACATTAAAAATCTCGATGATACATCGCATCAAGAAAAGTATTTCTGAATTTAACATTTTTTCTTCTATATTGGTGTCGATTCTGTCTTGATTTTGTAAACCTAAAATTACATTTGACAGAAGTGTATCCTTGTCATTCTCTATACAGAATAAATAAATAAATATTTCCAACACTCATACCAATTAGCCTAGCCCCAAAATAAGCACTGTAAGGCTTGTTTTGTGGTAACGGATAGAATACATTTATAACATACTAGCAAACCAGGCGAACTCCGTTTCGCCATCAGATGGCTTCGTTTTATGTAACATTTCGTTTGGTGATTAAAAGAAGAATTTTGTTTTTGAAATTTTTCCTGAATTTTCTTTGCTATAAACCTCACGGAGCCCGAGACCTTTCCAACGAATGCAAAACCGTGGAAATCGGTTCGTGCGTTCTGGAGTTATAGCGTCAGGAAGGAAAACCCGACTTATTTTTATATAGTAGATAGAAATACATATTAAACATCCATGACTGGAGTACAAATGCTCGTATTCATCACACAAACATCTGCCTCCACCGGGATTCGAACTCGGGACCTCTCGAGTCGGCGACACCATGAAACCCGGCGTATAAACCACTCGGCCATGGAGGTCGAGAATGAAAGATACTGATAGTAATTTTAGGTTTAGAGAATCATAGAGTTAGTACACACCTAGGGCATAATACATATTATCCATATAAACCGTCCTCTTGAATTACTCTATTGCCGATAAGTGCATTTTATAGTATTTAAAGATATACCTACATTTTTTTTTACACAGATCGAGGGCCAATACGACAATTTGCTGGCGTTGGCTCGCGAGCGGCAGAACAAACTCAACGAAACCGTGAAAGCGTACGTGCTGGTGCGAGAGGCCGCTGAACTCGCCACATGGATCAAGGACAAGGTGACATAACTCTATTACGTTCGTTATACAGAAAAATATATGTATTTATTTTATAATTGTTGGGATTTTCCAAATATATACTCTGAAATGATTCTTAATGAATATTCCCGAAGTTTGGATCTATAAAAAATCACTCAGAAGCAATTTAAAACACAATAGGGTATTTGACAAGTTTTAGAAAACGATCTCACGTTATTGACTAATGTTTATGGAGTCCGTTAAAAGTGGATATTTATCATTCTGTTGTGTATTTCAGTAAAAATAACCAAATCAAAAACTCCATCTTCAAGTTGCTGCGAAAACGTTTCTTTGGACAATATGGCATCTTACTAGTGTGTGACGTCACACGACTGTTATTAAAACGTCAAACGATACAATGTAATGTCACTTTAACCGGAAGTTTACTTGAGTGTGATGTCATTTTAGGCTCCGCCAATCCCAAGCGTTTTGAGTCACGTGAAAATAGATAAGAAAACTATTATCTTTTTCGTGAGTTTTAGTAAAGTTATGAATATTTTTTTTGTAAAAATAGTAAAATCCCCTGCCAATATTCATTCTAAACATAGATGCTAACAATTGGCACTTTATTTTTAATACTGTCAAATACCCTATTGTACATTGTTTTGAACTCCGTCTTTCTAGTAAAATCTCTTTTAGACTGATTTAGTAAAGAAGGAAGTCTACAAAATACCTCATCTAAAGTTGTCAATTTAGTTGAATATAAAAATCTTCCTATGTGATATAAAGTGAGCACTTTATAGTTCATAATGCATATATTTTAACAGTATTTGACAGCACCTGCTTACTTAATGATGTTATTTCCTTATACCAGGAGATGCACGCCCAAGTGCAGGACGTGGGCGAAGACTTAGAGCAGGTGGAGGTGATGCAGAAGAAGTTCGACGACTTCCAGAACGACCTGCGCGCCAACGAGGTGCGCCTCGCCGAGATGAACGAGATCGCCGTGCAGCTCATGACTGTCGGCCAGACGGAGGCTGCACTCAAGATCAAGACGCAGATGCAGGTGAGTTCATATGAAGTTGAACTTTTTCTAACTTTCTTAGATATAGTGTTTTTCTCTCGTGGGCAAGATGTACGAAGTAATCGTACAATAAATCAAATCATTTAGCAATAACCTAATTTTAATGCTTACCGGGCGTTTGCATACGCCGCACCGCTTCCATTATTACTTTATACTTTACAATAAATCAGTGCATTTTCAACTATCACTCAAACCGGTCATTTATTTCGTCTTCCCTAGCATACGACCTTAGCATACAGTATCTTTAGCATAGCATTCAAGTGTAAGGATTATACCCTACACAGTGTTTAAAGTCAAAATAGTTTGACACTACATAGCGCATCCTTTGGGCGTTGCGACGGGAGATCCGAATATATTAAATACCCTAGATACACCATGTCCGAAATCTATCCAAAAGGTACATTGGACGATCCACGGAGCTCCGTAAGATGATCGCGTAGTCTAAACAACATAAGGCATTATTTAAACATTCAAAATCACCTTTAAAGCAAACTGTATAAGGTCTTAATTGAAACGCATACGTCAAAGAGCTATTACATTCCCGAGATGTAAGCTCGTAAAATTTTACGACTTATTGCTATATGCGGAAACATATAGACCTTATTTGTTTAACTCTACGCGCAATTCTGAATGCCCTGTTAGCAGTATAGCAGGTACGGACCGCGAGGAAAAGAGACGGCTATATTACCGACCATGCATTTGAATATCACAAATATTTTCTATTAAATCATTTCATAGTAAGTATTAGAACATAATTTGCTTCAAATGTGGTAAATAAACTAACATTAATTAGATACCTGTCAAAAAACGACATTTTATATACTATAAGTATTTATTTCGCATAATTTCGAAAATTTTTTGCGATTTCTTATTTTGATTCAATTATACCGCAAAAAGTGGAAACTATGGAGAAAAAGAGACCGATCAAATTCTTTTCACTTAGGTAACTTACATTCTGAGGGACATTTTTGGATCCTTTAATGTATACTAGTATTCAAAGTCAAACCTGAAATATTTTTACACTGTATAACACTTTCGACTAGTCCAATTTTTATATGTTGTAACATGTTATTGCGGAGAAACTTGAGCGAGAATAATGCTATTAGATTTAAACAAAGTAATGTAACAGCATTTGCGGGTTTATGTTACAGCGTCAACATGGTTGATTAAAACAGTTCGAGCATTTTTCTGTGGCATTCAATCAGTTTACTAAGAAGTAACTTTGAATGATAGATTTAAAATAATACTGATTCTATTGTATTTAAATATTCTTTTGTGAACAGTACCCCTAGCACGAACCATTATCGCATTCGAATAGTTTGCAAACCGAAATGTCAATGTCAAATTTTGTATGGAAACTTGAACAGCAGCAGCACAAAATACGTAACGAGAACATATAACCAGTACACATTTGACAATGACATTTCGGACTCGCAAACGATACAAATTCGATATTGGTTCGTGCTATGGTACTCGTTATTTATATCTTTGACAGCATAACCTTTTCCAAATATTGTTAAGGTCCGTTAATCGGTGCATTAGCCAACTTTGTCAAAGCGAAAATTAATTAATTTAGGCAAAGATGTTTCAAAATAACTGTACAGGAATTGCGACAAAGTGTATGAAATGATATCAGTTATTTTTTTATTTATTTAATAACTTACTTTTAATCTGTCTAGTAAATATCAATTGATATTATATACAACTAATATTATGATAACGTAATTATATCAACCTTATGATGCGCAATTCATGTTTAACTTGTATATGGGTATTTAAGATCGTGATCTCATTGTTTATCTAGCGAAATGATCGTTAGTCTAAGCAAATATCACTGTCTTATATAACAGTCGACTGTTAAACTGAAAAGACTGTTAGACAGCATTGTATTTATTTATTAAATAAATTATTTCTTCTTTTTTACTTTATTCCTAGGCCATTATTAATAACTTTGTGTGTACATATATTTTACTTACAGTAATATACGTTATTTACGGGATTGTTATCATGTATCTTGTTTATAGCGAGTTTTTCCGATATTTCGGCAATTTTGCAAGCGCCATGATCACGGAGTAACTTGCTCGTTACTCGTATATTACTATAGTGTTGGTGACCATGAAAGTTTAAAACAATATATATATTTTACTATTTCAGTTATAGTCACAAATGGTTTAGGTAAAAATTGGTCTTTTGTGCCTATAGACATATGGACTGAGCGACATTTACATGACTCTGTCAATTAGCTAGAAAGATTGAATGCACGCGATCACATCATATTTCTTTCCTTATCGATCCAGTTTAATTTCACAGTTGGGCAGAAAACGCTCAGTTCATTCAAGATTCAATCTCGTTTATTCAGTCTAGTATGTTACAAGGACTTGTGAATGTCGAAAAGTTACATTGGTTCGCAAATCTACGGCGGGAGACCTTGTACTTATGTCTATGCTTGCTTTTAGCCTTATTTACCCATCATGGAAAAGAAAAACCTTTAAAACTATCTGCTTTTACGCCGTGTCCCGGCTGGGATAGGCAGATAGAATAAAGCGCCATGAGGCACGATCCGTACACACATCTTTCGCTTCGTTCCCATTTATCTACTTATTCATACACGCTCGTTGGTTTTTGCGCTTCTGACGTCATTTATATTAAAAAAATTCTCTCCTCGAATAGGAATTGAACTCGAAATGGACCTCGCTGCAACAACTGACTTCGGAACGCGCTGCTCAATTAGGGTCCGCGCACGAGGTGCAGCGCTTCCACCGCGACGTGGACGAGACCAAGGACTGGATCGCCGAGAAGGAGGCCGCTCTCGCCCCCGACGACCTCGGCAAGGACCTGCGCTCCGTGCAGACGCTGCAGCGTGAGTACGGCACACTAACGTGCTTTTTTTTTTAATAATTCATGACCATGGATAAAAGTCCTTCAGTCGTATACATAGATACAAATCATTATCTTCATTTTTTATTTACATCAGCCCCTCTAGCATGACCACCGAAACGGGATATGATAAAGCGATATATCGGCATTAACTGTCAGACTACTATGGAGTTTGACAGTAATCTGACAGTTAATGTCGATATATCGCTTTTTCATATCCCGTTTCGTTGGTCATGCTAGAGGGGCAGAATGTCGGTGTGACGCGTTCTAGTGTTTCTTGGAGTGTTTGGCACGAAATGTACCGAGTTGGTTTTTCCGATAAGCTTCTGTGAGGTAGTCAACACTACATTAAAGTTCTCACGTCCACTTGACCGGAATAGCGTATATTTTAAAGATTCGACTAATTCTTCATTTGCGCAGATGGTTGTAACACAAAATCACACCAATTTTATTTCACAATATCCACTATGAACGAATTTATGAATAAATAAAATAAAGACGCCAACCGCACTCGATGAAATCCCGCCAAAAACTCATTAACATGCGTCTGGTGTAGTGTTACTATGTCCGATTTTAATAAATCTGGAGGCGTTATAGAAAAAAACAGTAGATGTATAATAAGATCTACAAGAAAAAACAGTAGTTGCAGAAGCGTACTTTTTCCCCTAGAATTGGTAAATCAAATCAAGATTCCAGCCAGTGACGAATGTACAATAACATATTTATTTTATTATAGTTAAGGTGTTACCTACATTGTTAATGACGGAATATGCAACGCAACATGCAATTTAAAAAAGAAAACCGTTTTCTAAAAAAACAGTAGATTCATGAAGAAGAACAGGAGAAATCAGAAAAACAGGAGATCTCCTTTAAAATCTGAAGACCTGGCAACCCTGGTCTGGTGTCAGCTTTGCATTGATATATATGGAACAGACTGAAAGTCATCGCGCGTATCTGCATCCGTTGCTGGATGACAAATGCATTCAATTTGACCGTTTTTAATGTAGCTGATTACACGTGCGCTGACGTTTAGTCCGAAACTATAAAATGATTTCCAGCATAAGTTAGTAGTCCACAATAAGCCATTATTGGTGTTTCCTGTAAAATTAGCTCGAAACTGGAGTCACCGATTCTACAAAGTAAATGAAGTGCTTTCTTCGCACGTGTTTCAATCCGCCTTTGTCCAGTATTTTAGCATAATCATAATAGTCAATCATAATCAAAATCATTTATTCATATTAGGCTGTTACAAGCACATATGAATGTCTAGAAGCTACGCCATCGGTTCGTAAATCTACGGCGGGAGACCTTGTACTGAGAAGAACCGGCAAGAAACTCAGCAAGGCCTGTTTTTCTCCCTGTTTTATCATTTATAGAGTAGTCAAGTTAAAAAATTACTTAGATGATTCATAAAGTCACCTTTCATTACATAATGTGAAATTATACATTAACTAGCAAACCAGTGAACCAAATGTTCACCAAAACCTGATTTCTCGAAAACCGGAAGTGCTACGTTACTCAAATCCGGTTTGTAGTCTTATCAGACTATTCTTAACTTATAACTTAAATGTTCTCTTTATCTATCTCTTACGGTTTGGCCGCTGCAACAGCACCACGGACAGACGGACTCGTCTAATAGATAAGAGATTGTTCCCCTGCATTTTGTTTGCTGTGTCACACAGTATAAATACAAATTTATTGTTGTGCAGGTAAGCATGAAGGCCTGGAGCGCGATTTAGCCGCGCTCGGCGACAAGATCCGCCAGCTAGACGAGACCGCTAACCGCCTCATGGCCACGCATGGAGACTCCGCCGACGCCACCTACAGCAAGCAGCGGGAGATCAACGACGCCTGGCAGCGGCTGCAGGCGCGGGCCAACGCGCGCAAGGAGAAGCTGCTCGACTCTTACGATCTGCAGCGGTAATTGTTATTTCTCGAACACACACCATTAGCCTAGCCCCAAAGTAAGCACTAAAAATCTCGTTCTTTTGGTAGATTCCTGTCAGACTACCGCGACCTGATGGCTTGGATCAACAGCATGATGGCACTGGTCAGTTCAGACGAGCTCGCCACTGACGTCACTGGTGCCGAAGCCCTGCTAGAGCGTCACCAGGTAATGCTGCAAACTTGCTGAATTCACTTTAATGAAACTATTGTGCCACACAGTTTTTAAAGGAAACATAAAAATTATAATTTGTCAAGTGCATAAATGAATCTTTAAAAACTTCAACAGTTAGCAAATCTAATCAACAATCATACCCCAATATCCCGATGCATTTTATCTGATTTATCCCCTAGTATATTATTATTTTTTGAATTGATTGCAACGAAGTATACCTTTAGATTTTTATTTACATCATCAAGCCAAATAAAGCAAAGGACACGAGATGACATTGGATTTGATATAAGTAACACGAGGTGACTGTTCTAGACCCAGCGCTTGGAGATAGACGCGCGGTACGGCATAATGCCGCAGGTCAGACGCATTCATTGCACGCATGTGTGCTCCCAGCCTAACTTTCGTTTTAACATCCCTCTGCAACTGTTAATAAGGTCCAGTATTGCTTGCGAATACCCCTAGAAAAACAATTTAAACTGAACTAGAAAAAATATCTTCAGATTAAAGATGAAGCAGTTTAATGTTCAATAAACAATATAATAAATATAGTTGTACATTTTTCTGTTGCGTTTTCTTAATTTGACCTTATTTAAGTTGTGGATGGAACACACTTACACAGTATGCAATGAACAGATACAATTCACACTTCTATCGATGTGCGTGCTATGTAGGCATTCTTCTAATTCCATAATCGGACACCAGTTAGTATTAAAATTGTTGACGGTGGGCTTAGATGTGTTGCCTAACACTAAATATTAGTTCACGTGGTTTCTATTAACATTTAATTTAATTTAAACCAATCCAATGTTTCATGGTGCAATATTAAATACAACTCAACTAAATGTCGTGACTTTTATTTGGCCACCAAGTTGTGAGGTCTTTGTTTTTGCGCAGCGTGTTTGTATTTCCACTTTGATTTTTTCTCATTCTCTGTGTGATGTTGTCTCCAGTGTTTTTATTTGTTTACCTTGTTATTTTTGTGTGTGTTTGTCAATTGTTGTACTTTCCTTTTATCTCAATTAATAAGTTAAACCTTTCGTACATTATACTTAAAAACAATACGCCTAGGTATATTGCGCCGTCGATGAATCGCCAATGTAGTTATTTAATTAATTAAATAATATGTAGTTTAACAGCGTATTCGACACCATATTTTTGCAGCAATATATTAATGTAGACTTTTAGTTTAGATTATAAATTCCCTCATAATTAGTCCTTTCAATAAACTCTACTGCATTGTTACAAGTATCTTTATAAAATTATGTATTTTTATTATTAAAAAAAATATATCAATCAATGAAAAAAAACAAACCTCACTTAGTGATCATAATATGAGATGAAATTCGTGAATCCACCACTAAAATGAATAAATCATTAATGTTAAATTACATACTGCTTTTGATGTTAATTAATAATAATTTAGTAAATATTTTCATGGTACCTTGCAGACAGTTTAGATAAATAGTAGATTTGGGGGCGTCCATAAATTACGTGAGATGTTTTTTTGAATTTTCTGTCCCCCCCCCCCCCCACCTGGTGAGATGTCGTGAGATTTTATTCAACCCCCTACCCCCTTCCCCCAATCTCACGTGAGATTTACCGAAATGTGGGTTTTCTTACGTAAACGCGTTGGATTGTTATTGTAAAAACATTTACAAGAATAAACAAAGCAAGTTTGAACCTGTCCGTGTGTCGCTGCCACTCAGCTCGTGCGCTCTCGTTCATCGAGTCGCACGATCGGCTGACAGTGGCGCTAAAACAAAGGGCCATACTGTACCGTAAATTCAGATTAGATTGAGCTATTTGGTATAAAACAAATATGGTGGTTTGACAGTCAGTAGATCTATGACGTCGAAGTATGAATGAAATTATTTTCCTTCGAACAAATTAGTGAATGATCTTAATCGTATTACAATTAAGCTTAAGATTAAATCTTAGGCATGTACAATCTTGATTAAATGGACCAAAATAGTATATTTTTTTTTGTTTCAATCGGAAAAAAAATTGCGTGATATTTGCCGAGACTCCCCTCTCTCCTACGTAAGTTTAGATGAGATTTGACGCGAACCCATCCCCCCCTTAAACATCTCACTTAATTTATGGACGCCCCGTTTCCAGAGCTTTTCTTAATCAAACAACGAACTTGTCGTGTCGATACTGTCTGTCCTTCTTATAGAAATCGCGTAGTATAGTCCATACTGACATAAGTTTTAATATGTAGGAACATCGTACGGAGATGGACGCCCGCGCGGGCACGTTCCAAGCGCTGGAGTTGTTCGGACAGCAGCTGCTGCAGGGAGGCCACTACGCTAGCGTCGACATACAGGAGAAGCTCAACACCATGGGCGACGCGCGCCAGGACCTCGAGAAGTCAGTACTGCCATAATGAAATGAAATATTTACATACTTTATTTATAGCGACCGCCCGGGGTTTCGTCCGCGTTAACTTTGGTTTTTATAGAATCCCACAGGATCCTAACATTTTCCGGGATAAAAAGTATCCTATGTCTCAATTCAGGTAAAGTATATGCGTACCAACTTTCATGCAAATCTGTTCATTAGTTTTAGCGTGATTGAGTTACAAACATCCAAACTTTCACATTTATAATAAATAAATAAATAAAATAAATATTTCCAACACTCACACCAATTAGCCTAGCCCCAAAGTAAGCACTGTAAAGGCTTGTGTTATGGGATACTAGGGTAACGGATAGAATACATATATTGTACATATATAAGTATATTTATATGAAATACATATTAAACATCCATGACTGGAGTACAAATGCTCGTATTCATCACACAAACATCTGCCCCCACCGGGATTCGAACCCGGGACCTCTCGAGTCGGCGACGCCATGAAACCCGGCGTATAAACCACTCGGCCACGGAGGTCGTCTATAATATAAGTAGGATGACTTATTGAAAGCTCTTTATAACTAACTGTCCAATATCTTTCCTACCACCCATTCAGGACATGTTTTAGCTTGTGCGAAGAATAGACGTAAGAAACTCATCAGCATTTAACAACAATACACAAATACCCTTTCATTATGTATTAGATGCGTAATTTTTGTTTATATCATCTCCTTCGAATCTTCTCAAAAAAAAAATCTTTAATTGTGGTTTACTACCATAACGATATCATCGTTAAATTTAGTGTTTCTGTGAATTTCACAGTGAATTAATATTTTTCCGGGATTAAAATAAATTAAAAGTATCCAATGGTGATAGGGACCAAATTTCGTCCAAATCAGTTGTGCCTTTTGTACAGCATTGAGTAACAAACATATAATATTTCATATATTTATGGGTTATAATTATACATAATTAGTAGTATTATAACTTTAAAGTCTATCTTAATGGTCGACTGGTTTGTGTGTTTAGGGCGTGGGTAGCACGACGCGTAAAGTTGGACCAGAATCTGGAGCTGCAGCTGTTCTACCGCGACTGCGAACAGGCGGAGGGTTGGATGGCGGCGCGAGAGGCTTTCCTGCAGCCCCCCGAGCAGCCCGACCAGCCCGACCACGCGCCCGACAATGTCGAGCAACTCATCAAGAAGCACGAGGACTTCGACAAGGCGATCAACGCGCACGTTAGTACTATACTTCTTCCTGCAGCCCGACAACGTCGAGCAACTCATCAAGAAGCATGAGGACTTTGACAAGGCGATCAACGCGCACATTAGTACTGACTCACGTCACCGTATTTGCAGCAGGCGGAGGGCTGGATGGCGGCGCGCAAACCTTCCATCTTTATCCTTAAAGATATTTATATTTTATTTAATGAATCAAATTACATGTATATTATACAGCTTAATTTTAACATTGTTTTGCTTAGACTATTTACAATCATTCTGCTAAGAATATTCAAAGAATTATTTGTTTACAAACGATTAATTATAGTTTTGATCTTTCAAAAAAAATATTTGGCGCGAAGAACAATAAAAGCTTATGATTTATCGATAACATTTTACTTACTATATAGTATTTCTAAACAATGGTGATTTTTTCATAACATCAGGAGGAGAAGATAGCGCAGCTGCAAACGTTAGCAGACCAACTGATCGCGTCGGAGCACTACGCGGCCGCGCCCATCGACGACAAGCGGCGCCAGGTGCTCGACCGCTGGCGGCACCTCAAGGACGCGCTCATCGAGAAACGGTCCAGGTATATACCCGCCCTGTGAACATTATACGGGCTGCATACATAGCCAGCTGCAGTCGTCAGCAGACCAGCTGATCGCGTTGGAGCACCTCAAGGACGCGCTCATCGAGAAACGGTCCAGGTATATACCCGCCCTGTGAACATTATAGGGACTGCATAGATAGCCAGCTGCAGTCGTCAGCAGACCAGCTGATCGCGTCGGAGCACCTCAAGGACGCGCTCATCGAGAAACGGTCCAGGTATATACCCGCCCTGTGAACATTATAGGGACTGCATACATAGCCAGCTGCAGATGTCAGCACCAGCTGATCGCGTCGGAGCACCTCAAGGACGCGCTCATCGAGAAACGGTCCAGGTATATACCCGCCCTGTGAACATTATACGGGCTGCATACATAGCCAGCTGCAGTCGTCAGCAGACCAGCTGATCGCGTCGGAGCACCTCAAGGACGCGCTCATCGAGAAACGGTCCAGGTATATACCCGCCCTGTGAACATTATACGGGCTGCATACATAGCCAGCTGCAGTCGTCAGCAGACCAGCTGATCGCGTCGGAGCACCTCAAGGACGCGCTCATCGAGAAACGGTCCAGGTATATACCTCCCCTGTGAACATTATACGGGCTGCATACATAGCCAGCTGCAGTCGTCAGCAGACCAGCTGATCGCGTCGGAGCACCTCAAGGACGCGCTCATCGAGAAACGGTCCAGGTATATACCTCCCCTGTGTACATTATACGGGCTGCATACATTGCCAATGCAGTCGTCAGCAGACCAGCTGATCGCGTCGGAGCACCTCAAGGACGCGCTCATCGAGAAACGGTCCAGGTATATACCTCCCCTGTGAACATTATACGGGCTGCATACATAGCCAGCTGCAGTCGTCAGCAGACCAGCTGATCGCGTCGGAGCACCTCAAGGACGAGCTCATGTAGAAACGATCCAGGTATATACCCGCCCTGTGAAAATTATACGGGCTGTATACATAGCCAGCTGCAGTCGTCAGCAGACCAGCTGATCGCGTCGGAGCACCTCAAGGATGCGCTCATCGAGAAACGGTCCAGGTATATACCCGCCCTGTGAACATTATAGGGGCTGCATACATAGCCAGCTGTAGATGTTAGCACCAGCTGATCGCGTCGAAGCACCTCAAGGATGCGCTTATCGAGAAACGGTCCAGGTATATACCCGTCCTGTGTATGTCATACATTCTTCGTGGTTAGGTATATTTACCGTGTAATTAAATATATCATTTTCATTATTAAGGTTGGGAGACGAACAGACTCTGCAGCAGTTCTCTCGCGACGCCGACGAGATGGAAAACTGGATCGCAGAGAAGCTGCAACTCGCAACAGAAGAAAGCTACAAGGTATTGATTACTTTTATAATCAATTGATCCCCGGATGATGATAAACCCGTTGGAAAATTTGTTTTATTTAGAAAGCAGAGACCTCAAAAGTACACATACCTATTATCTGCCGTAAATCGTTGTTCGAAAATATTTTACACATTATTTTTGAAACTTAGAATTGCATGTGGAGAAATATTGTACTTTATTCTCCTATAGGGTTTAACGAACGTCTTCGTCTCCGCTATTAAGTATACCATACTATATTTCTCAATATGTTTTCATGAAAAATATAATCTTCCACATTAGAAAACTTCGACTACAGTTAAACCTAGCTTACGTACGATACTGTCACTTGTTTTCTTATCAAGAAGATAGGTACAGCGTTAGGTTTAAATAAAGAGTAACCTTAGTCCCCCATCCTGTAATAAGCTGTTTTTTTTCTTGTGATCGAGTGCTATGAGTTATCCCCTAATACAAGTACAATACTTAAAAGGGAATACTCAACAACATGTTTATATGGAACTTGTAAGCATTAAAGATTTTTTTCATTTTTCATTTCATTATGTACGCCAGGTTTCAAGGTTTCGCCTACTCGTGAAGTGCCGGGTTCGAATCCCGGTGGGGCAAATGTTAGTATGATGAATACGAGCATTTGTACCTAAGTCATGGATGTTTCTATGTATTTGAACATAAAAATATAATTATATGTGTATCAGTATATATGTATTCTATCCGTTACCCTTGCATCCCTTAACAGAAGCCTTACAGTGCTTAGATTGGGGCTGGGCTAATTGGTGTGAGTCTGTGAAAATATTAATTTATTTAAAATAAGACGGGGACAGCGTTAGGTTTAAACCAAGACTAACCTTAATTCCCTTTACTGTAATAAGGCGATAATTTTTTTCTCATGAATTTTGTAAATGTCTGCAATAGGACCCCGCAAACATCCAGTCGAAACATCAGAAGCACCAGGCTTTCGAAGCCGAGCTCGCTGCCAACGCCGAGCGAATCCAGTCTGTACTGGCCATGGGCGGCAACCTTGTGCAGCGCGGACAATGCAGCGGTAGCGAAAACGCCGTACAGGTACATAAAGTTATCTTTTATAATTAAGAGCCCTTTCACTTTTTTTTCCAAAAAATCGTAATTTTTGAGCGACTCGTTTATCCCCTTAGAAAAGATTGTGACTTTTTTTAATAGAAGTAAACATTACATGTATTCTTCCTATTGTAAGTTAATGTAGAATATTTGCTGATCGTTCTTCTGCAGCTAGTTTACGGAAAAAACGATAATATGCACAACTTCAAACGCCTAAATCTCTTAATAATATTCAATAAATTAGATCAAATCAATTACTACGACATCAAAATATGTTTTTGTTGTAACATAATGTATTAGAATTTTGATTTTCCATCTCATTAATTATCAAAAATACATCTAACCTCCGTGAGTTTTCCCAAAAAATAATGCAGGTTTACCTCTTATTTTGATATTGAATTAAATATGATTACTATCAAAAACTTTCATAAAACTAATCTACTAGGTGCATTTGATATTAGATCTCTTTTTGATTTTGTATCATAAAGGTAACCAAGGTGTTGGTCCACAAAGCTTACAAAAGCCACATATATGCAATTTGACGTTCAGATAGTGGTACGCACGCTTTTCATAGCAATATATATTTGTCTCTTCTCTGGTCTATATGTAAAAATAAAATGACTGTAGGAATTGACTTTATCTCCCTTATTAACGAGTAATAAACTTGAGACTAGCTACGCCATGCTTTGTTCATTTCAATCAAATGCCATTTGTCATTCCATTCAATGAACGGGGACAAAACATGGAGTAACTTATCCAATCTTATCTTAAGCGCGTTCGGCTGCGATCGCTGAAGTTAAGCAACTTTCGCAGTGGTCGGTCATTGGATGGGTGACCGAAAATTCACTATCTCGAACTCCTTCGTACTTCGGAAGGCACGTTAAGCCGTCGTTCGCACGCATCTGCAGTCGTCAGCACCCGCCAATCCGCACTGGGCCCGCGTGGTGGGTCATGGCCCAATCTCCCTATTCCATCTATAGGGAAGGCCTGTGCCCCAGCAGTGGGGACATTAATAGGCTGGTGATGATGATGATGATGAACGTATCCAAGCTTAGTCTTTGTTCATTAATAAGGGGGTTAGTGTTAAATTTAAACTGCGCATAGAGAAGGCAATTCTTTAGTTCTTGTTCTGAGTGAAGAAACTACGTAGGTTTTTAAAACTTACATCAGTAAAATATATAATCTTTCGCATGCAACAAAAACATTATACTTTGGAAAACTATTCATAACTGCACATAATTATGCTAGATTTCACATAATCTCATAACGGTTGAGATATAACTTATCTGCCATGATCCTAAAGTCCTTTTTGTTCGTGTGCAGGCTAGACTCGCGTCCATCGCCGACCAATGGGAGTTCCTGACGCAGAAGACCACAGAGAAGTCGCTCAAGCTGAAGGAGGCCAACAAGCAGCGCACGTACATCGCCGCCGTCAAAGACCTTGACTTTTGGCTCGGAGAGGTATTCACATGACATGATAAGATGTTTTCTATCTTTCTGTACCCTTAGTACGAGTTTGAGCTCACGAAAACTATCGTAGTTTTCGTAATTGTAAATTATGTTTCTATGTCCATTTTGGTCAAAAGTAACCAAATATTCTTTAAATTTAAGAAGACGCAAACGATTTAATGATAGAATTTAAACACTGTTTGTTTGTATTGAAACAAAAACAATAATATCAGTACCTTTAGTACGAGTGCGAGGTCACGAAAACTATCATAGTTTTCGTATTGTAAAACTCGTACTAAGGGTACTGTTTCTTTATTGACTTTTTTATGTTAAAAGAGTGGCAAACAAGCATATGGCTCTAGTGATGGTAATGGCGTGATCTTTCACAGCGTTTCTTCACATTTAATTAACAATAGAGAAATTCATCAAACCATTACCTTAATATTTATACATTTATTGATCTTGATTTATTTATTTTATATATTTGTGATGAATTTTGTTTTCTCAATGCTGAATTTTTTAAATACATAAAGTATGTCTTTCCACGTCCTTTTATTTGTAAATGTTTAGAGAGAAAGCGAGATGCACTTTATTTGTAAATAAAAAAAATATTTCACATAAGGAAAGTTAATTTAATTTTGATAGTTAACAGCAATGAATTTAATCAAAATATTAATAATTGTTAGGTGGAAAGCTTATTGACATCCGAGGACTCCGGCAAGGACTTGGCGTCCGTACAGAATCTCATGAAGAAACATCAGCTGGTTGAAGCCGACATTCAAGCTCACGAGGACAGGATCAAAGGTAACAAACTTGCAATCACTAGATTCATGTCTGTATTGTTTCACAACATACTTTATTGCTACTAGTTTTGTATAATTCTGTCTGTATCATGATATATAAATATTAGGATGGCTGGTGTCGCAGGTAGAACTGCTGTACCAGCTATCTTCACTTCTGGACTTCACCATCACTTAACATCAGGTGGGGTGGAATCATTTGTCGGGCCTAACTATAAAAAAAAGTTTCATGAAAAGTAAGGGTATCAAAAAGCTTCGCGTAGTTCCGGAGTTTTCTTTTTAACGCCCGCCGTGATGGGAATGGGAACCTGGGGATTGAGGTAGACAATGTATAGCTTGCAGGGTTATATCAGACTTCTACCTAAAAACTATCGCTACTGCGCGCACTCACGTACGCACTGGTAGGTTGCGATGCGAGTGCTATGCCTTTTAATGTCGGAGGGGATGACACAGGCGCTCTCTAATGAAACACACTACGAGAAATCGTTACGATTAGACTGTACCGTCCGAACGGTACCGATAAATCGTAGCGTGTATGTTATGGTAGCCATACACACTACGAGAAATCGTTACGATTAGACTGTACAGTCCGAACGGTACCGATAAATCGTAGCGTGTATGTTATAAAACTGCACAATTTCCTATACGTACGCCACGTACGATAAACTGTTCCGTCCGAACTGCACAGTCTGATCGTAACGATTTCTCGTAGTGTGTATGGCTACCATAAGCAACGGGCGAGACAGGAATAGCTTCGGTCCATCCGCCGGTGCCGCTCAGCAGTAACTGGAGGGAAGGAGTTTTCCATGAATAGATAGATTACTTATAGTGTCGTGTCCCGCAGACATGAACGCGCAGGCAGACGCGCTGGTTTCGAGCGGGCAGTTCGACAGCGCTGGCATCGGCGCGCGCCGCTCCGCTATCAACGAGCGGTTCGACCGCGTGCGCAGCTTAGCCGCGCATCGCCGCGCCCGCCTCGACGAAGCCAACACGCTGCACCAGTTCTTCCGCGACATCGCCGACGAGGAGTCCTGGATCAAGTCAGTATTACTCATACAGCCCGCCATCAAAAAAAGTGTTTTTATTTTTATATAGTTTTAAATTAATCTACGGCCTCGATTGGATTAAGTATATTTTATTTGATTTTTATGTGTGAAAACTGTATAAGGCTTATCAATGCTACATCATCTCGTTTTATCCTTAGTTTTAACATGCCGTTTCTTTTCTATGAATAAATAAATAAATGTAAAATAACCACTAGTTTTTTTTTTCATTCGTTATGCTTTAAGTTTAAAATACAAATGTTTGTATCGATTGATCGTTTGATCACAGGGAAAAGAAGCTCTTGGTAGCGTCTGACGACTACGGGCGCGACCTGACCGGCGTGCAGAATTTGCAGAAGAAGCACAAGCGCCTGGAGGCCGAGCTCGCCAGCCACGAGCCTGCCATACAAGGCGTATGTATACTCTCATACAATGTTAATGGTCTTGAAACTGAATGTTTCTTTAAAATTAATACTAAAAGTAATACCAGTTTCCGGTTTACATTATTTTTGACGAATATATATAGTTATCTGACAGTCTTGTAAATATTAATTATTAATACCTCAGATGATTCGAGTTAAGCAATATTTGCATCGTGATCGTATTTTTATCTATGTTTGCAACACTATGTTCGGTCCTGTTTAGAAGGACGGTATATAATATTATTATGATTGATATGATTATTCATGTGTAGGTGCAAGAAGCGGGCGAGAAACTGATGGACGTATCCAACTTGGGCGTGCCGGAGATCGAGCAGCGGCTGAAGGCGCTCGCGCTGGCCTGGGCAGAGCTGCAGGCGCTGGCGGCCGAGCGAGGCCAGAAGCTGCACCAGTCGCTCGCCTACCAGCAGTTCCTGGCCAAGCTCGACGAGGAGGAGGCCTGGATCAGGTATATTCTACATTAGCGCCTATTTGAAGAAGGATTTTTAAACATAGTTATTTTACTACAATACGCAGCAGATTTATACATATACACTTTATATGGAGTTCATAAACGTAAATAATATAAGATTGTTTTAAGAAACTTTCAAATATAAAGTATTTGGATTACTTTGAGATTTTTTGTAACGGTGAAGTTTCAACGTTATTTGATTTGATCAGAATTAACTATGAAAATTTATTGCGCTTCAAAAAAATAGTGAAAGTAACGTACATCTTCTATTGTCGTACAGCGAGAAGCAACAGCTGGTGGTGGTGGGCGAGTGCGGGGACAGCATGGCGGCGGTGCAGGGGCTGCTGAAGAAGCACGAGGCGCTCGAGGCCGAGCTGGCGGGACGCGGCGAGCGGGTGGCCGAGCTCAGCGCCGACGCCGACCGGCTCCTGGCGGCCGGCAACCTGCACGCCGACGCGCTCGCGCACCGCATGCGGCAGCTGCAGGTACACGGGGCCGGGCGGGGGCTGGCGAGGAGCGCGGCCCGAGCTCAGCGCCGACGCCGACCGGCTCCTGGCGGCCGGCAACCTGCACGCCGACGCGCTCGCGCACCGCATGCGGCAGCTGCAGGTACACGGGGCCGGGCGGGGGCTGGCGAGGAGCGCGGCCCGAGCTCAGCGCCGACGCCGACCGGCTCCTGGCGGCCGGCAACCTGCACGCCGACGCGCTCGCGCACCGCATGCGGCAGCTGCAGGTACACGGGGCCGGGCGGGGGCTGGCGAGGAGCGCGGCCCGAGCTCAGCGCCGACGCCGACCGGCTCCTGGCGGCCGGCAACCTGCACGCCGACGCGCTCGCGCACCGCATGCGGCAGCTGCAGGTACACGGGGCCGGGCGGGGGCTGGCGAGGAGCGCGGCCCGAGCTCAGCGCCGACGCCGACCGGCTCCTGGCGGCCGGCAACCTGCACGCCGACGCGCTCGCGCACCGCATGCGGCAGCTGCAGGTACACGGGGCCGGGCGGGGGCTGGCGAGGAGCGCGGCCCGAGCTCAGCGATGGCAACCTCGGACCCAAGCACGAATTGTGACAGCTCCGTAATCGTATCGTATCGTTATAGTTTATATAAAAACTAAGCACCGGACGTAACAATAAACTGGCTCCTTCCATGCAAAACTTGATGTTGACGATACGATGACGAAGCTGTCAAAATTCGAGCTTGGATCCCAGTTCGCCGGCACGCTCGCACACTGCATGCAGAAGCTGCAAATACAGGGCGATACAAACTTTATAGCGGCTGTATGTCACTATCAATAGGAGTTTGCAACGAATACAACTATATGCAGGGTTTACTTTTTGTTCTTTAGTTATAATAAAACCGAAGAGATAAATATAAGATCTCTCCTATCGGAGATGTCGAACGGCTCATTTTACTATTGGATGTTTTTTCCGCTTACTAAAGAGTTTTCGATTACACGCGAGTCTCGCTCAATCTTTTTTCAATGCGTATCAGCAAGCCATCTTCATAAATTTTAAATATATCCCACCCCATTGAGTTATGGCGACTCAGTCTGTTTCTAAAGTATTTAAAATTGGAATTAACACATTGTATTACCAATATTTACACAGGCTAAGCTGGAGAAGCTGACTTCCCTAGCGGCGCGTCGCAAGGCGGCGCTGGTAGACAACTCCGCGTACCTGCAGCTGCTGTGGAAGGCAGACGTGGTGGAGTCGTGGATCGCCGATAAGGAGACCCACGTGCGCTCCGACGAGTTCGGCAGAGACCTGTCCACCGTGCAGACGCTGCTCACCAAGCAGGACACCTTCGACGCAGGTACTGATCCAAGGCAGACGTGATTGAGTCGTGGAGTTTATTTATTTACACTGGAATACCGTCTGGAAGACGGTGTCAGGTAAACAAAAGGAAATCTACCCGAATAAGGGTGCACTCGACTCAGTTCATTTACACTTCGTTTACCCGAAATCCATTTGCACTCATATCGCGCCATAACTGCGTAAAGAAGATGTTGTGGAGGTGTGGATCGCCGACAAGAAGACGCACGTAAGCTCCGACGAGTTCGGCCGCGACACCTTCGACGCAGGTACTGACCCGCGGCCTATCATCATCAGCAGCCCATTAATTTCCCCACTCCTGGGGCACAGGCCTTCCCTATGGTTGGAATAGGGAGACTGGGCCATGACCTACCACGCGGGCCCAGTGCGGAATAGTGGGTGCTGTCGACTGCAAATGCAGCCGGGACCAATGACTTTACGTGCCTTCCGAAGCACGGGCTCGAGATAGAAGATTTTTGGTGACCCATCCAATGACATGAAAGTAGCTTGACTTTAACGATCGCAGCCGAGCGCGTTAAAAACTTGCGCCATCGAGTTTGTCCACCCGCAGCCTATGCACCACACTAACTGTGGAAGACGCACGTGGTGGAATCGCCACAATTAAAGTATACACAATAGAACGCGAGAACAATATGTGGAAACGCGTATTATTGCTTTCGTTCTTATTTACTTATATGATCGCATTTCCCGGAGAACTGAGAAGTCAGCGCAAATGTGTCTTCGCTTGCATAGACTTGATTCCCACCTCGATAATCACTCAAACCCAAGTATTGTCTGTTCGATGAAATATACAATACAATCATTCCATTCCCATTACAGATATGTAAATTTAGGCCTGCAAAAGTAAATAAAAAAGTCATTATTCCGACGACGCATTCGTACAAAGGATGTGAAACGTCAATAAATTAATAAACTCAGTGCATCGAACCCGTTGAAACTTGTTTTATTTTATGATTGATGTGCGTGAAAACCTATGAAACAAATATGTAAATTCTTCTCACAATGCCCATTAATTTTTCTCTTTCTAAAAATCGCATTTTGGACCTAAATAGAAATAGACCTTAGTAGGCAATCCTTTAATACGACCGTTCGGTGTCCAGGCCTGGCAGCGTTTGAGCACGAGGGCATCCAGAACATCAGCATGCTGAAGGAACAGCTAGTGGGGGCCGGACACGAGCAAGCTGCCAGCATCTCCAAGCGGCACGGCGACGTGACGGCGCGATGGCAACGTCTGCTGCAGGCCTCGCTGGCCCGCAAGCAGCGCCTGCTGCAACTGCAGGACCAGTTCCGCCAGATCGAGGAGCTGTACCTCACCTTCGCCAAGAAGGTAACATTATGCACAACGGTCCCTATAGAATAGGGATGATGACGGGGTACAGTAAACGAAATTCTATTTAGTCCGTCAGTTAGATGATCAAAAAATAATGGACACGTATTTTTTCTTTGGGCAATCAACCAAAAAATGACAAAGTTATAGTGCGTCACAGTTTGGGAGAAGGGGCTCGTGACGTCACTTTTGAGTGAATTTTCCCTTAGAGTGTACTTAAACGTGACGTCATGCGACTTTTCAAATCAATATATCTCAACAATGTTTATATTATGTGAAAAAAGAAAAAATAGGTGTCCAATACTTTTTGATAATCTACCTGATTAACGAAGAAAAAAAAAATAGTCATCATCCCTATTTCCAAACGGCAGCGCAGGGAATCTTCTAAACATAAATTAATGGCCCCCATGCTGGGGCACAGGCCTTCCCTATTGGTTGAAAATCGAGATTGGGCCATGGTAAAAACAACGCGGGCGCAGTGCGGATTACTGGGTGCTAAAACGGTTGCAGGTGCAGGCGGGACCAATGGCTTAACGTGCCTTAGCAAATCCTGAACATCTATCAGAGTTATAGCAATATGTATTCAGAAATATCAAATGAATTTAATGTTTCATTATTTAATGTGTTGTCTCAAACTTACCTCAGTCAACTTTAGTCGAACTTAAAAAATAATTGTTTTTTCTGCATGCGACCGTTAGCTTCGGTTCAATTTCCAACGCTTATCTTGTTACTAACGAAACGTGTCGCTGTATTTATTTATAATGGAATTTACTTTTGAAAAAAAATCAAATGAACATCACAAATATTTTAGCATTAATCTTAATTTTATTCTTATTATATGTAGTTTAAAGATCATAGACTTATCATATCATGTTTGTTGCATACAGGCATCTGCGTTCAACTCGTGGTTCGAAAACGCAGAAGAAGACCTCACGGATCCAGTTCGCTGCAACTCCATCGAGGAGATTCGCGCTCTCAAGGACGCGCACGCACAATTCCAAGTCAGTACATTGGCTTATACATTTATATTCCGAATATAAGAGTTTTTACAAGCAAATGTATAATCAAAAATATTATATTATAAGTGATTTCAATGTTCAGTGCTTTACCTGCCTTTTCCACAATAAGGTATTTGTACAGCAGCTATACTCTAAGTGTGTTCCGCGGAACCCTAGGGTTCCGTGATACCTCTGTCGGGGTTCCGCAAGAATTTAGAAATAAAAAAATCAAAACACCTCTCTCTGGTCGCTCCGCGGCTGTGCGGACTCCGCGGCCGCGCGGAGACAAAACGCTATGAATGTTATTTATTTATTTATTTGTATTTGTATAAGCTTGTGTTACATTAGCTGGTACAATATCTCATAAGTTTGGTCTCAACAATTTTATACTTGTACAACGCGTTCGCTCTAAGTTTGCCGGTCTGTGGAATGCGCGTACCCTCCCCCACGTGACAACAAAACTTATAATGTGTCATAGTTTTACCCAAATATCTAACGTACACAATTTTTATTGTTACAATTAAATAAAAAATTTCGAACGTCATACACTCATACCTATCGCCAGCGGCAAACTTAAAACGAGCGGGTAGTATACTTGTAAGCGCTCAGTCTCTTTGATAAAAGCCGCCTCTGAATTAGACGCTATAGTTGTCAACTAGCGACTTTCGTCTCTAACTTCAAAGGATAAAGTCGATATTGTTTACAACGCTATTTTTAAATTTCTGTTTTTATTTTTGCTTTTTGTTTATCAAAGGTGCCGACTCGAGTATTTTCGAGAATATTTGAGATCGAGTCTAGGACTAAGTATAAAAGCGGCGATCGCGCGTTGGCGTCGTCAGTTGATGATTAGCGTTCGGAGCGATAAGTTACTACCTACTTACAAGCTCGCTAGCGAGAAACTGGTGTTCATTGTTTTACTGCCTGCTGTATTCTGTTGTCTCAGTTTTATACATTTCTTCCCTGTAGGTTCTAAATTTAGTCTCTTATACGCAGTAACGATTGTGCATTATTTAAACCCCACTATCCTGACTTGTAACATTATAAATAAAGAAGAATGGAACGTTGGCTTAAAGGTGTTAAACGTGTTCCAACAACATCTTCTAATGACGCTGAATGTTCAAAAGCAATGCGCGCGGAGAATTTAGCAATCACCGATCCAGAAGATGATGCCACGAGTGCCACGACGTCAAGCTCGACGGTTTCAAAGACGAAAAAAAGGAAGTATGATGAATCTTATATCAGTTTCGGATTTGTTGATTCCAACGGCTCACCTCTCTGCATGCTCTGTAGTAAACTGCTTCCTAATAGTTCCATGGCACCTGCCAAATTGCGTCGACATTTAGAAACCGTACACCCCGAGACTAAAGACAAGAATAAAGAATTTTTTGTTCGCAAAAAAGATCAGTTATTAGAAAGTCAAAAAAATATGATGCATGTAACACAAACTACCAACGAAAAGGCCACGGAGGCATCATACTTAGTTAGCTATCGCATTGCACAAGCAGGTGAAGCGCACACTATCGCTGAGAAATTAATAAAACCATGTGTATTAGACATAACAAAATGTATGCTTGATGAAAAATCTGCAAAGCATCTTTCTACTGTTCCGCTATCAAACGATACTGTTTCACGACGAATCCATGATCTGGCAAGCTACGTCAAACAAGAACTAGTTACACGTCTACAAAATACACGATTCGCTTTGCAAATGGACGAGTCGACTGATGTCGCTGGTTTGGCTATCCTGCTGGTTATTGTGAGATATCCATATAAAAGTTCTTTTGAAGAAGACATGCTTATGTGTTCATCGCTGCTTACAAACACTACCGGGGAAGAAATTTTTAATAAAATAAATATATTTTTTGAAGAACATAATCTCAGTTGGAACAATTGCATTGACATTTGTACAGATGGGGCCAAGGCGATGACAGGTAAAACAGCAGGAGCAGTGTCACGAATGAAAAATAAAGCGCCTAATTGTAGTTCCAGTCATTGTATTCTGCATAGACAAGCACTTGCGATGAAGCAAATGCCGTCTAATCTAAAATTAGTTATGGATGAAGCGGTAAAAATAATTAATTTTATCAAATCACGACCACTACAATCCCGATTGTTCTCATTATTGTGTGAAGATTATGGCAGCAAACATAAAACACTGCTGCTCCATACAGAAGTGCGATGGCTGTCTCGGGGAAAAACTTTAACAAGGCTATTTGAACTTAGAGCCGAGTTACAAATGTTTCTTTCAGCAGATACTTCTTTTAATTTGAAGGACCGTTTGTATGATAAAACTTGGTTGTTCCGATTGTCTTTTATGGCGGATATCTTTCAAAAACTTAACGAATTAAATTTATCATTGCAAGGTAAACAGACAACAGTGTTTCAGGCCTATAATAAAATAACTACTTTTAAAAGAAAATTAGATTTTTGGATCATTTGCATTGGTAAGAAAGAAATAGAAAGTTTTACGTTACTCACTGAGTTTGTTAGCGAAAACGACTCAGAAATGTTTGAAGATAATGTGTTTGAAGAATTGGTCCAATATCTCAGTTCGATGCGCGCATCTTTTGAAAAGTATTTTCCCGAAGAACACAATACAAAAATTAAAGTGAACTCCTGGATTCATAATCCTTTTTTACCCAACTTGGAAAAGCCTGAAAACATGTCAAATGAGATATATGAATCTCTTTTAGAAATGTCATCAGACACAAGTATGGAGTCATTGTTCAAAACGACGCCTCTTAATGATTTTTGGTGCAGAATCCAAGATGAATATGCAATGCTTGGCCAAATGGCTCTGGATATTCTTCTCCCGTTCCCAACTACATATTTGTGCGAAACAGGATTCTCTACCTACGCAGCCACGAAAACAAAATATCGCAATAGACTGGACGCCGAAGCTGATATGAGACTCCAACTTTCTTCCATCAAACCTGATATCAAGCAATTGATGAAAAATAAAAAACAGTTTCATACCTCCCACTAGTTAGATTTTTTCTTTTTTAATGTTTTCTATTATTGTCCTTACCAAGTGGTGAAGTAAATAATAATTAGTAACGGATACATTGTACTTTTATTATGCTGATTAATATAGAATACACTTATAAAAATAATTGTTTTATTGTAGGGTTCCATCAAGTATTTTGCTTCCCAAAAGGGTTCCGTCATTTAAAAAGTTTGAGAACCACTGTTGTACAGTGTCAAAAGAAGTGCCTATTGTTGGCATTTCTATTTTGAATAAGTACTACTTTTACAGAAAAAATGTTAGTCATTTTACCTATTGTCACGCGACCGATAACGCCTCGTATTGGCAGAGCCTAAAATGCTGTCACACAAAGGTAAACTTCCGGTCAAAGTGACATTAGTTGAAGCGTTTTGACGTTTGAACGTCAGCCATCTGACGTCATACATAGGTAAACACGTAATTCTACCCAGAGAAACGTTTCAGCGGCATATCTGAAAGCAGTATCATTGATTTCATTTCTTTACTGAAATACACAGGATAATATAATATATACACAGGATAAATATCCTATCTTCAATATTTAATATACTTTCCCTCCGTGTGACAAACCCGTAGGATGTCCTGTATTCGCTATGTGCGAAGTACATGGTGGGGGTATAGTGAAGCGATCGCAGCGCTTATCGTGGCAGAAATACGCAACAATCCGGGAAAGTAAAGTCAATTTGCACGGAGTTCGTAATAAACAAAAATTTTTTAAAATGCCTATTAATAGATGTTGTTGTGTTGTGAATTGCAAAAATAAGGGCACAAATAGTCTGTGTATATATTTCCTACATTGGACTGGAAATTAAATCAAAGAAATAAATGGATAGATGCCATAAAAAGAAATAAGTAAGCGAAATAACCTTAAATTATGATCAATTTTATTTGCGCTATATATTTTATGTGATATTCATTATTGTCTTTATTATTTTAGTGTTGATGGGTCGCCATGGTATCCCAAACCTGACGACACAATTTGTAGTAAACATTTTATGGGAAACAAAAAATCAGACGAGGAAGAAAATCCGAGTTATGCTCCTACGATATTCCCTGAAATATATCGAAAGAGGAAGGTTAATGATTCACAGGTCCTAGCTAGATATACACGCTTGACAAAACGAAGAACCACAAAAGTCTCAGATACCACATCAAGTCAAATAATAATTGAAGAAGGGAGTGAATTAAATCAAACTCAACCTTTTATGATCGATCAAGGATGTCAAGTCAATATGTTTTCTGAATCGAAATTAAGAGATACAACTTTTATTTGTATTAGATTAATTTACAGTGATCACTGTGATCCAACATCAAGAATTTTAATGACAAATAATTCAAGAAAGAAAGATAAAAGCTGTGGCACTGACAAAAAATCGTATGAGGATCAATCTACCGAAACAAAAAGTCAAGAATTTGTTGGTATTTCATCAATAACAAATGATCAAGAACTCCTAAATCCTTCTGGTGTGTCATTTAGCAATTTTGAGTTTTTATTAACAAGATTAACTATGAGAAAATGTACAGTTTCCACTAAAGACCGACTTCTGATTTTTTTGATAAAAATGAAAACTGGCTTGACATTTTCAGCATTGAGTGTGTTATTTGGTGTACAAAAAAACCACAATCTCACGTATATTTCATTCGATCTTACAAAATCTAGCTTGTTCAACTGCTAATTTAATCTTTTGGCCGAATAGAGCCACCGTACAAGCACCAATGCCCAAGTGTTTCAGTCCAGATTACATCAATACAAGAGTTATTATTGACTGTACTGAATTCCGAATTGAAATCCGACATTATTTAAATTATTATACAATATATAATAATTTTTATTTATCTTTACCTTACTATATTTACTAGAAATCAATAAAATACAAACTGATGTCATTATTTGGCATAATCCCGGAAAGTTGCGCATTGTAGGTGGCGCTACTGTCGTGCACATAGCGAATAATCACTCTTTATGGAGTCCATAAACACTTAATAACGTAAGAACATTTTCAAAACGTTGAAATAGGGTATCTATTTCAGATGTTCACCTAAATTTACTAACTCGTATTTTTAAATGATTCATTATGACTTATTGTGATGCTTCACAGGCGTCCCTATCATCAGCGCAAAGCGATTTCGAAGCGTTGGCAGCCCTGGACGAGCAGATCAAATCATTCAACGTGGGTGCCAACCCTTACACCTGGTTCACTATGGAGGCGCTCGAGGAGACCTGGCGCAATCTGCGCAAGATCATCGGTGAGTGTTGAACCTAATTAAATTTACAGTGCTAAGGCAAATGATAAATTTTACTCTTAACATTATGAATACAAAGTTTCAACGCTCTAACTTGAAGTTGGAGATATTTTTTTTACTACGAACATCTTTAATCTCACTCGGCAAACAACTCGAACTTAGATGAACTAAGTAATATTAGATCTTTAGAAAAGTTTTATTGATAAATTGCAGCTAACCTAGATTTGCTATCGATTATTGCTCAACAAATAGAACAAAGTTGATCATATTTCTTATATTATTAGAAGAAACAGACAACGAATTAGAAATGATGTATGCAATACGAACAGCGCTAAAAAGTGATTCCACGCAAACTGCTGTAAAGTGGATGGGGCGAAAAGAATGCGATCAACACGCCGTTCATGGGATTGTTTGGAATTTTCCTATATTATTATCTTACCTAATGAATAGATAGCCGAATTCATTTACAGAAATTTGATTCGTCAAATAATTTTGTTTTGTCTTTGTGCGTGTCGCGTTAGTATTGAAGCTTAGTGAATTTTAGTAATATGAGTTTGAAACCACGTTTTAGCGGTTTTTGTTAGAAACTTTGTTTGTTCCATATCATTTCTAAATCGTTGCAAACGGATGACAGAACCCCCCTTAATAGGGATGATGACTAATTTTTTTTTCTTCGTTTATTAGGTAGATTATCAAAAAGTATTGGACACGTATTTTTTCTTTTTTCACATAATATAAACATTGCAGAGATAATATTGATTTGGAAAGTCGCATGACGTCACGTTTGAGTACACTTATAAGTGAAAATTCACTCAAAATTGACGTCACGAGCCCCTACTCCCAAACTTTGACACGCTATAACTTTGTTTTGGTTGATTGCCCAAAGAAAAAATATGTGTCCATTATTTTTTGATCATTTAACTGACGGACTAAATAGAATTTCATTTACTGTACCCCGTCATCACCCCTTTTGTGACGTTTCCAACAGCCGAGCGTGATGTTGAGCTCACCAAGGAGGCACAGCGACAAGAAGAAAACGACAAACTGCGCAAGGAGTTCGCCAAACACGCCAACGCATTCCACCAGTGGCTCACCGAGACACGGTATGTTGGGCTGCATTTCGGTTTGACAACACTAGACAACGTAATTATATTGCGAATCAACTAAGAATAGGACCGACTGGGCGCCATATTGTGATGTCATAGCTGTCAATTCAAACCAAATAGGTAGAGTGAGCAAAATAAAGATTTTTTTAATAAAATTTATTTATTTAGATTTAGTAAAAAAAACACCGATTTTTAATAATATTTATTTATTAAGACTGTGACAAAAAACATTAATCAGAATCTAGCTCATCTATTCCACTCATCTCTGAATTACCGCCGGAGTAGTTATGAATAATCATGCACTATTACTAGGTCACATACGAACATGTATCCTTTATGTAAACGAAAGTTTGAAATCGAGTTTCTGAACGCAACTTAAAGTGACATTTGGTTGTCGAATTAGGGTATCAACCATTCATGACCAAAGCTCAATAAGTGAAAATAAATATCATCCGATGTTAATTATCAATATTTGTGAATGTTTGTTTACAAATGTTTGGTTTTTATTTTTCAATTAGCAGATAGCTAAAAAAGGGTTCCAAGTTTTTTTTGCAAACCGTACTTTTCAAGCGACATTTGACAGATAGAGGTCATTGACTTTCCTATTCTTATTTGAATCGCATTATAGAGCATTATTTTTCGAAATATATTATTGGTATGTTGTTTTTAGGAAGTGTACTCTAATATAACTTACAGAAAACTAACGCCAAATAAAATTATTGCGTATGTAGGGTTGTGTTCTCGCAGCGTTATTTTTAAAGAGTAGAGGTATAGTGTATTTTGTGAAACGCTGGTCAGCACCGACTAGCGTGTGTGTAATACCGGCACTTCACTTGGCTATTCGTGTTTTGCTATTTGTGAACTTGACATCAGTCTGTTGTTTTCATTCCTTATAAAGCATGATGAGGACAAACTGTCGTCACGTTTACGAATAGCAAACACGAATATCCAAGTAAAGTACCGGCACAACAGTCTCTTCAATTCTTTGGAAACGAATTAGATCTGCTATTAACGCCAAAGGTATGAATGCTGAACAATATTTCATTTGTTATCTCGAGTTTAGGAATGAGTAATTTATAATGATTATTTTCATCTTAAGCGCACTAGTCGAGCTCGTCTATATATATAAAACTCAAAGGTGACTGACTGACATAGTGATCTAACAACGCACAGCCCAAACCACTGGACGGATCGTGCTGAAATTTGGCATGCAGGTAGATGTTATGACGTAGGCATCCGCTAAGAAAGGATTTTGATTAATTCTACCCCCAAGGGGATAAAATAGGGAATGAAAGTTTGTATGAAACTTTGTCAATTTTAAACCGATCGGGCTGAGACTTTGCATGCAGGTATAAGAAGAATCATAGATGAATGTCATTGTGTATAATACAAGCCTGAGAACAAAAACTGTAGTCTACACTTCAGCTCTACACCGAAGCGAAGCGAGGGCGGGCCGCTCGTTGTCGTATAATGAGTGAAATAATTGGTTGACGAATTGGTGGATGTTTGACGATGATAATTGATGTGCAGGTACCGGCTGCTAGGCTGGGACGGGTAATGTACCAATTGTCACGAGTCGTCTCGGCTATAACCAAGTCAGCTTCGTGTTATCCGTGGATAGACCACTGAAACTCTGGCCTACAACTATTATACAATTACTTATCGATGTTGTCCGCACAAATACTCGGTGTCAACTCTTTTCTCGCAGCTGCATTAAAACTATGTTAGCTTTAAATTTTCCACGATTAATAAATCTTAATGTAAATATTATAATATATCACTTTCATGCTAATTCAGTCAGTGTTTTTAATGTTGTTTATCATAAACTAATTTATTCACTTCAGGTCCTGATTATTAATAATAATAATTCTTTATGCCGTCTTGGTTTATTCTCATTCGTCTAACAAAAATCTTACAATAATTATTGGAGTATCTTTAACTTATTGTTGATTTGTTGAACGGCTTATCTTTCATTTTATAATAAATGTTTACCAATCTATCTGTGGAAATTTTAAATTCCGTATCAATCTGTATAGTCCACTTTGGAAGTAGTGTTCACGGCGACAAGGCTCTTTACGAAAGTGACTGAGAGTTCATTGAGGGCGCTGTTGTCTACGTAAATTACATACAAAATATGATGATTACAAAAGGGCGGCGTTAGTTCCAATACTAACCACATTCATAAAGATCGTTGTCGCTATACCAACTTTATATTCACCATCATCATCATCAGCCTATTAATGTTCCCACTGCTGGGTCACAGGCCTTCCCTGTGGAAGGAATAGCGAGATTGGGCCATGATCCACCACGCGGACCCAATGCGAATCGGCGGGTGCTAACGACTGCAGATGCAGCCGGGACCGACGGCTTAACGTGCCTTCCGAAGCACAGAGGAACTCGAGATAGGAGATTTTCAGTCACCCATCCAATGACTGCAAAAGTTGCTTAACTTCAACGATCGCAGCCGAAGGCGCTAACCACCCGCACTAGATCGACCGAGCTCCTCTATATATTGGTTAAATGTAGGGCTGCCATCCGTCCGGGTTTCCCCGGATTTGTCCTAGTTTACGGGGCGTCCGGGAAGCGTCCGGGCGGGGTTTTATTTGTAGTCCGGGTTTAAAAATTTACGGCAACGCATGAGTGGCCCTAGGTGCTGCAAGTGTCCATGGGCTGCAGTGACCACTTATTATGAGGTAGACCGCTAGCTCTTTGGCCTAGATAAACATAAAATAGTTGATTTGTGACATTTTTAACTGTTTTTTTATTGGTCTGTCCGGGTTCTGGGCTTCAAAATCCGGGGTTATTACGCATCTTATCCTGGTTGCCACATTTTAGAGATGGCAGCAGGAGATAGTTAGATGTAATAGTGTTTATGTGGTTGGCTTGCAGCACGTCGATGATGGAAGGCACGGGTTCGCTGGAACAGCAGCTGGCGACTTTACGAGCGCGTGCGGGCGAAGTGCGCGCCAGGAGGGCCGATCTGAGGCGGCTGGAGGAACTCGGTACGTATATTATAGTTTAATATGTATTTCTATATAAGTATACTGATATATGTGTCGGATGGGCGAGCGGGATAAGCGGTTGTCCACGTGGTTCGTCTTGATCCGGCGTCTTGGTTATTCAATGATATTTCCCGAAAATAAAACTGTAGTCTAGTGACAAAGCTAACGTTTAATTTGAATCTTCTAATCACTTTACAAAATCAGTCAAAGGTACAAACGGATTGCTTTGCGAAGCGTGGAGAGTTCTGTGCTAAAGTCCGTTCACTATCGCGGCTCACGTCTGAATGCTGAATGCCCCTTCCAATGGGGAACTGGGTACGTATATTATGTGGCTAACTTTGATTTATGTATCACGATTTCGTGACCGAGTGGTTTGTAAGCCGGCGTTCAAGGTGTCGCCTGCTCGAGAGGTCCTGGGTTCGAATTCCGGTGGGGGTAGATGTTTTTATGATGAATACGAGCATTTGTACTCCAGTCATGGAGGTTTAATATGTATTTTTATATAAATACTAGCTGCCCCAGCGAACTTCGTACCGCGATAAAAAAATAGGGGTTTATTGTAAAGGGTTGAAAATTCAGGTTTAAATGTATTTACTAATGCTGTATCATAAAAAAAATTAAAAAAAAACTAAAATGATAAAAAAAAATTAGGGTTGGATTACCCTTAACATTTAGGGGGACGAAAAGTAGATGTTGTCCGATTCTCAGACCTACCCAATATGCACACAAAATTTCATGAGAATCGGGAAAGCCGTTTCGGAGGAGTTTAACCACAAACACGGCGACACGAGAATTTTATATATTAGATACTCATATATGTATTCTATCCGTTACCCTAGTATCCCATAACGCAAGCCTACAGTGCTTATTTTGGGGCTTGGCTAATATGGTGTGAGGGTTGGAAATATTTTATATGCCTCGATAGAGCAATCCAAATCAACCATTTTTCGCGCAGTGTTTGCGTTACTCTAATGTCAGATTCGACTGCAGTTTGGTGTGCGTATGTAGCGACGAGCATCATATTATGCACCATTTGTAGTAGATATTTTTTGTGCCGATTCCGTGCAGTTAATACGGTATCTAGGGTGTATATAATCAACGGTGGCATATGTAATTATTTGAAATTTAAATTTCACGATTAAATTGATTAAATGTTTTTTATTTTACTTTGTACAGCAAGTGCTGTACCCTTAGCACAAACCATTATCAAATTCGAATAGATGAATTCGATCTAGTTATACGTCAAATGTGTACCGATTTTTAGTTCTCGTTACGTCCTTTGTGGCGCTGCTGTTCACGTTTTTATACAAAATTTGCCATTGACATTTTGCACTCGCAAACTACGCGAATTCGATATTGGGTCATGCTAATCACAATCTTGCATTTGGCGGCGGACAGCAAGGCGGCCTGCCGTGAATGGGGGCCAGGCGCGATCAGTTAACGTTTTGTAATGAGGCGAATTGAGTTTAAAGTACATGTTATGTATTGACGACCTCCTTGGCCGAGTGGTTTGTGCGCCGGGTTTCATGGTGTCGCCGACTCCAGAGGTCCCGGGTTCGAATCCCGGTGGGGGCAGATGTTTGTGTGATGATTACGAGCATTTGTACTCCAGTCATGGATGTTTAATATGTATTTCTATATAAATCTAATATATAAAATTCTCGTGTCGCGGTGTTTGTGGTTAAACTCCTCCGAAACGGCTCGACCGATTTTCGTGAAATTTTATATGCATATTCAGTAGGTCTGAGAATCGGATGTAATCTATTTTTCATCCCCCTAAATGTTAAGGGTAATCCACCCCTAATTTTTTTTTTCAATTTTAGATATATTTTTTTAATTTTTTTATGATACACCATACAAAAATACATACATTCCTAAATTTTCAACTTTCTACCACCAACCCCTATTTTTTTATGGCGGTACGAAGTTCGCTGGGTCAGCTAGTATACTTATATATGTATTCTATCCGTTACCCTAATATCCCATAACACAAGCCTTACAGTGCTTACTTTGGGGCTAGGCCAATTGGTGTGAGTGTTGGTAATGTTTATAATATTTATTTATTGGTTTCAGGCGCGGCGCTGGAGGAGCACCTGATCCTGGACAACCGGTACACGGAGCACAGCACCGTCGGCCTCGCGCAGCAGTGGGACCAGCTCGACCAGCTCTCCATGCGAATGCAGCACAACCTGGAGCAGCAGATCCAGGCGCGCAACCACTCCGGTACGCATCGCCTTATACCTAACCAATGGACAAGTCTCATCATGTTGAAAATGCTATGTTTCACTTAATTGAAATATAGATCGAAACCAATGTGGGGGTGTTTTCGACATTAAATGATATATGATAGAATATGATATAAAAATGCTAGAAACTGATAATTGATAATGTTATTACGGAATGATAAAGAAACAACCGATTGATAGTAATGCTTGTAATACACTGTTTGATACGTGTTGCGCATACATCATCATGAAAGTAGAACGCTAAATTAACAAAATAAAATATACAGTAAATTACGAAATATGTACGTATCCACAACTAATATACTAGTGAAAAAATTTTGTGAAATCCGTGAAAATGATTGAGAAACACAATATTTAAGTTTACGTATTAAAATACGTTAAAGCGCCGAACGATTTGGGCCTCTGACGTCATTTCACCTATAGTCGAGATTGTCGCACCAGAGCGCTTGCGCTGCTTGTAGATTGTTTACGTACAGCTGTTTGTTGATTATTTATAAGGAGTGTAATTTTTATTTTAACAAATTGGAATAAGATTTCGTAAAAGGACCAAGTGATAATTATACAAAAAAACTGTTTACTAGGCGTTTTAACTGTCGTGCTTTCACACATAGGGACAATACAATATATGTAGGCATATTTTTTAGCCTCAGCCATTATTATAATAAACAAAATGACTCGGGCGGCGCAAATAAAAGCCCTCCAATGAATTTATACATCACGTATATTGACGCCGCGTCACTAGGTGAAGTGACGTCACACGCTGGCCTGCCACGTGAAACGAAATTATTATTACAGGCGCTTAATTTAAAGTCCCATAACGTTTTCATTTGTAGAGATATTTTAATGATTCTTTCAAATTTTTGTTACATTCTACTTTAATGTTTACAATTGATATATTTTAATCAAATGGAAACTTCTTCATTAGAAATGATAAGGAGAGATCGGGAACTGTAAGTTGACCACGCTCGGGAGCTTGTCCCAAGTCGAGGCGATTACTTTACTATTCCGATTAGTGTGCGTTGCAGTATGAACTTTATTACAAAGACTACTAAACGGCTCGAGTTGATACGTTAAAGATCCTTTAATTTTATTTAAATTGAATAATCTTACATAGATTAGCGAAAATATTTATAAGTACTCTAGACGCTTAGATAGCAATGGAAAGTTACGACGCGTACATATCAAAGATCATTGTAATGATGTATATGGATTTGGACACTTTTGATCTGAAGAAATATAAGGCCCGTATTATAGAAAGATTCTCAGTGATTGATCTAGTCTTGAGCATAGTTAGAAAGTGATGTCGCTATATATAGCACATAGTGAAATGCCTTTCTAACTGTACTCAAGTAAAGATCAACACTTAGTTGTCATTCTGTAATTCGGGCCTTAGACTGATCGATTGTGTACAATATTTAAATGACTCTAAATGCAAAGTTATAATTGAACCTTTACTACCTTATATTTTTATGAAGCTGACTGTACCATATTTACGGTGTATATTTTACTGCGAGATGGAACTGTATAATTATGGTGTTTATTCAGGTGTAAGCGAGGACGCGCTCAAGGAGTTCTCGATGATGTTCAAGCATTTCGACAAGGACAGGTCGGGGCGCCTCAACCACCACGAGTTCAAGTCCTGCCTGCGCGCGCTGGGCTACGACCTGCCCATGGTCGAGGAGGGACAGCCCGACCCGGAGTTCGAGGCCATACTCAGTCTGTATTATTTATATATTAGCAATACTAAACAAATCAGTCCTATAAATGTAAAGATAATTTTACTAGAAAAAAATCCACGTATTTCTTAGGCAATGTCAAAGGAAACTTTAACTTTACAAGACTAAGTATTAAAGATTTGAAAGAAGAAATTGCATTTGTAGTTTATTTTAAGTAAAGTTTTCTTTAGATTTCAACATGTTACAGTTAAATGCTTAAAAAATAACAGTTTTTTAAGTTTGTAAAAAGAAAATACTAGTGGGCGAATCTGCAAAAGTTTGAAATTTTGTCTAAAAAAAAATTCAAAAAAATTAACTGGACACCTTTTATATTTTTTGTTTTATTAAATTAAATTTACATTAGCTTTATTCGGACATGCTATTAATAATGTTTATCTGTATTTGCTTAGTGATGAGAAATAAACTTTTGAATAATTATTAGTTATTGGTAGCCTTGTAGCATAAGAAAGGCTAGAAAGAATTCGACGCGGCCATCAGGGCCGCGGTAGCATAATGGTCAGTGCATTCGCTCGGATAGCCAAGGGTGCCGTCTGCTCCCTGGTCTGCGTTGAATTGTTTCTAGTATTATTTCCTTTAGATTTAAACATCGAGCAGTTGCATGCTTAAAAAATAAAAATGATAACAGTATTTATAATATAATAATGTTCCGTTTCCATAGACGTGGTGGACCCGAACCGCGACGGGCAGGTGTCGCTGCAGGAGTACATGGCTTTCATGATCAGCAAGGAGACGGAGAACGTGCACTCCTCCGAGGAGATCGAGAACGCGTTCCGGGCCATCACCGCGCACCAGGACCGCGCCTACGTCACCAAGGATGAACTATACGCGGTACAAGCCCAACATTTGTTTCGTAGATAGCTCCGACAAATGACTCCACCCCAACTGATGTTGAGTGACGGTGAAGTCCACACGTGATGATAGCTGGTACAGTTCTACCTGCCACACCAGCCATCCTCACCTAGCCGGCCTGCATGTTGCTTCTTCACGCTTGCTTCACAGGTGCTGGAGGAGCTCGATAGCGCAAGTGGTTAGCGCGTTCGGCTGCAATCGTTGAACTTAAGCAACTTTCGCAGTGGTCGGTCATTGGATGGGTGACCAAAAATTACTATCTCAAGCTCCTCCGTGCTTCGGAAGGCACGTTAAGCCGTTGGTCCCGGCTACATCTGCAGTCGTTACCCACCCACCCACCAATCCGCACTGGGCCCGCGTGGTGGGTCATGGCCCAAACTCCTTATTCCATCCATAGGGAAGGCCTGTGCCCCAGCAGTGGGGACATTAATAGGCTGATGATGATGATGATGACTTTTTAAATTCCTAAATTATAACCCTTCTTACGGCCGAAGGGTTTGCAAAGCCTCGCTCTCTTTTTTTTCTTTTGCATTGGTAATAACAATATTAAAAAAATGCGCGTGAGGTATTCGAAAACCTCCGGCGGTCAGAAATAACAAAATGAAATCGTAAGCGATAGCGATAGACATAGCAATCCCGTTAGGCGAATGTCCCCCAGGGCGGGTAAAGTGCTTATGAATAAAAGCTTAAATTTTCTGTTTCTGCCTGTTCTAATTAATGTCTTGACTTTTTCATAGACCAATATTTTGTTTTACTATCCAGAATCTTACAAAGGAGATGGCGGACTACTGCGTGGCTCGCATGAAGCCCTACCAGGACCCGAAGTCGGAGCGGCCCATCCCCAACGCGCTCGACTACATCGACTTTACGCGCACGCTGTTCCAGAACTAATGTAACACCCGCTGCTGCCTCCAAAGCCGCGCACCTTCGTTCTAACGCATTAAACTACACCACCAAACAATGCGTCTTTTCATTCGTGATGTCATTCCCTTACCTCACTCGAAACTGTTAAACACAAAAGCGGGAATACTAAGACACTTGCTATGTATTCCATTGGCTTGATTTATTTAAAGCATGCCATAATTTTGAACTAGATATTATCTCTCATCCTTCGACAATATTCGTAAAGGGAGCGTTGGCACGAGGTGCGCGTGCAAAAAGCATTTGCAATTTTATATTTCACTTTAGCATCTGCTTGCCAACTTTCCTCATCAATTCCAAAATCTTATAGACTGAAATTAAAGCATTTTTTCTTCATTTCTGGAGTCCAAGCTGCGCGCACTGCAGTTTCGTAGTACTGGCGCCTTCGATGGAGAAGCGTCGTCTACTGATGTTCATCGCTACTCGTGTAGTCGATACTTATTTACTACTAAGTAAATGCGCAGGAGGGTCAGAATTCCTTTTCTCTGAGTTAAGCAGAGAGATAAGAAGCTCCCTTTATTTTCATGCTTTTTATGCACTTTTAAATTTGGACAATACAAATTCTATTTGCATTTCATCACGTTTCGTGCTTGATAAGAGTAAAAGTATTTATTGTATGTTAACTTGTAAGTTACGCTAGATATAAAGTTCAAATTCTTCATAGCTTAAATTTTTATTTATTTTTTGTATTCTCATATAATTTCAATAAAGTATTTATATCTATTTGGGTGTTTAAATTAAAAGTCACACGTCAATTTACACATAAACATTATTATTTATAGCTTCATTACAATAAATCATATTAATTAGATAACTATTTTTATATAATACATATTTCTTAAATATACATTAATGTTTCTATTTACATTAAGGCTGGAAACAGTGCTCGGCCGACGGTACGTCCTGACCGGCAGCGCTGACCGTCGGTCGCGAAAATGCATTCACTGCTACGCTGACGGCGAACGGCGACGCGTGTGTAAATTCACGAGAAAAATGAACCATTTTGCTGTGAATGCGCTATTTTTTGCGCAAACGACGGAATAGAAGGCGCCGAAGATATCATGTACACAAAATACTTGTACAACGGTTACTTGAAGGCGAATTCTGCAAACTATTATCGAGATTGCAAGAAGACAAGAAAAGGTTTTTTGATTATTTCAACATGTCAATCAGAAGTTTCGATTTCGTGTAGTTCACGCAAGCTTACATGATACTTTGAAACATTCCAATATGTTTCGAGGTTCTGTCCATCCTATTGAAACGACGACGGACGAAGCCGCACTTCAGTAATAAGGCGCTCTGTATCAATATTCATTTTTACCCGACTGCGCAATGCAAGAGACAATATAGACTGTTATACACTATACTGACAGGGTGTTTAACAGTCTATATTTGCTTTGAATGTACGTACGCGCGTATGGTTGGTCGCTAAGTCAGTGAAGCATTGACGACGGTCAGCGCTGACCGTCGGTCGAGCACTGTTTCCAGCCTAAGTCAATTATGTTTTTACAATAATTTTTATGTTGTAAGCAAGTATATCGTGCTAATTTTGAAAAAAAAAATGCATTATGGACAGTCGTGATCATAATAATTGATCTCTGATTTGGCTACTAAACTGATATAACTAAAAATTAATGCAATATTTACCAATCAAAAAGCATGTTGGCTAATTGTTCAGTCTTATCTAATTTATACAGGAATATTGATAAATTGCCTATTTTACAGTCATCTATATTACTGTTATTTGCTAAAGGTACTTACAAATTATAAATACCTTTGACTTATACGTTTTTCGTACACTATAATCACTAATTCGCTCTGAACTGACGCAGCTATGGCGACAACTCTGTGTTCTGATCCCCCGCTGGCAAATCAACGTCTCCAGGGTTCCTTGTAAGGATAAAATAAAATGATTGGTAAAGTATTTTGGATTGATAAAAAGGAAATAATAATAATACAATACTTTCTATTGAATAGAACATTCTGCTAAACATTAAATAAAACAACAGATCGAACGCTTACAACCATAATGTGCTTATTGGATACTATTCCAAATTATTAGGACTTCATCTGTGTATTAATTTGTTTATTATATACAAATTGTAAAGGTCGCTTTGTTTGTTAGTAGAACTATAAGTTTGCTCTACACCAATTCTTGTTAACTGAGCATCATTTATTGAGATCTCGTGGGTGGTAGATAGACGGGGCTAGGGAGTGAATACATTTACACTGGCTATATCTGGACACGCTGCAGCAGCTGGTACTCTTGTGGGGAGAGATGTGGTCGTAGCTTATTGAGCAGTGCGTCTGGGAGCAGAGAACTCGTGGGTTTTAGATATACAGGGCTAGGCAGTGAATACCTTTATATTGGCTACATCTGGACACGCTGCAGCAGCTGGTAGTCTTGTGAGGAGAGATGTGGTCGTAGTTTGTTAAGCAGTGCTTCTGGGAGGGGAGAACTCGTGGGTTTTAGATATATGTACAGGGCTAGGGAGTGAATACCTTTATATTGGCTATATCTGGGCACGCTGCAGCAACTGGTAGTCTTGTGGGGAGACATGTGGTCGTAGCTTATTGAGCAGTGCGTCTGGAAGGGGAGAACTCGTGGGTTTTAGATATACAGGGCTAGGGAGTGAATACCTTTATATTGGCTATATCTGGGCACGCTGCAGCAGCTGGCAGTCTTGTGTGGAGAGATGTGATCGCAGTTTGATAAGCAGTACTTCTGGGAGGGGAGAACTCGTGGGTTGTAGATATATGGGGCTAGGGAGTGAATACCTTTATATTGGCTATATCTGGGCACGCTGCAGCAGCTGGTATTCTTGTGGGGAGAGATGTGGTCGTAGTTTGTTAAGCAGTGCTTCTGGGAGGGGAGATCTCGTCGGTTGTAGATATGGCAGCGCTAAAAGTTGGCTGACGGAAGGTCGTGAGCGCGCGACGTAGGTGAGGCACCACTTCAGCGCCGCCAGGAGAGTTGGCGGGAGGTCTGTGAGAGAGGAGAATAAATCGATTAAGATTCAATATATACTTTGATTATATGTCTGTTTTCCCGGACCAATATAATCTGGACATCTTCAAGGCCAGAATGAACAGGCATCTTCAAGGCCTAGATCCATCATCGCTTTCCATCAAGTGAGATTGTGGTCAAACGCATTGCCTATTTAGCATAAAAAAAAATGTACGCCTACATTGAGGAATCCAAATAAACTGCGCATAGCAAACGGCTCCTTTTACGCGCAATGTGTGCGTGAGTCTAATGTCAGATTGTTTTAAAGCAGTGAACTTGTGCGTATCTACTATATGTAGGTAGATATTTCTTTCGGCGCTTTCGTGCAGTTAATACGGTTTCCCAGTGCGGATTGGTGGGTGCTATTGACTGCAGATGCAGCCGGGACCAACGGCTTAACGTGCCTTACAAAGCACTGAGGAGCCGAGAAGCTCGAGATAGTAAATTTTTGCTCACACATTCTACAGACCGCTGCGAGAGTTGCTTAACTCCAACGATGGCAACCGAAAGCGCTTACCGCTTGCGCCATCAAGCTCCTCTAGCAGCAGTTTCATGCTTATAAAAATATGATAAAAAATTAAAAACCAAATAAGATTAAACTCACGCTCAACGGGCGGGTAATCGATCTTGTGGTTGGGGTCGAGTATGGCGGCCAGCTTGGCGAGGTTGGGGATGTGTCCGAACGGAGTGCGGCCGTACATCATGCTGTACAGGATGCAGCCCAGCGACCACACGTCCGACCGGAACGATATCTACCAAATCAATGCACTTTATTTAAACTTTATTGCCAAACATAAGCGAACGGCGGACTTAATGTCATAGGCATTCTCTACCAGTCAACCAGTATGATTGTTGGAGACAAAATATGTAGTATGGCGATAGAGCAAAGTTGCTAAAAATTTTATAAAATGAACAATATCAACACAATAAAACAGCAATAAAATAATAATACATTTCTAATTTTGGCCGAAACCGAAATTGCCGCCGAAACTTAATTTTTGGCCGAAACCGAACTTTCGGTCGTACACTACCTTTAACCATCCTGTGTAGCACATGCACCTCATCCTATTTCTAATTCCGAGTTCTGAACCGCATACCTTTATAGTCCATTTTCATGAACTTTAAACCGACACTTTGTCGCTGTAACGCGCAAACAAATTGGTTCGTATGTGCGTACCTTGATTGGCGCGTTTCCGTCGGCAGCGCAGACGCCGTACCCGCCGGCGCCGCCCATGAGCGCCTCGGGGCTGATGTAGGAGTAGGTGCCGGTGGCCTGCGCGCGCACCACGCTGGTCGCGTCGCTGCTGATGGCGGACGCGATGCCGAAGTCGATCAACTTCAAGCGCCCGCATACTAGCAGGAAGTTGGCCGGCTTCAGGTCCGCGTGGATCACGCCTGGTGATGCGTGGACATTAGTAAATAACATATGATTGTTTTCTAATATGGTTTAAGACATTTATTTCTCAAAACAGAACACAAAATTCACTTGCATGAGAAAACAAAGAATAATTAATCCATTACGTGTGTTACACGAGACGTACGAAATAAACAAACAATTTAGTTGGACATACAAACACTGATATATATCACAAATCACTATTGAATTTTACATTTTTTTTTTACTAAAACTGTTGATAATTTACAAATTGATGACTTGGTTTAAACAATACAATAAAAATATTTGTTACGCAAACATCTGTATAATGTGGGTAATCCGTTTTCTAAAACTTGTCAAATACCCTATTTCATATATTGGCATACGCAACAAGTGGAGTACACTAAATAATTATCAGGTATGCGTCTCAATATAAGGACTGGGTTCAGCTGCATATGAATGGAACAACCAAAGTTTTGAATTTAATTTTTAGTAACATATTTACTTACATAGGTCATAAGGTATACTCGGAAACTAGTATGCATTTTAGTGTCAGAAATAAAATTATATTATTATAAAATTCTTATAAGCACATTACCATGCTCGTGTATATAATGCACAGCATGCAGCATCTCCTCCCAGTAGTGGACAACCAGCGTAGGCGGCAGGCCGGCGCCGCGTGCGCGCAGAAATGATGATAGATCAGTTTCGCCTACTTCCAGCACTAGGCGCAGGAATTGGTTCGCGCGGTCGTACTGACTGTAAAAAGGATTTAAGCATGATTACCTTACTAAGCTATATCAACATAAAACAAATGAACATAAACACCCTGGACAGCTACAGTTTATACTGCAAGACAAGATAAAAAAACATATACATTACATAATGTGTGATTGCTCTAGAAATATCTATAAATACATATCGCACCTCCGGTGCGACACTGTCACTCATGCAAAAAAAAATTTTTTTCAGGATGAGCGTTTAAAGCTTTAACATCCCAAAACATACAATATTTAAAGAATTTTACGTGATAAAAAGCTTATACTACTTAGCTATTCATCTAAAAAAAATAAAAAAAACACTTTAAATATGTTTTGGGATGTTAAAGTTTTAGACTCTTCTCCTGAAAAAATGATTTTTTGCATAAGTGACAGTGTCGCACCGGAGGTGCGATATATAGTGAAATTTATGATGTTTTGATATTTATAAAACAGTCAAAGCTTACTAGTCATATAGCCTGACAACTCTGTCAGAGTTCTGCAGCTCCCGGAGTAATTTCACTTCATTGATATAGCCCCGAGCCAACTCTTGATCAGTTGCCAGGTACACACACTTCACAGCATATTCACAAGAGGTACCAACTTCTAGAACCTAAGAAAGTATTAATTATTAGGTTTTTCTTCATTCTTTACATCAATTTAGGATTCACTACTTATAAAGCCTAATAAAATTTTAAAAAATTCAATATCATTTATTCAGTCTAGGATGTTACAAGCACTTGTAAATGTCCAAAAGCTACACCATCGGTTCGCAAATCTACGGCGGGAGACCTTGTACTGAGAAGAACCGGCAAGAAACTCAGCCAGGGCTGCTTTTTTCTCCCTGCTTTATTTCATACAATAAGTTAACTTACTTAACATTGTATTCACAAAGAAAGATGCCTTAACTACTCAGGCAGAGCTTATCCACAATAATAGAATATCATTTTTAAAACAAAGTATTTACTCAATCACTTACTTTGTACACTTCGCTGGACCCTCCGGTACCTAATTTTTTAATAAATAAATACTTTTTATCCTTAATGCTAGTTGTTTTGAAGAGTATTTTTGAATTGTTTCCCATAACACCTTGCGGGTAGGATGGAGTGGCCACATAAGAAGCTGGCATTGCCTTTCTATTAACTGGAGTCTCTGGCACAGGTGTAGGTGTTGGCTCCACTTGATTCACAGGACATGGTACTTCAGATTTTGGAGGGTTCTGAGTAAACAACTCGCATCTCACCTTGTCACGATTTTGAATCAAAGCTTTCTGTGGAGTCTTTTTATGACTATGCTTTCCTGAGCTAGGAGTGAATTTCCTAATACCAGACTTAATCTTTGGTGTTGCAGATTTTTTTTGAATAATGACAGGCAGTTTGGACATTTCTGGTGTACTTTTATGTACAGAACCAATCTTGCTTTGAAGAATTTTATTGTTGCTGTGTGGCATAAGAACTGCGTGCTTTTTAGCTTCTGAAGTAGGCGGAACACTTGATAAAACCTTTTTATGAGCACTTTGTATCAAATTGACGTCTTTATTCGAAGAAAATGGGTAGATTAATAGGTCATTCTTATTCATATTTTCCTTGTCATGATCTTTAGTACTCAATTTTCTTTCTGAAGAGTAACCTTTGGTATCTTTGTTGACTTTTGTGATTCTAGCATTAGGTGTACGAAATCCAGTGTTTACTTTACAAGGCGACGGTTTCCTAGCTACAGTTTCGCTAAATGAATTATCACTTTCATCTGCTGATGTAAAACTAGAGTCTGAAGAATTCTCAAGAGGCATCAAGTTGAGTTGAGCGAGCAGTGCCGACATCGGCATCGGTGCAAACTTGATGCTGTTTCCCGTGGATTCTGTATTTTCACTCATGATTTTAGCTTATAAAACTCATTAGATAAACATGTAGTTATTAAAATTTGCAGGAGAATGTTAAATATTCACAAGAAATAACTAGGTGCAAATAACTAAAAACCGTTGATAACTTTTAAATAAAATGACAACAATGACAAATTACTAGCTCTCAGTGAATGACATAAAAAAGACCTGTATTGAACTGAACTGAAGTACCTCCATGGAACTAGACTGAGATTGTACCGATACACTAGGGATGCCCGGTCTGAATCGATTTCTTGAATTCGAATCACTTCACGTTGTTTAAATGACGTCTGCCTGGACGGATGACTAGAGAGCTCGCTGTTAAAGTAGGAACTATAAAAATAAAAGAGGTCGACAAAACCACCTTTCTGGCATTTGTTTTTGATAAGGGGCTTACATGGGAAGCCCATATTGATCACACGTGTGGTAAGCTTGGTGGAGCTTGCTACGCCCGCAACAGATTGTCAAGGCTCATGTCGAGGGAAGTGGTTCGGTCGTGTTATTTCGCAACGGTCTATTCCTTGTTACAGTATAGCGCAGAGTTATGGGGGCGGGCTGCAGACTGGAGGCGAGTATACAGAATGCAGAAACGTGCCATACGTGCTATTGTTAAAATACGATCGGATGAATCAGCACGACCGTATTTCAAAGAACTCGGAATTTTAACTCTTCCGTCGATAGTAATTTTATTTGTGCGGACAAATTTACAATCATACAGTAAAAACAGTGACAAACATTCACACTATACTCGAGGTGCGAATAAGCTGACCTGTGAGCAGAGAACTTTGGTCAAATCGAGCAGGCTAACACATGTCATGGGTTCGACGGTATATAACTTGTTACCAAAGTTGGTCACGGACGCCAAATCGCTTAATAATTTTAAATATAAATTAAAATTATGGCTCTTTGACAGAACTTTTTATAGTGTCGATGAGTTTTTAAATAATAGATCCTTGCATTAATTGGATTGATTAATATTTTTTTTATAATAATGGGTGACTATTGATTTATTAATTCATATTTTATTATTGTTTCTTGTGTTTTACATTTTAACTTGATTTAAGTATAAATATTATATTATAATTGTTTTGACTCTGTAATGTATTGACGTGACAACGTCTTAAATTAGGTTGCGGCTGGGAGTCACTTATGAAAAAGTGTAACGCTCGGTAACGTTACGATGAGTCTCTCGTGTTAAGTTTAAGTTTACATGTACAATGATGTCGATTCTAGCATGATTCTCTAAACCTAAACTTAAATTTGACAGCAGTATATCCTTGTCATTCTCTATACAGAATGAAAAGGAGAGACTGATGTTAAATTTAGTTTTAAGTTTAGAGAATCACGCCAGAATTGGCACCAATGTTTTAGTAAACAAAATATATTTCTATAGTTAAAATTTGTGCAATTCTTATTTTCATTCAATTCCTTGTTCCTATTGTGCAATTTAATTATATTCATATCAATAAATATTCTACCGAGAAAAAGACGTTGTCACGTAAAATCTTCGCCCGTAAAACCGACTTTACAGGCAACCATTTTTTTTTTTTATATAATTTGAAATGGACATGTGAATTGTATTTTGACATTTTGAATTAATTGAATGATTAGTTTAGATGAGTACTTTATGTATTTCAGCTCTGAAATTTATTACGAAATAAATGATTATGATAATATGGTTTTTAAATTGACTCTACAGTGTTGAGGGAGGCGTTCGATCTTCACGGTAGAAGGTCCATGGTACGTTCGAATATTGAGTTAATTTTGTTTATGATAATCTGTTGTGCACATGCGCAGCAGTCGGTATCTGACACACTTCATGTTCAACCGTTGATATGTTTGGTCGGTCCTAACTTAATTTTATAAAGAGCTGTGTTTCAGATGATGTCATGAAATAGTGTAGACTGTGTAGAAACGGAAGTGGCTCACTACTTATAGGTTTCCTAGAACTTATTTGCTAATTATTAATATATACCTAGAGGAAAAACTTTATTTTTTTTGTAGAGATAAGAACATCCAAAAATGAAATAGAAATGCTACTTTAACCCATAAAAAGGGTGCCCCAAAGCTTCGCTACATAAAGGAGAAGTACCTTTAATACTTTAGAAAGATTGTTTTGTTGAATGAAGTTTTAATTTTTGTTTGAAAAACTTAACGAATTGCTTTCAAATAATGTCTAAACCGGGAGTTACACCCGAAAAATGAGAAATATAAATTGCCGGTACTTTCACTTTACCGATCGAAGGCACATTTAAAACATCTGTAAGAAAAAGACCATGTCAAAGGTTAATTTTAAAATTTTGGTCAGAATAATGTTTTGACTTTTCTTGATGTCGTGCTTATTACAACTGATTTTATGTAGTACTTTTCATTATTTCAATGTACAACGCGATTCGTACCAATTTGGTTGTTGTCTGGCAGTTGGGGATCCAACTGCTGGGTGGTGTACATAGAGTATACTGGTATGTGGTGTATATTATAGGTATAATCTTAGTAATTTGCGTAATATAGACTAACAATCATCAATCCATTGGCTAGATGTCAACGGATCTTGTGCGATTGAATGAATAAGAGAGGAGCTTATCTTCGTTTCTGGATAATCGTAGTAATGCATTGTTTATAAACACACTACAAATATGGTAACTGATGTCGATTTTTTAACCCCGTGTTTCGACTTAGGGGGAGCGGAAAGGGATGGATAGGGATATGGATAGATATCCAAAAGTCACAAAATGAATAAGTATTTTTTTCTGGCACTCTGCAGTTCATTTTGGAGTCAATAAGTAAGTCTATGTTTATGTTTGTATTAAAGTATATTTATTAAGATTAATAAATTACAACTATATACACAGATCATCATAATCTTATACACTATAAGCCTTAAAATAAATACAGTTTGTCATTATTCTGAATGAAGGACTGATTGGTAATAAATCCAATTCTTAAGAGACATACCTATAGTATGCTAAATTATCCTCAATAAAAGAACATCATTTGTTAATAATTGATTAATTGAGACTATTGATTTTTATTAAATTTTTATATTATGAATCAGATTCGGTAGATTTCTCAGGATATCTGCATTCAGGAGTGGCACACTCGCATTTCATGAACTTCGATTTGACTTGCCAAAACTTATCTCCGTAGTCAAATCTGAAACAATAATTTCGGCACTGTAGTGATTGAAAAAGGAAGTTGATATTTTCATTATACAAAATTTTGCATTGTATAAGATGGTGGTTTGAAGGGAGCGATCCTGGGTTCGAGTTTCAGTAGGGGCATTCATTTGTATAATATTCATCACTGGATGTGAAATGTGAGATAAATGCATGAAATCTTGTCGTAAAATATATTCCGACTAAATGTGATTTTTTATGAGTTGAGAATATTTTTTCTATCTAAATATATATATATATATAAATCAATTGCTGTTAGTTAGTCTGGCTAAAACTCGAGAACGGCTGAACGGATTTATCTTATCTTAGTCTCGCAATGTTAATGGAAATTTACAAGGTGAGAAAAAATTTAATTCTACACTTCAGCTCTACACCGAAGCGAAGCGAGGGCGGGCCACTAGTCTTCAATAAAAATTGTATCGACATATAATGGAGAAACTTTATCCCACATCAAAACGGGAACTAAAGTCGAAATTGTTTTAATCATAATACAGTCTCTGTCTTTAGCAAACCAACGTAAGCGTATCATCTATATATATAAAACTCAAAGGTGACTGACTGACTGACATAGTGATCTATCAACGCACAGCCCAAAACACTGGACGGATCGGGCTGAAATTTGGCATGCAGGTAGATGTTATGACGTAGGCATCCGCTAAGAAAGGATTTTGATCAATTCTACCCCCAAGAAGATAAAATAGAGAATGAAACTTTGTGTATGAAACTTTGTCAATTTTAAACCGATCGGGCTGAGATTTTGAACAATAACTATAGTCTACACTGCAGCTCTACACCGAAGCAAAGCGGAGCGCAGTCCTAAGTTTAAAATATACTAGCAAACCAGTGAACCAAATGTTCACCAAAACCTGATTTCTCGAAAACCGCAAGTGCTACGTTACTCAAATCAGGTTTGTAGTCTTATCAGACTATTCTTAACTTATAACTTAAATATTCTCTTTATCTATCTCTTACGGTTTGGCCGCTGAAACAGCACCACAGACAGACGGACTTGTCTAATAGATAATTCCCTATTTTATCCCCTTGGGGGTAGAATTGATCAAAATCCTTTCTTAGCGGATGCCTACGTCATAACATCTACCTGCATGCCAAATTTCAGCCCGATCCGTCCATCTAAGTTTAAAATATATTTATAATTTTTATTATTTTTAAAGCATGTAACTGCTTGATGTTTTAAATCTAAAGAAAGTATAACTAGATTTTTTTTCTCGTTATATTTTCTTTAGATTTAAAGTATATTGTTTACGTGAGCTCCTCCCCGGCGCGGATGTCCCTTGTCGCGAACAGCACGATGGCAGGCAGGCGCAGGTCTCGCGCTTGCGGGAACACTCGCACGGGCGCGAGGTTAGCGCTGCAGCTGTGGTTCACGAAACGCGCCGCGCTGCCGTAGCGGCATGCGTCCACGCACAGAAGGGTCTTCTCGTTGCATTGCTGCAGGGACAGATACGACGTAAATCAAAATGGTTAGTTACTGATTGAGTAATTGACAGAAGAGCTCGATGGCGCAAGTGGTTAGTGCGTTTGGCTGCGATCGTTGAAGTTAAGCAACTTTCGCAGTGGTCGGTCATTGGAGGGGTGACCAAAAATTTACTATCTCGAGTTCCTCCGTGCTTCGGAAGGCACGTGCAGTCGTTAGCACCCGCCAATCCACACTGGGTCCGCATGGTGGGTCATGGCCTAATCTCCCTATTTCATCCATAGGGAAGGCCTGTGCCCCAGCAGTGGGGACATTAAAAGGCTGATGATGATGAATTGATAAATAAGTTAGTGATTGTTTCGAAAAGAAGAAAACAGGACTTTTCTGTTGTGAGTGTATATTAAGAGTCAAAATTGACGAATAGAGATGACGTGAGTACGCAAAGACATTATTGTATGTTAGCAATAGTTTAACGAAACACCTTATGTTGTTAATTTTTTTAAAAATATTTTCGTCTCCATATTTTAAATTTAATTACGGGTGCAACAGCGTTACTAATTTTCCTACAAATATCGTTAATTATTTATTTTTTTTGGAAGACCAACAGCTATTAATTAAAGAGTAAAAACTTAAATACTATCAAAAAACTAATTACAGGCACACTTTTAACATTATAATTACAAAAAAACGGCATGGTCCAACTGTGCCTGTTAGTTACAAAATGCACTACTCAATATTAAATTAATTGTAAACTTCGATTCTCAAATTGAAAGAAAAAAGACCTTGATTAGAGTGATAAGTAAAAATATCAATAAAAAGATAATAATATTTCATTAATATCCTGCAACACCGCACAGCAGTAGCTCGCCGCAGTAGAGGGGGCGGCGCGGGGCATATACCTGCAGCAGGTCGGGCTTGAGGTCGAGCGCGAACATGTAGCGGTCGACGGCGCGCGTGTCTGCCGCGCTGAGGGGCAGCAGCTCGCCGCAGTAGAGGGGGCGGCGCGGGGCATATACCTGCAGCAGGTCGGGCTTGAGGTCGAGCGCGAACATGTAGCGGTCGACGGCGCGCGTGTCGGCCGCGCTGAGGGGCAGCAGCTCGCCGCAGTAGAGGGGGCGGCGCGGGGCATATACCTGCAGCAGGTCGGGCTTGAGGTCGAGCGCGAACATGTAGCGGTCGACGGCGCGCGTGTCGGCCGCGCTGAGGGGCAGCAGCTCGCCGCAGTAGAGGGGGCGGCGCGGGGCATATACCTGCAGCAGGTCGGGCTTGAGGTCGAGCGCGAACATGTAGCGGTCGACGGCGCGCGTGTCGGCCGCGCTGAGGGGCAGCAGCTCGCCGCAGTAGAGGGGGCGGCGCGGGGCATATACCTGCAGCAGGTCGGGCTTGAGGTCGAGCGCGAACATGTAGCGGTCGACGGCGCGCGTGTCGGCCGCGCTGAGGGGCAGCAGCTCGCCGCAGTAGAGGGGGCGGCGCGGGGCATATACCTGCAGCAGGTCGGGCTTGAGGTCGAGCGCGAACATGTAGCGGTCGACGGCGCGCGTGTCGGCCGCGCTGAGGGGCAGCAGCTCGCCGCAGTAGAGGGGGCGGCGCGGGGCATATACCTGCAGCAGGTCGGGCTTGAGGTCGAGCGCGAACATGTAGCGGTCGACGGCGCGCGTGTCGGCCGCGCTGAGGGGCAGCAGCTCGCCGCAGTAGAGGGGGCGGCGCGGGGCATATACCTGCAGCAGGTCGGGCTTGAGGTCGAGCGCGAACATGTAGCGGTCGACGGCGCGCGTGTCGGCCGCGCTGAGGGGCAGCAGCTCGCCGCAGTAGAGGGGGCGGCGCGGGGCATATACCTGCAGCAGGTCGGGCTTGAGGTCGAGCGCGAACATGTAGCGGTCGACGGCGCGCGTGTCGGCCGCGCTGAGGGGCAGCAGCTCGCCGCAGTAGAGGGGGCGGCGCGGGGCATATACCTGCAGCAGGTCGGGCTTGAGGTCGAGCGCGAACATGTAGCGGTCGACGGCGCGCGTGTCGGCCGCGCTGAGGGGCAGCAGCTCGCCGCAGTAGAGGGGGCGGCGCGGGGCATATACCTGCAGCAGGTCGGGCTTGAGGTCGAGCGCGAACATGTAGCGGTCGACGGCGCGCGTGTCGGCCGCGCTGAGGGGCAGCAGCTCGCCGCAGTAGAGGGCGGCGGCGGCCCCGCGCGGCACGGGGCTGGCGGCGCGCAGTCCCCAGCCGCGCCCCAACGTGCGGAATACTTCAGCGCGCACGCCGAGCGATCCGCGCGACATGATGCGGCTCACTACCATGTTCTCACACTTGCGCTGTTTGAAAATTAGCAATCATTTTGTTAGGTTTAGGTGATATTTAGTTGAATTCAATCATAAATTCAAATGTCCCGTAAAGAAGTAAAAAAACCGTATGATCATATTCTGCCATTTTTCTAGATGATTGCAACTTGTCAATGAGTTTTGTAACTAAAGGCCAGCTGTGAATGAAATGTATTTATTTTGCACTCTCACCATCTTCGGAAAAAAGATATTTTTTTTAGTGTAGCCTCCCACTGTCAGTGTGTGTGTGTGTGTGTGTGTGAGACCTTGTTGCAGGCGCAGGTCTGGTTGCGCTCAAACAGCATGGGGGGGTCGTGGTTGGGGAAGGCGGGTATCAGTGTGCCCCGCCCCCTGTCAGTGTGTGAGTGGGGATGTGTGTGTGTGTGTGACCTTGTTGCAGGCGCAGGTCTGGTTGCACTCGAACAGCATGGGGGGGTCGTGGTGGGGGAAGGCGGGTATCAGTTTGCCCCGCGACCACCACATTCTCACGCTGAGCACGACGCATGCGCAGTTACTTCCGCAAACGTCCACGCAGTCGCATCCCTGATAAAAAAAAAAGAATATTTTACTATCCAGACAAGAAGGAGGAATGGAGGAGCTTGATGGAGCAACTGGTTAACGCGATCGGTCGGCAATCGCGGAAGTTAATCAGCTATCGAAATGTCCAATTTATGGGAGGGATTACCGAACATTTACTAACTCGAGCTCTTCCACGATTCTGTTGGTCTTTTAACTGCACTGACCAAAGCCCGTAAAGTGGGTCACGGTGTCCCAACCTCGCTATCCATAGGAAAAGAAAATCTGTGCCCTGCAGTCAACTTGCATAACAGCTATCATATAACTGGCGCCAATAAAAAATACGAATCGCAAAATGACGACTTGAATGTAAGACATTTTGTCCCTCTCGCACATGCTGTCCTCAGTAACGTGCGACAAAAAGATAAGAATGTCTCGCGTCAGCATTTTCGATGCGTTTGTTTAATATCACGGCAGCGTTATGCTGAAGCAGGGTCCTGATTTCCCAATATTATAATTAAGATCTGTTCTTTTATTATTTTTTTTACAAAAGTGAAAGCAGCAAAAACTTAATTATAATATTGGGCAATCAGGACCTTGCTTCATCATAATGCTGCCATGACATTCAAGAATAATTAAACATATAAATATATTAATTATATGCTTGCGTTTTATTGGTCAATAAAATGGTTCCCTCTCTCTCTCTCTTAATGTCACGAGTTATAAATATGGGTGAGTTGTTGTTGTGAATCCCAGCAGTAATCATAATAATCAAAATCATTCATTCAGTTAAGGCTGTTACAAGCACTCATGAATGTCTAGAAGCTACGCCATCGGTTCGTAAATCTACTGCGGGAGACCTTGTACTGAAAAGAACCGACAAGAAACTCAGCAAGGGCTGTTTCTTCCTCCCTATACATAATAATATGAGTAAAATAAATTAGCGTTACCTTCATGGTGGCGATGGAGTCGTCTATGGCGACGGGTTCTGGTAGCAGGTGGCTGGTGACGTAGGTGAAGTCGGTGGGTAGAGGTTCGTCGTCCACTTCGTTCACGCACGGAACCGGATATTCCTCCAGGCCGTTCGATATATCACTGTACACAAGAGGAGAGAATAAAATCATAAAAAGGGCATGCAGGTTGTATAATGATAAATTTATGAATAGTGTATTTGACAGTATTATAAATAAAGTGCCAATTGTTAGCATCTGTGTTTAGAATGAATATTGACAGGGGATTATACCATTTTTACAAAAAAAAATATTCCAAATTTTACTAAAAACCCACGAAAAAAATAATAGTTTTCTTATCTATTGTCACGTGACCCAAAACGCTTGGGATTGGCGGAGCCTAAAATGACGTCAAACGCAAGTAAACTTCCGGTTAAAGTGACATTTCATTGTGTCATTTGACGTTTTAATAACAGTCGTGTGACGTCACACACTAGTAAGATGCCATATTGTCCAGAGAATGATATCGCTAAAATGAAATCTGAAAATCTAAAAAAAATACAACGCAAAACATTAACGCGCTAAGTACGTGTTCTGTTTGACGAAACCTTTAATTTTTACTTCTGCGCAATAACGGTCAGCGCTCGAGTTTCGTGGCGCGACTTACCTCGACAGTATTTTACAGCGGGTCGGGTTTCCAGTGATCTGCGCCATGTGCATATTGAGCGCGATGGCTGTTTGACACGCGCCCGTGCATACGTCCGCTGGCAACTCGCCCGCGGAGTTTTCTACGTCAGTCTGACATATGAAACAATTAAAATAAATAATGAATATTTCCAACATGTTACACTTGTTAGGCTTGTGTTATATGATACTAGAGTGACGGATAGAATACATAATGAAGAGCTGGCGAACAAAACAAAATTCAAATATTTTTTTACAATCCGGAGGTGTCGGACTCATTGAATTTGAATCTCAAATAATTTTAAATCAAAACCGCCTAAACCAGTGTTAAAATTACAAAATTTATAAATTCAAAACCATGCCGAAAGCTCACTGTAGGTACGTCATTTAGTTTTATAATCAGCTCCTGTAAAATTTATTTTTGTGTAATTATACTGTTTTGTTCGCGAGCTCCTCTATATATAAGAAGTATATTTATCTAGAAACATAGATAAACATCCATGACTTATATACAAATGCTCGTATTTATCATACTAACTAACTAACTTGCATTTGCCCCACGGTTTCGAACCCGGGACCTCTGAGTAGGGGACACCTTGAAACCCGGCATACATACCACTCGGCCAAGGAGGCAGGGCTTAAAACCGGTTTCGATTATATCGGTAAATAAAGGTTAATACCGGTTTTTAGTAAAGGTTTCGTTCGGAGCGCGTCCGAAATGAAAGCGGTACCTAAAACCTTAATAAACCGGTTTAATCCAGAGCGACACGTGCACGCATCGGCATCGCTTGAAGTTTGTGTTGTTTGAACTAATCAAGTCACAATTTGTTAATGCTCAGAGATTAATGCATTTATTGACACGTTTGCTAGCGTCTAGTGAGTCAAGTTATTCATTTATTATCGATGCCGTCATTAAGAGCGAAATGAAACCCTTTAAAAACCGCTAAATCAATCAAAACCTATTTGATTTCGCTTTTTGGGAAAACCGTTTTTTTAAGGTTAAGGTAGAGCCAAACCTAAATAAAACGCTCTAATATACTTGACACTGATTTAGGTATGAAAATTAACCGGTAAATAAGCCTTCAAGGAGGTCGTCAATAATAACAATATTATGAGTAAAACTATAGAAACAAAGCTTCATGCAAATGCGCGCGTGTGAGTGAGCACTGGCAACCTGTTTGTCACGCCTCGTCTCTGCCACGCAGAGTAACGCAAAATGTTTATGGTATTATAGTAAAACATACCTTTGCGCCACGAGCTAACAATATGATGACACACGCGTAATGACCTTGGCGAGCTGCGATGTGCCTGAAAACAAAGAAAATATGTTAACAACTCAATGTATTTACACAAAATAACATATTTACTAAAATTCGTGAAATTTTTTTTTTTGCAAAAAATAAAAATAAAAAACCAAAAACTTGGTTATTCGAATTTTTCACATAAATTTTGAGGTTATGTGAAAAAAGTGTCGATACAAAAGTTGTAGATCTTTTTATTACCTACAACTTTGCCATTTAACTTTTTTTCGTAGGACTCGATTAACCGTTTTTTACCCTTAAAAACTTACCCCCTCCTCCTTCCCGACCTCAGATCGCCCGTAATTTATTTTTCCTTTCATTTTTGTTATATTCTCTACCTTTTCCAATGGGTTTTATCCTACTTATATTTTTTTTGGTCTCAAAAATTATCGTCCCTGGTCTATGGTATATGGACTCACAGCGGCGTGTCGTGGTGCGCGTTATGGTGGTGCACAGTATGGGGCGCGGCGTCCAGTAACAGTTTGAGTGAGAGCGGGGAGTTGTCTATATATGGCAGGTATAGTACAGTATTCGCTATGTGCACGACAGTAGCGCCACCTACAATGCGCAACTTTCCGGGATTATGCCAAATAATGACATCAGTTTGTATTTTATTGATTTCTAGTAACTATAGTAAATTAAAGATAAATAAAAAATATTATATATTGTATAATAATTTAAATACTGTCGGATTTCAATTCGGAATTCAGTACAGTCAATAATAACTCTTGTATTGATGTAATCTGGACTGAAACACTTGGGCATTGTTGCTTGTACGGTGGCTCTATTCCGCCAAAAGATTAAATTAGCAGTTGAACAAGCTACATTTTGTAAGATCGAATGAAATATACGTGAGATTGTGGTTTTGTGTACACCAAACACTCAATGCTGAAAATGTCAAGCCAGTTTTCATTGTTATCAAAAAAATCAGAAGTCGGTCTTTAGTGGAAACTGTACAGTTTTTTTATAGTTAATAAAAACTCAAAATTGCTAAATGACACACCAGCAAGATCTAGGAGTTCTTGATCATTTTTTATTGATGAAATACCAACAAATTCTTGACTTTTTGTTTCGGTAGATTGATCCTCATACGATTTTTTGTCAGTGCCACAGCTTTTATCTTTATTTCTTAAATTATTTGTCATTAAAATTCTTGATGTTGCTATATCTGCTTGGATTTCAGCATCACAGTGATCGTTGTAAATTAATCTAATACAAATAAAAATTGTATCTCTTAATTTCGATTCAGAAAACATATTGACTTGACATACTTGATCGACCATAAAAGGTTGAGTTTGATTTAATTATTATTTGACTTGATGTGGTATCTGAGACTTTGTGGTTCATCGTTTTGTCAAGTGTGTATATCTAGCTAGGACCTGTGAATCATTAACCTTCCTCTTTCGATATATTTCAGGGAATATTCGAAGGAGCATAACTCGGATTTTCTTCCTCGTCTGATTTTTTTTCCCATAAAATGTTCACTACAAATTGTGTCGTCAGGTTTGGGATACCATGGTGACCCATCTACACTAAAATAATAAAGAAAATAATGAATATCACATAAAATATAGCGCAAATAAAATTGATCATAATTTATGGTTATTTCGCTTACTTATTTCTTTTTATGGCATCTATCCACTTATTTCTTTGATTTAATTTCCAGTCCAATGTAGGTAATATAAACACAGACTATTTGTGCCGTTATTTTTGCAGTTCACAACACAACAACATCTATTATTAGGCTTTTTAAAAAAAATATTTATTACGAACTCCGTGCAAATTGACTTCACTTTCCCGGATTGTTGCGTATTTCTGCCACGATAAGCGCTGCGATCGCTTCACAATACCCCCACCATGTACTTCGCACATAGCGAATAGAGAGAGGGCGAGGGCTAGCACTCGGCATGGTATATGGACTCACAGCGGCGTGTCGTGGTGCGCGTTATGGTGGTGCACAGTATGGGGCGCGGCGTCCAGTAACAGTTTGAGTGAGAGCGGGGAGTTGTCTATATATGGCAGGTATAGTACAGTATAGAGAGAGGGCGAGGGCTAGCACTCGGCATGGTATATGGACTCACAGCGGCGTGTCGTGGTGCGCGTTATGGTGGTGCACAGTATGGGGCGCGGCGTCCAGTAACAGTTTGAGTGAGAGCGGGGAGTTGTCTATATATGGCAGGTATAGTACAGTATAGAGAGGGCGAGGGCTAGCACTCGGCATGGTATATGGACTCACAGCGGCGTGTCGTGGTGCGCGTTATGGTGGTGCACAGTATGGGGCGCGGCGTCCAGTAACAGTTTGAGTGAGAGCGGGGAGTTGTCTATATATGGCAGGTATAGTACAGTATAGAGAGAGGGCGAGGGCTAGCACTCGGCATGGTATATGGACTCACAGCGGCGTGTCGTGGTGCGCGTTATGGTGGTGCACAGTATGGGGCGCGGCGTCCAGTAACAGTTTGAGTGAGAGCGGGGAGTTGTCTATATATGGCAGGTATAGTACAGTATAGAGAGGGCGAGGGCTAGCACTCGGCATGGTATATGGACTCACAGCGGCGTGTCGTGGTGCGCGTTATGGTGGTGCACAGTATGGGGCGCGGCGTCCAGTAACAGTTTGAGTGAGAGCGGGGAGTTGTCTATATATGGCAGGTATAGTACAGTATAGAGAGAGGGCGAGGGCTAGCACTCGGCATGGTATATGGACTCACAGCGGCGTGTCGTGGTGCGCGTTATGGTGGTGCACAGTATGGGGCGCGGCGTCCAGTAACAGTTTGAGTGAGAGCGGGGAGTTGTCTATATATGGCAGGTATAGTACAGTATAGAGAGAGGGCGAGGGCTAGCACTCGGCATGGTATATGGACTCACAGCGGCGTGTCGTGGTGCGCGTTATGGTGGTGCACAGTATGGGGCGCGGCGTCCAGTAACAGTTTGAGTGAGAGCGGGGAGTTGTCTATATATGGCAGGTATAGTACAGTATAGAGAGAGGGCGAGGGCTAGCACTCGGCATGGTATATGGACTCACAGCGGCGTGTCGTGGTGCGCGTTATGGTGGTGCACAGTATGGGGCGCGGCGTCCAGTAACAGTTTGAGTGAGAGCGGGGAGTTGTCTATATATGGCAGGTATAGTACAGTATAGAGAGGGCGAGGGCTAGCACTCGGCATGGTATATGGACTCACAGCGGCGTGTCGTGGTGCGCGTTATGGTGGTGCACAGTATGGGGCGCGGCGTCCAGTAACAGTTTGAGTGAGAGCGGGGAGCCGGCGAGAGCGCACCAGTGTATGGCGCCGTTGCCTTCGGAGTCTCGCGTCGCTGCGTCTGCGCCGTTTGCTAACAGTAATCTGTATGACGAAATAAATTAAATAACTCCTTTGAGAATTCATTAAAGCGGAACCAGGCGTGGTCGCAGTCAACTGTTTTGAGGGGAGCATTATTATTATTATTTAGAAAGATTGATTGAAAAATAAAGATACGAATTAGTGGGAGACTTAGGGTAATATTAATGTAGAATAGGTTATTTGACAGTATGAAAAATAAAGTAGCAATTGTTGGCATCTGTATTTAATATGTATATTAGCGATAAGATTTTACTCTTCTGTAAGAACAAATAAATAGAAAACGAGCGAGCCTTACAGTAGTAGCGTATGATGTGTAACATTTACAACCTCACCTTATAATAGTAATAAAGAAATAAAACCTACTACAAAAGGAATAAGCAATTTGAACATTATGTTCTAAAGTCCCGCGGCTCTACGAAGGCGCCGCCGTTCCGTAGTAACATGCACATGCACACACACACACATACACTCACTCACACACACACTCATACATACTCTCTCTCACACACACACACTCACTCACACATACTCTCTCTCTCACACACACACACACACATACATACTCTCTCTCACACACACACTCACTCACACATACTCTCTCTCACACACACACTCACACATACTCTCTCTCTCACACACACACACTCACACATACTCTCTCACACACTCACACACACATATTCTCTCTCACACACGCACACTCACACATACTCACACACTGGGCGCATCATTACCTGAGGGCGGGGGGGTGACGGTGCTCCGCGGCCCACACGAGGGGGCTCCACCCGCCGTGGTCCCGCGGCTCTACGAAGGCACCACCGTCCCGCAGTAACATTTCGCATACGGTCACGTTCCCATGTTGCGCGCCCATGTGGAGGGCTGTCATACCCTCCGGGCCCTGGAAACGATAACGAAATAGTGAACAATGAACATGTGAGCGTACTAATAGTCTAATAAAGAAAATCTTACTTAAAAAAATAACTACGAGGACCAGACTGCAGACGGGACTAAATTTAAACATCTAGCAGTTAAATGCTTAAAAAATAAAAATACAATAGTCTCATTCTATGCTATATTCTCGCAATATACTTTATTTTAAGGTTGCTAACAAACTTATAAACTCTGATAGAGGTAACTCATATCGGTGATACGGTAACGTTAACTAATAGCAACTGAATATTCATCGCTATACAATATTGAATTACCATTAAATGTTATGAATTAGTAAAAACAATGTAAGTTTCTTTAAGTCTTCAAAAAGAAAACAATCATTTAATGTGAATATCTAGCAGCTTACCTGTATATTGACATCACAGCCAGCTGCGATCAAATATCTAATACACTTCATGAGATCCTCATCGCTACCCTTCTCAATCTCGTCTTCCTTCTTCTCACTGATACTGTCCTTTTTCTCCTCATCCAAATCTTGCTTTTCAGTTGTCTCCTCATTTAATCTCAATTCTTGTTTGATATCAATATCTTCTAAAATTTCCTTGTCTGCACTTTTCTTATTTTCTTCGTCAGTATCTGTTTTGTCTAACAAAGCTGAAACAGATTGTTATAATGAAATATTGGCAAAGGACATCGATAAAATCGGCCCCAGCATGCACAAAACAATGTCCTTCACTATTATTTTTATAATTTATTAGCAATTAATCATAGTAAACGGACAAGCTGTTTAAAAAAATAAAAGTTCTTTCACTAGATACTACAGTCTGTTCATCCTAACATGTCCTATTTGGTAAACAATATTGGCACTCCTTTTTATTGAAAATACAGCATTTAAAATCATCTGATAACTGGAATCAATAGGTTTCAGTCTATAATAACGATTTATTTTAATAGTTTATTGGCTACGTTATTATTTTATTTTTAAATGGGTGATTTTGTAAAAAAATTGTGCCAAGATTGTTTACCAAATAGGACAAGTAAGGATGGACATACTGTACACAATTTGCTGTCTTTTCATCTTAAGAGCCTTAAGAGACTGTCTCATCTAAATTCAAAAACTTCCGCCAATAAGGTTTACAAAATTATTTCAAACTAGCAAACCAGTGAATCAAATGTTCACCAAAAAAAATAATAATAATAATTAATTGAGAACTTCGGAGATTTTGTGTGGTTTCGTTTGAAATAGAAATCACGTGATTTCTCGAAAACCGGAAGTGCTACGTTACTCAAATCCGGTTTGTTGTCTTATCAGACTATTCTTAACTTATAACTTAAACATTCTCTTTATCTAACTCTTACGGTTTGCCCGCTGAAAAAGCACCACGGACGGACGGACGGACTTGTCTATTAGATAAGAGATACAAGTGTTTTATTTTAATTGAATTCTATTCCATTTTGAATAGATAGCCTTAATAAATTCAATATAGGCGACCATAGGTATGAATTAGTGAAATGATTTTTTATCACATAAACGCTATCAAAGACAAGAATGAAAACTGTGTCAAAATAATCACATACCCGTCACAGTCTCACTATCCTTGTTCTCACTAATACTGTCCTTTTTATCCTCTTCCACATCAGCCACTACCTCTTTTGGCTCCAATTCCTCTTTTATGTCCGATTCCTCTGTGATATCCTTGTCAGTAGTTTTGTCATTATTGTCATCGATTTTATTTTCTGGCTTCACTAATAATGCTGAAAACAGGATTTTATAAATTATTATTGTTGAATTACAATACAAGAAACGTGTACATCTGATCCTAACGGTCGCACTTAGAGACGTCATTTTAACTCATTTTTGGTCAAAGTAACGAGTTCAATGTTTATGCTGATTAAACCATACCGAATGTGCCTTGGAACGCAGAACTTTTATTGTCATAATATTATTATGCATATCAGCGGATGGCATGAACTTCATTTTACAGAAAATAATTTGGCATGTAACAGCGCGTGCAACAATAACAATGAGCCTATATACCATGAATGGCGGCCATGAGCGAGGTCCGCAGCCCGTTGTCGAGCGCGTCTATATCCGCGCCGGCGCAGCGCAGCGCGTGCAACAATAACAAGAACAATGAGCATACATACCATGAATGGCGGCCATGAGCGGGGTCCGCAGCCCGTTGTCGAGCGCGTCTATATCCGCGCCGGCGCAGCGCAGCGCGTGCAACAATAACGACAACAATGAGCATACATACCATGGATGGCGGCCATGAGCGGGGTCCGCAGCCCGTTGTCGAGCGCGTCTATATCTGCGCCGGCGCAGCGCAGCGCGTGCAACAATAACGACAACAATGAGCATACATACCATGGATGGCGGCCATGAGCGGGGTCCGCAGCCCGTTGTCGAGCGCGTCTATATCCGCGCCGGCGCAGCGCAGCGCGTGCAACAATAACGACAACAATGAGCATACATACCATGGATGGCGGCCATGAGCGGGGTCCGCAGCCCGTTGTCGAGCGCGTCTATATCTGCGCCGGCGCAGCGCAGCGCGTGCAACAATAACGACAACAATGAGCATACATACCATGGATGGCGGCCATGAGCGGGGTCCGCAGCCCGTTGTCGAGCGCGTCTATATCCGCGCCGGCGCAGCGCAGCGCGTGCAACAATAACGACAACAATGAGCATACATACCATGGATGGCGGCCATGAGCGGGGTCCGCAGCCCGTTGTCGAGCGCGTCTATATCCGCGCCGGCGCAGCGCAGCGCGTGCAACAATAACGACAACAATGAGCATACATACCATGGATGGCGGCCATGAGCGGGGTCCGCAGCCCGTTGTCGAGCGCGTCTATATCCGCGCCGGCGCAGCGCAGCGCGTGCAACAATAACGACAACAATGAGCATACATACCATGGATGGCGGCCATGAGCGGGGTCCGCAGCCCGTTGTCGAGCGCGTCTATATCTGCGCCGGCGCAGCGCAGCGCGTGCAACAATAACGACAACAATGAGCATACATACCATGGATGGCGGCCATGAGCGGGGTCCGCAGCCCGTTGTCGAGCGCGTCTATATCTGCGCCGGCGCAGCGCAGCGCGTGCAGGGCCGCCACGTACCCGCGCGTCGCAGCGGCGTGCACGCTGCTGCCGCCTCCTAAGCTGGGCAGCTGCTCGTTCACTACCGCCGGGCACGCTGCGACACAATGCGATTCAAACTTAGACACCTCGACACTAGACAGCCGCAACCAACCAACCAGGATCTCTATTTTTGACTCACTCGCCTGACATAGTATCGTCGAATGCGACATTCGCCTTCCAATTCGCATGATACTGATTTTCTGTGTTTTTGAATCGTTCGTCTACAGTGTTACCAGTTTAATACAAAATATTTATTGAAGTTATACTTCTTTAGCCGCGTTATGAAAAAATTATGAGAGTGAAATTTTAAGATGCGCGCGCATCACTGTAACACAAAAGTAACATAATGAAGTTAGCCGCGGGCGCGTTATGAAAAAATGATGAGAGTGAAATTTTAAGATGCGCGCGCAACACTGTAACAGAAAAGTAACACCATGAAGTCGGCCGCTAAACCACACATTACTCGTAAGTCTCGAAAAAAAGCTTCCAACAAAATAGTAATAGGATCTCTTAGTCGCACATGTTGGGACGCTCGTCGCCTCTGATCACTGTTTTCATATTTATAATATTTATCCACATGTTTCTAGTTTCTATATTCTTAACACGTGTTATAATGTTATACAAATGCGAAATTTATATGTGCTAATAAATTTTATTCAGTAGTGATTTAAATTGAATATTTTGATTATTTATTAAATTTTTCAAATTAAAACTGAACTTTATTGACTGCGTTGACTATCCTTTTCCAATCCTTTTATTATCTTATTGTAATTAATTATCTGCATGCAATTAAAAACTATTTTTTAATAATTCCAAAAAGAAGTATAACTTCTCACGCGCGTACTTAAGTACACGCACCCATATTCATTTTTATTAATTTCACATAAAAAGCAGTCATTACCGCTCTGAAATAATTCTTAATAATTGGTTATTCAATCTTCGGAGAAAAGATCAAAACGTCGCAACAAATCGTTATCTTATCGTATGACGACCTCCGTGGCCGAGTGGTTTGTACGCCGGGTTTCATGGTGTCGCCGACTCGAGAGGTCCCGGGTTCGAATCCCGGTGGGGGCAGATGTTTGTGTGATGAATGCGAGCATTTGTACTCCAGTCATGGATGTTTAATATGTATTTCTATATACTTATATATGTACAGTATATGTATTCTATCCGTTACCCTAGTATCCCATAACACAAGCCTTAGAGTGCTTACTTTGGGGCTAGGCTAATTGGTGTGAGTGTTGGAAATATTTATTTATTATTTATTTTAAAAAGATTGAGAATATCTGACATAAATTTGACAATTATTGTAGCATTCGCCTCCTACATTCGCCAACGCGCAACAAGTGGTCAAGACCGCACGAAGACGTCAAGCGATTAAAAAATAAGTAATTTATTGTCGAATCAAAATTAGTTTAAATCGAGCGTTTGACGCAAGGCAAGTGATTCAAAAATAGAGCCCCAGGTTAACTAAAGAACCTATACGAACGTCACACACTTGGCCGCAACAGCCAACCTCAGTTAATCAGCCGGCCTATTCGCTAAATGTTTTGACATTTACATTGCGTAAATAAAGTGAAAATTGCATATCCTTCGACGCTTTTTAGAACAACTATCTTAGTGGCGTTATAATAAAGCAGTAATGGATCTCTAAATAGATCAGTGATTATCACTTCCATCTGAAGTAATAAGATCATATTACTGGACACGGGACAACACGAAAAATTCCGAGAGAGAGAGAGAGAGAGAATCATTTTATCAATCATAATCATAATCAAAATCATTTATTCAGTTTACAAGCACTCATGAATGTCTAGAAGCTACGCCATCGGTTCGTAAATCTACGGCGGGAGACCTTGTACTGAGAAGAACCGGCAAGAAACTCAGCAAGGGCTGTTTTTTTCTCCCTGTTTTATTATTTACAGAGTCGTCAAATTGAAAAATGACTTCAGAGGTGATTCATGAAGTCACTTTTCATTACATAATTATTAAATATACATTAATTGTTTACCTGCATTTTGATTGCTGTGTCATACAGTATAAATACAAATAGTGTTATTTATATTCAGTGTGACTAAACATTAACTTCAATATTAAGGAAGTTAGGGCAGACTCATCTCCTCTATTGACCAATAAAAACACTAACATATAATTATAAACAGCTGAAATAAAAACCTATATATACAAAGTAAGCATCACAAACATTGATAAACCTAACAGTTATAATCATGGTCAATCAGGACCCTGCCTCAGCATAATGCTGCTGTGACATGTAACTAAAAGTGTAACGCTGGTATTCTGACAGGGCCTGACTAACTTCTGTACTGACGAGGTGGTGCTCCACAATTTTCACAAAGTTAAATATATTATCACACATATCATTCATAATTAATTTTCTCCAGCAAACAAACTAAAATTAAACTGGAAATAAAGATTGTTGATCTAAATAAGAAATAATACTCACTAATTTTAGATATCAGCTGTTCCACAGGCTCCATAGCTATAATAGCATCGCAAAGCTTCTGTGCAGCTTCTATTACAGACTCTGGGTCTGTATTATCATCTTTCTTTAGGCATAAACTCTTCAGATCTATTGACATGGCCGGCAGTAAGTCATCGGGGATTAGAGGCATTTGGTCCGTTTGTGGTGGTTCTGTGCTCGAGAAGCTTAGGTACGCTTGAGTACTGAAAACAAATAAACTGAATATTATATTGCTCTAATAGGTGGGTTAAGGGAGACACAAATCATGAAGTGTCAAATCAAATAGTGAGAAAAACCGGCATGAAATTCAGTAGATACAAATAAACCTCGTGGAAATGGGTGTTGATGGGCTGCCAGCGGTACTGTGAACGATCTGAGGACTCACCACTGCTCGCGCTGGTCGGGCAGGTAGACGCGCTTGTTGCTGCACTGCATCCGCAGTTTCACCTTGTGGCATTGGGTGTTGATGGGCTGCCAGCGGTACTGTGAAGGATCTGAGGACTCACCACTGCTCGCGCTGGTCGGGCAGGTAGACGCGCTTGTTGCTGCACTGCATCCGCAGTTTCACCTTGTGGCATTGGGTGTTGACGGCCTGCCAGCGGTACTGTGAAGGATCTGAGGACTCACCACTGCTCGCGCTGGTCGGGCAGGTAGACGCGCTTGTTGCTGCGCTGCATCCGCAGCTTCACCTTGTGGCATTGGGTGTTGATGGTATGCCAGCGGTACTGTGAAGGATCTGAGGACTCACCACTGCTCGCGCTGGTCGGGCAGGTAGACGCGCTTGTTGCTGCACTGCATCCGCAGTTTCACCTTGTGGCATTGGGTGTTGACGGCCTGCCAGCGGTACTGTGAAGGATCTGAGGACTCACCACTGCTCGCGCTGGTCGGGCAGGTAGACGCGTTTGTTGCTGCACTGCATCCGCAGCTTCACCTTGTGGCATTAGGTGTTGACGGGCTGCCAGCGGTACTGTGAAGGATCTGAGGACTCACCACTGCTCGCGCTGGTCGGGCAGGTAGACGCGTTTGTTGCTGCACTGCATCCGCAGCTTCACCTTGTGGCATTAGGTGTTGACGGGCTGCCAGCGGTACTGTGAAGGATCTGAGGACTCACCACTGCTCGCGCTGGTCGGGCAGGTAGACGCGCTTGTTGCTGCACTGCATCCGCAGCTTCACCTTGTGGCATTAGGTGTTGACGGGCTGCCAGCGGTACTGTGAAGGATCTGAGGACTCACCACTGCTCGCGCTGGTCGGGCAGGTAGACGCGCTTGTTGCTGCACTGCATCCGCAGCTTCACCTTGTGGCATTAGGTGTTGACGGGCTGCCAGCGGTACTGTGAAGGATCTGAGGACTCACCACTGCTCGCGCTGGTCGGGCAGGTAGACGCGCTTGTTGCTGCACTGCATCCGCAGCTTCACCTTGTGGCATTGGGTGTTGACGGGCTGCCAGCGGTATGACCGCACGCCGCAGTGAGGACAGCCTGGGCGTGGCTTCACCGACTCGTTGTAAGGTAAACCGCACTCCAAGTGGAATAGGTGACCCAGCGAACATTGGTAGAATATTCCCTGTGGGTGAATGCATTCGTTCATATCTCGTCTCCAATTTAATGATAGCTCAGTGTTCAACGAGGAAATTGCGAAGTTATTGTAAACTAATGACTATAAGGCAGAATGAAAAATTACGATTGAACATGAGAAACTACTGAATAATTCTTCTTGATAAGATAGGAAACAAATGTGGTGATATTGTGTATCGGCTTGGTCCTTCGAGCCACATTGTAGGAACCATTTTTTTGTTATATTAGTGGTGTGCAAATGGCCATGTGTCGCCGCAGCTGGGCCGCGTGCAGGCGACACGTGAGCAGGTAGGGCGAGCGGGGCCCGGCGCGCAGCATCGCCTCCAGGGCCCCGTCCACTGTCTCCAGCGCTATACGTGCCAGTGATAGCAGTACCTGCGTGCAGAACAGACCGCAGGCAGGGCAGGCCATGTGTCGCCGCAGCTGGGCCGCGTGCAGGCGACACGTGAGCAGGTAGGGCGAGCGGGGCCCGGCGCGCAGCATCGCTTCCAGGGCCCCGTCCACTGTCTCCAGCGCTATACGTGCCAGTGATAGCAGTACCTGCGTGCAGAACAGACCGCAGGCAGGGCAGGCCATGTGTCGCCGCAGCTGGGCCGCGTGCAGGCGACACGTGAGCAGGTAGGGCGAGCGGGGCCCGGCGCGCAGCATCGCTTCCAGGGCCCCGTCCACTGTCTCCAGCGCTATACGTGCCAGTGATAGCAGTACCTGCGTGCAGAACAGACCGCAGGCAGGGCAGGCCATGTGTCGCCGCAGCTGGGCCGCGTGCAGGCGACACGTGAGCAGGTAGGGCGAGCGGGGCCCGGCGCGCAGCATCGCTTCCAGGGCCCCGTCCACTGTCTCCAGCGCTATACGTGCCAGTGATAGCAGTACCTGCGTGCAGAACAGACCGCAGGCAGGGCAGGCCATGTGTCGCCGCAGCTGGGCCGCGTGCAGGCGACACGTGAGCAGGTAGGGCGAGCGGGGCCCGGCGCGCAGCATCGCTTCCAGGGCCCCGTCCACTGTCTCCAGCGCTATACGTGCCAGTGATAGCAGTACCTGCGTGCAGAACAGACCGCAGGCAGGGCAGGCCATGTGTCGCCGCAGCTGGGCCGCGTGCAGGCGACACGTGAGCAGGTAGGGCGAGCGGGGCCCGGCGCGCAGCATCGCTTCCAGGGCCCCGTCCACTGTCTCCAGCGCTATACGTGCCAGTGATAGCAGTACCTGCGTGCAGAACAGACCGCAGGCAGGGCAGGCCATGTGTCGCCGCAGCTGGGCCGCGTGCAGGCGACACGTGAGCAGGTAGGGCGAGCGGGGCCCGGCGCGCAGCATCGCTTCCAGGGCCCCGTCCACTGTCTCCAGCGCTATACGTGCCAGTGATAGCAGTACCTGCGTGCAGAACAGACCGCAGGCAGGGCAGGCCATGTGTCGCCGCAACTGGGCCGCGTGCAGGCGACACGTGAGCAGGTAGGGCGAGCGGGGCCCGGCGCGCAGCATCGCTTCCAGGGCCCCGTCCACTGTCTCCAGCGCTATACGTGCCAGTGATAGCAGTACCTGCGTGCAGAACAGACCGCAGGCAGGGCAGGCCATGTGTCGCCGCAACTGGGCCGCGTGCAGGCGACACGTGAGCAGGTAGGGCGAGCGGGGCCCGGCGCGCAGCATCGCTTCCAGGGCCCCGTCGCGCGCTCGCAGCGCCGCGTGAGAGCACCCCACGCGGGCCCCGTCCACTGTCTCAACCGCTTGGCAGAACACTGGCTCTACGCAAACAAACATACATACAATTTAGAAAGCCATCACCTTACGGTAGTGCTTCTTAACCGTTGGCCCCAGGAAGCAACCAAAGTGGTCCGCGAAATCATTCGCAAAAATATTACAAAAGGAAGAATGCCGATTCATTTACAAATCCTAGTGGGGTGCCCGTAACATGACGGAAAAAATTGACAAATGTTTCCTCGTCGCTATAAAAGGTTAAGTACCATTGCTTTACAGGCATTAAGTGGCGTCACTGCGAAGCGTCAGCTTAACTGTTCCCTATTTTCATACAACTTCTATACTCTGTTCACGGCAACTAATTAATTTATGATACAGTTTTTTTACAAAAGAGAATAATGAAAAAATGCGCCACACCGGAAAGGGGGAATTGAACAACCTTTAAAAAACGCAACATTAAAAAGTTGAAGGGACTGAAAATGTATAATATAAAAAATCTACAACTTCGTCAACAACAAACTTCGTCAACGTCAACAACGTCCTCAGATCTGAAAGTACCTATGAAACTGGCATTCCTAGTGTTTGACAAATATTAAGTTCCAGCATTATAGTCTTTAAAAGATGTCCTTAGTACTGGTTAGCCCTAAAAAATTACGAGAAAACGAACCCGTGAGCTCGCTAGGCGCTGCGTGCACATTGCTGGGAGTTTCGCAGTAACAGGTGGCCACAATGGTTGATTCATCATCGGGGCATGCAGCCTCTGTGCCTTCATCCCCGCCGGCCGGTTCACTACGAATAAAATGAGAGACACATATTTGATGACATTTATGTTGTATTGTTGTTAATAAACTAAAAACACATATCAAAGGACATAATTTATTAATTTTAAAGATGAGTCATATCTAGTTTAAAGGCACCTTTAAAATCACATTATTTTGTATTGAAATAAGAGAAGAGAGTTGGTTGAAGAGTGAGGAATGTTATTGTTTTACCTGTTATTGTCTTCCAGTTCTGCTTCAGACTGAACATCTTCATTTTTGATGGCACGACTCTTGAGGCGGCGTGATCGGCTGGTAAAGATGAAAAATTATAATTTATTATTTGGAACTTGATCACATCAGAATGAATGTTCTACATCATTTTGATTCAACAAACCTGCCCTCATCTTCCTGTTCTGTCTCAGAATGCTCGACACGCCGCCTGGAACGGTTTCTCTTGGACGGTGGACAGTATTCCCTAAAACACAACATGCATTCATCAGTTCACATCACAACTTTTGCATGGCTTATGCAATGAGATCCTTACCGGTCACTTTCATAATTGCTATATCTTGTGGATCTTCTTGATGACCTCCTTTGAGGTTCCCTGTATTCAAATTAAATACACTGAACCACTGTCCTATCTTCTAAAAATTTAAATAGTGAACTGATCCAAAAGCTATCGGGGAGCTCTCAATCTCTTATTATAGCCTAGTGCTATATTTAATCCACAGCATAACAGCTATTGCATATTAAATATAACAATACAATATACTCACTTCTGATCATCATCTTCAGGAAGTGGTGACTGTGTCTCAACATCTTGCCCTCCATAAGAGGAACATAGTCTGGTAGAGCGGCGAGGCCGTTTGCTCTTTGATGAACCCAATGTACATAAGAAATCTTCACTGCTGTCTTCATCAGCCTCCAGGAGCTTGCTGATTACTTCTTCTGAGTCATCATCCATTTCATCTTCATCCTCTAGGTCAACTTCATCCTCCTCCTCCTCTTCATATTCATCAACTTCCTCATCCACTTCCCTAATATTGACACATCATCAGCCTATTAATGTCCCCTGTTGGGGCACATGCCTTCCCTATGGATGGAATAGGGAGGTTGGGCCATGACCCATCATGTGGGCCCAGTGCCCATTGGTGGGTGCTAATAACTGCAGATGCAGCCAGGACCAACAGCTTAATATGCCTTCCGAAGCCCGGATGAGTTCTAGATAAAAGTTTTTGGTCACCCATCCAATGACGGACCAGTTACTTAACTACAACAATTACAGCCGCACATACTAAGCACTTGCGCCATCAAGCTCCTCAAAGAATATTGACACAATAAATAAAAATTAAACTATAACATTGGATTTTGATCTGATTGCGAGAATAGAAAGCACTTTTTCTCTTTTATTAGTTGGTACACCTTCTATTCAAAATAGACCGCTAACACACAGAGTCAATGCGATAGAGGTTAATCAGGTACTCTCAACTTTCTAAATTTGTATTTTATCATTTATTATAAAGCATGCATTTTTTTTTTCTTAATATCAATACTAAATTCCCTTCTTCTTTTGGTAATTGTACTTAAAAAGATGTGAAAGATATGATCACATCTTTAGTTGATATTAATTATATTAAATACCTTATGGCTTGGCTCATCAGTCAGCAGTCAAAGGCAGAACACTATTAATTCATGAATAGGTATATAATTTACTATAAAATATTTGTGTAAACAAATTGAACAAGAAAAACAGTTCATAATTATACTCACATTTCATCATCATTTTCTTCTTCCATGGAATCAGTATTGATAGCTTTTAGGCCCAACTCACACAAGTGTTTCAACTTCATGACGGTGCTTGGATCTTGTTTATCCTCTGAATTAGAATCATCATCTACAATTTCCTCAACATCAATTGCTTTAATATTTTTAGTATCCTTCTTGGATAACACACTAGATGTAGATTGCTCAAGCCCAGACTGAGTGGGACGAGCTGATCTTCTAGTTTTCACACCATCCTCGGGCTTTTCAATTTGTATACCTAATCGGGCATTGTTTTGAGATTCTAATCCAATTCTTAGTTCTTCATTAGCAAGAATCTTTGCAGTAGGCTTAATTCTACGTGACAACCTCTGAGTTGTTGTAGGTGTTTCGTAGGGCACATGAGTGCCTCTTCTTGTAGGCCTCTTTGATGCAGTAGCTGAGCGGGAGCTGTCCGAACCCTCGTCATTCTCTGAAACTGGCTGGCTTGTGTCTTTATCCTTTTTAGGGGATGCCGACGAGTCTGCCTCATCAGACCATTCCCACTTGCCACGAGTCCTGCTCGATCGACGCGGTGAACACTCTTCATGCTTTTCATCGTTTGGGACTATTTTCATATTGCTAGATTTCGCACCAGACTTCTCGGATCGGAACGTTAAAACGATTCGGGGTTTAGGATCTTCTCCGTCAGACTTTTCTCCTTTCTTGGAGTCAGTTTGAGAGACTACACTGTTATTGTCACTTGTGTGTTGACCTTTGTTGTCGTTTTTTTTCTTTAGTGTGACTGAAGTGCAGTCTTCTTCGGTCTGCATATTTTCAAGGTCCAAGTATCGATCAACTTTTACTGGAGTGCGTCATACAGCCGGGCAGGTTTTAAACAGATTCATTATATTGGTCTTTTTTTACACAAAACAATGAAGACACAAACAGATAACTAACTACAAAATGCAGTCTTCAAATAATGTTACTGTTACGGCTACCGAAAAAGGAGAACACGCAAAATTTCAAATGTTTGTCTTCTATTTAATTCGTAGCATAGTAGAAAAAATTATCTATTTATCAATTTAGCAAAAAATATTACACCTAATGACAAACACCACACCACTGACTCCAACGCATATGCCGGCGCTTCACTTGGTGAACTTTATCGTGTTTGGTCGTGTTTGCTATTTGTAAACTTGACAACAGTCTGTCCTTTTTCTTTCTTAAAAATCATGAATGGACGAAACTTTGTCAAGTTTAGTAAAATCACAAACACGATAAGCCAAGTGTATTGCCGGCATTACAGATTAGGGATGTACGATAAATTGAGTTACCGATAAATATCGTATTATTAATTAACATTGGTGGATTTCATTAAAATATTTTATGCGAATTGCATTACATGTTAATAATGATTAATATTAGTAGATTATCACAATTCCTAGACGAATTATTATCTAAGTCAAAATCACATGCATGTACTAAATAATATATTCCCTCTGTGGGAAGAATTCATTTATTTTAACTAATTACATTTACTAACAGAATAGGTATCATAGTATAGGTTTGTAACTCCCTGCGATCAAAAACTTCTTGTTTGAACAGCTAAGGCGGTTCACCCACTGCACCGCATTCCGTCACGTAGCGCAGGAGCGCAGATTTTAAGGTTGTATGCAACTATTTCAATTTGTATGGAAATCTCTCGACCTATTTTATTTTTCATGTACTCGTTGACTTAGTCCATATAGCTTAAGCAATACATTTTATCACGTTTTTCATCGTGTCTAACTGTTAAACTCCATAGTAATTTGGTGCATCATATCGTTGTGCTCATGCTAGGGGGCTGGTTTATACAACTAGATATAGTAATCATTTCGTCATAGTATATTATTAAAATTGAACTTATAAAACTGATTTAATAGGTTCCTCCTTGTGTACTAAGTTGTTGATCTTATTGGCTGTAATAATGAATAGTTATTAGTCTGTTAGTATTATTCCAATTCCTGACTTAAAAATATGTTTTATTATAAATTGTATTACGTTTGAAGATAACAGTGTAACAATAATGCCCTAGATTTTAGATGAAGTAACCGATTTAAGGACGTAATATATACCGATTTTATTGCGGCAACAACCCTGTGGTTGCTTTGCGAATTCACAAGGCTACGTTCTAAACCTACGCTCTGCGTGGAACGTTGGACGTGTGGAACCTATAAAGAATATTCTAGTATGTATTGTATTGTATTTGATATATTTTTTTGCCCCTTTTATCTATGGTCGCTCCTGGATTGCAGGTTTGGAACGGCCCAGAAATGACGGGAATGAAAGGTATAATTCTCTATACCTTTAAGGTGAACGCAGACTTGGCCGCACCTCAGTCTCCGCAGTCTCCGCAGTCATCGCTTTGTGTTAATGGCCTCGCACATCTATGCGCACCGCAGTCGTTCCCGTCACCGCACGCATCGCACTTGTTTTCATTCATTCAGTTGATGCGAATGCGGCTGCGGCTTGGGGAGTTCGATCGTTTCAGGGACAGCGACGCGGGTGGATGTGCGAGGTTGCATAGAACTTCATACATATAAAGAATTCGAATGTGAAGACTGCGGTGCCGCCAAGTTTGCGTTCACCTTTAATAGGGGAAAATATAGTAATGCTAAGAATTAGTGGAATCTTTAAAATATACGCTATTCAAGTCAAGTCAAGGTCAAGTGGACGTGAGAACTTTATTGTAGTGTTGACTACCTCACAGAAGCTTATCGAAAAAGCCAACTCGACACATTTCGTGCCAAACACTCCAAGAAACATTAGAATGCGTCACACCGACATTCTAATGTATAAACAAAAAGAAGATAAATTGATTTAAAGACCAGGCTGTATGGGCATTGTTTTCTTTGCCTTCCCTAGAACGGGAGAACTTCAACAAAAAAAAAACATTGTGACGGCTGATCACCACAGATTTAGGGACACGATATCGAATAGAAAGTATCGATACTGTACTCATGAGTAGTATCGGTAAAAAAGTATCGTACTCGTAAAAGTATCGAAACAAAAGTATCGATACTTCAAAGTATCGAGTATATTTCATATCGGATCCTCTGTGGCCCGATGAGCAACCCCCCCCCGGGTTAAAAACTGAAAGAAAATTTATTATAGTACGTATAATAACTGTAAAAGGACATATAAATTCACAAATTGCTATATTATATAATGAAAAGAAAATAGCTGTGATTTCTGACACTTAAAAAGTGTTCATTAATATCACATTAATAATTACTTGAATCTGACACGCAGTTAACGGCGGCCATTGGCATGCTTCACTCAATATTATAATTATAGAAGAGGTTACGTCCGTCTTTTTTTCAGGTCCGTGGTTTCAAATAGGTATACACAGCACAGACAGAATAATAGTGTTACACTTGAATACATCAAATGCAGTCAAGCGAAAAGCACATTAAACGGCGAATCATCAATCACAATTCCTAACAATATGGTCGCTAAATAAATAACTATGAAACAAAACAAAGCGTAAAATAAACACAGTCACAGATTGGAAAGAATTTGAATATATCATAACAATATGAGGCGCTTGTCCAAATTTTAAAAGTATCGATACTTACTTGCCAAAAAGTACTCAATAAGTAAAAGTATCGAATACAAAGTATCGAGTACAAAAGTATCGGTATCGAAAGGAAAAGTACTCGATACCACAAAGTATCGATACTTTTTTCGTGTCCCTACACAGATTATCATCACGGCTGTACTCGGCGAGTATGCGTTCATGTGTTGCGATCTTTTCTATATTTCGAAAGTTTTTTTGGTAATCAAGCCATTTAATTTATTAGTGAGAAAGCTAAAGAAGAAGAATCATAGAACTTCCTGAGTGTCTGTGACCTTCTAAGTGTTATAATTTAATAAAAAGAAAGTACAGTAACGATAACAAATAAAATGAATCTGTTTAGTCCAGAACATATCCTTCAAGGAGGATATTTTCATTCAACTTTACGGAAGTTACAAGAACCTAATACTAGTATTGAACCTCATAATATTATGTATCCGGTTTTCTTGCTGTAAGTATAATCAAAGTTTAAAGTACCTACTAACTGCATGTTTGCCCTTGGTACAGATAACCACAAGTAAAGTTATCTGAAACTGTTAAGTTCTTCCAACTGATTTTGAGCGGATATACTGTACTTCCAGGGCCCAAAAGTAAAAACTTCAGTTTTGTTGGTTGTAATTTCGCATTTTTGTTGTTAAAAAGGTTTCTGGTAACCACATTATTAAAAAAAATGCCACACTTATGCACTGGTAGTTTTTTAGAAAAAAATATTAAAATTTTTTACTTTTCTTATCAAGTGGTCATACTTCACACTAGGTTAGGTTAGGTTAGTGTTGTGACCATAACGCGCGAGCCGAGCGAGCAAAGCGAGCGTGCTGCGGCAGCGGCCGGCGAAGCGCCAGAAAAAAAAATCTGTTAAAAAGACCTTTTCTACAAAAAAAAAACGAGTATCACCTTTTGGGCCCTGGAAGTACAGTTTTACCTTTTGAGCTTTATGCTGCTTGAGATAAGCAACCTATTATTTGACATTTTGTGGTAATGTGAATTGTGTTTTTCTGTGTATAACTTGGGAAATCAAAGGAAACCATTTATATCCTTGTTAGAAATGATCTTGAATTATAAAACCAATTTTTTTACAGAGAAAATGATGATGCCCTTCAACCAGTCTCCAGTATGCCAAATGTTTACAGATATGGCATTAACCAATTAATACTAAACCTCAAAGATTTGGTGGCCAAAGGATTAAAATCAATTCTTATTTTTGGAATTGTGGAAACTTTAGAAAAGGTTCTTTTTTACATTAAATATGCCAATAATATGTGAACCTAACATATTAACAATTTTAAGTGAGTGAGCATTAGTTTAACTGGTGAAAATGCACAGCCCAGTTGAATTGTGAGTAGGGTTACTATTTAGGAATCTCAAAAGTCCTGATAAAAACCCTGACATTTCAAAAAAGTCTGGACTTAATAGCCACATAATGGTACCATTAATCACTTAGTTACAGTGGTATAGTATTTAAATCAATATGTACCTTTATTATTCATATTCAATGTAATTTAAAAAATCCGGACTGTAGTCTAAGAGTACGGACATGTCTGGACTAATCTGGACGGATGGTAACCCTGGTTCTCAGTTTGAAATATGTAGTCTAAAACCTATGATTTTATCTGTGAAATAGGGTCAGTTCGCCTGTTCCCGTCCATCGCCCAATTCGCGTCCATTTTACGGATCTCCCTTAAAATTCCTCAAAAATAAGTAAACTAACACACCAATCAAACGAAAAGTATTTACCGCTTATACCTTAATATATAAGAGGCACGAACACATGGTCAAAAGGTAGGTGCGCCAGACCATCCCGTTTAAAAAAAAATATTAGTCTCAGTTATTCATCAAGGGAGTGCGTACACGCGGGATGTTTAGATAAAAAATAGTGTGCAGCGGCGTGTTTGATGGTAAGTTTTTTATTTTTTTATGTTAATTTTAGGATACATAGCTGTTTCTAGACTTTTATAGTGCAGAAAGGAATGATATTAATTATAAATTTTCTTATATTTTTCATATTTAATGAATAAAATAAGGTGGACGCGAATTACTACATCGAAATTATAAAACTTCCAATTTGCGTCCGCAATGGACGCAAACTATACCTACAGGGGATAATAATAAACCAAATTGCGTCCACTATTTTCGTTAAATACAATTAATTAATTATAATTTAAAATATAGGTATTGATTATTATTATACATTTTTATTAAGACTACGTGTTTTTAATGCTATTTTTAAATGAAATGAGTAATTTCAATCAATCAATCATTTGATTTATTTGTTTCATTCTTATTTTATTTCTTTTTGAGATGAGTTCTTCGGAGACAAGAAAGTAGAAGGAAAAGAGAATATACACAGAATACGATTTAAAGAAAGCGCTAAATGAAAATCGAGAAAAGAATAAATCGGTAAGACACATAGACATATTGTACAAAATCAGTGGGCGCAGACCAAATGAAGTAAAGAAACCGGGACCAGACACCACCTGATGCTACCCGAAATTTTTAACAAAGCACGAAAAGATAATCGAAGAACTTTAGCAACCATATCTTCTGCTGCATGGAGAAAGTATTAAGAAGATAAAGAGCAGATCAAGAACGAAAAGCAGGAAGCAATACGAAAAAGAAAGTTAGAACGAATAGAGAAACAAGAACAGAGTTTAAAACACTCTCAAACGGTTTGTAAAACTGCTCCAAAACTAAAGAAGAACATACATGCTCTTCAAGAAGTCACACAGGAAATGGTAAATCAGGAATTTAAGACAGACAATTTTCTAAATGTGACGATATACTAATTTCAGATGTAGAAGACTATGATGAGAAAAACATGCCTTGTGATTTTAGGGTAAAATTAACAGAACTGATTACTGTTTATTCTTAAAGATGCAATCATTATTTACCTACTACTTATACCTATAATTTTAAATTCAATCCATATTGAGAAGAATATTTTTTATTTTTGGATGGTTTTGGTGATAATTTTAATGATAATAATGTTGGTTTTAATATTTATATTCTAAAATAAAGAAATTGTTAAAATAGGTACAATCTTTTAATACAAATTCTTAAAAATATCACCCCTATATTCCTTTTCTCAGGTGGTGGACGCTAAATGGTCCACGGGTGGACGCAATTTGGATTTTGTGGACGCAAAGTGGGTAAAACGCCTTATTCCGGAGTTTATCTATTTAATTAAAAAACAATAGATATTTCGAACAAAACTGAAAGTTAATCTTAAAATAGACTATATCATGAACACATTATATAAAATTTTCATAGAAATTAGTGCTGGGATATTTTTATTCTATTAATCAATAACAGGTATATTATTATTGGTTTAAATTAATTTCCTTTATTGTATAAAATGTGTTTATAAAAATGTTTGTATAACATAAGACAGTGACATTTAATCATCTTTGTAAACAGCCTTTTAGCCAACCCTTTCAGCTATTTTATGTGTATTTTGATGGACCTGCAACATAATATTTTGTTAAATTCAAGCCTTTGCCAATCCAGGTTACACTTTTTTCGTTTTCCATAGCATATTGTTAATAATTTAAAGATGCATATTTACCATATTATATAATATGTGTTGCCATTAATTTAAATACTTAAACCACATTTTATGTGGTACAAATATATAATAAATTCCATTTATATTTTCCATGAATTCAGCATATTTTCTACGCATAAATGCATGATAATACTTGAGGTACAAAATTGGGCTGTTGTATGAAGAAGAGAATGGTTAAAGGATCCATATTATATCTCATTAAGATCTTTGACATATGTTGAATTTTTTATAATTAAAAAATTAACTAAGCTAGTGATTAGAAAAATAAACAAATGGTTTATTGATTCTCAAGGATGCCATTGGGTCAAGTGCTGATGTGAAGGAGAATCCAGTAATAAAAGCACTCCCCTTCTTAAGAGAAGCATTCCCTGACCTTGTTCTTGCCTGCGATGTGTGTTTATGCCCTTACACCTCTCATGGCCACTGTGGGGTACTCACTGCAAATGGGGCTATTGATCATGCTGCTTCTACCAAAAGAATTGCTGAGGTGGCACTAGCATATGCGAAGGCTGGTAAGTTTTGTTAAATAGTAAATAACCCAGGGAGAGAAAAATCCACTATTAAAAATCAATAATAACTGCATATAGATTATTAGACAAAAAGGGATTCTTAGAGATGACATTATCGAGGCAATTTCATTTAGCTTCCATCATAGCAAAATCTATAATATTTAATGAATATACTTTCAGTCCTGAAAGACCCAATATTAATTACAATTACATAAATCAATTAATTACAGATTTATGTTTCAGGTGCTCATATTGTCGCACCATCGGACATGATGGACAACAGAATAAAAGCTATCAAAGATGCACTAGTTTCTCACAAGTTGGAGAATCAGGTACTTACTTTCATTTCAATAATTTTACATATTATTGGTCATGTCAAGCGCTACAAATGCATATGGCTCACAGATATAAATCATAATAGACTGCAAGTGTACTTCGGGTGTCAAAAACATGCCGAAACTGTGCCAAATTTAGCTGTAAAATCGATAGTATTGAAAAGGGTAGCTTAGACCAGGATACCCCCAGGTGCGAGGAATCTAAAAAAATGTTAACGTCACTAATTGGACCACCCTGTATTTTATTGGTATTTTGTATGCTCTTTCAAGAGCGAAACATATGGAACTATATATTATTTATAAGTCACGAAACTAGCGCTGACCGTTGTTGCGCAGAAGTAAAAATTAAGATGTGATGGAGGGAAACGAGGTGCGCGGGCGGGCGTGCGTTGCGCCGATTGTCTCTCCAGTCGTACCCATACGCAGTTTTCCCTGACGCGTTTTGTTCGCGCTAGAGTGCCGCGACCTGTACCAACCAATGGTAACAAACTATATTTCAAGCAAACAAACTTTCATTTCATATCGTTCGATTATTAGTTCATTCCATAAGATATGGTTGAGCGAAGCGATGGCTGGTTCATGCGTCATGCTCGTGAACGGGTGCTGCCAGCGGAGATGAGTCTGACCTAACTACTTTGATATTTAAGATGTAAATGTCTAGTTACACTTAATATAAATAACACTATTTGTATTTATAACTGTATGACACAGCAATCAAAATGCAGGTGAACAATTAATGTATAATTTCACATTATGTAATGAAAGGTGACTTCTCATGAATCATCTCTGAAGTCATTTTTCAATATGACGAATCTGTAAATAAGAAAACAGGTAGAAAAATAACAGCCCTTGCTGAGTTTCTTGCCGGTTCTTCTCAGTACAAGGTCTCCCGCCGAACGAACGAACCGATGGCGTAGCTTCTAGACATTCATGAGTGCTTGTAATAGCCTAAACAGAATAGGTATGATTAGCTATGATTGAAGCGTACACATTTGTGTCAGGTGTCGGTGTTGTCGTATTCGTGCAAGTTCGCATCGTCGATGTACGGCCCGTTCCGCGACACCATGAAGAGCTCGCCGATGGCCGGCGACCGCAAGTGCTACCAGCTACCGCCAGGCAGCGCCGGCCTCGCTGCCAGGGCCGCTGTGAGTATATTGAATCGTATTATCTATATATATAAATAATAAATATTTCCAACACTCACACCAATTAACCTAGCCCCAAAGTAAGCACTATAAGGCTTGTGTTATGGGATGCTAGGGTAACGGATAGAATACATATACTGTACATATATAAGTATATTTATATAGAAATACATATTAAACATCCATGACCGGAGTACAAATGCTCGTATTCATCACACAAACATCTGCCCCCACCGGGATTCGAACCCTCTCGAACTCCCTTCGGGACCTCTCGAGTCTGCGGCACCATGAAACCCGGCGTACAAACCACTCGGCCACGGAGGTCGTCATATATAAAACTCAAAGGAGACTGACTGACACAGTGATCTATCAACGCACAGCCCAAACCACTGGACGGATCGGGCTGAAATTTGGCATGCAGGTAGATGTTATGACGTAGGCATCCGCTAAGAAGGATTTTGATCAATTGTACCCCCATGGGGATAAAATAGGGAATGAAAGTTTGTATGAAACTTTGTCAATTTTAAACCGATCGGGCTGAGACTTTGCATGTAAGAAGAACCATAGATGAATGTCATTGTGTAATACAAGCCTGAGAACAAAGACTGTACACTTAGTCTTCACTTCAGCTCTACACCGAAGCGAAGCGAGGGCGGGCCGCTAGCCTAAACATAAGCTCAATGGCACTGGTGGTTAGCGCGTTCGGCTGCGATCGTTGAAGTTAAGCAACTTTCGCAGTGGTCGGTCATTGGATTGGACCGAAAATTTTCTATCTCGTGCGTGCTTCGGAAGGCACGATCGGCCGTTGGTCCCGGCTGCATCTGCGGTCGCTAGCTCCCACGAATCCGCGCTGAGCCCTGAGTGGTGGGTCATGGCCCAATCTCCCTTTTCTATACATAAGGTATGCCTGTTCCCCAGCAGTGGTGACATTTAATAGGCTGATGATGATCTAAACATCTCTAGACTTTAAGAGGCCTATGGGCATAGGGGATTGTCAGATCGAATTACCTTACTGAAGACCACAGTAAAATAACACTAACTTTTGGTGGTTTTGCGTTTCTATCAGTGAGTAAAGTTCCAGGTTAAGGGATTGGGTTACGGGTAGGCAACAGCGCGTTAATATTTTTTGTATCGTAAGTCTTTAAGTAAGTATGGTTGTAGCTTACAATCAGACGGGCCACACGCTTGTTTAGCCACCCTTTTAAGAGCCCCATCACAATTTTTGCAATAAATCGTAATTTTTGAGCGCGTCGTTTACCCCCTTAGAAAAGATTTCGACTATTTTCAATAGAAGTAAACAGTAGATTTATTCTTCCGATTATAAGTTGATGTAGAATATTTGCAAATACTATTTTTCTTTTTTTGTACTGATCGTTCTACCGCAGCTAGTTTACGGAAAAAACTATAATATGCACAACTTCAAACGCCTGAATCTCTGAATAATGTTGAATAAATTAGATCAAATTAATTACTACGACATCAGAAATATGTTTCTGTTGTAACATAATATATTAGAATATTGAATTTCAATCTCATTTATTATAAAAAAAAACATCTAACCTCCGTGAGTTTTCCTAAAAAACAATGCAAGTTTACCCGTATTTTGATATTGAATTAAATAGAATTACTGTCAAAAACTTTCATAAAACTAATCCACCATTATTGAACTACTAAAATATTTATATATTTTTATAATTAGTTCATTGATAATTATTTTACAAGACTCGAAACATCACCCGCGCCGATCAGTACGGCAGCAGCGCAATTTTGTAAAAGGGCTCTTAACATAAAAAAAAAATATAGGGCCAGATTATATTTTAGAAACTGTAAGTTCTACGCTAGCAACCATCTTTTCTCACCCTTTGGAATCGAGTTATTACGTCATAATGCGCGCTTTCATGGAAAATTTCTGTCCCTCCCGCGTATAATTATACTGTGAAAACTATGAGCGCCCTATATTTTTTATTTATTTAACTGCTAGTTGTTTAAATCTATATTAAGTTTAGTTATAATTGCTATTTCTTCTTTCAAATATTTAATACATGTAAATGTATTCATTTGACATTGTGGGTTATCTACAATGCGAAGAGATGGCGCTGCCTTGCAGCCTAAGAGATGGTAGAGAAAATTCGACATGGCTATTAGGGCCGCGATAGCGTAATGGTCAGTGCGTTTGCCCGGATAGCGAAGGGTGCGGTTTGGAGTCCCATCTGCTGCCTGGTCCGGGTGGAATTTTTTCTAGTAAAAAAATCTTTAGATGTAAATCGCTACTAAGGTTTTCACAACAGATGGATCAAGTAAAACTTCAAATAAAGATACAGTAAAATCGATGGTAAAAATTAAAAGATTTCCTTCCTACGTTGATAACCAAGGCATAATATCAAACATGCAATATTCCTAAAGAAAATATAACTAGAAAAAAATCCACGCTGACCAGGCAGCAGACGGGACTCGAACCCGCACCCTTCGCAATCCGGGCGAATGCACTGACCAATTATGCTATCGCGGCCCTAATAGCCATGTCGAATTTTCTCTAACAACTCTTAGGCTGCAAGGCAGCGCCATCTCTTCGCATTGTAGATAACCCACAATGTCAAATGAATACTTTTACAAGTATTTAACATTTGAAAGAAGAAATAGCAATTATAGTTATAATTTTTATTATTTTAAAGCATGTAACTGCTTGATGTTTAAATCTAAAGAAAATATAACTAGAAAAAAATCCACGTCCGCGTGGAATTTTTTCTAGTTATATTTTCTTTAGATTTAAACATCAAGCAGTTACATGCTTTAAAATAATAAAAATTACAACTATGCAATATTCCTGCTTGGTATTTTGAGTGATAACGGTCGATGGTATTGCGCAGGCGCGGGACGTAGCTGAAGGCGCAGACTTCCTGATGGTGAAGCCGGGGCTGCCTTACTTGGACATCGTACGCCAGACCAAGGACAAGTTTCCCAATCACCCGCTCTTCATATATCAGGTATACTATAGCGCTATTCAAACTTTATCGCGATTATGAAGTTGGCAATGAGCATGAGCACAACTCTACGCAGATTTCAGTCTGTGCTACCATGAAAGCCCTCTACGCATTATCCATCTTGCTGGTCCAGCATGCAGGACAGCGCTATACAAAACTTAGTTTATTTGTTTCTTAGGTTTTCACGCACATCACTCATTAAATAAAACTAGTTTTTACGGGTTAATGCACGAAACTTTATTTATTTATTGACGTTTCGCAGCCTTTTCAGAAATAATAATGAAATTATTCTGACGATGCAGACCTGAAAAGGCTGCGAAACGTCAATAAATAAATAAAGTTTCGTGCATTAACCCGTAAAAACTAGTTTTATTTAAAACTTAGTTTGTTTTTTTTTATTTATAGCCAGGTAGGCAAATGACTCAAACCCACCTGATGTTAAGTGGTGATAAAGTCCAAACGCGAAGATAGCTGGTACAGCAGTTATAAACTGCCACACCAACCATCCTCACCTTGCCGGCCTGCAAAAATGCTTCTTCACGCCTCTCTTAAAAGACCACAGTATTGTAACACTATTATGACAACCATTTATAAGTCTATGTACTATGAACAAGCTATTTTGTGCTGTCTGCTATACTGGACAATATGGCGTCTCACAACACGTCTGTCGATACCATAGACATGAGACTATTGCCCGCGCGATCGCTTCGTGTCTCTAACACTTATTTATCCAGCCATTCTTTGAATAGTGGGAGTGCTTTACACGGTAAAAGTTGCCTCCGTTATGCTATTCTGCCTCGCTGAAGTAAATACAAAAATCCCCGCTTAGTCTCCCCTACTATAAGTATGCAATTACGTATAATAATAGACAGGTTGTACGCCAACATTATTGCATTTTAAAATGGCACAAGTAGACCCCGCACCGACTTCCCTTGGCAATAGCCGCCAATAGAGTGCTCTAAACAACGATTTATATTTATAATTTTTATTATTTTTAAAGCTTGATGTTTAAATCTAAAGAAAATATAACTAGAAAAAATTCCACGCGGACCAGGCAGCAGACGGGACTCGAACCCGCACCCTTCGCAATCCGGGCGAATGCACTGACCAATTATGCTACCGCGGCCCTCACGGACCGCGTCGAAATTCTTTCTAGCTATTCTTAAGCTGCAAGGCAGCGCCATCTCTTCGCATTATAGGTAAACCCACAATGTCAAATGAATACTTTTACAAGTATTAAACATTTGAAAGAAGAACGATTTATATACCCTAGATACAACAACACGAACAAAATCGTGGCCGAAACCTATCCAGAAGGTAAATCACCTTTAATGCATACAATTTAAGGTCTAAATGAAAATGCATGCGTCAAAGAGTTATGACAGTTTGAAATACAAGCTCGTAGAATTTTACGACTTATTGCTATATGCGGAAGAATATTGACCTTATTTCTTTGACTACACCCAATTCTGAATGCGCTCTTAGAAGTCTCTTTCACTCTCGTTCATAAAGCATATTATATGTCGCTCTAAAGAGCCATGCTAAACCCTCTTATGTGTCAACGGTGTCAGCAACTGTCAAAATGAGTATACACTAAATATTTTTACGATAATTCCTTCAAAACTGTACTCACGAATGAAATGACACGTTTTTCTTGTCTCTAATAGCTCCCGTGTATTTTGTGTACTATCTAAAAATATACAAAGGGCTTTTTGTCTGGAAAAAGTGAATATTTACGCGTTGTAGCGACGTGTAGCCGCGGCGAGAGAGCGCGCCCGACTGAATGGAGGCCGGGCAATTACCTGACTTTCGTATTGCCAAATTGGAAACGTGTATGACGTATGTATAACTTAAAACATTGTAGTATGTATAATGTAACAGGTATCGGGAGAGTACGCGATGATATGCCGCAGCGGTGACACTGCGGAGGTCCACAGCACTCTCATGGAGACCCTCACGTGCATGAGGAGAGCCGGTGAGTGTTTATATATGAATCACTAGCGAATTTCTGGTTTTTTGACAATGGTGTCGATTCTGGCATGACTCTCTAAAGCTAAACTTAATTGTTTCTTAGGTTTTCACGCACACACTCATTAAATAAAACTAGTTTTTACGGGTTAATGCACGAAACCTTAGAAAAAGTCTTTCGAAGGTAGCTCGACAAATTAAATAAAAGTTTTATTCTGACAACGAAGCCTGTAAAGGCTACGAAACGTCAATAAATAAATAAAGTTTCGTGCATTAACCCGTAAAAACTAGTTTTATTTAGCTAAACTTAAATTTGACAACAGTGTATTCTTGTCATTCTCTATACAGAATGAAAAGGACAGACTGATGTTAAATTTAGTTTTAAGTTAAGAGAATCCTGCCAGAATCGACACACAATGTCACAGGAACCTATCATTTTTTTCAGGAAAAAAGTATCCTATCTGTCAATCTAGATCATCACCAATATGTATACGTTCGATATTCCACCCAAATCCATTCAGTAGATTTTTTGAATTGCTACTGAATGGTAGTTTGTAACATATAGTTTGTATATATGTTAAAATATTAGTAGGATTGAGTTATTCGGGTCCCGTGTCCAAATGATGATAAACAGAACCATCTCCATGGGGAACGAACGAAGCCCTAAATTTATTGATTTAATTTTATCGATTCTGGTTTGATTATTTAAACCTGAACTTAAATTTGGGCCATGACCTACCACGCGGGCCCAGTACGAATTGGCGGGTGCTAACGACTGCAGATGCAGCCGGGACCAACGGCTTAACGTGCCTTCCGAAGCACGGAGCAACTCGAGATAGAAGATTTTTGGTCACCCATCCAATGACCGACCACTGCGAAGGTTGCTTAACTCCAACCATCGCAGCTGGAAACGCTAACCACCTGCGCCATCGAGCTCCTAATGCGCTTACACGTACACTCGACTGTGGCTTGAACACTGAACGCCCAACCACACGCACAGACAAGTACGCGCAGGCCGGGCTTGCGCAGGCAAAATTTCAAGCAAGTCGAAAAATCAGTGTGACCAGATTCGGTATTTTAAAACTTTTTCAGTATAGTTTACTGACTTCTTTTTCAAAAAAATACTGAAATATACCAACAAGCACAGGGCCATGTACCTATTTTTCATGTACAAGTTGGTATATTTTTTGAGGTGCTTCGGTTTTTTCGTAAAATTTATTCTGGTCACACTGCGAAAAATGCGCAGGCCGCGCTGTGGGGTTGGCGCGTGATACAGTTTTACCAACTACACGCACCGTGTTCCGTGTACAAACCGGCCTGCGCAGGCAAAACTGTGGTGAAGCTCGTGCGTGTGGTAGGCCCATGAGTATTTTCCTCTATCTTTTTGTCCATATTATTTGATACACACTACATAATTTAAAAACTGGTCCACAAGTACAAAGTCGCTCAGCGCGCTATGGAAAGGGCTATGCTCGGCATTTCTCTGAAGGATCGCATCAGAAATGAGGTAATCCGACAGAGAACCAGAGTCATCGACATAGCCCACCGGATTAGCAAGTTGAAGTGGCAGTGGGCTGGCCATATTTGCCGAAGAACCGATAACCGTTGGGGTAGACGAGTTCTGGAGTGGAGACCGCGTCTAGGCAAACGTAGTGTAGGACGTCCTCAGGCGCGATGGAGTGACGATTTGCGCAAGGTGGCTGGCAGGAGCTGGATGCGAGTAGCCCAAGATCGATCTGAGTGGCGTGTATTTGGAGAGGCCTATGTCCAGCAGTGGACTAGGATAGCCTGTTGATGATGATGATGATGACATAATTTGTTATATCAGTTTTGCTGTGGAGCTATTTACGTTTTTATATTATTGCTAACAATATTTTACTAAATGTTCCAGGTGCCGACTGCATTATCACATACTTCGCTCCTCTTATTTTAAGCATCGTATCGGGGAAACCGTAAGGCGGAAGATAACATGAGTACATAGTTATCACTAAATATATAATTGCAATTGTTACAAGAGGCCGCGGATATTGTTTATCGTTTAAATATCGCTTTGATCTATCAAACTGTACCCCTAGCACGAATCATTATCGAATTCGAATAGTTTGCAAACCGATATGTCAATATTTGTTTCTTTCACGCACATCACTCATTAAATAAAACTAGTTTTTACGGGTTAATGTACGAAACTTTATTTATTTATTGACGTTTCGAAGCTTTTACAGGCTACGTCGTCAGAATCAAACTTTTATTTAATTTGTCGAGCTACCTTCGAAAGACTTTTATTGAGCGTTCGGTTATTTCATTGTTATATAAATCCGAACGATGCCCTTCTATAATCCTTCGAAGTAGCTTTTTACTTGCCTCTTGTAAGATCTTGTAAGACCGAAATGTCAATGTCAAATTTTGTATGGAAACTTGAACAGCAGCGCCACTTTGGACGTAAGGGGAACTAAAAATCAGTACACACTTGACAATGACATTTCGGGCTCGCATACGTTACGAATTCGATTTTGGTTCGTGCTAAGAGTACTGTATGAGGTTGTGGTCTAGGCTTTTTTCTATAATATAAGATAAAGGATTTCAGTAGGTATTAAAGTTGACGGGCAGTTCGTTTTAAATGTCACAATTTAATTATTAATTTTACTGCACCTTTTTTGAGCTAATATTTTTTGTTACTAAGTATAGTTCCTTAATCTGCCGATGGTCAGTGCTGTGCCTTCGCCCAGATTGTGAAAGACTGGTTCGATTCCAGCCTGTGAACTGGAACTAGTTGAATTGTTTTTTTATAAGATTAGATAAATAATCTTCAATAATTTTATTTGTTACATGTGGTATGTAGGCAAAAAGAACGCACCGCCAACAGAAATCGCGGTCAATATTACCGCCCTTCTGTCTTCTTTACGCCTTATGTACTATTCTGACTTACCGGAGCGCGTCGGAGCGCATCGTATTTTACAATTTGCTGAAGGAAATTGAAACGTAACACAAAGTAGTTAAGATCCTTATTTGCATGCGATTCAAACAGTTATAAAGTTGACCGGCTGCGCACGGACTCTGCTACAGCCGCTCGGTTCCGCATATAAAAAAAAGGTTATATTCATGATTTTTTTTTTAAGCATTTAACTGCTAGATGTTTAAATCTAAAGAAAAGTTTAATAGAAAAACAATCCACGCGGACCAGGCAGCGGACGCGACTCGAACCCGCATCCTTCGCTATCCGGGCGAATGCACTGACCATTATGCTACCACGGCCCTATTAGCCGCGTAATATAAAAGGTTATATTTATATTTTTTAAGCATTGACCTGTTAGATGTTGTGATTATTTTATCTAAAAAAGAAATCAGTTAAATGCTTCTAAAATAAAATTATAACTTTAATGGCTATGTCTTCTTTCAAGTGTTTTTTTTTTCTAAATGGCTTCGCACGATTTGTGCATTTAGCCAATGTCAAGTGTTAAAATGTTTACAAATACTATAGCACTCGTGGTCAAAGTAATAAATCAAGTCAAAGTAAGTGGCGGTCAAGTCAATCCCCCTTTCCTATGTTTCAGTAAAAGTGTGGGGATTTACAGGAACCTCCCCGTGGACTTCTTGAGGGAATGTCGAAAGACACTTTCCGCTATTTTGTTTCACTTGCCAACACTTGTGCATGTTCCCGACCACTTAGTGGTGGTTAATAATTCACCATTATTAGACACTTACATCCGCCACAACACAATTTTTAACAAGAAAAACAAAACTGCTAAAGTGACGCTTCCCGATCCCGCCAAAAAGTCCCTTTCAAATGTAAAGTATTCATTTGTCATTGTGGGTTACCTACAATGCGAAGAGATGGCGCTGTCTTGCAGCCAAAGAAATACTAGAGACAATTACAAACGGACAATTAGGGCCGCGGTAGCATAATGGTCAGTGCATTCGCCCGGATCGCGGATCGCTAGTCGCGTGGAAATTTTCTAGATTTTTGTACTTTATGGTTGTTTTAATTTCCTTCAGCAAATTGTAATAAGCGCTGCGTTATGCTCCGAAACGCGCCGGTAACTGATAATCGAACATTATTGTGAACTTGTCTCTAAATAGTCTTTTTGTAAGTAATCTCCGACGCCTCATGTGTCTCTAAACACTTTGTCTTTCTGTATGTGTTCATGAAACCACTAAAAAAATGTATTAAAAAAAATATAAGTGAGCATAATAGTCGTGGTAAATTTGGTGCTGAGATGGCCTACTTGTTTCGTGTACCTATTTTGTTGCTCAAGATTGTTGCTTTTGTTTTTGTATAAGTACATTATTTACTGTTGTTGGATATACAATAAATATGAAATTTGGAATAAACCTTTTTTTTATTATACTTTTCTAAAGACTTAAAACATTTTTTTGGACCCAAGGTCATTTAAAGGTACTTCAATAAATAATAAATAAATGAATATTTCCAACACACACCAATTAGCCTAAGCCCCAAAGTAAGCACTATAAGGCTTGTGTTATGGGATGCTAGGGTAACGGATAGAATACATATACTGTACATCTTTATATAAATAATTCTTCTGTGAGTCTGTATGTCACTGAACTTCTCTTACACGACTGGACCGATTTTGATGAAATTTTTTGTGTGTGTTCAAGGGGATCTGAGAATGGTTTAGATTCACAATTTTGTCCGCTGGACAACCCCTATTTTTTAGGGCGGTACGAAGTTCGCTGGGTCAGCTTGTATAAGTATATTTATATAGAAATGCATATTAAACATCCATGACGAGTACAAATGCTCGTATTAATCACACAAACATCTGCCCCCACCGGGATTTGAACCCGGGACCTCTCGAGTTCAAACGATGACATTTGCCCCCCCCCCCCCCCCCCTCCCGAAAAAGTAAAGCATCAAATCAAACCCCCCATCACCCCCCGAATTAAAACATCAAGCAGGCCAGCGGTGACATTCGTTATTAGTTTTTTTTTGTTATGAAACTAGCACATTATCGTAATCCGGGACAATAAGGTCTAATAGGGATGATGGCTAATTTTTTTTCTTCGTTTATCAGGTAGATTATCTAAAAGTATTGGACACGTATTTTTCCTTTTTTCACATAAACATTGCAGAGATATATTGATTTGAAAAGTCGCATGATCTCACGTTTTGGTACAATTTTCACTTAAAAGTAACGTCACGAGTCCTTAACTTTGACGCGATATAACTATCATTTTTTGGTTGATTGCCCAAAGAAAAAATACGTGTCCATTATTTTTTGATCATCTTATTGACGGACTAAATAGAATTTCGTTTACTGTACCCCGTCATCACCCCTATTACTGGACACGGGACAATCTCGGATTTCCTGGCCGTCTTGCAAGTCTACCGATGGCGCGAACGTGCGCAATAAAATAAAAATTGTTTTATTTTAGGAGCAAACGTAATTTAATAACAACTTATACTGTTATACAGTCAAGCACAATTTATATTGGTTTATAAAAGAAACATCAATATTTCATATAAAATCAGGATGAGTTAATCTAAAATATCATCGCCATCTAGTATTACTTGGCATTATTATCTGTCATACTTCTTTCGTAAATACTAACTAATAAGTACTAGATGGCGCAAACTTCAGATTACATAACTAAAGGTTCTGCAAGCGCAAACGTGACCATTATATTTTGACAATTGTTTCATTTTAGGATTAAACCTAGTGCAATAACAGCTAATTATGTAAAGAAATCAAGCTGTAATAATATTTGTTATCTTTATTGATATACAAAAGACACACATTACATTCGATTGCCCTGCCACCCGGGGCTTTATTTGGTACCACCTATTTTTAATTCCATTTCTTTTGCCATATATTTTTTTATTCTGGTTTTTTTCGATATATTGATTTATAAAAAAAGATACTGTAACAAAATTTGCAAACATTGAAAAGGGACGGATTGTTGATAAAAACTAGAACGGTTTTAACAAATTACTTAGGCACCTACCAAAATTTATTTATTTTGTATTTTTTTATTTTTATTTTCTACATACCTAATTATTTATTTACAAAAAAAACTTCAATAGTAAAGCATGCATCACTTGCTTTCGATCGTCGTAATTTTGGTAATTCCAATAAAACTGTAGTGTTCAACACAAAATTACAATATAAAATAAATAATAATAATAATAAAATGTATCTTTATTCAAATAAGGTCATACATTGCATAATAATACTAATAATAATATAAAGTACAAAATAATGGATGCCTGAACTAGGTTGCAGTTAAAATTGTACCTGTATTTCAGGCTTTTATGATCTAAAATAATACATTGAATGATTAATAAATTAACAAATTAATTAAAACAGAATTTAAAGCAATCATTGTTTAAATGTTGGTAAATATAAATTATGGAGTTACGTTCATTTATTTACATATACGAAGTAATTTTTCGGTCTTCTCGTATGTCAGGCTGTGCAAATAATTAAATACTACATTTCTACAGTTGAAATAGTTTAATGTATAAATACTTAACACTTAACTTATTATATAAGAAAGTACTTAGGAAAGTAGAGAATCTATGTGAAAAGATGTATTTTGAAAGTTACTTGCCTTTTTTTACTTTCTATCTCTTAAATAGATAAAGAAGTTCGCACTTCTGAAAAATATAAATAAAAATCGACGTGGTTTTCATTATGTTATGGTTCTGCCATACCTTTTTTAGTCTCTCCATGGCAGATCTAGTAATAGCCAAACGACGTTTGATCTCATCGATGCATCCGCCATTATTAGTAATTTAAGCTCCCAAATATACCTACGTAGGATTGGACGACCTCACACTTCGCGATTTGTGTAACCTCTTGCGATTGATTATTGGCGCGATCGATGATCATCATCTCGGTTTAAGTCTGATTAATTTTCAGCCCGAATTCTCTGCTCTGAATCAACATCATCATCAACCCATGCTCGTCCACTGCTGGACATAAGTCTCCCCTAATGCACGCCACTGCTCCCGATTTTGTGCTACTCTCATCCAGCCCAATCCAGCCTACGAATATCATCATCCCATCTTGTCTCAGGGCGTCCTACACTACGTTTACCGAGTCGCGGTCTCCACTCAAGAACATTCCGGCTCCAACGTCCATCAGTTCTGCGGCTAATGTGACCAGCCCACTGCTACTTCAGTTTGGTAATTCGGTGGGCTATGTCTGTGACTTTGGTTTTCTGTCGGATTACATCATTTCTGATGCGGTCCTTCAGGGATACTCCGAGCGTAGCCCTTTCCATAGCTCTCTGAGAGACTTTAAACTGGTGGACTCGTCCAGCCGTGAGTGTCCACGTCTCGGCGCCGTATGTCATAACTGGGAGGACGCACTGGTCGAAGACTTTCGACTTGAGCACTGAGGGATGGGTGACGAGAAGACTTGACGAAGCTTACGAAATGCTGCCCAGCCTAACTGAATTCTTCTATTTGCTTCTCTCTCGAAGTTGTTTCTGCCTAATTGGAGCGTTTGTCCTAGATAGACATATATGTGAGGAATACTGGTTGCAAATAGAGTGGTATCATCCGCGTAGCGTAGGTTTGAAATAGTCAAACCTCCAATCGCAACCAACACCATCTTGCCAGTCCTCCAGCGCAATTCTCATAATCAGCTCAGTGTAAATATTAAACAGAAGTGATCCTTGACAAGTACATCCTTGGCGGACTCCGGTACTGGAGTGAAACTGATTCGACAATAATTCATCTGTTCTCACCGATGCTGATCCGTCCTCGTAGAGACGCCTCAAAATGTGTACAGGATGTTTGAAATGACTGAAACATACCAATGCTGTTTTGGCGGACTGTTCACCTATAGGAATAGGAATGATGTACTTCGTATGTACAACCGACTGGTCAAATAGACTATAGCAACAGAAATATTCTAAAGAGAAAGATCGCTTGACAAAATGTTAAATAATCTATCATTACAAAATATGAGATAACTCGATTGATTGTAATTTAATACACGTTTATACGTGGGCGTGTGATAGTGAGGAATTTTCTAGATTAAATCTAGTTGCTCTAGAACTCTAAAGGACCTCGATGATTCAAACGACTGCGTTTATTTAGATGGTCATGGTTCTCATGGTCTATCTTTTATTAGTTACTTTAACGTGAACAAAAAGTAACACATAATATGGATGGTGTGCTGTTTTCACACAAACAGCTGTTTGAGTTTAATGAATGCCTCATACCACTTATTTCATTGAATTAATAATTTGATTGGTTTTGTAGTAAATTGAGATCATGGTTCATGATGCGACCATCATCAACACAATGAAAGAATCATTCACTTTCAGGAGAGAAAGTAATGAAAATGCTGAAATCCATCAATCGGTTAAAAATGTGTTTGCGTTAACGCAATGCTAAATCAACCAAAGAAAACTTATTTTTAAGAAATTGATATATTTCAACTAAGTTACCCAGACTGGTCTCGATTCTGGCATGATTCTCGAAACCTAAACTTAAATTTGACAGCGGTGTATCCTTGTCATTCTCTGTACAGAATGAAAAGGCTTTTTTAAGTTTAGAGAATCACTCCAGAATCGACACCATTATAATATAAATATTTAGTAGATAAGTAACTGGACCTATCCGTGGAAAGTATAAGGAAATAAGTAAGTTGTTTATTGAAGAAAACAAAGATAATGGGCAATTTTTATTTGCTATTTAAATGAATCAACATTTCGAAATTAGTATGACGCAAACTTTAAAGTAACTTCGTAATTTCGTATTTACCGCGAACACGAAAGCCCCGTTTTGTGCCAGTTATAAACGTGGGCCAATAGGATAACGCCAAATAATTATACCTGGACCAATCGTACATAAGACTTAATTACGTCAGCAATGTGACTACCAATCACATTCACCCACGATCAACACTAGCGCTAAATAATAGGAGCGACGGCGTGTGAAACTTCAGTTCTTCACTAAAAATCGAATGCAAAAGATCAACAGAGATTGTGAATTCGTGCGTGATATTTCTGAAGTGCTGTAACGTGGCTGCTAAGTTCATATTTTCTGGATAGAAAGTTCAAATTCATCATTTTATTATTGGGTAAGTAGCAATATCTCACGAAATACCTAACAATCTAATAATAGTAGCCACCTTTATAACCTGACAATTTAATACCTTGTCATCTTCTATCATTTTGTAGCAGGTTACTATTTTATTCTTGATTGTTTAACGAAATGATTTTTTTAATCTTTTCCCGTTCATTCAATGTTTTTATGAGGTTCCCTAAAACTAAGAATATGTTACCGAAATTTCTCGACGTTGTCTAGTGGCCGGCACCGTGGCCCTTAATATAAGGCGTCTGAAGCACCGTTATCCTATTCCGTTATAGTTTTCATAGCGGTTTCTATTTAGTTTTCGCTTTCTAACTCCAATTAGCAAGCAAGTCAAAGATTTATCTGTCAATCTGGTCGTATTTACTGTGCCGGTAGTACGTAGGTATGAGCATGAATGACGTGTCTTACTATTGAATACGTGCCCAATTGGTTTCAATGAACGTGTTTCAATTTGCTTCAATCTTAGTGTTTTTACTAATTAAACTTCTATCAAAAAGGCTCTTGTGATGAAGTTTAACTGTATTTTTCTTTGTTTCCAGTTGTTGGAATCTAATTGGAGAAAATGCGGTGGAGTTTGCTAGCACTTGCGTGCGTGGTGGTGGCCGTGTGTGCCGACGACAAGAAAGAAAAGGATAAAGACATCGGCACCGTAATTGGTATCGACTTGGGAACCACATATTCCTGGTGAGTACAAATTTTCATTATAGGTACTTTTATCAATACCAATTTAATCGCAATGAATCCTGTAGGTGTAACAAATTTTGTAACTAGCAAATCTAAAACTCAATTTAGGAATTACATTGATTAGTCATAAAGACTGTGAAATCAAAGAAAAGTTGTTGAAACACTAAAGTAAAATCTTTTATCTTCCAGTTTGTAATATTTTTTTCATTCATTGTCCACAGTGTGGGTGTATACAAGAATGGCCGTGTTGAAATCATTGCTAACGACCAAGGCAACCGTATCACACCATCTTATGTGGCATTCACTGCTGATGGGGAACGTCTCATTGGTGATGCTGCTAAGAACCAGCTGACCACTAACCCTGAAAACACAGTGTTTGATGCTAAACGTCTCATTGGTCGTGAATGGAGTGACTCAACAGTCCAGCATGATGTGAAGTTCTTCCCCTTCAAGGTGGTTGAGAAGAACAGCAAACCCCATGTCTCTGTTATGACTTCCCAAGGTGACAAGATCTTTGCTCCTGAAGAAATCTCTGCTATGGTCTTGACCAAGATGAAGGAAACTGCTGAAGCATATCTGGGCAAGAAAGTTACTCATGCTGTTGTCACTGTCCCTGCATACTTCAATGATGCTCAGCGCCAGGCTACCAAGGATGCTGGTGTCATCGCTGGTCTTAATGTTATGAGAATCATCAATGAGCCTACAGCAGCTGCTATTGCCTATGGTCTTGACAAGAAAGAGGGTGAAAAGAATGTCCTTGTCTTTGACTTGGGTGGTGGTACTTTTGATGTGTCTTTGCTCACCATTGACAACGGAGTCTTTGAAGTAGTAGCCACCAATGGTGATACTCACTTGGGTGGTGAGGACTTTGATCAGAGGGTAATGGAACACTTCATCAAGTTGTACAAGAAGAAGAAGGGCAAGGACATCAGGAAAGACAACCGTGCTGTCCAGAAACTCCGTCGTGAAGTGGAGAAGGCTAAGAGAGCTCTGTCATCCAGCCACCAAGTCAAGATTGAAATTGAATCCTTCTTCGAAGGTGATGACTTCTCAGAGACCCTGACCAGAGCCAAGTTTGAAGAATTGAACATGGATCTCTTCAGATCTACCCTGAAACCTGTACAGAAAGTACTTGAGGATGCTGACATGAACAAGAAGGACGTGGATGAGATTGTGTTAGTTGGTGGTTCCACCCGTATCCCCAAGGTTCAGCAATTGGTCAAAGAGTTCTTCAATGGCAAGGAGCCATCTCGAGGTATCAACCCTGATGAGGCTGTTGCTTATGGTGCGGCCGTACAGGCTGGAGTACTTAGCGGCGAACAGGACACTGATGCCATTGTGTTGCTTGATGTCAACCCTCTTACCATGGGTATCGAAACTGTTGGTGGTGTCATGACTAAGCTCATTCCTCGCAACACTGTCATCCCCACCAAGAAATCACAGATCTTCTCTACTGCTAGTGATAATCAGCACACTGTCACCATCCAGGTTTATGAAGGTGAACGTCCAATGACTAAGGACAACCACTTACTTGGAAAGTTCGATCTAACTGGAATCCCACCTGCACCGAGAGGTATCCCCCAGATTGAAGTCACCTTTGAGATTGATGCCAATGGTATATTGCAAGTGTCTGCTGAGGACAAGGGAACTGGAAACCGGGAGAAGATTGTCATCACCAATGATCAGAACAGATTAACACCAGAAGACATTGAAAGAATGATCAAGGATGCTGAGAAGTTTGCTGATGATGACAAGAAACTAAAGGAACGTGTTGAAGCTAGAAATGAGCTTGAAAGCTATGCCTACTCAATCAAGAACCAGCTTCAGGACAAGGAAAAGCTTGGTGCTAAGGTTGGTATTTTTTTTATAATAAAAACCTATAGTATTCATGATTAATGTAGCTTATTTGAGTAGTTCTAGATTTCTCTTCCAACAAAAATACTTAAAAACTTAATGTATTTATAATCTTCTCATTGTATCTTTGATATGGTTTCAATAAAATAATATTTCATTTAAATATTATGGATTATGGACTTCCACATACCACAGCAAAACTGAGAGATCTTTTTGATTTGTCAATAGGTCAGTGATGACGACAAGGCGAAGATGGAAGAGGCGATCGACGCCGCGATCAAATGGCTCGAAGATAACCAAGACACCGACGCGGAAGAATACAAGAAGCAGAAGAAGTCACTTGAAGACGTTGTGCAGCCCATCATCGCTAAACTGTACCAAGGCACGGGCGGAGTTCCGCCCCCGGGCCCTGGCGGCGACGAGGAAGACTTCAAGGACGAGTTGTAACCAAACAGACTGTAAAGACCTCGTGATTGTAGCCAATGTGATCTCGGGTCACTACAGAGTGTGCACACAGTGTGAATGTTCCCGCTATGTACACATCCTGTAATTTAACACGAATATGTGTTGTTGTGTATATTTATTGTGTGAACCGACTAGTGGATGGGGCGTGTGCGGCGATCCTTGCAGAATCGAGATCTGATCGAGTCACGTCGTTGCGCGCGCACGTGTGAATGTGTGTGTATGCCAGTGAACTACTGTATAAAATGATGCATTTTTATTTTAGTAAAGCAATAGTTTCAATTGTGAATCGAGAGGGCCTGTTTCCATGACTGTATGCGATCGATTCATTTGTCTTCCTCATGCTGGTTTGTGTCAAAGCAAATGAAACCACTCGACAAGCAATGAATCTGCTCTGGAGGCTACCTCAGTGTTCTATTAATGTATGTATGTAATGAGACTGCAGAATTGTTAGTTCATAATTAGCTAACTAATTAATAATTATGTAGTAATTTAATTATTTCAAAGAAGTACGGAGGAGTACATAATAAAAAAAGATTTTCTATGAAACTTGTTTATTTTTTATTTCCATTACCAATTCGCTAAAAAAAGTAAAGACTGATAAATTAAATAAGAATGTTTTAAATTAGTCTGCTCGTACATTCTTCAGTTGAGCACAGCTTTCTATGTCAAAAGCAGGCGCGGCAATGACCGCTGCTTGGAGCTTCACCTGTACGTAATCTGGAAACAAAGGGGTCATTGACCTAAAAAAAATGCGAGAACTAATCGAGCGTACATAAATTATATTTGTTTCGGTGAGGGCTGATAACGAGATATTCAATAAGTTACGCGGCCCTACAGTCTAATACATTTATCGTCAGTCGTCATAGATTAATTTTGTATAAATTTTTTATATTACCAAACGACTCGTTTGCGTTGACTTCCACTGCGGTGATGCCAGCGGCTGCACGTAATTCGGCCAAAGCTTCAGAAAAGTAAAAGTCCAACTGTAAACATAGTAAGTAGGCCCATTCAAAAAAGATGTTAGTAAGCGTCTATTCGTATGTCGATATAACCGCTAAGAAACACAACGTATTTACAATACAACATAAACTGATGGCGAACTGTAATACATAATTCGGGTGAATTAGCATTGACGCGTCGGAGACGTAACGGTGTAGTTCTATCGTGTCAACTTTTAACAGTTAAGATTATATAATGAAATAAATATAACAATACAGTTATGAACAGACAGGCAAAAAACGTGTTTCATTGTTACTGAAAGTTTCGATTACAATACGAAGAAAAATAAAATTGAAAGTTACAGACGATCTGAAAGTAAGAGGATGCTTACTTTCGCCCAGTCGATAAAAAACCGGCTAAAATGCTCAACGTGCTAGCCAGGCTCAATCGCATAGAGCAAATTTCAATGTACCTACTTCCTATAGCAAGTTTGCAATTTGCGCTAGCACTTCGGTGCCTCAGAACACCTCTTTGCACCTAAGTCCGGGCGTTCGTGCTATGAACGCGGCCCGGTCTAGCGAAATGACGAGACGCCCACTTCCACGTTATTGTACACTGATACCTAGTGTAATTATGGAATCATCATTATTGGTTGCCTATGTGTTCCACATACAAATAACTGTGATTCGATTTAACTTTATAGTCCAGTCAGTATTGTCGCGAAATCCGTTTTTCCTCAAACAGCTGGAACTATGCTAAAAAGTTTCTTAAGATAGTAAAGAACACTTTACATAGAGAAAAAAATGTTTCCAACCCCGGGCAAGGGTGAAAACCACCCTTAATAATCTATTTTTCCAATTATCTCAAAAAGTATACGAGATACGGAAAAAAACTTCAAATGAAAATTGTAGATCTTTTTGAAATCTACAAAACATTATTCCACCCTCTTGCCCCTATTTTCAATAGGGGAGCCAATAATCGAAGTCAAAGATTCAATACTTAAAAAGTTAAAGTTAGTTAAAAACGTTATCTTTGACTTCGATTATTGGCTCCCCTATTGAAAATAGGGGCAAGAGGGTGGAATAATGTTTTGTAGATTTCAAAAAGATCTACAATTTTCATTTGAAGTTTTTTTCCGTATCTCGTATACTTTTTGAGATAATTGGAAAAATAGATTATTAAGGGTGGTTTTCACCCTTGCCCGGGGTTGGAAACATTTTTTTCTCTATGTAAAGTGTTCTTTACTATCTTAAGAAACTTTTTAGCATAGTTCCAGCTGTTTGAGGAAAAACGGATTTCGCGACAATACTGACTGGACTATTAGCCCCGTGTTACAGAAAGATTCTCAGTGATTGATCTAGTCTTGAGCATAGTAAGAAAGGGATGTCGCTATATATAGCACATAGCGACATCCCTTTCTAGCTGTACTCAAGTAAAGATCAACACTTAGTTGTTTCTGTAACGGGCCTATGACCTTTGGTCACATCCAAAAGCCAAGCTATATCTTTGCGCGTTGCACCAACCATATGTTTATTTTTACTAGCGCTGCACGTTGAAACTAAACCATGCGTGGCAAATGATACTTTGAATACACATGGAATAGGTTTCTTTTGTAAACCCTCGTGTTAGCAAGACCTCCATATCTATGTTGGATTCTGTTTTGACGGGATGCGACAGCACACGCGGGTTGGAGCCGGGCGCGGCGGGTTCGCCGGTACACCAATCCACTGTGCGCTCCTTCAGCCGCTTCTTGCAGGTCTCCCAGCTAGCGTCCATGAAGATCACTCTGGATAAGTAGAAAGTGGATCTCTTATGGCATGGGCACAGTTATTAGCGGCGAGAATCTAAGATAAATGCAGCGATTTACGCGCGTTTAGTCGCGTTTTTCTGTAGGTCGATGCCCAATTTTGACGGGAAAATAAATGAACATTTCCAATACTCACACAAATTAACTTAGCCTCAAAGTAAGCAATGTAAGGCTTGTGTTACGGGATGCTAGGGTAACGGATAGAATACATTATATACTGTACATATTTATATAGAAATACATATTTAACATCCATGACTGGAGTACAATCGTATTCATCACACAAACATCTGCCCCCACCGGGATTCGAACCCGGGATCTCTCGAGTCGGCGACACCATCAAATACGGCATACGATCCACTCGACCACGGAGGTCGTTAAAGAACAAAACAAGAAGTGGGTAAAATAAGAGATTCAAGTTTGTGTGTAAAATCTATTATATGGGATACATGTAAAACCTATTAATGTTGTATTAAATTTAATCCCACTTATGTTGGTATGTCAATTGAACGTAGAAATAAATCGCGGTCAGTCTAGTAAATGTTTGGCTAATAAAGTGCTATACTTTCAAGAACTGTAACAGGAGGTATATTTATTTATAATAGCTACTACCTACCTAAAAAGTGCTGCCCCAGAAAATAATGTCTTAGACGACTGATCGCTTTCTCTTTGAAAGCATTACTTTACTTGTTAATCCTACCTAGTATCATTTCGCTCATTACGCCTAGTCTGGACTAGGAAACATCCGTTATGTATATTTAAGTTCCTTGTTGTTCAAAATACTAAAATGACATGATTAATTCCACCTTATTTCACTCCTGTTCCGTCTATCACTCACTCCGCAATGATCGACGACCCAAAGCTATTATTTATTAATTTGCGACTTTGAATAAATACTTTTAAATTTATTTTGTTTCTATCAATAAGCCTATCCTATAGGACTTCAATGGCGCAAGTGGTTAGCGCGTTCGGCTGCGATCGCGAAGTTAAGCAACTTTCGCTGTGGTCGGTCATTGGATGGGTGACCAAAAATTTACTATTCCGAGCTTCTCTGCTTCGGAAGACGCGTTAAGCCGATGGCTGCATCTGTTCAAGCAACCACCAATCTCCACTGGGCCCGCGTGCCCAATCTCCCTATTCCGTCCATAGGGAAGGTCTTTGCGCAATGATGTACTCAGGTAAGTATAATAAAATATTCTTAGTGCTCACCTATTGGGTGGAGTCGCCATGTTATCTAGGTTCTCAAAATCCATTCCATTGGTTGGGTAACCACTCATCACCCAGCCAAGTTCAATACAGTCCTTAAAATAAGATAAAACAAATCACATTTCCAATTTCGCTGTCCGACATCTGGAGGAAACTTAAGACAATAGGGATGATGACTAATTTCTTTTCTTCGTTTTATCAGGTACATTATCAAAAAGTATTGGACACGTATTTTTTCTTTTTTCACATAATATAAACATTGCAGGGATATATTGATTTGAAAAGTCGCATTACGTCACGTTTGAGTACACTTTTAAGCGAATATTCACCAAAAAGTGACGTCACAAGCCCCTACTCCCAAACTTTGACGCGCTATAACTTTGTCATTTTTTGGTTGATTGCCCAAAGAAATAATACGTGTCCATTATTTTTTGATCATCTAAGTGACGGACTAAATAGAATTTCGTTTACTGAACCCCGTCATCACCCCTATTCTACTTGTTACAGTTTTTCTTTCTACCTTTTTCATAATGCGTCGTTTTATAATTTCAGCCTTCAGAAGCACGCTGGGTCCGAAATTGCGCAACTTTTCTCCGACTTCATCGTTCCTCTGTAACGCTTCGTTGTACAGGTCGTTAAAATTTACTGCAAACCGATAGGTTGGTTGGTTGGTAACTTTAACTTCTATCATGATTCATGGTGGACTGGTAATGAAAGAATAATAGCAAAGCTGCTAACTGTGAACTTTGCCGTTCAGGGAGTGAGTTCTATTAACAGAAAGGGCAGTTGTGTTGTAGTTGTAGGGGATGGATTAGCTACCGTGTTATTCCCACAGAGTGTAATGACGTTTTGTGCATTTTATCAAATAATTCGATATTTGTTCGCGCTGCGCCGCCGCCGGGGCGGTGTTGCCCGCGCGTAAAGGTCATAATTTAATATCTCATTAGATCCATAATGCATGCTTACATATACATACCTACCGTACCTAGTCTTTATTAAAATCGCACATCACATAAATGAACATGATGCGCTCATTATCTACATCAACTCCGGGGAGTTTCGTAGCGTTCGAAGTATACTGGCAGGCGCGAGCTGCGAAAGCCATTTCGGTACAGTAGCATATTATTCAAGTTTCAATTGAACCCTGTTCAAATTTCCATTAATAAACTTTCTCAATTTCGTTCATGGGATAGTTTTAATACTTTTATGTATAAACGTACTAAATACATATTTCCCTTCATTAGTTATTTAACAACAATTAGAATAATAAGAGTACAAATAATAAATATGTTGTAGGTACCGTGAGTAATTCCAAAATGTTTCGCCAGCTGGGAGCCTTGCGTGGAGCGGCCGCAGCCGGGCGGGCCCAGCAACAGCACGCGGTACACGCCCGGCGCGCCTACCACGTGGTAACCCTGAGTACCACCAACAGGTAAAAGCACATATTTAGCAATAGTAATAACATAAGTCGACCTATCCATAGAATAAAGCTACTTCTACATAATCCCTACTTTACAGTAGAGCGATTTGAAGTTTGTAAGATGTAAAATTTACTTTAACTTGTATTGGTATTTTTCTAGCATTTGATTTCTTTTACCAATCATATAAAGCATTGAGAAGCATATTATGACGCATTTATTGTTTAAAAAAAAACTACATGTGACAATTTACTACGGACATCTTAATGTTATATATGCATATCAGACCTTATGCTTGGAAGACGTGTCAATAATATGTGAAGATATAACTTTGTTTAACAAAATGTATATGTCCTGTCGCGTCAAATTATGATAGTATGGCAAATAAGAAAAATAGAATCAAACATTTAGTAAAAAGTCTCAGTTTGTAACAAAAATTGAAGCCGTGCAGGCTGCTTTCTTGCCTATCCAAAAGGTACTAGTGCACTTGACTCTATATTCTTCGGAAACAAAGATCACATGTACCTGTATTCAATTGCTATCTTCGAAGTTAAATAAGTTTTAGAATAAATGTTTTTACCAGTAAAATATATGCGTCCGTTTCGCCTAATAGTATAATAAAAGTAATTTGATAACATGTAACTTTATTCTATGCATAGGTCGAAGTAGCAGCCCGATAGGACGATAGTTTTCGCAATGGTGGTCATCTATTAAAATGGGTTAAAACCATATTTTCCGCTGGAATTGTGTCGAGTCGAACGTCTGCGGAAGTAACCTCTTTCTTACAAAAAAAAACACAGTAAAATAAAGGCAAACCTTTTGCCTTTTGGTGGTGTTGTGTTTCTATCGGTGAGTTAGGTTCCAGTACCCTTAGGCCGTATACAGAAAGAAAGCCGAAAGCCGATCGGCGCTTATCGGCGCCGATCCTTCCTACATAAAGGAAGCCGATTAAAGCAGATCAAGCAAAATGTCGGACTCATCGGACGATGATTTGGTTTTGTTAGAAAATGTTTATTTAAAAATGCGAAAAACAGCTATACATCCTATAAATAGAGAAAGGAAACGTTTCGGAGAATACCATCATTTATTTGTAAAAAAATTGAAATTTGATGAACAAAGATTTTATACATATACAAGAATGATTCAAGAAACATTTTATTACATTTTGGATTTAGTGAAAAACCGTTTGATGAAAAATTGGTGCAATTGGCATAAACAACCAATCCTTCCAGAGGAAAGACTTGTTGTCACCATTCGGTAAGTACGAAACAAATAATTTTAGCGCTTAGTTAATAAAAGATAAAGTTATTAGATTTATAAAAAGATTATAACTTACATTGATTTAATCTAAGGATAATAATTCAAATACAAATTATTTATTATTCGGACCAGCGCGTGTCGGCGCTTATCGGCGCCGGTCCATAGAAAAAGGATCAGCGCCAATAGGCGCCGATAAGCGCCGATCGGCGCTGATCGGCGCCTTAGTACGAGTTTAAGCTCACGAAAACTATCATAGTTTTCGTAATTGTAAAAATTATGTTTCTATGACCATTTTGGTGAAAAGTAACCAAATATACTTAAAATTTAAGAAGACGCAAATGATTTTATGATTGAATTTAAACACTGTTTACTTGTATTGAAACGAAAACAATAAAATCAGTACCCTTAGTGCGAGTGCGAGCTGACGAAAACTATCATAGTTTTCGTAATTGTAAAACTCGTACTAAGGGTACAGGGCTCCGCAGGGTAGAGCCAAGGGCGGATCCAGCTTTGGCGCCAGGGGGGGGGGTCATATAGTCGTGGTATATTAAATATTGAAAGTACTTAAATAAAATCCCCCTGGGTTTGGTCCATCTGTACCCAGCCCAGGGGGGGGTCATGACCCCCCCCCCCTGGACCCGCCCTTGGGTAGAGCATTGGGTCAGGTAAGGTATCGGCGCGAGTGATATTTGATATGGCAACTCACAAACTTGTTAACCACACTTTTAACATAAAAACAACAACTAAGAAAAAAGGCTGGTTTAATTTGTTTGTCTGCATGGGTTTGATTCGTAACTAGAGTTATCGTAATGTAAGTAATTTTCCTATCGAAAGCGAAAAAAAAGAGTAAAATGATTTTTTTTAACCTGGAATGGACCCTGAAGACCTGAGGCACAAGCGCGAATCGCATTGCAGCATTTCAATGATATCTTTAGTGTATCGTCTTCGGGTTCAATATGAACTTCCTAGTAAAAGAACAAAAAATAGTACAAGTAGTCGAATAGTATACAGGTAACAAGTGAGGAGCTCGATGGCGCAGGCGCATGATTAGCACGTTCGGCTGCGATCGTTGAAGTTAAGCCACTTTCGCAGTGGTCGGTCACTGGATGGGTGACCAAAAATCTTCTAAATCGAGTTCCTCCGTGCTTCGTAAGGCACGTTAAGCCGTTGGACCCGACGGCATCTGCAGTCGTTATCACCCGCCAATCCGCACTGGGCCCGCGTGGTGGGTCATGGCCTAATCACCCTATTACATCCACAGGGAAGGCCTTTGCCCCAGCAATGGGGACATCAATAGGCTGATGATGATGATGATGGACAAGTGAGCAAGCAAGGAACGACTGCAACCGCAAGCGAAATGTCGCCCGCCATAAAACGCCTTCATTATACGAACGGCTAGGGAGTGGAACTCCTTGCCGAGGTCTGTTTTCCCGGACCAATATAATCTGGACATCTTCAAGGCCAGAGTGAACAGGCATCTTCTAGGCAGGCGTGTACCATCCAAGGCCTCATCATCACTTTCCATCAGGTGAGATTGTGGTCAAACGCATTGCCTAATTTGCATAAAAAAGCACGACGAGATGTCGTAACTGCACAATACATAGAACCATTCCTCAGTAACTCCGGCTGCAGGCCGCAGTGTCGCCGCGTTCGAAATCAATTTCATAGAAACAGTGGTGTCGCTGCAGTTTATCTGCAGCCCGTCTCGGAAAAGCACCTTTATGGATATTTTCGTAAGTTAAAGTTAGAAGTAAGTAGGTACTACTACTAGCCTTTAGCGTCGCCTTGTACGCATACTTGAGCCCTTCGAAGTCTTGTTGGAAAAAGTCCCTTTTGGCAGTGAGAGGATTCTCCGCTCTCGGTGCTTGCGGCGGCGTGGGCGTGAGCGCCAGGGTCACCGTCGGTAGTACCCCGTCTTGTTGCAAGCAGCGCGCCTCGCGTAACGTGCACGGATGATCTGAACAGTTTATATAAACGCAATTATCATCATGATCAGCCTAATAATATTCGCACTGCTTGGATGGACACTACAAACAAGTGTTCTATAGATATAGAATACTGAGAATATGCCATGACCTACCGCTTGGACTGGTGGATGACAAAAGATATAGCCGCAGCCAGCGGCTTAAGTACCTTCCGAAGCGCTAAGGAGTTTTGAGATATTTTTTTTGTCCTGAATCTGTGACCGAACGCTCTAATAATTGCGCCATCGAGCTCCGCAAAAAGCATAGGTACTTATTAGTATTTTTAATCGTGTGTGTTTGTCATCAGAAATTTAAGAAGTGTTTGTGTTATGAAAACCAGAAACAACGAAAGTAGGACTGATCAGACTCGTGAAAATAAAACCTTCAATCGAACCCGAGGCCTGATAGAATAGATATAACCACTAGGGGAACACTCTGGACCCTACATAATGTATTCTCAAGCTAAACATTATCCCCCTATAATTATTACAATCATCCACCAAGGTCCACAACGCAATTCAGTATAGGTGTTTGTCGATTTTATAATTACAAATGTATAGCGTACTTTAAATCAAAGGTACCGTGACAAAGGTAAGACCTCAAAGTGATTGTAATTAAACCCTCAAACAAATACAAACCAAACATGAGCCATCCCGCTTGAGCCACCGGCTCCTTGTTGGCGAGCGCTTTGGTGACCTCGGACATAATCACCGGAGAGATGCACTCGGGCACGTAGTCTTCGCGCTGTGTACGTGATAACGTGAGCAATCGTGCTTAAAATACAAAACTCGTACTAAAATCATGCTTAATCTGCCATAGTTTATTATAGAGAACAACTTTCTGTTGATTTTGAATAAAATAACAAATCAATGCTACTACTCCTTACCACTACCTTACTAACTGTTCTTAACCTACTTGAGGTTCAGAACAGTTACCTAAGGTCCCGAATGCTCAAAAAATGTAGAGTTTCGTAGGTACCCGAAAGGTAAAAGGGTACTCTATTGATGTGAGCCTTTCCTCCTATTGTCCGTCCGTCTGTCTGATTTCAAGTAATAAAATATACTTGGCGTGGTTGATTCCTAATAAGGGAGGAACCCAAACCGTCACTGCCGTAAAGAAGTCGCACGAACCCCAGTTTTAGTGGGTATAGGAAGAGTCCCACATAATGCGTCATGCATTTCTCTGGTTAAAAAAGGCAATGATATTTACAACTGAATGAACTTGGTCATGGAGCTATGGCATTCCGACAAGTGGTGCTATATATACTAACGAAATCGGAAACGATCCATCAGAAAGAGGTCACAACCACCCAGACTCAAGTAGTTTCTATTAAGACAGGACACAGTTATTAAACCGTCTACAGTCAAATAGCTCTATTTTGTAACTATCTTTTTATAGTGTAGACACTAAGGTTGAGTGTTATCCACGGGGTAGGGGACATACACGGGGTCGGTAGAGTGCCCATATTGGATGAATTCCTCCCAACCTTACAACTTAACTAACTTTCAACCTATGCCAAGAGTGAATGTTTCTAAACCTACCTTTTGATAACGATCCAAAACACATCTCCTTGTGATGACTATATATCCCAAATCTTTGATTAACTCTTTTACCAAAGACTTGATATCTATAAAAATAGGCATGCATTTTATTTACGACCTTAAGCGATTACTTAGGATTAGGTAGTTAACTATGTATTTTGTAAAAAGCAAAAATTTGGTTACATAGGTTAATAGTTAGTAGGTACCAATCTTTAATTCTGGAGATACAAGTATCATAATCCTATCTATGTCCTTGGTGCTATGCAAATGGCGCCCTAAAAATATTTTGATTTGCTTTAAATGGTCCTTAGGCAAAGTCAGCACGAGGTCTTCGACCATGTCCTGTAAGAGATATCTTGGATTAGAGGAACCCCAGCCCGATTATGAAGATGAGATAAAAGTATCTAGTTATATAGGAAATCAGAATGAGCAACCTTGAAGGCTTTATAAATCCTGTACTTCTCCAAGTATGGTATAAATATTTCAGGCATTGTTAATGGTTTTCGAGTAGCATCTGTTTCGGTCATATTGAATGGTGGCCAATACAATTTTTTTGGTTATTTATTATTGTACGTAACCAATTAAAATACTGATGTCGAATTGTTCTGCATAGAATATTGATAGTTTACTTGCTCAGTGGAATATTGGGTTAACTTGACACAAGCTTGACACTTATTTACATTCATAGATAAAGTAATCAATCCTTTTAAGTGGTTTTATGTTTTATGCATAATAAAGAATCTATATCCCTATTGGGATATACAAAGTTACTCTATGGAGGTTAGAGATAAGGAGGACGATCGCTGTAGAAAATAGTGTCCCAGAATTATGGACAAAATAAGTGAGGCGCTGCGATCGCTAATGCTGCGAAGAAAATTTGTATAATATTCAACGTGTATTCAACTAACTTCATCTACTTGTGCTCATAAACAGCTAACTTCACAGATACTTCTTACCGACGGCAGCGCGGCTGGTGGCTGAAAAATGAACTATAAATTCTACAAATTTCAGGGATAAGCGGGCTAATGCTTTGTACGTAGCGATCGTTCTCCTTCTCTCTAACATCCATGTTCCATCCTTTAGCATTCAGCGCCTTGTGCTAATGGATGAACTCATCACCATTTACGGTTCAAATGAATTGTTCATACTCTTCTTAGTAATGCCGACAGTTATGTTCCTTTGTATAAATTTAATATAAAACACTGAGCGAAAGATATAGCACTATTTAAATTATTACTTATTTTGATTGTTTGATTGGATCACAAAAAGAAACTAAAAAAAAAACATGAATGTCGTTGAGGTCACATTTTCGTTTTATTTGGTTTTGTTCGTTTTATTTATTGGTTTAACGGTTTCGGTTGATAGTTGTTTAGGTTTAGATTTTGCTAAGAATTTTGTAAAGACATTATAAGTTTTGTTTTTTCTCTTTGTTTGTTGGTGTCGGTCATCCTCGTTTATTGATATTAATTGTGTTTGATTCTACGGTTTTGTGTAAAAATTTATGTTTTTATTTTTAACTGCCTTTTTATTTCTTTCTGATATTTAAACTTTTTTTCTTCAAACTTTAAAAACCTTTATTAATGGGGTACAAATAAGTAAAATAAATAAGACCAGACTGTATGGGCATTGTTCCCCTTGCCTTTCCAGAAAAGGGAGAACTTAGACAAACTAAATAACACATGTTTTTGTTTTGTTTGCATGATGTGGGCATGATTTAGGTTATGTTTCGAAGATTTGTTTGTGTTAGAAATTTTAACAACAGCAATTGTCAGTTGTTCATTAAATTGATTTTGTTGCGTCGATATTGATGCTGTGGGTCAGATGTCACCGCGATTCGTTGATAAGTCGTGTAGCCTCGGCACATTATCTTGATCAATGTGTGTTAATTCGTTCCGCTACATCGTTTGGTTACATTAGTTATGTGTGTAGTTTAATTGCGTTGTCCAGTCTCAATATAGCCAGCTGATGAATAGCATCGGCCTGTGTCGACAGTCTATAGTGCATAAGTTATTATTTAGAATGTTTTCCGTGAAGCATTCTTATGAGGTATGTATCGAGTTTAATATTTGAAAGTGAATATAATTGTAATACTTAAGTTTCCAGTTTATATACTTGTAAATGTACTTTCAACATTATTTTTCTCTTTAATTCCCTGTTACAGTCTCTGAATAAAGTTTAAATAGTCTTTTATCCATCATATACAATACTACACCAATTTACATTAGAGGCAAAATCCAATAAGCGACAACTATACATGGTAAAGATAAAGATCACAACGGAAGTCAACATTTAAGAAATTAAATTTGATTGGATAGCCTTATAATGTTTAGTTTTGTGTACAATGGGTCAATGGCTAATTTGTAAATTATCTTTTATAGTATATAGAATACCTATGGTGTAACTTAAAAGTAGGAAGTTGTACTCCTATTATAAAAAAGATCTGGGGACTGTTACTTATTTTGTTGTGCAATGCCTATTATCTGCTTTTATTTTAGATATAAGTGATCAAAGGAGACTTAAGAGCAATGTAATCCTACTAATGTATAAAATATGTATTTTATGCCACATTGAAATCATATTACCTACCGTAACTAAGAAAAAACGAAACTATATCCTCAATTTTATTTTAATAGGATGCTGTGCACAAATTAAACTCATTACAATCAAACAAAGCAACATTAGATCAGGTTCTCAAGGACATCCAGACTGGAAAAGTAAGTTCATATACTAAATAATCAGTACCAATCAGGGGTTATATTTATTTTATAATATTAAATTGTGTTTTTTTCACAGAAATGTACAAATATAGAAGATATGGAGAAATATTTGTGGAGGACAGGTGTGACTCTTACGAAATTGGATGAATTGTCTGTTATACATGTAGCCGGAACTAAAGGCAAAGTAAGTCCAGGGCTACTTATATTTTTGTATATCTTTCTTTGTGTTATAGAAATAAAATGGAAAATTATATCTATAACCCAAATAAAATTGATATTTTAAATTTTATTGTTACTAACTATGAAATTTATGTTTATAAACTACCTCTCTGTGCATACCATAAAACTTGCTCCCTATTACATCATAAATCTGGCCTTTTACAACACTTATCACCCTGATAGTCAAATTAAAAGTTGAGTCATTTAAATTGTTGTATTTTAAGCAAACTGGTTTTATTCAGATATCTACTTAATGATATGGAGCTGAAACTAGCAGCGATAGGTATCAGTCGAACTCAATTTCTGTACAGGTTGATTCTATGAGATTTAATTTAATTTGGATAATTAGGATTTGGGTAGCTGACTTCCTGCATGAGCGTAGAATTCGTGTCCTTACGGATGGTAGCAGTTCGCGGTTCATGTCAGTGAATGCCGGCGTTCCCCAGGGCTCCGTCCTATCCCCCACTCTCTTTCTGCTGCATATCAATGACTTGATTCCTCTTGGGAATATTCATTGCTATGCAGACGATAGTACAGTGCATGCGGGGTATCTCGGACAAGCAGCGGCTGGGCAGGCAGTAACCAGGGAGAAACGGGAAAATCTTGTCATTGAACTCAATCAGGCTTTGGACCACATTTCCGAATGGGGTACCAGGAACTTGGTTGGGTTCAATGCCAAGAAAACTCAGGCTTGCGCTTTCACGGCAAAAACATCGCCATTCCTTCCCCTTCCATCTCTTCAGGGCACAACACTACCGCTGCAGAGCAACATTTCCATGCTCGGTATGGAAGTTCGCTCAGACCTGAATCCAAAGGACTACATCGAAACCGTGATCAAAACAGCTTCACGCAAACTCGGAGTCCTGAACAAGGTGCGGCGTTTTTTCACGCCCGATCAACTGTGCTTGTTGTACAAAACGCAAGTGCGGTCCTGCGTGGAATATTGCTCGCACCTCTGGGATGGCTCCGCCAAGTACTTGCTCGATGCTTTGGATAGGTTACAGCGGCGCGCGATCCGCATCATAGGCGATGAGGAGGTGACTAAACACCTTGAGCCTCTTCAATTACGCCGTGACGTGGCGTCACTAAGCGCGTTCTATCGTTTGTACCACGGCGAGTGTTCTGAGGAGTTATTCTCTCTTATCCCACCTTCCCCTTTCCTTCAGAGGACCACGCGCGCTGGCCTACGTTGTCACCGTCTTACTGTGGCCACAATTCCAACGCGTACAAAGAAATTTGGTGACTCATTTCTTTGTCGCACTATCCGTAAATGGAATGCTCTGCCCGCTCACGTGTTCCCTCCCTCTTACAACCTGGGATCCTTTAAAAGAGGCGTGAAGAAGCAACATGCAGGCCGGCAGGGTGAGGATGGCTGGTGTGGCAGGTAGAACTGCTGTATCAGCTATCTTCGCGTCTGGACTTCACCTTCACTTAACATCAGGTGGGGCGGAGTCATTTGTCGGACCTAACTATAAAAAAAAAAAAAAAAAATATAATTTCTGTACAGGTTGATTTTATGAGATTTGATTTTTTTTTCGATGATAAAATGTTCCCTAACCTTCTGTTTTTTCTATATTATTCTATTATTACCTGCTGAGGGCATTCAGGAACACTTTATTGAATAAAAAAATAGAAGGCATGCTCGAAGTTTATTGATTCTTCTCCTGAATCATTCTTATACATTTATTTATCAAAAAAAATTAAATCCCATAGAATCAACTTGTACAGAAATTGCGTTCGACCGATACCTATCGCCGCTATTTTCAGCTCCATCTTAATGATGCATAGTTCATTATTGATAAGCAGTAAACTTATTGTTACAAAAGACTAGTGTAATTTAAATCAACCTGTTATAAATTAAAACATACATATTTAAGATCCCTTATTAACCCTTGATGCAAAAAGAGGGGTCTTATAAGTTTGAATTGTCTGTCTGTGGCATAATAACTTCTAAAAAAAAATTACCGATTTGGATGCTTTTTTTACCAAAAATTTCTAACTAAAATGGTGTGTCCTCTAGCCCTCTCCTATAGAGGGTTCTTATATCTCTTAGATAATGCAAGTTAACTTTTTATTGATTCAGGGTTCAACGAGTGCAATGTGCGAGTCCATATTACGACATCACGGCTACAAAACGGGCTTTTACTCATCACCGCACCTCATAGCAGTGCGTGAGCGCATTCGCCTCAACGGCCGCGCTCTCAGCGAAGATGAATTCGCGAGACACTTTCACCAAGTGTATGACAATTTGGAAGCATCAAAGGTAGGAAGCACTTAAATATTATTTTAATAGATCGTCCTCTTAATACTGGTTTCCTCTTGATTGTTTTGTGCTTTTTATTTTATGTCAAAAAGGCTGCATCCAAGTGTGCGTCCCGCCGCCCGCCTGGTGATAAGCGGCTACTATGTTGGCAATACCAAAAATATCACTTGCATCGTTGCCTACCCTGACCCAATCTCCTACCCCGTGGAACCATACTCACTGGTAGAAACAACACCTTCGCACCTTCGCAAAACGCACCTTCGGCTACAGGCCTTTTTTTTTTTATTGTTGGGAAAATGCGTTACGCATACTCCGCCCCGGGTGAGTGGCGGGGTTATGTGGGACTCCTCCCCCCAAATGGGGGGCCCTACCCACTAAAAACCCAACAGTGCTCCCTCGTCTGCCGAAACGGGTTTTGTGGGATCCGGATGACGCTCCACGTTACCCCGTCAGTAATTCCTCCTCCTCCTGGTGGTCAGGGGGATGCCCGGGAGCACCTAGGCATCCCCCCTCGACGGGTGAGACTGTGCAATGCGAGCGACGGACCACCCTGTCCGCCGCCCGCAGTCCCACTAGGGTGGAAAGAGGCGGTCGTACCGGCGCCGCCTTCCCCCCGGTCGTCGGCGACGGAGAGGGCCGGCCCGGGCGTCCCCCTCGCGGGCCCTCTCCGCTGTCTCCTTCTGTAGGATGACTTCCTCACAGAAGGAGACGACCGCGTTCCAGGATCTGTCGCTGTCCAGCATCGCTTTATTCTGCTAGAATCAAGGCAGAGTGCCAGCCTGGCATTAGTCATTTTAAAGGAGCACGGCCGGTTGATATTATTTTATTCTTCCATTTAATAACATCTTGTATATTGTAGAGGTAATATTTTGCTAATCAGCCGGCTTTAAACAAAATTTCTGAATCTCTTCTATCATAATAGATATTGCAAAAGAGCACATATTCTTCGTGGAAACCGCGCGGACCCGCGGTGGTCAATTAGTTCAAATCGGAGGAGACTACGCGCGACACCGCATTTTCGCGCGGTTATGTGTTCTAAAATTTAATGTCGAGATTGTTATGGTGTGCGACAAAATGGACAAACCATTCGCGCTGTTTCCGCAAGAGCTTCGACACGGCTTGTGCGTTGTTCACCTGAAGCTAGGAATCTAATTCAACGACAGAGGGATATGAAACTGTTGTGTATAAAAATGCACTTCATCTAAAAACCCGATAGAGCGCCACACTTTTCACAACTTGCGACTTGAGGTCTAGATCCTGTGTCCTTTAAAATAGTAAAAGTTATCTGCGGCTGAAAGTGCAATAGGTGTTAAAGCTGGTGAAAACATTAGAGCTCGAAAAAGGCAGTAAGTTATCCTGTTTTTCTTCGTCTAGCAAACGATAAATAAGGTTGACGTTTCTTTAGGCCTACGAGGGTGATATGCCGAAATACTTTTGGTTCCTGACAGTGATGGCGTTCCACGTGTTCTTGAAGGAGAAGGTGGACGTGGCCATCGTAGAGGTCGGCATCGGCGGCCTTTTGGACGCAACTAATATTTTAAGGTATGCTGCCCCCCTATTGAGCACCGCGATATTTATTTATTTATTATTTGGAAGACCAATAAGTTATATATTTAATTTAAAACAGAAAATATAACAACAGTTAATTATAGATCCTCGCAGATAACAGATTATTAAAGACGCATGCACGCATACGCCAATATTCCCTGCAATCCAGAGTAATAATAGGTAAATATTTTTGAAAATTCAACATTTGTCAAAAAACATATTGGAAATAATAGGCCACGAAGCCTTTCTGATGTCAAAAAGATGTAAGTTGGCCTGGTTTGACATATTGAAATTATTACAATATAGGTATAAATTTTAGACACAAGTTCCGGGCAATCTGTGGCACTAAATGCTACCTTCATTAGAAACATTAAATCCTCTATCTCTCGACGTTTTTCCATTGGGAGAAGATGGTTCTTTTTACAAATCTCAATATAGCGGGTCGAATCATATTGGTCATGGATGCGGAAACAGAGATATTTAAAAAATATATTTTGTGTATTTTCTATACGCCTAATGTGAATATTATATACTCGGATTCCAAATCTGCGACGCATATTCAAGATGGCTTCGTACAACCGCATAATACAAAATCTTTAATGTTTTAGCCCGAGTGAAATCTCTTGAGTTACGCATCACAGATGCAAGGGCCCTAGACGCTTTATTAATAATTGAATCAATATAAATGTCAAAAATAAGCTTGTCATCGTGATACACTCCAAGGCCTCTTACTACTGTCTCCCGATTTAGTTTCTTATCCTTCAGTGTGTTGTCAAAAATAACAGATTACGTTTTCGGCTATAAGACACTTCGACGGATTCAGATCCAAATGGTTATCCATGCAATATTTGTCAAGCCTTTTAAGATCATTGTGGCGGAAATCTAAAATAAAAACTTAAGAGATTTTTAAACATCTTTCTATATCGTTCACAAAAATTGCAAAAAGAAGGGGTCCGAGCAAGGATCCCTGTGGAACACCACTTGTGACTGCCAAACACCCTGAGTTGTAATTTTTAATTACAGCAGCTAGCGAATTTTTTTAATATAATATTATGAAGACAGTCATCTTAGCCAATCACCACTGATACCGATCCTTTGCAACTTAATCAAAAGTATAACGTAGGATTCGGTCAAATGCTTTGCTATAGTCCATATAGATAACGTCAACTTGGGAACCACCATCCATGACCATAGTAAGGAACTCTTATAATAATACAAGGTTGGAGACAACTGTTCGACCTCTCAGGAAACCACGTTGGGCTTGAGTAAACGAATGTTGTAGTGCCGACTAAAGCTGACCATAAACTATTTTTTCTTAGACCTAAGAGACTATACATAGCTTTGAAATTGGGCAGTACTTCATGGCTTCCATTCTAGAGCCTTTTTTGTGAACAGGAGTAATGTAGGCGCGCTATCACATAGATGGAACAGTACCCTTAGCACGAACCAATATCGAATTCGTATTGTTTGCGAGTCCGAAATGTCATTGTCTAATGTGTACTGATTATTAGTTGCCGTTACGTACTTTGTGGCGCTGCTGTTCAAGATTCCGTTCAAAATTTTACATTGTCATTTCGGTTTGCAAACTATTCGAATTCGATAATGGTTCGTGCTAGTGGTACAGCTCCTGTTTCTAAGGATTTTTTAAAAGGATTGTGATGGGTTCTGCGATAGACTTAGCACAGTTAAGAAAAAAGCTGGTAGCATATCCGGCCCAGCAGATTTGGCGAATCGAGATATGATATATAGCTCGTTGTTATCACGCTGAACTGTCAAATTACTATGGAGTTTGACAGATAAACGCGATAAAAAACGTGATATAATATAGGTAAATTGTGATTGTCATGCTACAGGAACTGGAACTCGTTAAAATTCCTCTGAAGTAACTTCAGATGAATTTTAACAGGTATAGGTACAGTCTTCATTATAACTGTTTTTTTTTGTATTGTTTTTCTGTTATTAGTAGTATACATATTTTATATTCCGGCAACGAAAGACTTAAATGGTCCAATACAGGAAAGTACCGTATTACCGATAAATAAAACATATGATATTGTTAGAAAATAAACTTAAAACTTATGTTAGCAAAATTCTAATTAACTAACTAGCATAGCCAGCGAGTTTCGACGCGGAGTGGTGTCAAGTAGCCGGCCTCGGCACCGCTAGAACTGGAACACAACACCTTCCGGCCAAACTTTCTCTTTTACGTGTCACCAGATGTTTGGACGCCACGTTATTGCGCCACACACACCGTGGAAATTTGAGCTAACGTGACATGACGTCATATAACGCGACTCGTGACATGATGTCACATTACGTGCATACACGTGCACCTAACTTTTCGTGCATGCAGCCCAGCGTCGCCAGATTTTTTGTCAAGTTGGGACTTTTTGAGTGAAAAAAGCGGATTGTAAGCTTAAAAAAACACAGTAATTTAGAATATTTATATTTTTATTTGAGTTCAAATTACGTTTACCTGACAACAGATAGGTAAAAATAACCATAGAAAATGTATTTTAATAAAAATATGATATTTTAAATCAGAGTATCCTATCGTTAACCACCCGCGCTTTCTCAGAACGCTGCACGCACGGTCGAGTTATTTCCGAAAAGCGGGATTGAGACTGTCCCTTTTTCTTGTCTGGGAAATGTTTTACGCATCCTTCAACCACCGGGGGAGCGAGAAGAAGGTATGTGGCACTCCTCCCTGCTCATTTCAGCCAGCCCTTAGGCTGGGTGACATGAGCAGGGCCCTACCTAACACCCTGAACAGGGTCACTAAAAACCAGACAATACTTCTGCACCGGTCACCCGGCGTACATTCTGAGGACCGCAGTGGCCCCAATGCACGCGGGAGTGCGGGTGTGCCGACTGTCCACGCACCCGCAAGGGATTGAACCTGTCCCGCGCGGGACATTTAATATTGCTTTAAAAATCGAGACGTCTGGCAACGTTGGTGCAGCCGGTGTCCATCGATTTATAAGACGTTAAAACTTCAAAAGTCATAATGTTTATCCAGAAAGGTTCCCGTTGTGGGTATAACGGCGCTAGGTCTGGACCACACGGCTATCCTGGGGGACTCGCTGCCCCAGATAGCGGCTGCCAAGGCGGGCATCATGAAGGCCGGCTGTGAGGCCTACACCGTGGAACAGCCGCCCGAGGCCATGGCTGTACTCAACAGGGTCGCGCAACAGCTCAAGGTTATATTGGGTTTCTTGCAATTGCTAATTCTATAGATGCAAAACGGCCAACCAATCAGGGACAATTGCCAAATTAACGCGCGCTAGATTCTGGTTATACAGTTTTACTTCGAAAGATTATAATCTACTGAAAAATAATGCGTTTAATTGTAAACAGTATGTTACGGTTCACAATCTTTCGACAGTTCAGAATTGCGAGATAGATTATAATGTAACATTATTTACAAGTTCTCGGTAACATTATATTCTTTCATCATCATCAGACTATTAATGTCCCAACTGCTGATGCACAGGCCTTCCTTATGAATGGAATAGGGAGATTGGACCATGACCCACCACGCGGGCCCAGTGCGGATTGGCGGGTGCTAACGACTGCAGATGCAACCGGGACCAACGACTTAACGTGCCTTCCGAAGCACGGTGGATTTCGAGATAGATGTTTTTGGTCACCCATCCAATGACCGACCACTGCGAAAGTTGCTTAACTTCAACCATCGCAGCTGAACGCGCTAACCACCTGCGCCATCGAGCTCTTCATATATTCTTTACTCGAATCTAATTAAACACTTTTTGAGTCGTTAAGTATGCAGAGTTATTTATTATTAACTTTTTTGCATTATTCCTGACTTTAAGGAGCCTTTGAAAGCTCCTTGGTCTCAACACTGAGCTTTTATAGATCTCCGACTAATTCAAATAATTAATTCGAACAAAAAAATATTTATAACCAGGACCCGCGTCTTCGTCTGCGTGGTAAAATGGTTTCCCATAGATTAGAAACTTCCACCTTTCTCGGCATTTAAACTATCCGGTTTAGCGGTTCAAGCATGAAGAGGTGATAGACAGATAGACACACTTTCACATTAATAATATCAGTGTGCATTTAATGCAAGAAACTTAGCCTATTCTATCATTTTACTCTAATAAAATGATTCAATCGTTTCAGATATGTTTCTTATTTTGTCGATACATCATATTTTGATTGCAATGTATTATTTTTATATTTTACAGTGCTCACTCAACATAGTTCCTACGTACGATAGTTATTACTTCCCTAACGGATACAAAACAAGACTTCAGACGAATCTCGAGGCATACCGGACTAATGCCTCCTTGGCCATACAGTTGGCGCACAGTTGGCTGCGGTGGGCCAAGCTTCAAGCAACCAATAAACAGAATGTCAAAATAGCTATTGCTAGCGGAAAAGTTTTACAAAACGATTATAAAGAATTCGATGTCCCATACCAAATGAATGGGCATAAATGTTTAAACGAAGTCGTGTATGATGGCATGACGACACAGATTCCTCTGAACACGGCCGAGGGTTTGAAGGAATGCAAATGGCCCGGCCGGTATCAAATCGTGGAGTCCACCTACGCAACGTTTTATTTGGACGGAGCACACACTAAGGAATCGATGGAGATATGCTCAGAATGGTTTCAAGATACCAACAAGTAAGTACTTCTTACACTTTTATATATTTACTAGCTGACTCAGCGGACTTCGTACCGCCATAAAAATAGGGTTTGATATAGAATAATATATAATAATAATAAATTTATTTTAACAATTAGTACAAAAATAATAACTTAAAAGTACAATTTTAGCTTAGGTATAACAAAACATGCGCCTGAACTAAGAAAATCCTGTGTTTCAGGCGGAAACGGGCGATTAATTTCCATTAAAATAACATGTGTATTTATTTATGGTAAATTACAGTAAATTTGGTAAAACATTACACATATAACTTAAAACTAATCTAAAATGATGCAATATACTAGATTCAAGAATAATAATATCAAGAGAAACGAACACTTCTCACAACTATATCCTTATGCTACTTAACTACAACTAATAACTTCTCTGTATCTTCATAGGACATGCCTAGTAAGGCTTCTTGTAGGCTTATTTTACAATTTTTGTAATTTAAGGGATATATGTTTTTTATTGCATTTAGTCTATTGTAGAGCAGTGGTCCTAGGAAAGTGAAAAATCTGGATGCAAAAGCTGATTTTGTTCTTCCATATTTCTGGGGGCAAACTAGATCCTTGCGTCTTTTACCAGAAATAAGTTCAACATAGTATGGTAGAGCTACGTGCTGTTTTAGTACGATGTTCATTATAAACAGTTGCCGAACTGTTAATACCTTATGAATTTTATAAAGTTCATATGTGGGATAAAAGAAAGGTAGGGAAGATGAAACCTTAAGGATTGCTCTTTGGGCTCTCTCAAGAGTTAGCAGCAATGTCTTACCCACTCCACCCCATGACGTGATACAATATGTTAGTATTGATTGACATAAAGCATAGTATACCTGTTTAATTATTTTACAGTTTGCAATATTGCGCAGTTTTTTAAAGATCATTATCAGCTTACGAATTCTGTTAGTTACTGCAGTAATGTGGTGTTTGTAAGACAGAGTTTCATCTAAAATTGTTCCGAGATATTTTAATTTGTCTGTAATTTTAATGGCAGGACATTCACAATTATTATTAAAAGGCTCTGAACTGCAATGATGGGCATATAAAACTGTATTATAGTTGTTTGCTTTTGATTTACGCATCGAAAATTTAATAAAATTTGTCTTGTCTGCATTTAATGTTAGTAAATTGTGTTGAAGCCAATTATTGACAATATTAAAACCACGTTGCGCATGCATGTGTACCTGACTTTCTGACTCGGCTGAAAAAAGGAGAGCTGTGTCGTCAGCGTATGATATAATAGTACCGTTGCTAATTTTAATGTTGCAGAGATCATTTATGTAAATTAAAAACAGAGTAGGGCCTAATATTGATCCTTGTGGAATTCCAAAGGGTGTACAATTTAGATCGGCACTTACGATATTACCTATTTTGACGCATTGGGAGCGGTCTTCTAAATAATTGATGGTAGAAGGGTGAAAATTTAGGGTGGACCTATATATTTTTAAATGCCAAACAATAAAAAAAAATGTCAAACAATGAGGAGCTCAATGGCGCAAGTGGTTAGCGCGTTCGGCTGCGGTTGTTGAAGTTAAGCAACTTTCGCAGTGGTCGGTCATTGGATGGGTGACCAAAAATTTATTATCTCGAGCTCCTCCGTGCTTCGGAAGGCACGTTAAGCCGTTGGTCCCGGCTGCAACTGCAGTCGTTAGCACCCACCAATCCGCACTGGGCCCGCGTGGTGGGTCATGGCCCAATCTCCCTATTCCATCCATAGGGAAGGCCTGTGCCCCAGCAGTGGGGACATTAATAGGCTGATGATGATGATGATGATGATGAAGCCGTTACGGAGGAGTATGGTAACTAACATTGTGACACGAGAATTTTATATATAAGATATTAATCTTAGAGAGGTAGGGCACAGTGGAATTACGCGTGGATGGAGCAACCAACTCGGGTACACTATATAATTATTTATTTATTTAGAAACCAAACAGCGTTACAAACAATTTTCTTTCTTGACATAAATTTTAACAGTAGGGCCTAAGAAACCATATTCATAATATTTCTCTAGAAATCATCTTATTTCTCCCAATATTATTTATAAGTATTATGACCATTCTTTATTTAGTGAGATAAGAACTGTGCCAGAATGTAAAATAAATACACAAATGTATCAAATACACACTATATCTTTTGGAGCTCTTTTGTCTCTGTTGATTTGTAGGAACAGTTCCTTCAAGGATTCAGGGTTTTACGGCGTTGAGAATTCGATTCAAACATTCAAATCGACTATATAGGCGTGGCTGAAACAAGCTATTCTCACAACTGGACTCCCCATAGATACAATAACTAACATAATATTAAGATAAAGGGGGGCAGGCGGGTTTGTTGGGCCTTATATATGTAAAAAGACTAAATTTAACTTAGATAGTGGTGTCGATTCTGGCATGATTATCTAAACTTAAAACTAAATTTAACATCAGTCTCTCCTTTTCATTCTGTATAGAGAATGACAAGGATACACTGTTGTCAAATTTAATTTTAGGTTTAGAGAATCATGTCAGAATCCACACCAGTGATGTCGATTCTGGCAGGATTTTCTAAACTTAAAACTAAATTTAAGATCAGTCTGTCCTTTTCATTCTGTATAGAGAGCGACAGGGATACACTGTTGTCAAATTTCATGTCAGAATCAGGCCAGAATCGACACCATTGTTTCCATGGATATTTTTCTTGTACATTACAGGGGGTAGTCAACATATCGGTTCGATGCTCGGTATTATGTACTTCGACCCCTCTATGTAAACAGTGACGATTTATCTATCATTGAAAAAAGGGAGTAAAATGATATTTCGATTACGATAACAGGTAAGTACTTTGTATTGTGCGACAATTTTAAGTTTGTAGAAACTCATATTTCGATCTTTTTTATTTCACTTAAGTTATGGCACTTAAGCATTGGTTTAATAATTTTGATTTTGAAATATTTATTTGCTTTTACAATTTAGATCTTTATTACATTTGAAGCTTTCATTTCCTACTAGAGATTGCACTACTAACATCTGAGCAGAACTTGCTCTTAGAACAATTCGATGAACAATGAATGGTCTTATTTATTTTAGATGCAAAGCAGTGCAAGTACTCAAGGAAAGGAAGAAATGGAATATCAAGTCTGATGGTGAAAGTGATGATTATCCCAAACATAGAATTGATAGGTGATGTCTCAGAATGCAAAACAAAAGGCAGATGGAATACACCGAACACACAAATCAAACAAACAAACATACAGTCAAAAGTAAAGACTTTTTGTCTCTAGTGAACAGTTTTACACGACTGCTCAAAAAGAGTGTAATGTATTCAGGGTTACAATTCTTTATTCCACCATAACTTCTAAACGCCTGAACCGATTTAGATGTGTGTAGTATCGTTAGAATCCTTTCACCGTCACAAGTAACATAGAATACCTAAACTGTTAAAATTTTAATAACAGCAATGTCAAAATCTCAATTAAAAAAAAGTCTTCTATTATTACAATATAGGTATCATTTGAAAGATCTTAACTAGACCATATCAAATATAGTAGTCTGTGCGGAAAGAGAATGGGATTTAGATTGGAGGGCGCTGTAGTGCTTTTCTACCGTATTTGCAAGGTTTTACCCCTTTTAGACATGATTAAATAAAAAAAACCGTAAGAAATCACAACAACAAACAAATCCGTATCAATACAAAACTTTGATGTTTTACAGATTGCTGGGTTTGATTGCCAAATAAAAATCTTAATGTTAGTTCCGTTTTTCGCCACGCCCATTCTCTTTCCGCACAGACTCTAGCATTTTTAACGGCAGTCTGTAATTTTTTAATTATTTGAACTTGTTACAATGTTTGTACAGGACAGAACAGTTTTGATAAAAAGTTACTTATTCACGGGATGTATTCACAACACGACTCGTGTACTGACGTGAGTTTGTATTCGCTTTTGCCGTATTTGTTTTTGCTTGCTTGGGTCGCCGCACTTGCGTGTGCCGTGCGTTCCATCTGCCTTTTGTTCTGTAACTTGATTTATTGGTTTCTGTAACATGATTTTTTCTGACTTTGTTCCGTCCAAATTGTTCAAATAAACTTATATAATAATTTCAATTTTTTTTAGTAAACTGTACCCCTAGCACGAACCAATATCGAATTCGTATCGTTTGGAGTAGAATTGATTAAAAACCTTTCTTAGCGGATGCCTACGTCATAACATCTACCTGCATGCCAAATTTCAGCCCGATCCGTCCAGTGGTTTGGGCTGTGCGTTCATAGATCACTATGTCAGTCAGTCACCTTTGAGTTTTATATATATAGATGTAGTTAAATAAAGCTAACTATAACAAATTATAAACCAGTTCCCCTTAGCAGGAACCAATATCGAATTCGTATCGTTTGCGAGTACGAAATGTCATTGTCAAATGTCAGTGGCGGTCTTAGGGGGTGGCGAACAGGGCAATCGCCCGGGGCCTCGCTCCTACAGGGGCCTCGCGCAACAACCCAAGGAAATTTTAAAAATATAAAAAAAAATACTATTTTTTCAATGACACAAGATCGGCTTTCAGCCCTCAATCGAAAATGACGTAGCTTATTCGTTAGATTATTGTGCTTTAATTAAAGATTTTAGTCTTAGGAAAAGCCGCAAACATCAATTTTAAAATTTATCATCTCTGTATTTGTTAATTTTGTGAATCTTTCAATGTAAAATATTTTTAAATTCAAATTTGATTTATTTGTATAATTTAAGCATTTTTCCTTAAACATGACAAATACCTAAACCAAACAACCAGACCTACTTTCTCATCACATACTTTTCACGAAGGACAAAGGGCCTCGCAAAGACCTGCCGCCCGGAGCCACGCAATCGGTAAGGCCGCCTCTGTCAAATGTGTACTGATTGCTAGTTCTCGTTACGTACTTTGTGCCGTTGCTGTTCAAGTTTCCATACAAAATTTGACATTGATATTTCGGTTTGCAAACTATTCGAATTCGATAATGGTTCGTGCTAGGGGTACTGAATCTATTTCTACCTACTAAGAAAACTTTAGTTATTACTCAAAAATATAATCAATTATATTTCTGAATGTCTGTAGTACTTAGTTGTAGCTATGGAATGAGTACCCAGTGCCATCCCGAGAAGAGGTAAAGGGGGCTCTAAATAGCCAAAAAATTTCCAGCCTAAACTGAAAGGGTTTTTTATGCCTTCCTAGGAGGAGAAGTTCAGAATTGCGCGTACAATCAAAGAACTAAGGTCTAAATTCTTCCGCATATAGCAATAAGTCGTAAAATTTTACGATCTTGCATTTCGAACTGATGTCCTTGACGCATGCGTTTTATGTAAGACCTTATACAGTATGTATTAAAGGTTAATTTCAATATTTGAATAATGGCTTATATAAATTTTGGCTACGCGATCATCTTACGAAGCTCCGTGGATCGTTCAATGTACCTTTTGGACATGTTTCGGGCACGATTTTGTTCGTGTTGGTGTATCTAGGGTATTTAATATCGTTGCATGACACGCAGAATTCCACAAACGCGCGACTTACACCCATAGAGGTATAAGAATAGAGTAGGGGAGATATAGACTACTACAAGTGGAAGTGTCCCTCAATAGAAAGAGAAAGAAAATGAGAGACCGCTAGCTTTCTCTCTCCTATCGCGCATGCGCATTGGCAACCCTAAGCATCTTACTATTTCGATGTGATGCTTGGACCAACTATTGGACAGACGACTGCGCATGTGTCACAAGAGAGAGAGATAGCTAGCGGTCTCTCATCTTTTTTCTCTTTCTACTAGACGGACACTTTTTAGAGCCTCCTTCCCCACTCCATTCTTATACCTCTATGGATACGCGGTACACCACTGACGCGAATTGACACGACAGCCCGCGGAGGGAAGTGATTGAAAAACGACGTTGCAAACTAGCTAACGGTTTATGTTCCGAGAAATCGGTTTTCGGTTTTCCTCATTATTATCCTACTAAATATATGGTCGATGTTAATGTTTGTGTGTTTGTTAGAACAATCACGCAAAAACTACTTACTGAACGGATTTGGATGAAATTTGGTACGTTTACGTACGTATGTATTATGACCTTACCTGGAGACACACACAGGCAGGCACACTTATAGCTTAGGATTGAGACATCTGGATCTCATCCCCGGAAAATGTTCGAAAGCTAGTATATAAATGAAACAGCTGATGTTTACTGTTTTCGATATAATAATATTTTAGAAGTTGAATATAGTGGAAGGAAATTTTAACATTGTATTTTTTTTTGTTTCAGAAATGCAGAGGCTGTTTTAGTATTTAGTGCGACGGGCGATCGAAATTCTGAAGTGCTATTGAGTCCTCTGTCCAAATTGAATTTCAAACAAATTTATTTCGTCATACCCACCGCCTACAAGAGGACCGGCAAGCACAACGACAATTACTCAGCTGTAGAACACAAAGATTTGTTGGCGAGGTGCCAGAGAAACGCTGAGGTTTGGGAACATTTGAAAAAAGGGGGTAGTTTCTCGAAAATATCAATCCTGGAGAGTGTCTCCGAAGCTTTAATTGATATTAAGAGTAACAGCCATAACATCAACAGAACGTCTGTGCTTGTCACAGGTTCCTTGCATTTAGTTGGAGCTACTCTCCTTATAATTGATCCTAACTTAAGTAGCACTTAAGTTGCAAATGGAATAAAATATTTTATATCAGTTTGTTGTTTTCTTATGCTATACTAACCGACTCGGCAAACTTCACACCACCCAAAAGAAATAATTTGCAATAAAATAATATTGCGACTATAAATTGAGATGTAAGCTATCCTATTTTTCAAGTTGGATCATACTGCACACAGTATGTAAATTTTATTAAATCTGTTATGTACTTTAGGGACTCCTTAGGGGATTTAATAAAATCCTGAACAACCACTACTAAAAAGAAACATTATAAATAAAACATTTATTAATATGGGGTATTATCACAATTGCATACATAAATATTAGTTTAGTAGCTATTCTACAGTTAATTGCGTATCATTTGTATCTAGTAATCTATCAGTGTCTGTCAGCCATGATATAAGCCTGTCTAAGTAGCCACCATCTTGATTATAGCTCAGTAAAAGCAACTGAAGATGTTGGAAAGCAGTTGGCTGCTCTAACAAGTACTCCAACCTTTTGTCTCGTAGAGACAGCATTTTAATAACTATAATTGCTATCAATGTCCATTGAATAGGTTTGAACATGATATTGTTCGCTTTCAATTTAAATGTATTCACAAGAAGTCTGACATCTGAACTTATTGAAAGAGATAACATTCCGAGAGACTTCAGTATGTCTGGTAACACTTTGTTCAAGTGTTCACATACAATCCTCCTTCTCAAAGCATTTTGAGCATGTTTGTCTACTAAAGGCAGCTGTGTGACCTGCGAGTTTTCTTCAGCTGCCTTATCATGCTCCTGCTCAGAATTTACAACATTTGGAATTTCAGTTTCACCAGCTAGAAATGCTTTAACTTTTAATTGCATGTTTTTACTTTCCTCTTGTAAAATTGAATAATCAGGCAATGGTTTTGTTTCTCGTTGCAAAGTCTGAGTGTCGAATCGCCGGTCCTCCAGTTCTAATATATTTAATTTTCTACATAGAGCTTGGTACTGATCATAATTGTTTGAGTTGTAAAATACACTTTTAGCATAATTGTTAAGGTATTCTTTTATACATTCACCTTTATCAGTGAGCATTTCTTTTACCTTCTCTTCACCATACAACAGCAACAATGTATCTAATGTAAACCATTCGGCCAAACACTTTTCAACTTCAATAGCCAATAGGGTGACTTTGGGTTGTTTCTTTTTTATGATTTTCTTGGAATGTCGTGGCATATCATTATCTTTAGTGAGGGATTTTTCAGGTACATTTTGAAGAATTGGATCAATTTTTCTTTCAGGTTTTTCTAATATTTCACCAACTATATTCAATGGGTTTTTCAAAGGTTTCCTTTTAACATCAACTTCACCTACAATAGGTGTAACTTCCTGGCATTCTTTACTAATGTCATTTCTTTTACTCAATGGTGCTGTTTCCTGCACTTTGTTGTCTTTTTTGTCAATACTATTCATACTCTCTGAATTTGATTCAAGTAGTTTATTTGAGTCTTCAAAGGTAGTATTCCTAATTTCGCCAGTATTCATTTCATATAGAGCAGCATTAGCCAGATCGTTTATACAAGTGAATAACTTATCAGATTTAACTGCAACTTTGTCTATTAGACCCAAGTCAACTTCTTGCCCTAGACTGCCTACTGAACCATATGGCAATAAATGGAACTTCGGGATTTCTTCATATTCTCTGAACCACAGGGGACTAGTTAGCATTTGCCGTTTCACATAGATGGCAGATTTATAACAACTGTTGCTGCAAAAGCTTTTTCTAGTAGTAATGTCATATACCTTATTTGTTTTTAATGATATTCTGTATGTTTGCTTAGGAATATCCTTTATAGACAGTGTTTTTTGACATGGAGGATAACCACATAGCTGTATTATAGCTCTTTCTTCTATAATATCATCGAAGTGCGACTGATTTATATCCGGCAAGCATTGGAGAAAGTAGTTTTCAGTAATAGATTTTTCTAATAGGCTTTCTACAATAGTTTGGGCTTTGGCGTTGCATTCTCGTTTTTTGATGATAGTTTGACGTATTTGTTCTTTAGTCATCTCCTCAATTTTAGGCATCCTTTTCTTCGATTTTTGAGTTGAAGTTTCCATTATTAGAGAAGGGCTTTAAAAATTAATTTAAAGACACTTAAAGTTTGTGGATTAATACAATTCTTTAGATGCAGCACAAAATTATCACTAAAAATCAACTTTTTGACCACAGACTATTAAAATTATGACATTATTATTTTTTACATTCTCCCTTTTCAAGGAACGCAAAAGGAACAATGTTCATACAGCCTAGTCCTAAGTTATTAATCCTCTTTTGACTTGAAGAGACGTTTGAGCAATAATTCTATGGGCGTATGTGGTTGAAGGAGTCATAGATAGAGGAGTGCTGTTTCAAATTACGTTACTAATTTACATAAACAAGATTAAAATTGTTTCTCAAAAAAGAAAAAACAATGCACTTTCAATGACTATCTTCATATTTTTTTTAATTAGATACCCAATATTTTTTTAGTCCTCCAATTCGTCCCTCTTATTCAGAAGACTTTATCTTACGTCATAATGAAAGTTTTGAAGAAGATTGCCGAATAAGTTTCAAACTCTATTTTTGAAGTCATAATATTATTTATTATAAGTTGTTTATGGTGTCGATTCTAGCGTGATTCTCTAAACTTAAAACTAAATTTAACATCAGTCTCTCTTTTTCATTCTGTATAAAGAATGACAAGGATGCACTGTTGTCAAATTTAAGTTTAGCTTTAGAGAATCATGTCAGAATCGACATCTATATAACTCCATAATTTCCTAAGCGTAAAAAGATTTTTTTTGAAAAAACCTGCTATCATCATTATCCTTTGCTCAAAGTCTTAAATAATTATAAATATTTTTTTTTCTAAAAATTTTGACATTTCCAATACTGCAAACCATTATTTTTGCGATTTCAAAAATCACAGATTCGAATTGTGTTTGGCTGTATTAATTTTATTATTTATAATTAATTAATAAGTAATTTTATATACTTATGTACCAACCTCGAGTCGAACGTATTATATGAGTTTTCATAAATTATATCTTATAATGCAGTGCATTTTAATAATAATATATTCCTCGGGCCCTAGTTATTTTATCGTAGATTGATAACAATATCAAATAAATTATTTGGTAAACAGCCATGTGGTTTTAATCCAATCTGTCGTCATAATTACTGTTGTGGAAAGCAAGGTAAGTAAGTGCAATTTCCTGTATTGTTAATTTTTTTTGTAGTTCTTTTTTCAATAGTTTTTGTAATCTATATTGCAGTCCATGTTTATTCCCCTGATATTAAATTATATTTTTTATAAATTATCAAATTACTATTGGTTGTTCACTCTAATGTTTCATTTACCAAAGATGTGAAAGTATAGTTAGATTATTTTAAATCTTTAAAACATTTTGCATGACTGATAGTGTGGATGACATTTTGCATACAGATAGGGTTGCTTTACAAGATTTTTTTTCCTGGTACAATGTCACTTTTGTATGAGATTTGAAAAAAAATACAGAACAATTACACTGATCCTGAATAGCAATTATTGTGTGCGATGATTTATATTAGTACATGGTACAATGATGGTATTGTTATATTTTATTTGAAAGTTATAATAAGCAAATTATTTTTACTATCTATTTGTAGCTGCCAGCGACATAAATTTGTTACTAGTATGTCCTAATGTTCCATTTCTTCAAAAGCTTCAGATTCAGAGTAAATATGAATAAATTTCACTATTACAGCTACACCTAAACAATGCCACATTTAGTGTTGTTTCTGTCTAAAATGTTGTCCTGAAATTAAAGTGATAGGTTGTCAGTCTTGACTGCAATATTTTATAAATGTATCCTGACAGTACCCTTAGCACGAACCAATATTGAATTTGCGAGTAAGAAATGTCATTGTCAAATGTGTACTGATTTTTAGTTCTCTAAGGGTACTGTTGGTAGGCTATTACATTGAAACTTGACAGCTCTATGTGGCTTTCCATGGTGTTACTTTCTCTCTCAGTATTATTATAGTATTTATATTCATTACTTATTAAATATATAGTGAACCTATAGTGGTTTTTGTATTAAGATTTTTCTTACTTATGAATGTTTACTTTTATCATTTTAAAGACTGCAATATTTTGGCACTTTGGTAATGTTCATATTATTTTCTTATTCTTGTGCTGACAAATGACAATAGACAAACTGATTTGTACTATGTTTACAAGTCAGTTAATTTTGACAATATAACATTAATATAATTGTACCTTAATTAAAAAATATATTAATTCTTATTATACCATCCTACTTAACTACATCACTTACAAAGAAACATTGCTGAAGATTCTGGCTTGATTCTCTATACTTACTTAAAATGAAATTTGGCAATGTATTCTTGTCATTGTTTAATCAGAATTAAAAGGAAAGACTAAAGTTAAATTAAGTTTTAAGTTTAAAGAATGTTGCCAGAATCGACAACATTGTGAGAGTACTTTAAACTAAAAAAATACAGAAGCAGGCTATCCATCCACTCAAAGAATAAAGTCTAAAGTCAGTTACTACATATATAAGGACATCGTTTATAACGACGTGTCGGTTATTACGACCAATTGCCAAGGTCCTGGTCAAAACCCTATATAAACCCTTAAGTAAACAAACCGACTAACAATATCAGATATAGCGAAATACCGCTTAGAACAACTTACAGCCATATTGATAAAGTTCATATCGATATTCATCGGCTACAATGACCAACTGTTTTACTTGTTCCAGCAAAACAAAATATATGGTAGGTACTTTAATTTTTTTTCCATAACAAACTTTTTTTTACAAAAACAAGCTTATATTCATTATCAATAACCATACTATATACATACATTACGAAAATAATATGACTACTTGTGTATATTGCTTATAATAACTATCAGACATAACATCCAAAGTTATATGGTTCCTTCAATATTGTTATGTACGGACCTAAGCAAGAACATTCAGATTCTATACATCATCATTATCCATTTTATAACATATTATCATATGTAATTTTTCTGTTATTGTATCTAAAGCTATTTTGATTCCTTAAAATTAAGGAAGTTAGATTAGTTAGATAAGAAATTTGTTCCTAAAAACCATTAATTATCAGTTTGTATAAGGAGAAGTTCTTTATTATTTGAAAACTCTCATATATAGTACCTACATTATTACGAGATGTGCAGGATATCTATATATATAAAACTCAAATGTGACTGACTGACATAGTGATCTATCAATGCACAGCCCAAACCAATGAACGGATCGGGCTGAAATTTGGCATGCAGGTAGATATTATGACGTAGGCATCCGCTAAGAAAGGATTTTGATCAATTCTTCCCCCAAGGGGATAAAATAGGGAATGAAAGTTTGTATGAAACTTTGTCAATTTTAAACCGATCAGGCTGAGACTTTGCATGCAGGTATAAGAAGAATCATAGATGAATGTAATTGTGTATAATACAAGCCTGAGAACAAAAACTGTAGTCTACACTTCAGATCTACACCGAAACGAAGAGTGGGCGGGCCGCTAGTTATATTATAATTATATGAAAGTAAGTATTTGTTACACTTTCACTTCTAAACAGCAACAGCGCCATCAATTTGAATTGATGTGGTACAATGATAAAGGAAACCTTGAAAGTATAGATAAGTTTTGTCGTCTAAATTTGAAGAAAGTAAAATGTGAAGAAAGTTTGTAAGAGAAATCAATAATATATAATAATTACGTGCAGAGGAAATTGCAGGCACCTACTAGTAAACTATAAATACCTATTACTGACCAAATCTAGCAGTTATAATCATTTTTTTATATATAAAATTACTAGCTGTGCCCCAGGTGTTACCCGCGGTTTATTAGGGATCTTTTCCCGCAGTAAAACGTAGCCTATGTGTTAATCCAGGGTGTCAGCTAACTCCATACCAAATTTTATTAAAATCACTCCAGCCGTTTGGACGTGAAGAAGTAACAAACATACACACTCACAACCTCGCCTTTATTATATTAGTGTGATTATAAAATACTAGTGGCCCGCCCTTGCTTCGCTTCGGAGTAGAATTGATCAAAAACCTTTCTTAGCGGATGCCTACGTCATAACATCTACCTGCATGCCAAATTTCAGCCCGATCCGTCCAGTGGTTTGGGCTGTGCGTTCATAGATCACTATGTCAGTCAGTCACCTTTGAGTTTTATATATATAGATGTAGTTAGATAAAGCTAACTATAACAAATTATAAACCAGTTCCCCTTAGCACGAACCAATATCGAATTCGTATCGTTTGCGAGTACGAAATGTCATTGTCAAATGTGTACTGATTTTTAGTTCTCGTTACGTACTTTGTGCCGCTGCTGTTCAAGTTTCCATACAAAATTTGTCATTGATATTTCGGTGTGCAAAGTATTCGAATTCGATAATGGTTCGTGCTAGGGGTACTGAACACCACATGCAAAAATAAAAACAAATGAACATACAATGAAAGTTGTAATTTGATCAAACAGAAGCAACACTAAATATTTGAATAGTTCTAATGGATAGTTACAGTCAGTGTTTCCACTTTAATGATTTCCTTTCCCCACGCCTCAATGCAGATTTCCCCTTTTTAGGACATTTTTCCCCTCAAAAATTATCTGCTGTAGTTTTTAGATTTGGCACTAGTGTTAGTAACTAAAGAAAAAAAGGTCTTAATCTATCTTATTCTATAATAGATAAATAAAATATATAAAATCTGCACGTGTTGCCACAGTTTCTTTTATACAGCAACACTGTAGTCCACGGTATAGTCCCTAAAAAATTTGTTCCGTGCTGCATTATTTTTAAGCTAGGCTTTACCCATAATTTCCCGCAATTTCCCCTTTTTCTTCCCTTCTTGACCCTAATTTCCCCTTAAAAGGGGAATTTCCCCTCATTGTGGAAACACTGGTTACAGTAGCTAGTTTAGAAGAGTTGTTACCGAAAGTTAATCATCAATGTTATGTTAACAAGCCTTACATTTATAGCATTGTTCTTACTCAGCCTTACAATAACATTGATTGTAGGCAGTTGTTTGAGTGGACGCTAAGATAAGCCAACTCATTAGTAGTAATATACTTTGGTAACTAGACTTCATTTCATTCGCATTGCAACCATTTTAGTATTAGTACTATTATCAGTGATACAACTAGTGTTAGAGCGTGCTTTTTGAAAAGTATTAGGTATAATGTGTAACTGGATATCTGTGACTATACTTGAATATTGTGATTACAAATAATGCTTTAAATAACAAGAAATTCTTAATATACAGGTCAAGTACATTTTCACTATATATTCCATGTAGGTAAGTGAATGGAAAAGGTGCTTTATGTTTCGTCAGTAATATAAAAGCGGCTGCTGTATTTTTTTCATTGTAATAACTAGTGGCCCGCCCTGGATTTACTTCGATTTAGACTACAACTTTAGCTCTTTTAAAATAAATACGCGTGGAGTTAGTTAGAAATAGAGGTTCTCTGCTCGTTCCCCGTAGGTGATAGCGTGATAATATGTAGCCTATATGTTGACATCTCAAATTTGAAGTACATCAATCCATGGAGTACTTTTTGAGTTTATCACGGACATACATACAGACAAAAACTCTAACAACTATATTTTTGGCTTCGGTGTCGATTGTAGGTCACACCCCAAGGATTCTTTTGAAAAGATATTCAATGTACAATTTTGCCTTTCCTGCCATTTTATTATATGTATAGATAGATACTATGGCACTAATAAATAACGTGGCTTTCCAATGGTAAAATCATTTTAAAATTCAGCTCATTAGATCCAGATTATCGATTATAGTTTTAAGTATAAATAATCGTTTCTGCATTCCATGAGTGCAATTTGCTTCTTTTTCCTGTTTTCATCTTCATATTTTTTTTCTGAATATGAATTTAATGCCTAAACTAAGAATTGACTATATTTAGAATGACGAAACTCATTATGTAACTTTTACCTACTTGATTAAGGCGACGGAAACCACAAAAATCCGTGACATTGTGACTGGAATTGAGTTCACATGCTTTACTTTCACTTATATGCAATGACCTCGCCATAGCAAGTAGTTTAACGCAGTTTCGATACCTACGAGAAGTTTTAGAACGGAAGCTCTACACTATCTCAGGATTTCTTAATGTGTAGATTATGATCTAACAACGTGTAAATGAATTGTACTCAACAATGGGTCAAGGTGTGCACCCTGCGGTACTCCCTTTTTCGCAATATCAATCTCTATATTCTGACCTCCTTCTACAACATACTACATAACTGTAATCGTTTGCCAAATCACTTAAAGACAAAATTTCCTTATAATTTTTTCAGACATAATTTTTTAGTTGGTAAATTAGAAACAAATATGGACTAGAAACATAACAGTAAAATTGAATTTTATCGATGATTAAAGTAACCAGATTAAAAACTTCTTAGAGGACGAAGCATAACATGTTACTTGAGGAAAATAATATGTTTACGACAGTAAAAACATAAAACTAGAAATTTGAGAATTTTAATTATTAAGATTACCAATATGTAATCGCGCCTATCGCTTTGTGACGTGAACACGTATTGACTATTTATATTTTGTACAGCCAAAGGGGTACGGCATCATCATGCACATGTGGATGTGGTTCGGGTATGACTTGGGCGAGTTTATGTTCCCCGGCTTGGACATATCCACGCGTTGGTCCTTCGCGCTCACGTGGATCGCTCTGTTCTTCATAGCGTTGCTTTTTGAGGGATCAAAGGTTAGTAAGTCTGTTGATGTTGTAACACAAATATTGACATAAAACAGTTGAGTTTCAATGTTCATTACCTTCCTACTTATAATAACTGTAATTCTACCATGCTCATACAAGTAGACGTGAAGAAGCATATTATTAAATTACTCAACTGTAAATGCTTCACCAGCTTTCTTCGCTGCTAATGCTTCTATCAATTCCCGGACATTTGCATCCCCTCCCCCCCCTGAAAAAATAAAGCATCAAATCAAAGACCCCATCACCCCCAGAATACACATACACATTAAAACATCAAGCAGGCCAAGGCGTCATTCGTTATTAGTTTATTTTGTTACGAAACTAGCACATTATCGGAATAGGTTATTCGACAAGAAAACAATCTCACGATACTGACTAATGTTTATGGAATCCGTAAAAAGGATGGATATTCATCATTCTGTTGTGTATTTTAGTAAAAATAACCAAATCAACAACTCCATTTTGAAGTTGCTGCGAAAACGTTTCTCTGGACAATATGGCGTCTTACTAGTGTGTGACGTCACACGACTGTTATTAAAACGTCAAACGATCAATGTAAAGTCACTTTAACCGGAAGTTTACTTGCGTGTGACGTCATTTTAGGCTCCGCCAACCCCAAGCGTTTTTAGTCACGTGACAATAGATAAGAAAACTATTATCTTTTTCGTGGGTTTTTAGTAAAATTATGATTTTTTTTTTGTAAAAATAGTAAAATCCCCCAGCCAATATTCATTCTAAACACAGATGCTAACAATTGGCACTTTATTTTTAATACTGTCAAATACCCTATTCGGGACAATATTGTCTAATTACTGGACATGGGACAAGACGCAAAATTCCGGGATAATCCCGGATTTCCCGGTCATCTGGCAAGCCTGTCTGTACTCCGTCTGCACTTAACAACAGGGGCGGTGTCTTGCTCGAACATTACTAACAATGAAAAACCAAATGAAATTGCAGCGAGGTAATTTCCATTTTGTCCATTAAAGTTTTAGTTTGTTTTGTTTTAAGGTGTACTTGGCAAACGTACAGCGGGAGGCGTACCGAAAATTATACCCGTACAGATCTGACGAAAGGAGGAATCTGCTATGCGACAGGTAAGGTTGTATTTTGGTTTATCATTATAGTTACATTCATAATAGGGGTGATGACGGGGTACAGTAAACGAAATTCTATTTAGTCCGTCAGTTAGATGATCAAAAAATAATGGACTCGTATTTTTTCTTTGGGCAATCAACCAAAAAATGGCAAAGTTATAGCGCGTTAAAGTTTGGGAGTAGCGGCTCTTGACGTCACTTTTAAATGAAAATTGTACCAAAACGTGACGTCATGCGACTTTTCAAATCAATATATCTCTGCAATGTTTATATTATGTGAAAAAGAAAAAATACGTGTCCAATACTTTTTGATAATCTACCTGATAAACGAAGAAAAAATTTGCCATCATCCCTTCATAATCCATTTTGAATCTTTTTTATTTCTTAGGTTTCACGCACACCACTGATTAAATAAAACAAGTCTCAATGGTATATTTGAGACTGACTTAGATGCACTGATTTATCTATTTATGACAGTTGTTTTTCAGGCTGCCTCGTCAGGATTATAATCTATACGAAACTTATTTCATTTTTAATCTGTTACTAAAATATGTAGCGTGCTTAGAAGCTCAAATCTTGAGTCAACAGAACATAACACAAAAGTCAGTTAAAGCATTAGATACTGAATAAATTTTATGCGATAAGAAAGGAAGTTATTCATTAGCGATAAGTTATCTCGATTGAAAGAATTGTAAAAGAGCAAATATTTTAAATTATTCTGTCATATTCTAAATAATAATATTTGTAAAGTACCTATCATTATTTGGGTCACTTCCGCTTTCTGATCGACAGTGTTACTAAATACGAGCTATTGAGGAAAAATTGAGATTTTCCTTCAGGTACTTAAACAAAGAAAAGAGAAAGAAAGGAAAAAATAAATAATTTCATATGTAACATTATAATAAGAGAAAATGAAGGGACAGAAACAAATAGGAAAAGATCGCCATCAAAATCTCCAAAGAACAGCGAACATGAAACAAACGAAGGAAATGCTGGGCCAAAGAAGATACGAATAAATAAAGGATAGGACATATTTCGTTTCAGAACTAGTTTGACATTATGCGTACCGGATAACAACAAGTCTTAAAACTTCTCACTCAAAAAGTACGAAACAAAAAAATAAAGACGTTGAACACCAAAAACATAAATCACTCCCCAATCCGGCTGGTCCCCGTGGGGTAAGCGATTATGGGTGATAATCGCTATCCATTTCATAAAGGAAATCTGCATCTCCATCTGTAATCTGCATTTTAAATAATGCAATAAGACAATATTATAACTATAAATGCTATCTCTTCTTACAAATGTTTGATACTTGTAAAAGTATTCATTTGACATTGTGGGTTACCTATAATGCGAAGAGATGGCGCTGCCTTGCAGCTTAAGAATGTGTCCGTGGCCATCAGGGCCGCGGTAGCATAATTGGTCAGTGCATTCGCCCGGGTTGCGAAGGGTGCGGGTTCGAGTCCCGTCTGCTGCCTGGTCCGCGTGGGTTTTTTCTAGTTATATTTTTTTTAGATTTAAACATAAAGCAGTTACATGCTTGAAAATAAATAAATATAAGACAATATTAATTGTTCAGGGAGCGCGCGAGCAGCATGGAGCCGACTACTAGCCGCAACGCCAGCTCTGTTGCCACGAGCCGCTGGTCTTCACTACGGGTGCGGTCAGTATTATTATTTTACTATAAGCGGACGTTGCCCTGTTCGCCCAATCTAATCTAATATATTATAAAATTCTCGTGTCGCGGTGTTTGTGGTTAAACTCCTCCGAAACGGCTCGACCGATTTCCGTGAAATTTTATATGCATATTCAGTAGGTCTGAGAAACGGATGTAATCTATTTTTTATCCCCCTAAATGTTAAGGGTAATCCACCCCTAATTTTTTTTCAATTTTAGATAAAAAAATATTTTTTTATGATACATCATACAAAAATACATACATCCCTAAATTTTCAACTTTTTACCACCAACCCCTATTTTTTTATGGCGGTACGAAGTTCGCTGGGTCAGCTAGTAGGTATATAAAATTCTCGTGTCACAATGTTAGTTACCATACTCCTCCGAAACGGCCTGACCGATTTTTATGTAATTTTATATACATGTCGTGGGTCTGAGAATCGGCTACTATCTATTTTTCATATCCTTAAGTGATAATGGTTCTCCACCTGTAACGTTGTGTTCTGAAACCTACAATGCGCCTTGGCGCGAAATTTCAAACTATTGGGTATTGTAACGTAGTGTTCTCATATGGGTTAGGAGGAATGTTGTCCCAGGAAATTGATAGAACACTACGTTACACACCCCTAAAAATTTTTTAACCCTAAATTTTCTCTTCTACCACCTGCCGCTATTTTTATGGCGGTACGAAGTTCGCTGGGTCAGCTAGTAAAAATATAAAAAACAAAACCATTTAACTCAACTGCAGCGACAGAGTTGTAATTTAAGTTTGCTAATCAAATTTTTTACGCATTTTTCTTAATTTATTTTCCGTTAGTATCTTCTACTAAGTCTCAGAAAATCGTTAAAAAAAGATGAATGTTTGTAAAGTCGTTCTCGACTCAAGTAATGGTGTGACCAAGATAATTAGGGATTAATTGTTTTAGGGTTCTGACAAGGAGCTCTTATAGTTTCGTCATGTCACTCCGTATCTAGTCTTAACCTAAGCTATAGTTCGTTTGTTAGTAAAGGATAGAGGATATTTATTTGTCTCACATTTTTAGGGTTCCGTAGTCCAGACAAGGAACCCATATCGTTTCGTCATGTCCATCTGTCTCTCTTCCGAGTTTTTGCTTGGAGACTATTAGCACTAGACGCTGGCAAAGTGGTAGAATAAAAAAACGACGGGTTGCACTCCGGGAGTGCCGGCAGAAGTGAAAACTTGAATATTAACTTTGTGCATTTTTGATATTTTGGAATGATTAGGGAATAATTTTGCACGAATTGCTTTAATTTTCAGTTTAAAAGTAATATCATGTATGTGGTAGAATACAATATTTATTTATTGCGCTATCGTACACAAACATGACAATTTATATTACATTAAAAAGTTTAACGCCGCTAAAGAAGTTTTCACTTCATTCATTTTATTTAACAAAACTTCTAACTAAAATAAATGAGAAAAAACATCAGATTTTTTATTATAAATATTTACTAAGATTGGGGAAAAAACAACAAATTTTTAATAAAATTTATTTATTAAGACTGTGTGAGAAAAAACATAAATCAGAATATATCTCTGCAATTACGCTCATCCCTGCATTACCGCCGGAGTAGTTATGAATAATCATGCACTATTACTAGCATGCATCCTTAAGGTAAACGAAAGTTTTAAATTGAGTTTCTGAACGCAACTTAAAGTGACATTTGGTTCACGGCTTAGGTTATCAACCATTCATAGCCAAAACTCAATAAATGAAAAAAAAATATCAACCAATATAAATTATCAATATTTGTTATGTTTGTTTACAAATGCGTAGTTTTTATTCTAAAATTAGCAGTGCTAAAAAGGGTTCCAAGATTTTTTTGCAAACCGTAATTTTCAAGCGACTATTGACAGTTAGTTGGAGGTCATTGGGGCTTTCCTATTCTTAATTGAATCGCATTATACTTAAACACCATTCCGAGGGTAATGGGCGAAGTTGTTTATTTATAATGCAAAGTTCATCTACTAAGCTACGTATACAATTGATTGGATTGATATATTTACTAATCCATAGGATAAAAAGATTAAACTTCTTTCGAGAGTTCTGTTATCGCCGCGATATCGCGTCGGAATACCAGATATTGAGAAAATATAATACTAGGTGTAAATTTGTTTTGCACCCATAATAATCTGCAACTCATGCTTTAAATTTTCAAGGAAAAATTATTTATTTTTCTTTTATAACATGACTAGCGGCCCGCCCTCGCTTCGCTTCGGTGTAGAGCTGAAGTGTAGACTACAGTTTTTGTTCTCAGGCTTGTATTATACACAATGACATTCATCTATGATTCTTCTTATACCTGCATGCAAAGTCGCAGCCCGATCGGTTTAAAATTGACAAAGTTTCATACAACCTTTCATTCCCTATTTTATCCCCTTGGGGGTAGAATTGATCAAAATCCTTTCTTAGCGGATGCCTACGTCATAACATCTACCTGCATGCCAAATTTTAGCCCGATCCGTCCAGTGGTTTGGGCTGTGCGTTGATAGATCACTGTGTCAGTCAGTCACCTTTGAGTTTTATATATATAGATGATTGATTAGGTATATGTATAATTATCTGCTTGTTTCTGATACACCAATATTTTAGCCGCTTATATACATTTATGTGAGAACAGATATTTTAAAAGGAAGCTAGTCAAAAATTCATTTAAAAAGTCAGTATTGTAAACAGGGAAGCTGTAAAGGATCTGAAGCTCAGAAAACCCAGTAAATCGCGCTTCTTTCATACCAGTTTAAAAATGTTTGGTATTTAACTAGAGAAATGATATATATAGGATAGCGAAGGGTGCGGGTTCGAGTCCCGTCTGCTGCCTGGTCCGCGTGGAATTTTTTCTAGTTATATTTTCTTTAGATTTAAACATCAAGCAGTTACATGCTTAAAAAATAAAAATTATGACTATAATTGCTATTCTTCTTTCAAATTTTTAATACTTGTAAAAGTATTCATTTGACATTGTGGGTCATCTGGGATTGAGGCTGTCCCGCGCGGCACTTCTGGCAACGCTGCCAGGTAGGCAAATGACTCAACTCCACCTGATGTTAAGTGGTGATAAAGTCAAAACGCGAAGATAGCTGGTACAGCATTGAATTGACACACATTGTGAAATGTACGTTTCTATTAACAAATTTTACCTTACTCTATATATCAGTGATATAAAATCTCTTATCAAGTTAGTACTGGAAAATATTTATTCAGTGCAGTGCACTGTTATCAAATAAACAAACATTGTTGTGTGCATTCGACACTTCAGTAAATTGATAAATGACTCGTTTATCTCCAGTGTTCCTAAATAAATATATGAAGTTAGTATAGAGGCATACTAATCTTAAGATTACTTATGTCGGAGTTCAATCTTGGCACGAATATTATTAAGAAGTCGGGTCAACATATAGGCTACATATTATCACGCTATCACCTACGGGGAACGAGCAGTAAACCTTTATTTCTAACTCCACGCGTACGAAATCGCGGGCGGCCATTAGTTACTGTAATATGAGCTTTATTCTCGCTCCTGAATCCTATCTTCATTATAAAGTTGCTTCTCTTATTTTAAATTAAACACATACTAGCAAAACCAGTGAACCAAATGTTCACCAAAACCTGATTTCTCGAAAACCGGAAGTGCTACGTTACTCAAATCCGGTTTGTAGTCTTATCAGACTATTCTTAACTTATAACTTAAACATTCTCTTTATCTATCTCTTACGGTTTGGCCGCTGAAACAGCACCACAGACAGACGGACTTGTGTAATAGATAAGAGATTGGTAGGGGAAGCTTAAATGTTACCAGGAAATCCATCCTCGTCAGCCTATGAATGTACCCACTGCTGTGGCACTGGAATTGCAGATGCATTCAGGACCAACAGCTTAACGTTCCGAAGCATGCGGGAGCTCGAGATGATAAATTTTTGCTCACCGCTCAACTGGACGCGCTCAATACTTGCGCTATCGAGGTTCTCAATTCAAATCTGTCCTACCTCTCTTACAATGCATCATCCCTATTAATGTATCTAATTAATTGTATTGGTACCATATGATTTTATGTAAATATTGATACTTTTGTTAAATGCTGATAAGTTTATTGCACCCATTTTTCTTATCAGCTAAAGATGACCAGAATGCCGGGTGGTAGAAAAAAAATGGACGGTCCAAAAGAACTTTCAATAAGTCAATTTCAATAAAGTATAATTTCTTGTTTTGTTTTTTTTAAAGCATTTAACTGCTAGATGTTTAAATTTAAAGGAAAGATTACTAGAAAAAAAAATCCACACGGACCAAGCAGCAGACGGGACTCGAACCCGCACCCCTTCGCTATCCGGGCGAATGCACTGACCAATTATGCTACCGCGGCCCTGACGGCCGTGTCGAACTTTTTCTCTAGCCTTAGGCTGCAAGGCAGCGCCATCTCTTCGCATTATAGGTAACCCACAATGTCAAAAGAATACTTTTACAAGTATTAAACATTTGAAAGAAGAAATTGCAATTTATAGTTATGTTTTTTTTTATTTATAATTTCATTTGATTTCACTTAGGTTGCTAGTTAACGGCCACCAGTCTACAGTATTCCTGGCGCACAACGTGGTGGGCTACCTGCTGATGCTGGCGGTCATGGTGTACAACGTTCATCTCCTGCTCGCAGTCGTCTTCGGCATGATGCTAGGTCAGTGACAGGACTAACGGGAGTCGCGAGTTTGTCCTGGGGGGGCAGACTTGCATTGCACAAGTTCTCTGGATGTTAATACCCCTAGTCTTAGTAGTACGGCGGGCTGTTTCCGCAACTCGACATCCAGTGCCTATTTTGCGTGGGGATTGGCATTAGCCCTGCCATCCCAGCTCTTTCAGAAAGCTCAGCAGTTCCTGGATGCTGCTGCAGGTCTCTACCAGTGTCCACGGACTTCCAATTAGAGAAGTCCCTTGTCTTGCAGCGCCTCTGAACTCTGGCAGAACATGGGCGGCTGTCCATGATACTCCGGGGCATCCTCATCGGAGTGTGTCCGGTGTACGGACAACGACTGGCGGGTGTACGGCCAGTTGTCAATCGGATAAAATAGTGGCTGCCGGGTGATAACAGTATTAATTTAGGTGAAAGAGTATTGTCTTATTATTACTGTAAGGAGGAGTCCGCACATACTCTTGTTTTGCTTCCCCCGTGTGCGAGGGATGCGTACGTAATTACTTTTCCAGACATAAAAAAAAGTTCAGTGACCCTTTGGTAGGTCTTATTTTTGTTCCATAAGTATTTTGGCGCCCGACGTGTTAGCAAAAAGTCCAAAACGAGTAATACCGTCGGTTTCGTCAGTGACGTTATTTTTGAAGTCAGGCACGCCTCAGCAATTTACTTTGGAATTCTGTCTCGTAATTACTTTTGAAAAAAATTTGTTATCTTATATCCAATTCAGTGCAATACAATGAAGAAGTGTCATATTAGTTTAAATTTAGAGAGTCATGTCCTTCTCTATTCTCAAGTCACATTGATTCTAGCCAGTTACCACTCCCACAGCAATTTATGCTATATCTAATCCAATCTAAATTATTTAAAAGCTTACTACGCCATTGTTAAACCATAATAATTTTTTGTAGGTTACTTCCTGTTCGGTCCGAAGTTGACGAGACTGCAGATGCAGTGTTTCGGAAACAGACGCCCGATCATTTGCACCCCGGAATGCGACGACACAGGTACACAGCACACTAAATCCTATAAGATACATCAACACACCTCGCTTATTCCACTAACAGGTCATTGAGTAATGTAATAATTCGGGAGTGAGCATGGAGTATGTGTTATTTTTTGCGGATATCTGATTTACCTACTATTATTCTTAAACAAAATAATCATTCAGATTTGTCTCTTAGATTTTTCACGCACATCGCTCATTAAATAAAACAAGTTTCAACGGGTTACTGTGTAACGGTGAATGCGTCATCAGAATAATGATTTTTATTTAGTTGATAAAAATATAAAATCATTATTCGGACGACACATTCCTGCAAAGGATTCATTCAGATTTAGTTAAAGACAATGTTTTTTAAACATTGATCGGAAATCGTGTTACTAGATTTAGGCATCATTTTCCATCACATAAGGTTGGTCAAATTGTTTCACAAAGTCGCGTTTCAAATCAATATTAGTAGGAGGAATGAAAACCCTACTTTCGATCCCGCTCCATCCTAAACCTTGTATTTTGGGATGATAGCTTACATAACGTACCGTTAAAGACCGGTGCAACACGGAGAAATGCAGCTGGGAGGTGTGCGAGGGAAAGCTATGCAAGGAAATGGACGCGGTTGAACTGCAGCAATCTACCACGCCGCTGTCAACGGAACCGTACAATCCTCCTGCCAAGTAGCCAAATACTTGCCGTAGCCCGCACTTACTCTCACTCGCTTTGATAAGTAAAGCCTCGATGATACGGGGCGAGTTTACGAGCTGCTAGCGAACTCGCTGGCTTGTAGCTCGCCCCGTGTCATCGAGGCTTAGGCAGTGCCTGCTCCTCGTAGCCGTAGCAGTGACTGTAGTCGTAGCACTGATGTATGTCGTAGCAGTACTCTCAATTCTTGACTGTATCCAAAATTAGAAACTTTCGTTAATAAAGGCATCCCTTTCGTGGGTTTAATGAAATTAAAATAGTGTAGCTTGTAATTTTGTAAATAAAGTTGTTTAGTATTTTTATATTTATCAATTCAATGTAGGTAGTTGTTTATTAAAACTTATTTATTTATTTATTCATGGAAAACAGAATGATGTAGCATTGATAAGCCTTACACAGTTTTCACAAGTACAATCAAACACAATATACTTTATCCAATCCACTCACGAGGCCGTAGATTAATTTAAAACAAAATAAAAACACAGAAGTATTATACTAAACATAAAGCCACACCCACAGAGTAAATGATGATAATTGAAATTAAGTTTTGTTATTATTATAAAAAAAAATACTGTTCACAATGTTTTTGAACTTATTTTGTCTCGCCAGAAACACGACTACATCACTTGAATAATTAGTGTGAAAGTATTGAGTTACTCTATTTAAAGTAGAAATTCTGTCTATAATTATTAGGATTAATTAGCAATTATTCTATTCTATAGATAGCATGATCGTCCACTTCAATTTTTTTGTGGTTAATAATGTTTTTATTTTCATTTCCATCAACTCATTAAGTGTTTATTTTAACAATATTTCTTATCCGAAACGCATTGTCCTACAGCTGAGACCTCCACTCCCCCACTGCTGGATTCGGCTCACAGCTCCGAATCAGACTTACTATGTCGCACGCGAACTTGTATACAACCCTCGCACTATTTCAAGGCGTCCACTTCAACGGACGCACCCGAATTGCCGTCATGCCATTATGGCGCTAAACACTGTCCATCGCGCGTAGCTCGAGCGAAAAGATCCAAACAGTGTTACCATCCTAGTGAGAAAGAAGGCAGCCCGAGCGTAGAAGACGCGAAGCTGCTTACTACAGAAAGACACGGATGTTGCAAGAAGAAGCAAGAAACGCCCCCCGATGAAACGACAACTAGCCTAAGTCACGCAGTCGTCATCCATGAAAACGAGTCTTGCTGTGAGGAAACTGTAAGGGATGATACTAGAGAGGAAAGCCCACAGATCTCTTGCTGCCACAACGCTAAAGTACCGTCTGACAGCCAGGAACAAATTGTACAGTAACGACTACGTGTTGACCATTAAGCTACCACGGCCCTATTGGCCGCGTCGAAATTTTCCTAGCCTTAAGCTGCAAGGCAGCGCCATCTCTTCGCATTGTAGGTAACCCACAATGTCAAATGAATACTTTTTCAAGTATTAAACATTTGAAAGAAGAAATAGCAATTATAGTTATGTTTTTATTTAATTTTAAGCATTTAACTGCTAGATGTTTAAATCTAAAGAAAAGTTTACTAGAAAAAAATCCACGCGGACCAGGCAGCGTCCCGTCCGCTGCCTGGTCCGCGTGGATTTTTTTCAGATTTAAACATCTAGCAGTTAAAAGCTTGAAAATAAATAAAAACATAACTACGTGTTGTCTATACTTATAGAAGATTATATTTTTTCAACAATCTTGTGCACAAAGTGACTGATGTAATTAAGCTATTTTACCTATGGGTCTTGTAGATGAATACCGTTTTAGAGTATGCCAATGAGTTGTATGAGAGTTTCGTCAAAATATTGCTGAGTCATCCAAGGCCCGTATTATAGAAGGATTCTCAGTGATTGATCTAGTCTTGAGCATAGTTAGAAAGGGATGTCGCTATATAGAGCACATAGCGACATCCAGGGCCGGATTTAGAGGTCCAGAGGCCTCAGGGCAACAGAGGAGCGGAGGCCCCCTCACCCCAAATTATTTTCCAAATAAAGTAAACAATTTTTTTTTCAGACGAGTTTTTCAATAAATAATTTATTGTGAACCAAGTAGATTCCCTTAGTATTGAACAAACACATATAAATTTAAACAGAAATAAGAATTATCTGAAATTAAATCTTAGAGTTAACGAACGGAACCTTTCGAGCTTTTTTCGCCGAAAAATCGTTGATGATTTCGATTTTTTTTTCCGAAGTCTCTATTGTGGGGGCCCCCCGTTTGTGGAGGCCCCGGGGCTTTCGCCCCGGTTGCCCTCCCCTAAATCCGGCAGTGGCGACATCCCTTTCTAACTGAATTCAAGTAAAGATCAACACTTAGTTATCATTCTGTAAAACGGGCATTAGAGTTCGAGTATTGCAGCACTATTGCCGTTTCTGAGCCTGTGGTGTTTTTTGTAGACCAATACTTACACGGGACTTGTGTAATATGTTAATCCTAAAATACCTGAAAATAATACGTTTTTGTAAATAGAAGACAATAGCTTTATTTTAATTGGATACATATAATATAATGGTGCTTACAAAGTCATCAAAAGTTTTAGAATAATGCTAGATTATATTTTTGTTAAAAATCAAATTTGTAGTTGATATAATATTCATAAGCACAGGGCACACCGGTAGCTAGGAGAATCGAACTGGACACGAAAATATGTAGTTCAACACTTCATAGATTTTCTCATTAGCGGAGCTCTGGCCTCGTCCCCGCTGAAAAGGCGAGGCTTTGCCATCGGTCAGATATACTCAGTTATACGGCGTAAAATGAGTTAAGAAAACGGCATGATCGTAGCGAAGCAAACTTGGTTTTAGCCCCGATGTGGCCTACGCTTAAAAGACGTGGGACCTGATATCGAAATGTGTTCTATTGTAGGCATTGTAAAAAATACCAAATAATTTATGTTTTTAAATTTAAAAAAGATCAAGTTAAATTAAAATACGCACACACATTAAGCGAATAAATTATTCTATTGTATGGTCCATTTATTATTACTCATTATCAACTTCACAACAATCTTTCTGTGTTTTATTCTTTGAAAAAACTATGTTCTAATAGAGGTGATGACGGGGTACAGTAAACGAAATTCTATTTTGTCCGTCAGTTAGCTGATCAAAAAAATAATGGACACGTATTTTTTCCTTGGGCAATCAACCAAAAAATGACAAAGTTATAGCGCGTCAAAGTTTGGGAGTAGGGGCTCGTAACGTCACTTTGAAGTGAAAATTGTACCGAAACGTGACGTCATGCGACTTTTCAAATCAATATATCTCTGCAATGTTTATATTGTGTGAAAAAAGAAAAAATACGTGTCCAATACTTTTTGATAATCTACCTGATAAACGAAGAAAAAAAAATATTCATCATCCCTATTTAGTATTTTAAATATTTTGTTGAACCTCACGGTGCTGGAGGCCTACTCTAATTCAACGAAAGGACATTGCTCGTTCCCCATACATTGAACGCCCTAGAACGCCCAGCAATGACAAAATGCTAGTTGTGTTCGGAATCATTCATAAACTCTAATTAGGCATTAGTTGAGATATGGACAACTTGAGGAACCGAGGCCTACTACAGAATGTATTAGATTTTGAGGTAACAATTATTATACTTAATCGTAAAAGATGTCCCCTTTATATATTCTTAATAGATTTAGTGTTTACCTCCATGTAAGCACTTCAATAATATGCATTAAATGAATATAAAATGCAATTAATAATAAAAATAACAAATGCTTATATTCATATTGATTTATGAGTATTGGCAGTTGGCACCTATGATACCTATACCTACCGGTAGTAATAATAGATTTCTTTTCAAATGTAATGTTCAAAGTCTTTCCATTTACCTGTTTCTATATTTTACTATCGGTAATTAGGTATGTACCTGGTTATCATTATGATTTTTTCATTATAAAAATAAACAGATATTACATGGGATGGGAATATAAACTATCTTTACATAATTTCAGAAATAATCTTTTTATAAATATAATATAAATACTAGTAATAAGTATTATTAACTAAGGTACCTAGTTCTATTTTTATGTTACGTGTTACCTATGGTCGCCTATATTTCATTTAATACGGTAAACAATCTTGGCACAACTTTTTAACAGAATCACCCATTTAATAATAAAATATTAACGAAGCCAAAAAACTATTAAAATAAATCGTTATTATAGACTGAAACCTATTGAATCCAGTAATCAGCATTTTTAATGCTGTATTTTCAACAAAAAGGAGTGCCAAGATTGTTTACCAAATAGGACAAGTTGGATGAACAGACTGTAAGTAACTATTATAGTAACAGAACTTTTATTTTTTATTTTTTTAAACAGATTGTCCGTTTACTATGATTAATTGCTAATAAGTTAAAAAAAATATAGAAAAATAATAGTGAAGGATATTCTTTTGGGCATGCTAGGGCCGATTTCGTCGATGTCCTTTCGATCGAAACTTTTCTTACTACAATGTTTCTGATTCGTTTTTAAATATAATAAATAATATTCGTCGTCGTAATATAGATTGAGGTATAGATTTTCTAAACCTACTTAAAGAAAGCTTCAATTTGATAGTTTATCAATCAAAATAAGTATAACCCTTAAATTGACGAAATTAAATTTCGTTTGAACTTCGTTATCGAAAGTTCGTTTCGGAGAAAGAGAGTAGGCCCCCGTTTTCAGTATTATAAACAGTACTGAAAGGGTACATCATATTTGAATCTACTAAACGAAGCACACGACTCTATATTTTTGACAGCTAATGTATTGTTACGGAAAGGTTAATTATCATTATAACTAGCAAACCAGTGAACCAAATGTTCACCAAAACCAGATTAAAAAAAAAATGTATTTAATTAATTGAGAACTTCGGAGATTTTGTGTGGTTTCGTTTGAAATTCGTGATTTCTCGAAAACCGGAAGTGCTACGTTACTCAAATCCGGTTTGTAGTCTTATCAGACTATTCTTAACTTATAACTTCTTAACTTATTCTCTTTATCTATCTCTTACGGTTTGGCCGCCTGAAACAGCACCACACGGACGGACGGACTTGTCTAATAGATAAGAGATACCTCATGCAGCGCGAGTAAGGAGGGAAGCCATTGTCACTCGCGCTGCCCGGCGCTCCCCAAAAGAGCGGTTTTTTTGTGCGGAAGTCAAAGGACCGGTAGCGCGAGTGGCAATGCGTGTTCACTCTGCGCGTCGCTTAGTTCGAACAGAGAAGGACGTGTACTTTTTTTTAAGATCAGCGACCGTCTACGATGGATAGATAACATCCACCATCTTCTACGACGAACTTTCTTTTTTTGTACTTGATATATTTTTAAATTTCGAACATAATAAAATTATGGATTGCAAAAAGACAGCGCAGCCGCTGTAATTACTTCGACGTCTGCCATTGCCGAAACTCTGAAGCGAAGTGAGAGGTAGGGCAGTATGTAAACACAAACTTCTCTCAATCATGCCGTAGCAATATTTAGGGAATTATTGCCGGCAACGCGAGGGGCAGCGGCATGGGCATAGTCTAAACGAGGTATTACAATTTAAAATTGGAAAATACATTTCACAGTACCTAAGTTTGTAGAGGAATGAATGTTAAACAGATAAGAATTGATTAAGTAACTCCGTCTCAAGCTAGTTTTACATGACATATCTATATTTTATCTTAGCATTGTATGGCTTGAATCCATTGGACTGTATAGGAAAATAATTTTTGATAGTGCAACAAAGTGCCGTGTATATTACAAGGTAACTATAATAAAATGAGGTGCTAATGTAAAATATTGTAGACTATCGCACCTTCTGAAAATAGATGCCGCCCATTTGTAATTTTGAATGAGGGAATGAGTAGGTATTTTAATTATTTAGTCTATTATATAATAAATAAAGTGAGTTTAGTCATACGTATTTTTCTGTAAATATAATAAATAGTACCTTATACAACGAACAAAAAATTAAATTGTAAACTAAGCTGTTATATTTATACTTTAAGAAGCAGTTATGAATTACCTACTAGATTTATGAAATCTTGCGTGTACCTTAACTATAAAAAAATGTTAATTAATGCGGATATACTTGCACAAATAAGTTTTGATTTTTATTTATTGTTTCGTTATATTTTTTAAATAATTTTAACTAGACTGTTAGCTTCCATATTATTATAATTTGTATTATAAAATGAGGTCACATTAATTAACAACTGTTTCGTAGTTTCAAGCAATATGCATTTTAGATTTTGTTTCCTTCGAAAAGGGAGATTCTGTGATCTTAAAACATCTAAGTAGATTTAAAAGTGCATAGCTTATACTTTTTGTTGTGTGCCAAATATTTAAATTGTTAAACAATTATTTTCTATTGTTGTCAAAGTGAACTCATTAAAGACAATTTTGTAAATATATCGTATTATTTCGTCATAATGT